CTGTCTTCTGCAACATGAGCTACCCCTCCCATTTGGGTGTCATCTGCCAATTCGATGAGCATCCCCTCAATTCCATCATCCAAGTCATTGACAAAGCCATTGAACAACAAGGGGCCCAGGACAGAACCTGGCAGAACCCCACTTGTCACTTTTCCCCAGGAGGATGAGCAGCCATTCATGGCTGCTCATCATGTCCCGGTGGTGGGCGACATTTGCAGCCTGGCGCATTGCACCACCATCTCGGGGCCACACTGCTCCCATGGCTGTTGCTGTGCCTCCCGGGGTCACGGCCTCCGAGTTCCTGCCGGAACCCAGCCGTTTGAATCGGCCAATCTGCAGCGGTCCGGGGGGCGGAGCTAGGAGGAGCGGACCTTACCGATGCAGGCTTCCCTCTGGTCCGCTCTTCAGAGGCCTCTGGGCTAATCTGCTTTGCATCAGCATATGGGGGGCTGGGCTAGATGACCCAGGGCCCCTTCTAAGCCTGTTTTCAGTAACACGAGGAAAGGATCCTGTTCCTTAGTTATTAATTAGTCATGTGGTCATAGGCATGCGTGCACATGCGGGGTGACAATGCATGGCTAGTTCGCACATGATCTATGGTACTCTTTCTGTGGGAGCATGCATTCATGAATTCTCTTCTTCAGTGCCTGGTCAGCTCAGCTGGTTAAAACATGGCGCTGATAGGTCCACGGTGGCATCTTTGATCCCCATGGTGGGGCAGTGGGATCTTTCTGCCTTGCAGGGGTTGGATGATCTGGATGATCCTGGGGGTCCCTTCCAGCTCTACAGTTCGTCCTGCACAATTCATATCTGAATGGTTTCACAGTCATCTCATCTGTGCTGCGCCAGCATGGGATCTTGAGGTGCTGCCCTTGACTCCACTGGCCGGGCCTGGGTACGGGGTGCCCCTGGAGAGAATTCCCCTCCCACTTGGGAGGCTTCCGCTGGCAAGGTGGGTGTGCAGGTGAATGCGGACAGGAAGGCTGGTGATCTCTCACTGCCCTGCCCTTCTCTTCTTTATAGTTTATGATTTTCAGTTTGATACATTCCAGTAATTTTACAATCATTTTAACATTTCAAAACTCGACGTCCTTCCCCCTTTCTGCTGTTCCTTAAATTTATTTATTTTTATGTTTTCTGCATATCTAAATGAATGAATTTGCTCATCTATTCAAGTACTTTAAATATATACAGTGGTACCTCGGGTTAAGAACTTAATTTGTTCTAGAGGTCTGTTCTTTTTAAAAATATATATATAATTTGTTATTAGTTTTTTTTTAACATATCATTTTCAACAGAAATTAAACATACTTTTACATCTTACTCAAATTTTTGACTTCCATCAATCCTGTCTGAAAATTTTCCAATCTAATCTCTCAGTATGCATTTCTTATCTTCCCTATTACATTTCAAACTCATAACCAATATCTCTGTCTTTTTCTACTTTGTAACACTTCGTATATTTCTCCTTACAAAACTTCTTGTAGTCCTACTAGCGTAGTTTGTTGATTACAGTTGCTCTTCAAATAGTTCATATACTTCTTCCAATCTTCTGTAAATCTCTGGTCCCACAGGTTTCACAACTTCAGGCAATACCAATGAGACGGAAACATGGAAGGTGCCTAAAGAAGCCAGGGTGGCTATCTAAAGAACTTTTAACTGAGTTAAGATTAAAAAAGGATGTGTACAAAAATGGAAAAGGGGGGAAACCACCAAAGAGGAATTCAAACAAATAGCCAGCACATGTAGACACAAAGTCAGAAAAGCTAAAGCACAGAATGAACTCAGGCTTGCTAGAGAGGTTAAAAGCAACAAAAAGGCTTTTATGGGTATGTCCGTAGCAAAAGGAAGAACAAAGAAACAGTGGGGTCACTCAGAGGAGAAGATGGTGAAATGCAAACAGGGGACACAGAAAGGGCTGAACTCCTCAATGCCTTCTTTGCCTCAGTCTTCTCCGATAAAGAAAACAATGCCCGACCTGAAGAATTTGGAGCAAATGATTCAGCAGAGGAAACACAGCCCAGAATAACTAAGGAGATAGTACAAGAATACTTGGCTAGTTTAGATGTATTCAAGTCTCCAGGGCCAGATGAACTGCATCCAAGAGTATTAAAAGAACTGGCAGATGTGATCTCAGAACCACTGGCAGTCATCTTTGAGAATTCCTGGAGAACAGGCAAAGTCCCGGCAGACTGGAAGAGGGCAAATGTTGTCCCTATTTTCAAAAAGGGGAAAAGAGAGGACCCAAATAATTATCGCCCAGTCAGTCTGACATCAATACCAGGGAAGATTCTGGAGCAGATCATTAAGCAAACAGTCTGTGAGCACCTAGAAAGGAATGCTGTGATCACCAATAGTCAGCATGGATTTCTGAAAAATAAGTCATGTCAGACTAACCTGATCTCGTTTTTGACAGAATTACAAGCCTGGTAGATGAAGGGAACACAGTGGATGTAGCCTACCTTGATTTCAGCAAGGCATTTGACAAGGTGCCCCATGATATTCTTGTAAAGAAGCTGGTAAAATGCGGTCTTGACTATGCTACCACTCAGTGGATTTGTAACTGGCTGACTGACCGAACCCAAAGGGTGCTCATCAATGGTTCCTCTTCATCCTGGAGAAGAGTGACTAGTAGGGTGCCACAGGGTTCTGTCTTGGGCCCGGTCTTATTCAACATCTTTATCAACGACTTGGATGATGGACTCAAGGGCATCCTGATCAAATTTGCAGATGACACCAAACTGGGAGGGGTGGCTAACACCCCAGAGGACAGGATCACACTTCAAAACGACCTTGACAGATTAGAGAACTGGGCCAAAACAAACAAGATGAACTTTAACAGGGAGAAAGGTAAAGTATTGCACTTGGGCAAAAAAAATGAGAGGCACAAATACAAGATGGGTGACACCTGGCTTGAGAGCAGTACATGTGAAAAGGATCTAGGAGTCTTGGTTGACCACAAACTTGACATGAGCCAACAGTGTGACGCAGCAGCTAAAAAAGCCAATGCAATTCTGGGCTGCATCAATAGGAGTATAGCATCTAGATCAAGGGAAGTACCGTATTTTTTGCACCATAACACTCACTTTTTTCCTCCTGAAAAGTAAGGGGAAATGTCTGTGCGTGTTATGGAGGGAATGCCTACGGGTGGCATGCCTACGGATTTTCCTCCTATAAAAACTATGTACGTGTTATGGTCGGGTGCGTGTTACAGAGCGAAAAATACGGTAATAGTGCCACTGTATTCTGCTCTGGTCGGACCTCACCTGGAGTACTGTGTCCAGTTCTGGGCACCACAGTTCAAGAAGGACACTGACAAACTGGAACGTGTCCAGAGGAGGGCAACCAAAATGGTCAAAGGCCTGGAAACGATGCCTATGAGGACGGCTAAGGGAGCTGGGCATGTTTAGCCTGGAGAAGAGGAGGTTAAGGGGTGATATGATAGCCATGTTCAAATATATCAAAGGATGTCACATAGAGGAGGGAGAAAGGTTGCTTTCTGCTGCTCCAGAGAAGCGGACACGGAGCAATGGATCCAAACTACAAGAAAGAAGATTCCACCTAAACATTAGGAAGAACTTCCTGACAGTAAGAGCTGTTTGACAGTGGAATTTGCTGCCAAGGAGTGTGGTGGAGTCTCCTTCTTTGGAGGTCTTTAAGCAGAGGCTTGACAACCATATGTCAGGAGTGCTCTGATGGTGTTTCCTGCTTGGCAGGGGGTTGGACTCGATGGCCCTTGTGGTCTCTTCCAACTCTATGATTCTATGATTCTATGATTCTATGAATTCTTCCTGTCATTTTGTCCAATTCTGCGTAGTCCATTAATTTTGTCTGCCATTCTTTTTTCGTCAGAATTTCTTATTGTTTCCATTTCTGGGCTAACAATACTCTTGCCGCAGTTGTTGCATATAAAAACAATTTAATATCTTGCCTATAATATCTTACCTATAATACCAAGTAAAAATGCTTCTGGTTTTTTAAAAAATGTACATTTCAACATCTTTTTCATCTCATTATATATCATTTCCCAGAACTTCTTTACTTTTTTACATTCCCACCACATATAATAAAATGTTCCCTCTTTACTTTACATTTCCAACATTTATTATTTGTCTTATACATTTCAGCTAATTTCACTGGTGTAATATACCATCTATACATCATTTTCATCATATTCTCTTTCAAAGCATTACAGGCTGTAAGTTTTATCCTTTCATTCCACAACCTTTCCCATTCTTCAAGCTGTATCCAAAGTCTTATATCCAGTCTTATATCTTATATTATATCCAAAGTCTTTTGCCCAGCTGGAGGTCCGTTCTTAACCTGAAACTGTTCTTAACCTGAAGCACCACTTTAGCTAATGGGGCCTCCTGCTGCCGCTGTGCCGCTGCTGCACGATTTCTGTTCTCATCCTGAAGCAAAGTTCTTAACCCGAGGTAATAATTCTGCGTTAGGGGAGTCTGTAACCTGAAGTATCTGTAACCTGAAGTGTCTGTAACCTGAAGTGTCTGTAACCTGAAGTGTAAGTAACCCAAGGTACCACTGTATACTCTTATAACACTGCATGTTATTACAATGTTTTTGTCCATTTACGGTTTATTTGTAAATCTCCAATAAACAATTTCCATTCTTTTATAAACAGTTGGTTATCTTGCTTTCTTATTTTCCCGGTAAGTTTCGCCATTTCGGCATGTTCCATAAGTTTTTGTATCCATTCTTCTTTCGCTGGGACGTATTCTTCTTCTTTCCATTTTTGGGCAAGTAACCTTCTTGCCCATCCTCACAACTGTTGGGAAAAAGAACCCCCGGGGATAAAAACATGATCAAAGACTAGTACATTTGTATTCCAAACTTTATTTAAATCTGTTATGTACTGAAGTTCTCACCCTGGGCCAGCAGGGGGATACTGTAGATAGTTCAGGTCCACATATGTAAATAAGGGATCGAAAGTGACGTTCAGTGATTGGATAGTTACAGAAAATGGTTACTGTTGCGTTGTAGTGGAGCTCTATATAAGCAGGCTGTCTGAACCCTTCAGTTCTATTCTGTTCTGGCCTCTGAATAAACAAGAGCTGTTTGAAGAATCGCTGTGTCGTCTGATATGTTCACCCACAACTTAACAGAATCCATACAAAAATGATTTCTATATTTCTTTATTTATATATTTGGAATTGTGGGGAGGGGGGAACTGGGCGTGGGAGGGGGGGTAAGAGCTCCGCTCGAGCTGCTGGTCTCACTGCTGCCGTTGCCTGGAAGAGAAAAGAAGAGAAAGGATTCTTAATATATATTTTAATTGATTATTATGCTGATAACCCATCTTTCTGCTCCCTCCGCCCCACTGCCAGATTTTCTCTGGTCTCCCTGTTCCTGAGGAAGAAAGATCAACACTCACCATCCACGTTGTTATCGGTGGACTCCATCCCCTGGTCGCATGGTCTCACAAAAATTGATCTTATCTTCACCTTCTCCTCCTTTCCGTCCTTCATGATGTTGACCTCCTCCTTCCACTGATCTCCTTCCTCCTCCTGGCAGACCAGGGGATGTATCTTGGGCAACCGGCAGCAGGAGACCAGCAGCCCGCGGAGCCTCCTCAGACTTCGGAACCTAGGGAAGAAGAGGAAACAATGAGGAAATGGGTTCTAGAGATCTCTGTGCTGGATTTGGGGCACCTGGCAGCTAAACCTCCCCTACGTTTCTAAAGAAGGAGAAATCCTACTTACACTTGACATGAAGAGAGTCTCTGAAATCTCTCTTGCGGCATCTTTCTCCTCTCTCCTTCACTAGCTATCCTCAAATGGTTGCTCTTCCCAAAGTGCTCAGCCAAGTCACTCAGCAGGGGGACGTGTCACAATGGAGGACACGACCCCCTTACTTTAGCTACCTTGCTTAATAAGGGGCATTGTTCCCCTTCACAGTCACTTTTCAAATACATTGGTACCTCAGGTTACATATGCTTCAAGTTACATACGCTTCAGGTTACAGACTCCGCTAACCCAGAAATAGTGCTTCAGGTTAAGAACTTTGCTTCAGGATGAGAACAGAAATTGAGCTCCGGCGGCGCGGCAGCAGCAGGAGGCCCCATTAGCCAAAGTGGTGCTTCAGGTTAAGAACAGTTTCAGGTTAAGAACTTTGCTTCAGAACGAATTAAGTACTTAACCCGAGGTACCACTGTATACTGATCAGCCTGAAAGGTCTAATTCCAGCCCAACCTCCCCAAACCTGTGCCTTCCGGATTTTTGGGGACTACCTCACCCATCAGCCCCCCTTCGCCTGCCCTGACTAGTTGAGTGGGCAGGAAAAATGGCAGTTGTAGCTCAGAAGACCTGGAGGAGACCAGGCTGGGAAAGGCTGGTGTTCCCTGAGCTTCACAAAATGAGCTTTTCCGTGTTGTCCTTTCCCCTTCTGACTCCTCCTTGTGATGGCATCTTGGAGCCGCAACATCTCCTGTCCCCACACTTGGAACAGTCCTGCCAAGTCGTATGTCTAAGTCTCCTCTTCTTCCTTTATCTTCTTCCTGTGCCAGCATGGCATAGATCTCCTGTTTTAGTTTACCTCATTAAAAATCTCTCGGTTTTTTGGTCTCCTGCTTTGCTGATGCCCCAGTCATGTGCCCAGCCTGCCAGTTGGGCAGTCCAGCACCGGGAAGGAGAAATGCTTTGCTGGCAGAAAAAGAGAGATGAAGCTTTACCTTTAATAAGAACAATACAAAGCTGACCTGAAAAGGACAGGGCAGTCGTGGGTTCGAGGCGCCTCCAGGCGGCCCTTCTGGAAACTGACATCCTTTGTGCTTTAAAGATTAGGTGAGAACACAGTGACACCTTGTGGTGGATACATGGCACTGTTTTATTTATAAACTATATTTGCACCATAGGGACAGAACACGTTCGGAGCCGTTGGTTGCCACTTCCAGTTTAAATTGGAATGGGTTGTTGCCTATACAGTGATGCTGCTCTGCCCCCAGAGAGAATCGTGCTCCATAGAAGCCGACACTTTTTTACTTTGTCGCTTTAATATTTTTCTAGCAAGGCATCTCCAAACCATAATTCCTAAGAGCTGTAGATTTCTTTCTGTTTAAAGGAAGGTTTCTAGCCCTCGTAGATGTGAAGAATTATTTGAAAATATGCCAGGCAAAAGACCCCAGCATGGAGGCCCCAGCATTATTGTTATTTATTAAATGTATATACTGCTTTTCCACCCAAATGAGTCCAGGGTGGCAAACAACAAGTGATAAAACAGTAAGACCATTAAAGGTAAAGGTAAAGGGACCCCTGACCATTAGGACCAGTCGTGGCCGACTCTTGGGTTGCAGCTCTCATTTCGCTTTATTGGCCGAGGGAGCCCGCGTACAGCTTCTGGGTCATGTGGCCAGCATGACTAAGCCGCTTCTGGTGAACCAGAGCAGCGCATGGAAACGCCATTTACCTTCCCGCCAGAGTGGTACCTATTTATCTACTTGCACTTTGATGTGATTTTGAACTGCTAGGTGGGCAGGAGCAGGGACCGAGCAACGGGAGTTCACCCCGTCGCGGGGATTCCAACCGCCAACCTTCTGATCAGCAAGTCCTAGGCTCTGTGGTTTAACCCACAGCGCCACCTGCGTCCCTAGTAAGACCATTAGAAACAGTTTAAAAACATTTTAAAACCAGTTCCAGTACAGAGGCAAATTGGGAAAGTTCTCCACTTAAAAGGCTTGGGCTTCACTGGGCGCCACGAAGGCAACAGAGAGGGCACCTGGCTAATATTCAAGGAGAGGGGATTCCAAAGAGCACCAGTCATGATGCTAGGGGCCTCGTTCCTATACAGTGGTACCTCGGGTTACAAACACTTTGGGTTAAAAACTCCGCTAACCCGGAAGTAGTACCTCGGTTAAGAACTTTGCTTCAGGATGAGAACAGAAATCGCGTGGCAGCGAGAGGCCACATTAGCTAAAGTGATACCTCAGGTTAAGAACGGTTTCAGGTTAAGAACGGACCTCCAGAACAAATTAAGTTCATAACCCGAGGTATCACTGTATTGTCCAGAATGGGACTACCTGAGAAGATGCTACGGAGGGGTGAGACAATCTTTCGGGTCGCCTGGTCCCAAGCTGCACATGGGGCTTTATACACCAAATCCAAACCCTTGAACTTAGCATGGTAGCTAATTGGCCTCCCATGCCCAATATGTTATGTTTATCAGAAGGGGAATAGTAGCTACCTTAACCAGAAGGGCATCCCCTGTGGGAAGAAGCAGCCCACCCAGCCTGTCTCAGCACTCCAGAGCCTGTGAAACCTCAAGGTCTGGCACTGGGACCTGGTTGACGAAGCTTCTGTGGGCGGTGGGTGCTCATTGTCCCCTCCAGACATAGAGATCGTCAGATATCAGAGAAAGAGCGATCTCACGGTCAGGGATAGAGGACTGCCCTCCAGGTGTTACCGAACCACAACTCCCATCAGCCCCAGCCAGCTTGGCCAATGATCAAGGATGCTGGGAGCTGTAGTCCAGCAACAACAGGCTAGCACCACAAGGGCTAGCCCTCATCTAGATCCACCATTTCCTGGTTCACTCTGGGAAACCATTTTTAAATGCCTCCTGGGGTGGAACTGAGAGCTATCCATAGAAAACAGCGGCCTAACCAAAGATTTCAGTGTAGCTGCATGTCCGGACACCCCACAAACAAATGGAAGCAGTAAACAGAGGAAGTCCTGCTCTTTCTAAGTCAGCTCATATTTCACATAAAAACATTGCTTTTCATCACATACAGACATGGGCATAGCCAGGGTTTTTGTTACGGAGGACAGACTTTTGTGGGGGGGGGCAGAAACTAAGATTTATATAGATTTTTATTGATTTAAGGCTGCGCCCATGCAGGCAGGAGTGTTGTGCTTTCTTCAGTCGCATGCAGATGGGTTGCACTTTTAAATGTGCAAGAAAGAACTCGTGAAAATATCCCTCCCCCAACAGCAAGACCGCATTTAGAAAGTGTAGGGACCTTGTCTCTGCTGCTGTTTTTGTTTTGCTTTTTGCCAGCAGTGGGGGGGGGGGACATTTTCCAGTCGCACATGCAGTAAAATCTTTGATTTCCCCCTTAATTTCTATAGACAGGTCTCATGTTTGCTCAGTGAGATGGGGAAAGCCTACTGATATCAGAAACTTGTGGGGCTTGTCTTTCTGTAGCTCTGCATCTTCATGCATGGAACATAGTAGACGGCGCCACAGCAGCCCTTGCCTGCCTGCCTGCCCCTCCTCCCTCTATGCGCTCACAAAATCACCTGAAATACATTAGGTCTCTAAGACTGGATTTGGGTTCAGGCCCTGGTCTGGCCCAACAGCATCATGGAGGGTTGTACGCCCAGCACTCCCAGCACGTCATCCAACTATTGCTGAGGAAGATAATGCCCCAATAAATGTCTCTGTATGTTAGCAGTAATTTGCCAATAATACCTTGGAACCTGCTACCATTTCCTCCCGTAATGTCAGAGACCTTCCAGTGCCAGCCCAAATGATGCCCCCCCCCACCTCAGACATCAATTCCTGTCTTCATTTGTTACACACACACACTTTATTGTGCTGCATGAAGCTGTTCACTTCAGAGCTGGCTCTGGAACCGTGTCCTTGCAGCACTCTGAGATTTCTCTTAATCTCTGGAGGGGACCAGGGAAAACAGGTCTGGGAGCCAACAAGTCTCTTGGTTTCTAGTTGCTAGGCTTTCCTAACACAATAGCTATCTTTGGGCTGACGTTCTTAATTACCTTTTCTTGATTGTGGGCTTAGACTGAAGATTTGCTTGCTAACTAGGCTCCAAATGAATTCTCCAGAATAAATCAAGTCCCTAAGGGTTCCTTGGAACCCCCTCTGATGGTGGGGAAAGTTTTCAAGTAATGTGATTTTGGCAGGGGAGTGGGGTTAATCCTTTGAGTAAGATTACCTTGTGTGCATGATGTTTTGTTTGTATGTATGTATACTTGCATGTTTGCCTGCGTTTGCACAGGTTGCTGTGTCAATTTAGTTGCCAGTAGTCACTGTACTATTACATTTGCATGCAATAGATTGTGGGGTAGGAATTTTTGTAGGAGAAAAAGCTATAGAGCTGCTTGCAAAAGCCTCCAGGTATCAAGATTTCTTGCTTTTTCACAGCTTTAAAATAAAATGAGATAATAATTAGTGTTGGGGACTGGTGGCACACTTACCAAAGCATGCTATTTTTAGCCTTTTACAAAGCTGAAAAATAGCAGGCAATGGCAGAGCTCCTCTCATTCTTGCAGATTTTGCTCAGTCTTGCAAACCTTTTTTCTTTTTAGTTTTTTGTTCTCGCCTGGAGCATCAAAACACACACCTGTAATGGGAAGAGAGCCCAGAAGGGAGTTCACCTGTGCATGCTGCTTTGTAAAGGAAGAGAGCTAGGGGAGAACATTTCCAAGGGAGGAATATCTCTGAAAGGGTAATCAGTTATCTCCCTGCAACACAGTTCTCTCTCCCCCAAGGCCCCACAACAAGAAATCTCCCCTCCATTGCATGGGGAGAAGATATTGTCAGAACAGCCCAGGCTGACATATCACTACTTTAGTGCTTTACTTTATGTATTATGTTTTCTTCTAAGAAAATAAATGTGTGCTGCTTTGTATCGACTGCAAAGACCCTTCCTGAGTGATGATTCCACATCACATGTCTGTTTCTTATTTGCAGAGCAGTTTCATGGGGCTGCTCCCCTGAGTCAAGTAGCTGCCCTGTTCTTTGCCTCCGCCTACTAGGCAACAAGCCAAATCCATGTAGTAGAGCCGGCAGCAGCCGCAGCGGAGTTTTCACGCAGCACTGGGAGCGTGCGGCTCTCACTTGCCCTGCAAGCAGCCTCCGTTGTGGGAAGATTTGGGTCTAGTGTTCAGGATTTCAGGAGCTTTCTGGATTCCCCACCGCCATGCGTTCCTTGGGGAAGGGCAAGCAAAAGACAGAAACAGAAATTTTTTGCTGGCTTTTAACATGATCAGCCTTTCTTTGCTCTGTGGATTGTGCCTGGAATTCCCCAACTAGCCTCAGGGTCCCTGTCATCCTGAGCAAAAGAGAATCACAGGACGAATCCTTCAACTGTAAGTGCTGCTGCTGTTCTCCAGCATTTCTTCTCTTGTGTGTTGGCAGGGGCCCTTGCATGGTGTGTGCCAAGGCCAGGGGCCTAGCGTGAACAGGTGCCAAGGAGGACAGGGCTTCATAGCTGTGTGGGCCATTACGGTATTTGCAGCTTGCCATTGCAGGGATTAGAAATTTTCCTCTTTGATACGAGTGTTAAAGGAAGAGGAAGAAACAGTGTTCTCCTTCCACGTGGAAGAGAGAAACCCAAGAAACCTAATGTTGCACCATCTTTCTTTGGATGCAAAGAGGACTTTGGGTGGCTTAGTTTTACACTGGCACAGGTCAGCTGGCCTGATCCACTTTCCCTGCTCCACTGCAGCCAGGCCACTCGCCTCTTCCTTAACCAATCCCAGAGTTCTTCATCTCAACCCTCCCCCGTTCCTATGCGACTCACACAACAGACATTGCACATCTTCTGGGACGGAATAGTGGCATTTTTGAAATTCTGTACAGCAATGCCCCTGGGCAGCTGAAGGAATAACGTAGCCAAGAGTCAAGGCATAGTCTAGCATCCACTACTGGATCTCTTTCTAGCGTTCAAAACTCATGAAAAGCTTCAGGACTCTGCTCCTTTACACTGGAGGCATAGGAGTGAATAACTTAAGGAAGTTATAGGTGTAGCAGGTTCAGCACTGTTTACTCAGGCATTAAAAGGGGTATGTCAACAGCAAGATTTACTTTTTAGCCTTCCAGAACAGAGTTCACCTAATGTGTTAACTATGGCTTAGGTAACAGCCCTTCTCATAGCAACACCATCTGCGTAACACAACAAACACAGCCCCCCTGTTAAGGGTTTGGCAATTCCAGGATTGTTCCCTTTCTCTTTCAGATCTTTGGGAGCGCCTGACCCCACGCGGCCCAGTTCACAGCCTGATTCTCTGCATGTTTTTTCAGAAGTAAGTCCCACTGAGGAAAACCCATCTTCAGCAGTACAACGCAGATTTTCCCAGGGAGAGCGCCAGCTCCAAAGAAACACACACTTGGACACAGGGCTTTAAAGCCCAGACCTCACCTTTCCATAGAAATACAGCCCAAAAGCAAGTCTGGATGAGCCCTGAGTGTGGATCCCTGAGACCACTCCGAATGTGAGCCTAGATCTGTTCAGATTAATGTTGCTTGTTCTGCTGTAATGAGGCAACTTCTGATGGGATCCAAATTTTTAAACAAGATTTGGGCACCCCAAAAATAGAGGCATCTCCCCACTTATGTCGGGGTTATGTTCTGGGCCCCTGCACACATAAGTGAAATTGTGTAAAGTGGGGCGCACCCTCTAACAAGCCTTTAAATGCCTGTTTTATCCTGCTCTCCAGCGCTCTCTCTCCACAACGCTCTCTTTAACTAGAGTTGACGTTTTGGGGCTGGCTGCAGAAAAGTGGCTGCTGCTGCTGCTGCGCTACCCTGCTCATCAGCTCCTAGGCGGGGAGGCTGAGGAGCCTAAACAAAGCCCCACTGTGCCTCTGGTCTCTTTGGGACTTCCTCTGCCCTCACTGACAGAGACTCTCCAGCTTGAGGCGTTCTCAAAGTAAAGGAAGGATTGAACTCTGATTAATAAGAATACACACAGAGGCTTGAACCAGCAAGACTCTGGGAAGGGTGCGTATAATAATCTCTCTCCCTCTACCCCTCAGCCCAGGTCGTTTTATTCACAAAAGAACTTTTTACAGGGTGTTCGTAAGAACCAATCAGATTTCTTCTGAGCATTTCAACAAACCCCACGTGGGGAAAATTAAACTACCAAAACTAATTAAGCACGCATATTTCTGGGGTAAACAAAATAGAACTACGAAAGGAGTGCCGTCTGGCAACCCAGGGAGGTGATAAACAAGCAATATACATGATAAGAATGAGGGCCAGGAGGACAGCGATCATTATCACCTTCAGGTGAGATCTGTTTCCTGGCCCTAAGATTAACATCCTAAGATTAACATACCAGAAAAGCTACATCAAAGAAACTGGCCACTGTCTTTGATGACCCAGGATGCCTGCCTGGTGAAGCAACTGGCAGTGTATGTGACTGGTCAAGAAAGAGAAATGGAACAGGGATGCAGAGGTGTGGATTGATCAAGAATCATATCAAAATAGTTTAAACCCAGTCAACGCAATGCTTTCATTGCTGACACAGATGGCTTACTCTATATTTGTTATATTTCCTCATAGCAATCCCCCCTGATCACTACCCCAGCTCTCTCCCACAAATTCCTGGTACGATTCTATTTATTTAATTATTTCCCGGCACCACAAATATATGCAGTCATGTGCAAGTAGAATGCACATAAGTGGGGTATGCTTGTACAAAAATAATGTCTCAGTGGTGGAGGATAAATTTGCATGACATGTTTAATCACAACATTCAGAAATTCTATGCAAATTCTGGGCTGTTAATTGGACAGCTGGAAGATATGCAGCTATCTTGAGGGAAAGAGGATGTGGGGCTGACCTTGCTAAATCTTTTTCAGATTCTCCAGGGGTGCCAGGAAGCCTTTCTCTCTCTGGGACTAAAGACAGACATGGCAGGTGGGGAGACCTCCAGGCGCTGGGAGGCCGAGAGGCAGGATGGCAAGAGGGCAGAGGCCAGGCTCATCCGCGGACTGCAGCATTTAGAAGAAGCCCGCCTCTCCTATTTGAATTCAATGATGAAGGAGCAGCGGAGACTCCAGCAGGAGCTCATGAGAATGCAGAAGAGTGAGGAGCTGTTTCCTCCTTCTTTCACCCAATGCAATGACAAATAAAGCCACTTTTTGAAAGCAGGGATTCTGCAGCTGGAATTAATTTGGTGCAGAATTTGACCCCTGTCCCCAAGATTACCCTTGGAAGGCCACAGATGCTCTGATCCTGATCCAGGATCCAGGAAGGGAAGAAGCAGGCTTCCATGTGTGTCAATGGGGTTGCATATTCTTCCACTGAATTGGCTGGGTGCATCTTTTGGATGTAGACTGGAGATGGCATCTCTGCCCATCTGAGACTGCCCATTCTATGCAAGTTGTTCCCCATGACTAGGGCTAGTTTAAGATTAGAACATCAATCAATATGGTCCTAATGACCTAATCAGACCCTAGTCTGGTTGCAGTTCAGTGCCAGAAAATGACCCCCATCCTCCTTGGTAAACAGCCTTTCCCCACCCTTCTTTGACTCAAATGTAGCCCAGTTGATGAAAGAATCTTCCTTTCAGGGTGAAAAGCAATTTGGGGAAGCCATTTTGAGTGGACAAACAGCATGACAGGATTAAGCCGTCCCATTCTGTTCCTTTGTTGAAATTGACAGCCTCCTCCCAGCTGTTCTTCAGGTAAAACAATCACAAATCATTCACACATCTCCTGTGTAGAGCAGGAGCAGCCAATGTGGGGCACCCCACATGTTTTGAGGTACAACCCCTGTTAACCCTATCCAGCAGCCCACAGAATCTGGATGGTACCATGTTGACAATGCTTGATCTAGATTGACTCCAAAGTCCCTGTTTGGGGACTTTTAATGCAGGGGGGATCCTGATAACCATCCTGCTCCTTTTCTCCCAAGGTCGCTCCAAGCAGAAGCTTTCAGTGGGCCCTGGACGCAGAAGCATAAAACTGGCTCTTCCACTCCTGTCCCCTCAGGCAGGACGGGATTACGGCAGATTCCAAGATGCGACACAGCGGTAAGGGTGTCTGTCAGGAGAACTTCACATCTGGGCTCCTAAAATGCCATGCATGTGTCTAAGGAATGGAAATCCAAGTTTTATTCTCATGTCATGAGCATTGCATCTGCCGCCCATTTTCCTCTTCTATTTCAGCTGCCTTGTTTTACCACAGAATTTCTCCCCATTTCATGGCATCATACTAGCCCTTCCTTTCCATATCTCTATCAAATGACTGTCTCCTGACAGACATGCTCCCTCTCAGCTTTGCTAGAGAGCAGCTTCAGTCTCCACCCAGTAAGCCATTGTGCAAAGGCGAGAGAGAGGTCAGTCAGCGGAATGGAAAGAGGAGGCATGTTTTTGGAGGGGTGCATCAGTCAAAAACGCTTATGAAGGGTGCAGAGTAGGACTGGAGAAGGGGGTGGCTTGAGTCCCAGCAGAGCGACCTGGAGGGCTGCATCTGGTCCCTGAGCCTGATATTTGCTATCCATGCACACTGAACAAACTACAGTTCCCAGGATTCCCATGGGTTGCCATTTTCTGGTTTGCCTCAGGCAGGAAAATGTATTGGGCTGGCTCTGGTTCTCCTCCTCTCCTCCCATGTGTACCCCTTGAATCTGTTCTAAATCTCTGGAACATATTTGGTAACAGTGCAGGATATGTGCAGAGTGGGGAAAGTCCTGTTGTGCCAGCAATAATCCTTGTGTGAGCACAATTAGTTAACTGACTACCACCTGAACTGTCTCTGACTGTGGAGACAGAACAAAGCCTTCAAAACATCGACTGGAAGTTTAAATGGAGGATGGAGGCAGAGTCACTGCGTAAGCTTTGCCTCATGCAAAGTAGTAGCAGCCCACTCCCTACTCCACATTGTCACAGCAAACACTGAACAAGAAGCAGCAGCCAAATCTTGGCACTCTCGTGAGGGTACTTGCCTGATAACATGTTCGCAAACACATTCACTCTTTCCACTTCAAAAAAGATACGAGGAAACGCTCCAATTTAGGGTTAGACCCTGCCAATTAGAGGCTGCACTTTGCCCTCAGAAGCACATGGACTTCCAGACCACTGAGGTGGTTGCAGTTTCTTTATCCTCTGTGCAGTGGGGAACTGAAACCACCCTGCTTAGGCCAGGGCTGTGTGACTCTCCCTCTTTTCTTCTAGATCCAAGAGGAAAACACTGGCCAAGGCAGGAGGCTTTCCGGGGACAAGCCAGCCTTCCTTGTATCTACGGAAGCCTGATGGTGATGTCGCAAGAAATGAAGAGGGCAGAAAAGGGCACTTGCCCCCCTTGAATGTCACAGACCCAAACACCACTGCTGACAGGGACATAGCCACCCTACAGGACTCCATCGCCAAGCAGCTGTGCATCTCCTCAGAGGCTGGGGAGGGAGAGGAAGCAGATGGAACCGAGGGCCAAGGGGAAGGGCCTGCAGAGAAAGACAGCAGAGCTGCTGCTGGAGCCAAGGGCACAGAGCTCGTGACTCTCCCAGGGCAGCGAAGGCCTTCCCTTGGGCCTGAGAGGCTGATCATGGATCCAGAGGCCTATGCAGCAGATGGACGCCTCAGGACCATGTATGCCAGGCCAGATTTCCTAAAGTCTTATGCGGAAGCTAGGAAAGCCCGCTACATTCGCCACAAGAACGCTCCTGCCTGGGAAAAGGAACTGAGTCTCCAGGAGATATTTGGACACAAAAAGACCATGCAGCGTTCACCACAGGGGCAGGCTATGATGAAACCATAGCCCTGAGTGCACGGGGAAAGGATGCCATGACCCTCCAAAATCATGGTACTGAAGATCACCATCAGCTCAAAGCAGGCTTGCACACCCTGAAATAGCACACCAAGCCAGTTGTTCCCAGGACTCTTCCATATGAAACCGTGGGCTTTGGACTTGGGTAGGGTGTCCTCAGCATGCTGATGGCACTTAACTCTGTTTTTCTGCAACATATGAATCAGCTGCGCAAGTTCTTGGTCAGTTTGGTTGGGTGAAGGTGGAAAGTTTCTTGAAACTGCATTCTGATCTGTTTTGTAGGTTCATGTGCTCAGGAGGAGCCCAGCACCTTCTTTATACACCTTTAGGCGCAAGGCGAAAACATTCCTCTTCAAGCTGGCCTTTGGCTTACAACATCCTATATCCTCTTAAATATGTTTCTGGCGGTGGGGAAGGGGCTTTGTTTTGTTTTGCTCTTTTTTATTGTGTATTTTGTGTTTTTATCTTGCATTTTTATGCTGCGAATCCCCTGAGAACTACAGATGGAGGGCAGGTTTGTAGTCTGGGAGTGTTGGAGGCCCACACGCCTGCAGTGGCTCGTTCTTTCCAGGACTGGGACAACTTGGCCACAGAGGTGCATGCCTTGGTAACTTCCAAGACTAGACTACTGCCATGGCACTCTAGGTTGGGCTGCCCTTAAGGCCAGTTCAGAAGCTGCAGCTAGTGCAAAGTACAGCAGGTAATTGCTTTGCAGGGTGTGACCCATCGTCAACATGTCACTACTGTGGAAGGAACTGCACTGGATGCCTATATGCTACTGGACCAGGCTCAAGGTTTTACTTTCAGATTTTACTGAAGCTTTTTCATAATACAGTAAGATGAAAGAGTCCTGTATCAGGAAGTTTTTAATGTTTAATATTTTATTATGTTTTATATATGCTGTAAGCCACCCAGAGTGGCTAGGGGAACCTAGTCAGATGGGCAGAGTATAAATAATAAAAATACTATTATTATTATTATTATTATTATTATTATTATTCTAATTATTCTAAACAAAACAAAGAGAGAGAAAGAAAACAGAGAAAGAGAAAAGAAAATGCAGAGTGTCCCTCAAAGGTAGCTCTTAACCCTACAGCTTTCCTTTTTTCTCCCAGCTTCCCACCCTGGGAGATCTTCCCCTCCCTGCGTCCTTCACTCAGTGTCCATCACCTTCATGTGTGTGTCATCCTTGCAGCCCAATGACGACCCGGAGCAGAGGACACCCAAAGGAAAAGGGGGGGAGGGAAACGGGAAATTAAAGGGGGGGAGAAATAAAAATAAAAAGGACTTCTGATTTTCCATTTGTCAGTTACAGGCAGCAACCATTTTGCATGTGGGTTCTGCCCTCTTCCGGGTCCAAAAGGACCCGCACAACAGCAGTTGTGTTTCAAGTGGAAACACACAAAATGATTGCTGCCTTTACATAAAAGAAATTACTCAAACATTCACTCTAGGATGACATCCAACTATTCTACTTCCTGTTAAGCAATATTTTCACAATCATCAGACCCAAATGTCTCAAATTTGTTCATTTTCTTTTCACACTCAAAATCCAAAAGGGGTTCTCTAATTATTATTATTATTAATAAATGTCAGCAATGGTTTTTCTCTAATCAAACATATCAATTTTACCTCAAATAACTTCAAAAATCATTCCTCTATATTGAATGCAAGTGGAGAAAAGATCCAAATGAATGCAACCGAACACTGGTAAGGGCTCATTATGGAGCCTCCCTAGTGGCAGTGAAGACAGCAAAAAAGGCCTACTTTGCTGCCTCCATGGCATCCTCATCATGTCGTCCGGCAGAACTTTTTCAGACTGGACGGGGCCTTTTACAGGCTGGCCCAGAGGAGGTGGCGGAACCAACAGTAGCTGATGTGACTTGTTTGCAAAACATTTTGAGGATAAAATTGCCTGCATCCACCAAGACCTTGACTCTGCTGTTATAGCGGATGAATCTCGTGGGGCGTCCAGAGCAGTCTATTCCTGTTGTGTTTCTGCAAGGTGGCTGCATCAGGTGCACTCAGATCATGTCCTGGGATCACAAGGGCAGTTGCACAGCTGCAACGGGGGGGGGGGGGGATACTTCACCCATGGGAAATCAAACTATTGAGTGAACCCCTTCATGCCAGGTGATGCTACTGATAGTACTGATAGAAGGGAAATGCCCAATGTTCATCTAAAGCATTTAAAACAGCTTCCCACTGATGTTTGAATGGCAGAGTAGTACTGTCTGCGTAGGACAGCATTTCTGTTTTCCTACTCCCATGCATCCATCTTTCACTCTGCTTAAAATACAAACTACTTCGAGTTCTTGGAAAGAAGCTACGGTGGGAGGGGATGTTGACCAATCTTAGGGCTCATCCAGACTTCCGCTTGTCCTGCCACTTTCCCCAGGGAAAGCCCACTCTTTAGCGCTGAGTCCTAGCAAAGGTGAACTGGATTTTCCAGACTGGCATCCAAGATGGGTCACAAGAGGAGCACTTCCACCATGCAAACACATGGAAAGGGTTAAGAAAGGGGTCCCCAAATGCATGTTTGGGTCAAAAGTGGAGCCAGGGCACAAACCAGCTCTACTTTGCTCTTTAGTAGGCAATGCCACACAACCTAATGGCAGGACTACCCCTCCCCCCCCCGGATGCCCACTTCTGAAACAAGGACACAGCGACCCTTCATTTCATTTATTATTTGAGAAACATCCTGCTCTGAGGAGTACAAAGGCTTCAGGAAACGGGGAAAAGACAAATGCTGCAGTGATGTAAAGACACGGCAACTAAAAGGAGAGCAAAGGCATTATAAAAACCACGCTGGGGTGGGCAGGGACTGAACTGTAAGACTTTTTGGTCTCTTTCAGCATTTCAGCTTCATGACAGCCAAAAGATACATCTCTAGAGAGGTTTGCATTGCAAAAGGCAAAAGCCAGGGTGGGGTGGGGGTGAGGAGCCGAGGTTCTTAACTGTCCCAAGTGGAAGAAACTCATTGCCATGAGGAATGGTGGCTAAAGACTGGTCTGGCTTTGCTATTTTTTATGCTGTGGGCTGTTGCACCTTGCAAGAAGTTGCTTCTCTAGTTCCAGGAGCTTCTCGTAAAGCTTCTCTGCGGTATCTTCACTGAGATCCATCTGAAAGACACAGCTGTGATCAGGACAGATTCCATAGAACCAGCAGTGTTTTCTTTCCTTTACCACAAGCCCCCCCACCCCCCACCCCCAGAGGAGACCCCAGAGCCATCCCTCCCTTCCACCAGCTAAAGGAACCTAGAAGCTGTACACCACAGTTGCTGGCTCTGACCCAACTGCAGAGCTGCGTAGTAGGCGGGCCCAGCTGCTTTCTTGGGGACAGGAAGGTGGCAGGCGGCTGGCACTTCTCACTGCAAAGCCCCTGGGTTGCAAAGTGGCAGGAGCCATAAAACACTCTGCGCATCCATAGTCAGCCTTTGCAAGTGGGGAGTGTTGATGCAACCACAGCCGGCTTGTGGCCATGCAGTGGGAGACAACGCTGGCTTGGATGGGCCTTTGATCTAGTCCAGCAAGACACATCTTTTGCAGGTAAGTAACATTTAAAAATAAATGTAAGTTTTAGCCCTTCCTATCTCCAAAGCTCCAGGTGAGTAACATTCATTTCTATGAGGCTTTCTGCAGTGGAACTTTCTGCTGCCTCTTAATGGAACTCAAAAGTAGGTCCTCCATAATTTCCCGTGGCATAGCGTGCACCAAAAGCATGAAAGCAATACAGTGATACCTTGGGTTAAGTACTTACAGTATTTTTCGCTCTATAGGACACACTTTTTCCCCTCCAAAAATGAAGGGGAAATGTGTGTGCGTCCTATGGAGCGAATGCAGGCTTTCGCTGAAGCCTGGAGACCGAGTGGGGGCGGTGCGCACCGACCCCTCTCGCTCTCCAGGCTTCAGGAAGCTATCCACAAGCCTTCGAAGCCCGGTGGGAGTTCCCGCTGGGCTCCCAAGGCTTGCGGATAGCAGCCTGCAGCCCGAAGCCAAAACAGCGAGACGGGGCGCTGTGCAGCCCTCCGTCTCGCTGTTCTAGCTTCGGGATGGCTGAGCAAAGCCTCCGCAGGGCAGCGGGGTGCCTTCACCCCGCTGCCCTGTGGAGGCTACAAAGGATGTCCCCGAAGCCTCAAGCCTTTGGAGTGCAGCTGCGCTCCAAAGGCTTCAGGGATCTTTGAGGCTGGTGGTGGGGGAAAGCAGCGCTTCCCCCCACTGCCAGCCCCACAAGCTCGGGGGGCAGCGGCAAGGCTGCGCGCAGCCTTTGCGCTGTTCCCCGACCTGCTCTTGAACGCACCTTGAATGCACCTTGTTTTAGAGGGGGAGAACAAGAAAAAAAAATTTTCCCTGTTCTCCCCCTCCTATGGTCCGGTGCGTCCTATGGTCCGGTGCATCCTATAGAGCGAAAAATACGGTAATTTGTTCCAGAGGTCTGTTCTTAACCTGATACTGTTCTTAACCTGAGGTACCACTTTAGCTAATGGGGCCTTCTGCTGCCGCCGCGCCGCCGGAACACAATTTCTGTTCTCATCCTGAAGCAAAGTTCTTAACCTGAAGCTCTATTTCTGGCTTAGCGGAGTCTGTAACCTGAAGCGTATGTAACCTGAAGCATATGTAACCTGAGGTACCACTGTACTCGTGACAACACAATGCACACGAAGGGGTCTACTTACCTTGCGGATCTCAACGTAGTTCTTCCCAAAGAATGTGGTGCAGCTGTGAAATTTCACCAGGGGGTCCAGCGACTCGGGCTTCTGCTTGAAGAGCCAAACCTAGAAAGGGGATGCAAACAACTGAGAAGTTCTTTCCTTGCAAGTGCGTTTGACTCAAGACAACCGCTGCCAGTGCTGAAAACCTCTGTGGGGCTGGATTTGGATCTAAAGGGGCTCAAACGAGATAACCCCATAATGTAAGCTGCCAGGGAGCCAACAGGCACTCTCCCAATGCTCCTCTCTGGACTCGGTGCAGAAGGTAGAATTAGAACCACTGTAATACAGCGCCCCCAATTCCCAGTCCAGGCGGATACCATAGTCAATGGCATCAAATGTCAACAAGAGATCAAGAAGGTAGAACAATGACGCACTCCCCCCCCTCCCAGCAGCCCCACTCTCTGCAGAGGTCGTCCATCAGGGTGATCAAGGCCAACTCAGTTCCATGGCTAGGCCTGAACACAGATTCAAATGGATCTAAATAATCTGCGTCCACCACCTTCCCCCCAAAGGAGGTACTGGCAGCTGGCTGAAAGCTGTTCCAATCTGAAGGGTACAGAGTGATCATGGCAACTGCCTGTTTCATCTTGCTGTTCCATTGTCAGATAAGGACTCCACCAGCTTTCTCCTCTGGAAAATTCCCCAGAGCATTCAGGAACACATCAAGTTCCCTCAGTCTGCAAGGGTGAGCCATCTGAATGTGCCCACCACTAGTCGTCAGTCCAAACTGAGGCAGATAATGATCTGACCATGACAAGGGAGGGCGTGGCATTGCCCCATCCTCATTCCGCCCCTCATATCACTTGGGGCAAAGACTACATCAAGACTTTGCTCTGCCCGGTGTGTTGGAACCATGACCAACCGAGAAAGACCCATGGTAGTCACGAAGTCTTGAGCCAGCAGCCTCTGTGTGGATACTAAGTCCCCTAGGGCCTGTTGTTATATAGTGAGACAGGCCCTGGACCACTCCCCCCACCCCCACCCCCACCCAAGCGGCATTCACTCAGCCAGCCATCAAGCAACATCCCACACTATGATCGGCACAAACACACTCCCACCTGCAGGCAGGTATCAATCAGATCAAACAAACGGATGCAGCAAACGCACATGCACACACACAGTTGCTGGCTGGGAGTGCAGACCAGAGTTGGCCCTACTCACATCACAGGGTGGGTGAGGGTGGGAGCAGCCAGCAGGTTCCCCAGAAGAGGAAAGAAAGTAGCTGTGAACCTCTTGGCACACCGGCTAGTGCAAGGCAAACGCTATGGATCAGGCAGGCACAACGTACAACAGGTCAGTGCCAAAGCATCTTACCAGGGCTTCTGCTCCATTGTACGGCGTCAGTGTGTATGTGTTGGTAAAAAGGCGGAACTGGAGTTGCAGGGAGAGAAAAGCAAGAAGTCAGTTCTCTCTTCTTTCTACTCCATGGCACTGAAGCTGGGGAAGCAGCTCCAGGAGGGCAAGGAAAGCACCACCATCCTCAGCCCCAAAATAGCAGCCCTATCCCTCTCTCATCCCACTAGAACTTGTAGACACCCAGCAAAGCCGAATGTTGCAAGTTTCAGGGCAGACCCAGCGCCAGATAAAGGAAGGGGGCTGCTCCCACCAGAGGCAGTGATGGCTACCAATTTGGATGGCTTTAAAAGGGGAGACCAGTTCCTGGAGGAGAAGCCACAATGGCCATGTTCTGCTTCCACTGTCAGAGGAAGGATGCTTCTGAATGCTAGTTGCTGTCCATCACAAGTGGGAGAGGGCTCTGGAGCTCAGGTCCCACTATGGGGCTCCCGTGGGCAATTGGTGGGCTACTCTGAGAACAGGGTGCTGGAGTAGAGGAGCCACTGGCCTGACCTGAGGGGCTCTTCTTATGGTCCTTCCCCAAATAAGAAATAGTCAAAAGGGGCTTCCTCTATAGTGAAATACAGTGGTACCTCGGGTTAAGTACTTAATCCGTTCCGGAGGTCCGTTCTTAACCTGAAACTGTTCTTAACCTGAAGCCCCGCTCTAGCTAATGGGGCCTCCTGCTGCCGCCGCGCCGCCGGAGAACGATTTCTGTTCTCATCCTGAAGCAAAGTTCTTAACCCGAGGTACTATTTCTGGGTTAGCGGAGTCTGTAACCTGAAGCGTATGTAACCTGAAGCGTATGAGGTACCACTGTATGCTGTAAAGTCTGATCGCGCCATATGCTTGTATTTGTTCCACTGACCACTTCAGCTTTTCTCTCTGCTTACAAGGGAATCTGAATCAGCCTCTGGTTCCTAGAACTTAAGGGTTTGCTGCAGTTTCTGAAGACCATCACACTCACCAGCCACAGAATGGGGAAAAATAACTTCCACACGAAAGGAGGCAAAATCTCAAACGTCATGTTGGTCATCACAACACCTGGACACACAACACTAGAATACAGGCCCTGTTGAGAGAACAAGAGAGAGAGAAAGAGATGGCTCCATGGGGCCACACTGTGACACACACAACTGCCGGCAGACACCCACGCTCACACCACGTAGACAGGGCTTGTGCCAAGTTTGTAACAGAAAGAGGGGCAAGCTTTTAAAATATTCCCTCCTGGTTTTGTTAGCTTACTATTCTGCCCTTTCTACATGTAAATGGCATAAACTAGCACAATAATTACCATATTTTTCGCCCTATAGGGCGCACCTAGTTTTTTAGGGGGGAAATAAATAAATAAAAATATATTCCCCCCCCCCAGCCACGGGGCTGGGGCGGGGGAAGCCCGAGCTTCTCCCGACCCTATCCCCCAGAACAGGCTACTATCCGCAAACCTTGGGAGCCCGGCGGGAACTCCCGCCAGGCTCGCAAGGCTTGCGGATAGCTTCCTGAAGCCTGGAAAGCGAGAGGGGTCGGTGCGCACCGACCCCTCTCGCTCTCCAGGCTTCAGCGAAAGCCTGCATTCGCCCCATAGGATGCACACACATTTCCCCTTTATTTTTGGAGGGGAAAATTGCGTCCTATAGGGCGAAAAATACGGTAAGCAGCGGTTCAGAAAAGTCGCAACACAATGGGAGGAACTGAGAGTCACACGACATCAAGTGTTCCACCACCACAAGCGTTTCCGCTTGCCAGACGGAGCGGCCCCCTCACTCTTCTCACCACATTCTGGGGGTCCCCCCAACCCACACACCTCAGAGCCAATTTGGGAGGCATGAGGTGTGTAGAGGGGGACCCCATTGCAGATGTGTAAGTCCTTGCACAGCCTTCCACTGATGGGACTCACACCCGCTTATCTTGGCACACTTCGCCAACTTTCCTGAAAAGAATGCCACCTTCTTTTGCTTTCGGTCGGAAGGGCCATGGACACAGATGGGACAAGCAGCCTTTTGGAAGGACTAGGATAGGGTGCTCTCACCTGCTTGTTGAACCGGTTGTTCAGAGCCACACTTGTAAGGTCAGTAGCATATTTAGAAGAGCTGTAGGCCTCCTTGCCTTGCCTGTGCTGAAAGTCCTCAAGGCTGAAGTTAGATTTGCAGGCATTGACTGAAGAGGTCCAGACAAGTTTGCTGGGCTTTTCAATGCAGCAGAGCAGAGGCTCCAGGTTCCGGATCTGCAAAAATGAAGAAACCAGACTTTAGCAAGGCTCCAGGTTCCTTCCTCAAGAGGCATACAATCTAGAAGAGAGGTTCCCAAACTGTGCTCCACAGACCACTAGTGGCCCACCAGGGTCTTTCAGGTGGTCCACAGTATGTGGATTTGTGTTTGGAGACAGGACATCCATCGCATTAAATATTTATATTGATTTTTAACTGTTTTAATTGCTTCTTTTATTTCTTATATTGTATTTAAATTTTGGATTTGAAGAAATTTAAATTGTAATACTGTACAATGTGAAATAAAAGCAGCAATAAAAATACGGTTAAAATAATTTAAAATATTTAATATATTTAATATCAGAATTCAAACTGTAATATAATATATAAAAAACAAAAGGAGCAATAAAAATATAATTAAAAATCATACAGCACCTAGCATAGTGCACTACAATTACTACAAAGGGCAAAAAATCATTGTCCACTAAGCCCCTCTGCATGGAGGGAAATGTTTGGTAACCCCCGATACAGATCCTTCCTCACAAGTTCTACTTGCAAGAAGTATGTTCTGCATTTTCATCTGTGAAAGAAAAAAAGATTATAAATCAGAATGAGTCTAGCACAGACTCAATAGCTATCCCCCTCCTATTGGCATTTTAATTTTTTTTAATCGATATTATTTTCAGAATACAGTGTTACCTCCGGTTACGAACTTAATTCGTTCCGGAGGTCCGGTCTTAAGCTGAAACTGTTCTTAACATGAGGCACGCTTTTGCTAATGGGGCCTCCCGCTGCCGCCACGCGACTTCTGCTTGCAACTAGGGACATCTACTTCCGGGTTAGCGGAGCTCGTTACCCGAAGCATTCTCAAGGAGGACGGTACGTAACCCGAGGTTCCACTGTATACATTCTAAAACAAAGCTGACCCATACTCAACAGAACCAACAGGATTTCCCCAAAGATCCCTAAAATACTTTACAAATGTATTTACTTTCCTGTCCATACAACATGACTTATAACGGTATACACTGGAAAAACATATTCTTCTTAAGTGAGCCACAAGTCAGCATAAACCTTTGGAACGGGTCTTTGGTTTCTGATTTCACAGCACTGGCATGAAATTGTGACACAGCACTTTGCATCTTCACTCGCCCGGCAGCGTCGCCACTGTCCTTGGACAAGAGGTTTTGCACTTCTTGACAGTTAAGGTTCCACCTGCTTTGCAAGTAAAACCTACACCATCACGATTGTGTTGCCCCAACTGACCCCTGCCTCTCCTGCCACCAGGCACACATTACAATTATGCACTGCAATAGGAGCCCACAGACATAGAATCTGACACAGGTAGGACCAGTTAGTGTGCTCACTACCCTGCTGATTGCAAGATGCCACAAACTTTGATTATCCATTCTGCAAAAGTAAAGAGGAGTCAAATACATTAGCTCCATGCAGTGGACACTAAAGGAAATGACAGGATAAAATTATGGAGATAAAGCTATTATACTGGCACTCTATTGTTAATATTTTTTTGCCCTGTGTGGCCAAATTGCAGCTTACAAGATTGCCTCTAAACATTGTTTGCTGGAAGTTCACTGAAAGGACCGGCAGTGAGTTCAGTCCTGAAGTCAATGAGGCAGAAATTTTGGTCAGCTTTTCTGTCAGCTACCACCCATTGTGAAATTGGCAGATCACATCCAGAAAGTCAAACCAGAGGCTGCTGGTGCAGAATTAAGCCCTCATGCTAAAAAAGCAACCACACCAAAACAAATCTACTGAGACTTCTTCAGTTTTTGAGAATTAGCACACTCAATTTAATATTCTGAGACCAGCAACAGCCACCAAAGATGAGAGCTAGAGATATTACACTACAGTGACTGACAAAGGACTGGCAAACTTACCTATGCAAATAGGCATCCTTATTCTTATCTGTGGAAGGCTCAGCGGATATACCAATGTATTAACTAAAGAGGTGAGAGCTTGTTCACAACCATCTTTAAGTCTGGAATGTAGGGCAACGTTCCACAATACATAGATCACCTAGAATAATGTCTTGCAACACAGGTACAAACACCCAGATAACATCTGCACAACACCAGGATGTGTGACACAAACTAGGTAAAAGCTTCCCTACCAGAACAAAATGTCCGAAGAGATTTGTTTCAAAGACCTCCTGAAGGTTGTCTGCAGTGACCCTGTCCTCTTGGCTCATCAGCCCCTCTGCTGTAGTCAGCATCTGGTATGCCCTCCTGAAAACAGGGGAAGAGGTTAGAGCATAGAAGAGAGGACTGCTGCCCTTAAGAGAAACCGCCAACCAATATTATGGTCCTTGCAACTAAATGTGAGTGTGGGTGGAGATGGCTTATGCCAGCAAAAAGGAAGCAATCTTTGGGAAATGAGAGAAACTGTAGCTGGTTTTTATTTGGAACGTTGTTAAACTGTGATCCAAAGACTACCACTAATCCCAGTCCCCATGATTACAATGAAAGGAACAGAAGAACAAGCAAAATAAATATAAGAGCCAGAATGTTATTGGATGTTTTAATTTCATGCTGAAGAGGCGGTTGGTTTTTTAAATGCTAAGTCTTTATGTTAGTTGCCCGGTTGGCCACTGGTGGAAACAGGATGTTGGATGAGATGAACTCTTGGCCGGATCCAGCTGTGCCCTTGTGTTCTTTTCAGCACTGCAAGCAGTTGCAGGAAATTTCTATGAACCCCCTAGCTGTGTGCACAGCTTTCCTCTGGATCACATCCACAAAGGACAAATATCATAGTTGTGTTTGAATTTGAGAGATTCTTCAAGCAGCCTCCCAGGTTGCGGCTGTTAAGAAGCAAACCAAAATGGCAGCCTGCAGTTCAGCCAAGAGCTGCTACTCTAGAACAAAGATTTCAGAAACAGTGGCCACATTCACATGGATTGTTGAACAAGCTATGATGAGTCTCAGAGGAAAGAAATCACAGCTTGGCTTGCTCAATTTTGTGTATTTCTCCCTCCTGTCTGTTATCCTAAAACCATCACATTGCTCCTGTAACTGGCATTGCTTCCCCATCACCAGCTTCCTTACAATTGGACAGTTGCGCAATCAAAGTGAGAAATTTTCACAGATTTTCAACTGCTCTCCACATGCCCCAAGCCAAACCAGCTGCCCAGCACAGACACACACCACGCTGCCTTAAGATCAGAAATTCAGAATCCATTAAGTGACAGGGGAGACTTTTGCCCTGCAGGTCTCCTGACAACATCCCCATTAGTTTGGTTTTTTTAAAAGTATTTTGCTGGCTGAAGTGATATAATTTGTGGGTAAGTGTAATGATCAGGATAGCCAACTTTAAAAAGTTGTTGTGTTTTCAACACAACAGTCCTGTATAGACAGCAAAGTAGCAAAGCAGGTCAAAACCTCTTTCAATTTTATTTCCATTGGCATCACAACCTGAGGCGAGAGACCTACTTCTGGAAAAGTAACACCAAGAGCTGCTTAGCCTGGGGAGTAGGTTTGTTCTCCCACGGGTCTTGCCTCACACCTGTCTGTGACAGGACACCCAAACAAAGGTTACAAAACCAGGATGCTGGCTCAGGCATCATGAAAAACCAAAAAAGCCAAGAATGAGCCGTGGTTTCAAATCATGATTTGCTGTCTGGAAATAAACCATGGTTAGTGTGGGGTGGAATCAGACACTTAAAAAACAACAACCCACAGTTGGGCTAAATGAACCATGGCTTTGTGTTATGTGTGAACAAAGCCTATGAGGTGCCTGATACTTCAGGATTCTTGTGGTAGAAAGCCAGGTGTGTGTCTGGAAATAATTAGCAATGGGTCAGAGGAAAAGTGGAGTTGTCCACTTCTATAACAGGAACAAAGCTAGCAGAAAGTATATTGCAGTTGGCAGGAAACCTAAAACAGAAGGCAGATTTGATGTTATTTTTGATTGGCAGAATGCACAGCAGTGTGAGGTAGCAGGGATCCATCCTGTTGCCAGAGAGAGCCAACGGCTACAGCTACCTTAGATAAGTAACAATACCTGGTTGTTGATTCCTCAGCAGTATAACCTACCTTGGAGGCTCCTCATCAGAACACACAAGATGAAGATAGCAAACAACTTTATGCAAATAAGGACTGCTACATAAAACCAAGACAGAAATGTAGTTCCCGTGTCACAAAGGAAGTAGCACATACTGGGCAAAAGAGGCCTTTGCTTCATTTTGTTCCACTTGAGGATGTTCCATCACTGAAGCTAGACAGGTTTGGGGCTGGTCAGTATTTGGATGGGAGACTGCATGGGAAACCCATGTGTCTTGCTTTGAACTCCTTAGAGGAAGAGCAGGATACAAGTGTAAATAGAACAGGCAGTTGTTAGGTTACAGGTTAGATATTTTAAGCCGTTTCAGGATTCTTCTCTGGGAACACTAGCTCAATGCATTTCAGTGGTCTAACAAGGAGATCACACTCGGTTTGACAAAATGCAGATTACAGAAAATACACGTCAATGCTGTTCTCACAGTTCGAATTTGTGTGCGTCTTCCCCACTTCTAAAAAGGATGAACTCAAAAATTGGGAAAAAAGAAAAAGGAATGAGTGCAGGCACAGAAAGGAAAACAGGTAAATATTAAGACATTGCAGCTTGGATAACTGAGAAAGCACACAGGATAACTTGCCGCCCAGAGCTCCTGAGCCTTTGACAGTTGTGTATAAGGAGGAATTTTGGCAGATGCAGCTTATCGTGTCAAAGGGGTGAACAAGGGGCTGCATCTGCTGAAATGCCTTCTATTCAGTAATTAAAGAGAGACTGGAACCTTCCCTTCCCTTGCATCTAAGGGCACAATCTGTGGCTCACAAGAACTTGATAGAATCCAGAAATTAGGAAACAAACAAGAAACTCTCTAGTTTACATGGTTCAGAGATGCATTTGAAAATGTGGGGGGTCTCAGTCAAGGCGTCAAGTACCAATGCCCAAACAAAAGTATTCCCAACTCTCATATGTTTAGCTTCATACATCAAGACATTTCTCAAGGTCCAGCCCGTGTTTTTGATGCAAACGTTTTAATTTTTATTCTCACAGTCCTTTTTTGGACTTACCCTTCTAGTAAGCTCACAGACTAAAAAGATGGAAGCTGGGAAAAGAACACGATAGAAAAGAGCAGAAACACAATGGGGGAAAAGAACGAGGAGGTAAAGGTTGAAAGCAGGTAAGTCTCAGCCACTATTTCAATATATAATTCTATTTCAAAATAAAGTCAAATGAAAGTGCCTGTCTCTTGGGAGACAGGGCCATCCAAAGGACAGAACAAGGAACAGTGTGAGGCAACAGAGATGAAGAGACAGAAGCAGCACTCTTAGGTTTGGCAGACAAGATGAGGCCAACAGAATGGTGAGGATTTGGAAGGACAAAGGTCAAAGAACAAGAGACGAGAGATGAAGGCAAGATCTTGAAAGCAAGCAGCAAGAGTTTACGGCAAATGGGACACGGAAAAGGGAGACAGCGAAAAGGAGAGAGGAAATAGGATCCTCAACTTATTCCAGATACAGATATTGTAACAGGACTGCTAGACAGTCTTCCTGTGTTTCCAACTACACTGACAAGGGCAAGTGAACTGCAAACGTCACACATGTTCCAGGGTAGGTTTGTTGCTGTCTTACTGGCCTAGCCACCTGTTCAACATAAAAGCACTGTTCCTGTCACACAGAGGTAGGTAAGTATGAGTGTGTGTAGCTGGATTCAGTCAATTTGTTTCATGGGGGGGGGGGGGGAAGACTAACAAATATGAGCATTACTACTTAGTGCAGTCCCATAGATATTAATGGGACATAAGTCAGTCAGGTAACTAAAGTTTCATTGAGTTCCATGGGCTGAATTCTGCTAAGCAGGTGCACTACAGGAGACACACAATGAATCTCACTAGTCCTCTGCCAAAAAGAGAAGGTTCTTTTTTTGGGGGGGGGGACTGGAGAACCCCCAGGAAATGCTTACACTGGCAGGACCACTGGAAGGGCACAATGCTGAATTCCTCCCTGTGAGTCTACTCAAAGTATGACAGGACTCAGGATCCAACCCATATATTTTGCATTTAGGCAGATAGCGAGCTGAGCTGCTTCCCAACTCGAGTCCCCGTCCCTCTGCAGGCTCCTCTATGCATGTTTAAGGGGGCTCAGGCAGACTGACACCAATTGTGTCTTAATGGTGTCATTCCCCCTCCTTCTTCACATTACTTCTCTCTCTCTCTCTCTCTCTCTCTCTCCCCCTGAACAGAATATAAAACTTCACACATCTGACAAAGTGGATGCAAATCCTTAAAAGAGAGATTGTTAGACTTTACACGTCACAAGAGTCTGTTGTTTTTGCAGCAGCAGGCTGACAAGGCAACCCTTCTGAACACACACACACACACATAAGCGAACATAAATACCAGTGTGAACTCACTGTGCAATTTTATTATTAATTATTAATTTACACACCATTTATATGCCAAAATGGCTTCCGATACACTTGGCTTCTAATATGTTTCACATTAGGAACATTGGAAGTGGAGGCCTTGAGGTGGAGAGTGGGGGATCACCACCTTGAGAGGTAGAATCAGAAAGAATTGGGCTTTGTTTGGTTTTATTCCTTGTTTACTCCTCAGTGCTGTCACATAATCAAATGTACCTCTGCAACGGTGAAGGGTAACAAGCAACTAAACAAACAAATACATTCTGAGGAAGCTTCACTTTTTCTAACCTCTAATAAAAGCCTACTAATTTTCTTCCTGTATTATACGCAGGAAAGGAATTGCAGTGCTAAGAGGGTAGCCTTGAGTCAGATTTTGCTCACTGACAAATTGCAGCATTCTGTCTCAGAAGAGAAATGTTCACATTCCATAACTTTAGGTTTGTAACATGTGGGGTGGAGGCCGGATAAAGAGTGAGGTCAAGGCTTTGTTTCCCTGGACAACCCTGCCTAAGTAACTCCGTGTCCTCCCCTCCTATCCACAAAGCCAGGCAGAAAATGAAGACGAGCGACGGAACAGTTAGATATCTAACATACCTGGAGAAGATGCCACGTATAAATGCCCATAAACTGATACGTGGATTTACCATGATCCCAGCATTCAAAAAGAGATAATCCAAACGATGAAATCTACACCAAAACAAAAAAAGGTGGTTATTGAAAGGATGGGAAAGGAGCATTAAATAGCAATTAAGCAGAACTGGAGCACCCCAGAATTTAAAATATATTTATTTTTTAATAGGATTCATACACCAATCATACCAAACCTCTAAGTAGTTTATATAAAAGTTAGTAATTTCTCCCCCTAATGTCTGGTCCAACACCAAATCTTTCTGGGGAAGCACACTAGGGGTGAATTCTCATAATCAAGAGGTCAAGCTTGCCCTAAACTGTTTTAGGCTGCAGGCTGGAATGCTCTTCCATTTGGGGGAGGAGGAGCAGAAACCTCCCTACATACAGAAAGCTAGTATGCCAGGGGATTATGATGAAACATTTCCCCTGAGATACTTACTTTCTACCAGCAAGGAGTTTCTTCATAGAGTACAGTAGAACATTTCAGCATATAATTTCATCCCATCTATAGCTTAATGAAGACTTGATTCTGCCAGTTGTGCAAACCATCTCTCTTGGCCATCACACATCACACAATCACATCTCAGAACAGGTCTGATTCAGGTAAGAAAAGCAAGTCCTGGAAAGGTGATGAGTTAAGGAAGCAGCTCCCTGGAGAACAGCCACAGCACAGGCAGCCTAACCAAACCATTCCCGCTCCCCCCACATACCTTGCCTTGATCTCTTCCGCTGCGCGTAAGACAGAGGCCATCTTGCTAACATCTATTTGAACTATGCTGACATCTGCACTGGGGAAGCAGGACAACAGGTGGTTCCGGGTGGCGTTTGCCTTCTCCAGGTTCCTGCAGGCCAAACACACGTGGAGGCTGGCATCTTCCTGGAGGAGACGCTCACACAGCGCAGATCCAATTCCACTGCAACAGTAAGAGCACAGGATCAGGGCCAGCCACAGAGCGTCCAGCATCACAACTCCATACAATTGAATGCTTCTCCCGGTCTCAGGGAGCCCTTCCTTTGACGACCAAAAGAGCAACACCTCCCAGATAGGTTAAGTGCAACATGCCCAGCCTGCCATGTGGCCTAATATGATGCTACTTTCCGAGATCCAAACTGAAAACACTCCCTTCGGAACAAAACCAAGAACTTTGCAGTTTCAAGGGTCTCTCCTCTTCCTTCTGGGTATTTTGCACAGCCCCACATGAAATAACGTGCCTTCACAATTAGCGAGCAGGACATTTGAGAAGTCTCTGACGATTGCCCTTCTTGGCTTATTAAAACTAGCAGGCAGGAGAGGTCCATCTGAGTCTAGAAGGTTGCAAATCCCTCCCTGAAAGAGGGAGAGTAGGACTGTGACAATGACACGTGTCTGAACCCACATTTGAGTTCACCATTCACAAGCACTCATACACACATTGCCAACAATTGTGACCGCATTTGCTATGAATATGTGTTAATCCTTAATTTGATGCCCACAAGCAGTTTTCACACAGAGGGAATAAAGTTTAGTTTATTACATGAAATGAACATGACATAATGTATATATTCTGCTTCAGACAGCAAAATTACAATTTAAGCAGGCAGCAAATCCTGCCCTACACAGAAACCATGATCTAAAGAGTGAAAGGATCCCTAACTAGTCTCAAAAGCCTACAGAAAGTAAGTGTGACAATTTGCCACAGAAACCATGGAATGGCTATATAAACTCAATTCATAAGTATTTAAAGCTATCTGGAGATCCGCTAGGAAGACACAAGTTTGCCCTGATGGAGCCCCAATAGGAAACACCTCAAGCAGGAACAAGGACTTGACCCCAAGACTGTGATTTCAAACCTGAGAGGAAGGCATAGGACATAGAACCAAGGACTGAAGGAGGAGGATGGTTCACTCAAGCAAGGGCGAAACTAGCCTTTTTTGGGGGGGGGGGGGGATAACCTGGGGCAAAAATAAAAATCCAGCACTGCACTCAAGAAGATATCAACTAGGAATCAGTTATCTAGGTACATAAGGGAAACCTGGAAAGCTTTCAAATGGAGGTACACAACTACGAAAGCCATGCATTCAAAGGACACTTGGGAAGCTTTGCAGAGGCCAAATGGGAGCCCTGGATATTGATTATGCAGCCCTCTGAGCAGGAACCCCAGGAACTCACAGTTTCACGATACACAGGTTCAGTGATATGAAAGCAGCTGTACTGAACTTTCAGAGATGAATCATTTTGGGGGGTAGTTTTCCAGGAGAAGGAAAATGTACATAGGAATAGTATGCAAAATTTTCTCTGGGCAATATATTGGTCTAGCTGATACAAACCCAGAATTATAATAAAGTAACCGCTTGCTTCAATGTGAAGAAAGGAACGGAGGCAGTGGCTGAAGTGAAGAGCAGAAGGCAGCAGGGCAGACTGGCTTGGAGAGGACTGCAAATCAAGGCTGCAGTGGCTTGGCAGGTGGCAAGTCAAGTGCTCCACTTGGAGGACTACTTCTTACTCTAATCATTCACCACCCAGACAGCTAACTGTGGCTCATCTTGAATGAGCAGCATCCTGGCGCATCCTGCTGAAGCGTACTCTCCCTCCACCCCCTTCTTATCCCCAGCCAGGAAGAAATAAACCAGAGCTTTGGCTTGGGATTTTGTGTTAACCAGCAGCAAACTGAGAACAACTCAGTTTCCGCTCAAGCTTTCTTTAGAGCAGTGGTTCCCAGCATTTTTTGGCCATGCACCCACCTAAGCATCTCTAAAATCCTGACACCCCCCCCCTTTATTCTAAACTGAAAACCCCAGAACACTTTTACATATGCTCACAATGCAGGTGCTTCAGCCCCTTCACCAGCATATGCCCCACTGAATTCAATGGGGCTTCCACTCTCAGCGAAGTGAAATTGGGACTCTAGTTTTAGGCTGCAATCCTGTGCACACTTACCTGAAAGTACACCCCACTGAACTCAGTGAAGCTTATTCCTTTTGAGTGGCTATGTACAGGATTGCACCCTTGGTTGTTGTTTCCCCATACCTTTGCTATCTCTACAATACCTTTTGAGGTGGGATAACCAGCAGTGCACTTGGCATTCCAAATATGGCCACACCATGGATTTACAAATATTGGCTGTTGTGTTTTCAATAATGTACAGAGACTTCAAAACAAAACAAAAAAGTTCTCTAAGAAGCAAGATATAAAGCACATTACAATAGTGTTAAAATCCAGTGATAAACTTTGATTCCAGACACTATTAGTGCCTCTCAATGTTTATCAAATCTACAAAGCAACCAATACTGTAATATTAAACATATTTGCCTACATGTTGCAAGACAGATCTGACACTTTCCAGAAAGCCAAGGTATGAAATCCACCCTCTTCACTGCTGTTGTCACAACTGTTCACACACAACATTTCAAGCACATTCCAAAGCACATCATTCTGGGCGCTGCTAACAGTTCCCGGGGAAAGAGCGAGCTTGGCGGGGGCTTCGAAATGGGCTGCAGCCCCAGGCAGCCTCTGCCCCCGAGGAGCTCAGGTAGGAGAGCCCGAGACGCTTCGTCCCAGAGCTGCAGGTTCGAGCCCCGCCGGGCAGGACTAGATGACCCTCGTAGTCCCTTCCAACTGACAGCTCTGCAGTTCTGCGCCTCGTGTGGCTTTGACGCCCCGCGCCCTCCGCCCGCCCCGCCGGACCCCTCGCCCAGCGCCCCCGCCAGGCTCCGCGCCCGTCCCGTCCCAGCACCGCGCTCAGCCGAGCTCCCCGCACTTCGCCCGCTCCTTCCTTCTCCCCTTCCGAGCCCGGCTCCTCCGCGCCCCGCGGAGCCCCCGCTCCTTACCTGCTGGCGCCGGTGACAACGGCCACCTTCTGCATGGCGAGCGGCGGCTGGTTGTGGAGGCGAGCGCCGCGGGACGAGCCGCCAGAAGCCGGGCTTGGCCCCGCCCACGCCCCGCCCCCGACTCCAAACCCCGCCCCTCCCTCGGCCCCCGCCTCCCTGGCCCAATCAGAGGGCTCGCTCGCGGCCGAGCGGCCGAGTGGCGTGACGGTAGCCCGATGGCGGGGCAGGCGGCCGAGGGAGGCCGGGCCGGGCCTGGGAGAGGGCGCCAGGCCTGTCCATCACCGCCCCTCGGGCTCCTCATTGGTTGGCTGGGCCATGAGGAAGTCGGGGGCTCGAGGCCGGTCAGGAAGAAGAGTCAGTGCCAAAGAGGCGGGAAGGAGGGAGTTGTGACTGCTGTGGCGCCTGAGGCGTCTTGATCCCCCCCGCCGGGAGCCCAGGAGAGCCCGAGGGGCCGCGCGGAGCGAGAGGCTCGGGCTCCTTCCCTGCCGGGTCCCGGGACGGAGAGAAGGGCCTCCCCGGGAAACACGACTCCCGTATTTCAAAAAGTGAAATTTGAACTTTTCTTAGTTTTGCTGAGGCATTTGGCTAGTTAAGCAAACTATGGCCTTTGAAGCTGTGTGTGACAGGGAATTGTTTTTGTCTGTTACCACGGTATGTATTTTTGTGTTTTTATATTGTAAGCTGCCCTGTGATCCTCAAATGAAGGATGGTGTATAAAAATATATAAAGAATAATAAATAAAACTCATGCGTGCTTCTCTGGCTGAGGTGAAGCTAGTAGCCAGAAGAAGCAGGCCTTCTCGGTCATAAGCAGTGTATAGGCCAACTTCAAGCCTTTGGGGAACAAGTCTTTGGCTTTTTGCTGTTTTCTATATGTATTTTAAAAAGAATGTTTTAAATACTCGTGTTCTTTTAATGGCACATATCTTTGTTTTGACAACTTACAGTTTTTACTGTATGTTTAAGCATGTTTACTCAGAAGTCCAATTGATCTTATTGAGATCTACTCCTTAGTAAGCATGTTTAGGATTACAGCCTTAGGTCCATACATTTGGTTGGAAAGGTAAGATACAAATAGATTTAATAATGAATGAATGAATGAATGAATGAATAAATAGGAAAGGTTTTCAGTGATGTTTTTAATAGGGTTACTTATTTAATTATTTTTGTTTATTGTGTGCTGTGAGCCCTGCACTGTGAGAATGGTGGGATATAAACAAACAAATAAATAAATAACAGTACACACTGAAGGTAATTTCCCCACTTTCTCTATAGTTTTACTTTACAACATTCTGCTCCATTCCACCTGGAACTACAGTAGGCTGTATTTGCAAACTGACTATAACCACTTATTTAAGAATATTTTAAAGCATTGTTGGATAATCTCAGTTAATCTACACTTGTTGCTCACTTTATGCACATTCAGCATATATGCCAGGGGTAGTTAACCTCTTTATACCTACCGCCCACTAAGGCATCTTTCTTGATGGTAAAATTTCCTTGCCGCCCCCCAGTGCTTGATGGAAGGAGGATTCAGCCCCCCTCCCGCCCACCTAGAATCCTGAAACGCCCACTAGTGGCCGGTAGGGACCAGGTGGACAACCCCTGAGATAGGTGGTTTCACGGAGATGAAAGTGAAGGAGTAAACCACCACAGCATGTTTGGTTAAATTGTATTCGCCCTCAAGCTGGATGCTCTGAACACATCATTACCGCAAAAGCTGCAATGCACTTTAATAGAAATGATAAGTAGAAAAGTCCTATGAATAACTGTCTTCTCTCCCCTTCCAAACTCCTTTATCTCCCCCAATTAAATTTTCAAACACCATCTTCCTCCCCTTAAACAAAAGATAGCAACTGAATGGATTGGCTGCTGGTGGCGGGCAGGGAGCTGTGTCTCTTCTTCAACAGCTCAACAAGCGTAAGGTCTTGGGAGTCAGCCTGGCTCCTGCTGTGGGATGGTCCCGTGTAGTGATCAGGTGGGATTGCTATGAGGAATTACCGTATTTTTCGCCCTATAGGATGCACTTTTCCTCCTCCAAAAATGAAGGGGAAATGTGTGTGCGTCCTATGGGGCAAATGCAGGCTTTCGATGAAGCCTGGAGAGCGAGACGGGTCGGTGTGCACCGACCCCACTCGCTCTACAGGCTTCAGGAAGCTATCCGCAAGCCTTGGGAGCCCGGCGGGAGTTTCAGCACCTGTTTTTCTAGAAAAATAGCACTGGCAGTAATTATTTCTAAATTTGCTTTTATTCATAGAAATTAGCATCTGTAAATCTGCTCTCCCTTTTTGACATTGCATTTCCTCTTTTTTGGCAGTGGCTGGTAGAAGTGTCTTTGGCAAGCATTAGGCAGTGGATTGCAGACCACAACTACTGCCCCTACATTCCTTGAATGTCTCCATACATTGTGTTGGTGAGGCAGAAGTCGTTCTTCATTCCAGTCTTCATTCCAGCTGCTCAAATAACCTCCTTTATTAACATGAACTTTGCTGTTAGACTGTACTTCTCACCATTAATGTAGTGTCGCGCCCCCCCCCCCATTATTACTGTGCTGGGGAGAAGCTAAACTGAGATCTGCAAGGCCATTAAACCATGAAGACTGATCAATGAACTCAGGACTGACCACCCTCCACTTTCACTTCAGAAGCACAAGGAATTGTTTTCTTTTAAAGAATCTTATTTACAAATGGATCATTTTACAGGAATACAGTTCAATGTGGCCTTACAGAGAATAAATAAAGAAAAAACTATACATTGGTCTTTAAGTCTCCATTTCAAAATACAGGGCTGTTTTTGAATGAGTACTATAGTCATAAACTAATATTAAGCAGCCTGACATTAATATTCACTAGAGATGAAGGGAACACAGCTGCCAGTGTTCACTATAAAGCAGAGGGGCCAATTACTTGCAGTGATAGCTCAGAACATCTCAGAAAAATGTGCTCTGCATTGAGAGGAATGGAGTACAACCAAAAGACAAATACTGTACTATCGTTACAAGCAAGAAGCCTAACATACAACATATTATAAACAGACCAGGTTCCAAAGAACTGTACAACTAGTTTTGCACCCCGATCACCTTTGAATCTGAGGGAACTTTCATAAGCATAATACCACTCAGGCATACCCATTGTAACACTCTGGATCATCATTTTTGAGATTTACAAAATGACCAAAATCAATGTGTGTATGCACAACCACACATGGAAGTGCACTCTGAAGACCAGTTTTCTATTTGATACAATTGCTGTAAATGTGTGAAGACAGAGTTTAGTTTTTTGATACCATGTGGCTATGCTTGCTATTGACATTATTTTTGGAGGAAAATGCTAAAAAGGATTAATATAATGTTTACCTTTAGTCTTACGCTAAGAAGCCAAGGAACATTTTCCCAAAGCCTTTCCCCATACAATTGTGGGAAAAGCTTCACAGTGGCTGCACTCAAATTTTGTGTTATGACATGCCCTCCATGATAGTCATTTTGTCACTGGCAATGCGGTATATGATGGGAGGTTTATAAAATTATACACTGTGTGAAGAAGGAGACAAAGAGAAGTTTTTCTTGCTAATAATAGCAGAACTTGCGCTTATCCAATGAAACTGGTTGGCAGGAGTTCCAGGACATTGCTTCTTTATATGGTACATAGTTAATGAACAAGGGACGCGGGTGGCGCTGTGGTCTAAACCACAGAGCCTAGGACTTGCCAATCAGAAGGTTGGCGGTTCGAATCCCCGCAACTGGGTGAGCTCCCGTTGTTCGGTCCCAGCTCCTGCCCAGCTAGCAGTTCGAAAGCACATCAAAGTGCAAGTAGATAAATACGTATCGCTCCAGCGGGAAGGTAAACGGCGTTTCCGTGCGCTGCTCTGGTTCACCAGAAGCGGCTTATTCATGCTGGCCACATGACCCGGAAGCTGTCTGCGGACAAACACCAGCTCCCTCGGCCTATAGAGCGAGATGAGAGCGCAACCCCAGAGTCGTCCGCAATTGGACCTAACGGTCAGGGGTACCTTTACCTTTTAGTTAACAAACAATAATAGTTAATTAGCTGTCAGATGCTGTAGTGATGGCTGCTGGCTTTAGAAGGGTATTACACAAATTCATGCAGGGAAAATCTGTGAGTGGTTATTAGCTATGGCAGCAATAGGTGACCTCTATATTCAGCAGTGGTCATGACACTTAATAGCATTTGCTGGTACTCAGAGAAAGGGCACACTTGCCTCTGTGCCTGGGGGGGGCGGGTCGGTGCTTCAGGCTCACCGCACCTACTGAGCAGACCCTAACAACAACAAATTTTGGATCTGACAGTAAGGCAGCCCCTTTATCAACCCCTTTTCAGTGGCCACAGAAAGCTGAGCATCTGTTGGGGGAAAGTTGTGTGTGTGTCAGAAAACTAGGAGGGGGTTAATGGAACGGAGTATCCTGAACAAAGACGTAGGTGGTTGAGCTGGCCCACACTCCAAACAGGAGCCCTCCACCCTGAAACATCTGTTGTTCCTTGCTAGGTCCACTTCCACTTATAGGTGACGACTTGCAATGTGATGGATGCAATACACAACCTGCTCTAAAATAAACTGTTTCTTTTTATTTTCCCAAACTTTTTAGATCGTACTTACGGGACCACCTCTCCTGGTATGTCCCACAGAGCACCCTAAAGTCCATGAATAATAATAGCTTAAAGGTCCCGGGCCCTAAGGAAGCCAGACTATTCTCCACCAGGGCCAGGGCTTTTTCAGTGACCTCTCCGACCTGGTGGAATGCTCTGTCCTACGAGACTAGGGCCCTGCAGGACTTGATCTCCTTCCACAGGGCCTGTAAGACAGAGCTATTCTGCCTGGCCTTCAATTTGAATTAGCCTGATCCTCTGTTCCCTTTTCCCTGTCCTCTTCTATGAAGAAACCCTTTCTGGGACCCCACATTTAAATTCTTCCCTGGTCTCCTTGCTGGCCTTGTAGGACCAACTTGGCCAGTTAGCCCTGGTGATCACTTGATGTCTACTGACTGGGTTTTGTTCTCCCCCCCCCCCAAAAAAAATGACCCCTGAATTTTTAAATTTTATTGATATTGATGCTGCATTTTATGTTGTATTTTATGCTGCTTTATGCTGTTTTTAAGTTGCATTCTAATCAGTGTTTTATATTTGCTGTTAGCCGCCCTGAGCCCGGTTTTTAAATCAGGCTTCTACCAAGGTGCTTTGTGAAGAGTTGACCAACATGTGCCCATATACAATAGCATTATTTATAAAAAGAAATTGTTGTTGTTAAGACAGCATCTTCACTTGTGACATACTGCAGTTCTGTGTTATTTGATGTCTCGGTAATTCACTTGTTATGTAGTGCAAATATGACCTATATTGTGAATAATTTCATAAAATGTCTGCTTAAATACATACACCTGAGCCTTTTATAGGAGAGAAAGGCAGGGAGGGAGAGACTGGAAGGCGGGGGGGGGGGGGAGGATTACAGAACCTTCCCAACCTGGTGATCTGGAGCTTGGATGGAATTTTTAGTTCCCATAAGCAATCAGGTAGCAAGGTATTTACAAACATGAGTTATTTCACCTCTATCTAAACCACCAATGGTGGGAAGCTGTAGCATATAATGTGGTGTTACTATGGTAAAAAAATTAAAAAATCAACTTTACAGTTGGGAGAAAAAGTAGATTCTTCTCTTTACGTGAAAGGTGGGGTTTCTGGTGTTTGTTTTTCTTTGTTATATCTGCGATTTCATGCTTCAAAAATCTAGTTACAAGACTCCCTTGGCGACAAAATAAAACAAGCATGTGCTTAATTGCACGTACCAATGCTACCAACAAAAGTGCAATAATCCTCAAAAATCCTTAAAAAGTGAGGAGCACATTGGAAGGCAATGAGCTATGGACGCACATCTTACCTCCCCACATTTCATGGTCCAAAATTCCCTCACCCCTAGTTTAGTTTTGTGGTATGAGTAAATGAGCAGTCACTAAGATGCAAAGTAGCTGAATGCTACTGAATCAGAAGCAGCAAAGCCCATAGAAGGAAGCCAGGCTGATTGTGCAGACATCTAAGTGAGATATTTAGATCTTAGTAAGTAATTGTAAAATGGCAATTGCAAGAATGTATCCTCTAGAAGGGAAAATAGCGTGGTGCCTTTCAGGATGCTGGATAGAGGGGTATGTGGAGAGTTTGACACCACAGGAAGAAGACTCCTCAGTTATCCTGATTATTTCACTCTGCCCAGGTCTGCCTCAGCTCACTTCTGCCAGTCTCTCCCCGCAGACTGTGACTTGCGTCAAGTCTGACAAAGTTATATTTAAATGAAGCAACCACTAAAAGTGCCGAAAGGCTTTTGTTGCTGTTATAGATATTATTATTTTTATCTTGATTTTTAGATCTTATTATGATTAATGTGGAAATTGTTCAGATTTGTACATTTTGATGTGTTTAATCATTGTTTATAATTGTTTCAGTTGTGTTCGTAATTATGTAAATATTTTCATGTTGTAAGCTGCCTTGAGCATTGCTTTAACTAAGGAAAGGCAGCATACAAAGAACATGATGCTGACGATGGTGATAATCCGAAAAGAAGAACTGGGATGCTTGAGCCTCCCAAGATACAAAGACCGAAAGGAAGCCTGGCAAGAGCTCGTTCCCCCTGTCCTTGGCTAGCGATCAAAGGGGAAGGAAGGAAGACTGACACAGCATGATTTAAGGTTCCTTGCATGATGGATCCCAAGAAAGTGAAGAGCAGTGCCAAATGAGAGAAAGAGCAAAACATACACATTTGGCAAACTATTAGTACATGTTGAAATTAGGCACCAAGCCACCCATGACTGACTGGGAGTGAAAGGATGCAATCCATCTCTCAGCCCAGTCAAAACATACCCCAAACTGGCCTTGCAGTTTCAAGGAACAATCTGTCTCTCTCTTTTCTGTTATCTGCACTGTCCAAGAAGCCTACCTCACACCTTGAGAACTATGCTTTTAGAGCTGTGGTTTCCAGATCCATAGAGACAATTTTGACTTTGTTCAGAACCCACGTGTTGGTGCCAAGTCCTGCTGCAGAAGGAAGTCATCTATTCATCCCTTATTATGCTTCATCTGCTTGTTGATGGCTCCCACTCCACCCGTGTGAATTGCCACATTGGAGGCCATAGGACTGTGGTCGCAACTCCATGCTCCACACCCAGAAGAGCAAGAAGTCAAAGATTTTCAGATCTGAAATCACAAAGTCTCACAGGTTCACCTCACTAAGCCTTGCAAGAAGAAAGAAGCAGCATGTTTGCCGTTCACAAAAGGCTAGCCCAACACATTTAGGTGCTTGAAGCAGGATGCCCGCCCCCCCTGTCGAAGAATATGGGACATAATCGACTGGAACATCCCATAAGGCACTGGAGGTCTTGAAGCACGTTGCTTTTTGTGCCACTTTGCTGAAAAGACCTGCAATCGGCCTGTGGCTGAGGTGACACAAACAGCCAATAGATTACTGCCTGATCCTATAAAACTTACTCATTTTGCCTGGCACTTTAGTCTGAGAAACTTGTGCAGGCCAAGGGTCAAAGCAGACATGATGGAAATAGTCGCATTTGTTCACCCATCTGCCCCTTTCATGTATAAAGTGTGGGGCGTGTGAGGATGGTTTTTTCTACAACAAAAGGTACATGCATCTGAGAGAAGCTGGCTCTCTCCTTCACTCCTCAGGTTCACCTCCCTTTACTCTGCTGCTTCAGACACTTTTCTCCCGGCTTTGGTCCGATGCCAAAAGTGAACTTGGCTGGGGAGATGAAACACGGGAAGATAATACAGGGGAGGAAAGACCAAGAATCCAGCTCTTTCATCAGACCTCCCCCAACCTCCCACTTTATATGGGAAGGAGGCAGAGGTATGTAAGTACAGATGCAGCTGCCTGCTTCATGCCTAGTTTGGTTCTCAGCTGCTTTCAGACTAGCTCCCTGGTTGGTACCCAACTGCCTCCAGTTTGCTAGCCCTTCACCATTCACCTCACTGAAATGAGTAGGAGCCTTACAAGAGCTCCTATCCCCTCATGGTAGGCCACCTCAAGAGGTTTCATACTATCTCTGGTTTTCAGCAAGCAAGCCACCTGCCACCCCTCTGCTGCCTCACTATCAGCCTGTGACCCGCTCAAAATGGGGCTTGTCTGCAGAGACCCTTGTATGGAGACAGCCTTCTTTATTTCAGAGCTCTCCTGTTCCCTAGATTCCAGATACAGCCCAATTCCAAAAGCAGATTTTGCAGCTTTGGGCTGCCCTGACTGTTGAAGGCTAAATCTAGCCGCTTACTCTGCTGTAGCTGAACATCCCAACTCTACGCATCTTCCATTGTTATTATGGGCCAGCCTACAAATTCTGAAGGTACAAAATGCAAAGATTTTGACAGGGAACTTTGGTGACAAGGTTTACTCAGTTTAGTTAACAATTCCTAAAATTTTATACCTTTTTCTTTGGTAGCTACCATGCCCTACTAAGCAATTCCAGGAATCTATTCTGCAGAAGGCAGCTATTTCATAGAAGCAAAATGATAGGCCTTTCCCGTTCTCAAAACAGCTTGGAGCATGAGCTTTTGAGGCTCTGGAGAAAAAAGATGAAAGAATGGGATGCTACAGAGAGGTGAAGCCTGGGCAATAAGTGAAGTATCCTCATAAGTAGAAACTTGGAGCATCAGACCAAAGCCAGCCATAGGCTTCTGGGAAACCCAGAAACAGGAACCTCACTGTTTGGCCCCAGTAACCGGAATTAGGAGATAAGCTGTCCCTGAAGCTGTCATGGCTAATGGCCACTTGTGGACTGCACCCTTGATGAATTTATCTAATCCCCTTTCGAAGTCATCTAAGCCAGTGGCCATCACCAAAGCATGTGGCACTGAATTCCATATGATAATTATCCATAGTAGGAAATAACGCTCTCTTTTGACTCTCTTGAACTGATGTGCCATAGATTTCATTGCATACTTGTGAGTCCTAGCCTTATGAGGGATAGTGAGAAAAAATTATCGTTCTCCACACTGTGAATAATTTTCTAAGCCTTTATCATGCCCTCCATTACTTGCCATTTTCTAATCTAAAGTGCCTCAAATGGCCACTTTGGCCAGTTCATTTTAGTTGCCCTCTGCTGCACTTTTTCCAGCTCTATGTTAACCCTTTTGAGATGGGAGAAACCAGGACTGTACACAGTATTAAAAATCTTCATGCGCTCTAAAATAGATAAATCGAGAGATTCTCAGAAGCTCTAGATCTGGAGTGTATGTATAGGAGGAGACATTTCTATATTTCATATAGCATACAAAAAAACCTAAATTGAGGCAGTCTGTACTCCACACTAAAAAAGAAGATTTAACCAGCACAAAGTGATCCAAATTCTGATTATTGTGTAAAATGTGCAAGCTGGGCAAATCTGCACAATTTTTCATATCTGGTTAATTTTTTGGGGGGGGTGCATTAGGACTGTCTCACAAACCACTGGAAACCTACCTCAGCGATTTTTCTGGCTTCTGAGATTTCAGCAAGCATTGTTCGTACACTTTCAAGTGTATAGACACGGTAATAAAGACCATAAAACTTATTCCTATTTAAAATGAAAGCTGAGTTAAAGAAGCCAAATTCTACATCCGGTATCATATTCTACTCTTTTCAGGCAGAACTGCATCACACACACACACACGCACAGCCCCGGGCATAAAGTGCTGGCGCTCTTCCTAGCTGTGTGTATGTGTTTGCCTATTCCCACCTCAAGTCTCTGTAGTCAGACTACATCTCAAGTTCCTCCTTCAGAGGAAAATAAGAGTCGTGTTTTCCTCTTCCCATCGCAGACTAAACCCATTCATAAACCGGAACCTATGACATTACAAGATAAATAGCATCCCTTCCCCCAGTCTTTGCCAATCCAAAGTATAGCACCTTGAATGAGGTTGTGTGGTAGACCTGGTCAGATCCCATCTTTTTCCTTTCCTTTCCTTCGGTGGCCGATAACGAAAGTCCCGACTCCGCTACTGAAAGAAATTGTGAGTCCAGGTGAAGTGGCTTCAGTTCTATGTGTAAGTTTTTGAGGGCAGATGGGCTGGGACAGTCCAGAGTATTTAGGGCATGAAGGAAAGGCATCACTACAAAGTGGTTGCTTCTTGGAGAAGGCAATGGATTTCCTGGAAGGAGGGTCGGTTTTTGGTGTCTCGTCTCCAGCAGCTGAGCATTAGCTTATATACAGGATCAGGACAGCAGGCAGGCTGCGGAAGGTAGGTCTTTAAATAGGAAAAAGAGAGAGAGAGGATAGATACTGAATAAAGGCAGATAAAACCCCTCTCAAAAAGACACTAGAAGCCGTAGATGGGGATTTAATTTGTGGCATGTAACAGCAGAGCTGGAATGTAGCTGAAAGTAATCTACTTCATTTACTAATGATTACTTATTAATCAGATCTGTAGCCCCATTTCCTCCAAAGAATCCAGGATGGCTTACAAGTTGAGGCTGAGAGAAGGATTAATCAGAGGCTGACATAATTTTATGGCTCTGGGGGAATTTGAACTCGGGGCCAATCACTCTACCCAGTAGACCACACGAGAACTCTCGTCTTCCTTGTTCTAAGAAGAAGATGGCATGATCTGCAAGGCAAGGAAGGTCCTGCTAGTGGGGCAATCCAGATTACTCAAGGCTTGGAGTGCTTCCAGACAGGGGTGAAAAATTGTCAACATGCCGTAGTGCAAATGGGAAATCAGGCCATCCCCCCACCCTGCCCGCTTGCCCTCCCCACCACAGCTTGCCTTGCCACCACCACCCCAATCACTGCTGGCCTGAGCGTCCGCCCCCCTGCTGCAGAGGTCCAATATTACTCTATTTGCAATCCTTGTTTGGCTGATTTCATTTAATCTAATTTTATGAGATTGTTATTTGGGGTTTTCATCAGCTGTATGCCATGATCATCATAATTATAACAAATAAAGGCTTGACATATCTCACTTTGCATGTCATGAGTCTATCTCATATATTAGTTTCACCTTTTAAGTTGAATTACTGAAATAAATGAACTTTTCCACAATATTCTAATTTTCTGAGTTTCACCTGTAATTTTGGGCACTGCACTATGCAAAGAGTTGCTGAGAATTGTAACTCTGTGTGGGTTAAACTACAGTGCCCAGAATTTTTTGAGGGGAGAAATGTGCTTCAGATGTGCATGGCTCCAATAGACAGAATAGGAGTTGAAGTCAAACATCATTTGGAAGATCACAGATTTCCTGATTTATACTGTAAGGTAAAGGGACCCCTGACCATTAGGTCCAGTCATGGCCGACTCTAGGGTTGCAGCACTCATCTCGCTTTATTGACCGAGGGAGCCGGTGTACAGCTTCTGTGTCATGTGGCCAGCATGACTAAACCGCTTCTGGCGAACCAGAGCAGCGCACGGAAACGCCATTTACCTTCCCGCCGGAGTGGTACCTATTTATCTACTTGCACTGATGTGCTTTCGAACTGCTAGGTTGGCAGGAGCAGGGACCAAGCAACGGGAGCTCACCCCATCGCGGGGATTCAAACCACCGACCTTCTGATTGGCAAGTCCTAGGCTCTGTGGTTTAACCCACAGCGCCACCCGCGTCCCTGATTTATACTGTACTTGGGCTCAAAAAGTATGTTTCCTCTTCATTGTGTTCATCCTCATCATAACTAGGTAAGGAAGAGCATCTTTCCCCTTCTCATTTACATTAGAAGAATGGAAGCCACGTTCTTCATTCTAGCAGAAGTGTCACACTGATTTTCTTCCCATCCCACCCATTTTTCTGACTCTCCATTTTTTAAAGCTCCAGTAATAATATTCTGCTTCATTGCACCCATTCACTCAATCCCACATTCACCCATATTTCTATTCAACAATACAGGTTTGTAAATCTTTCCAGAATCTAATCATGGCTTATTTATTATCCTGTTTCAAACTCTCCCACTCCCCCCCCCCCAGAACACAGCACCATAGCTGCCTTGAGTCCCTGTCAAGGAAAAAAGCACACAACAACAACAACAACACTGTATTTATGGGATGCCAGCTGGATGGGTGCAAGTGCAAGAGTTAACAATCTATAATTATTTTAAAACAGCTCACAATTCTGGTAGGAAAGGAAGCCATGGGAATTACCTTCCATTTTCTGTCTTAAGATTATATTATTTCTTTGTAATATTGTGCTTGTAAATATTTTTGACACTCAAATTTATTGATACATTTTGTAAACATTTTTTGCGAGGGGGATGTTTGGTACTTTGATAAGCTGGTGTTTGTGGTGAGGTGCTTCGGATAAAATTCACGGTGGGAAAGCAGCTTATAAACCAACTAAAGTATTGTTGTGCATTTGGGGGTTCAGCGTGCACGATGCCTGAGTCCCTTGTAATTATTAGGGGGGGGGATGTGAGAGCTGGGCTGGAAGCAGGGTCATGGAAGAAGCCACACTTGACTTCTGTGGGAATCCAAAGATGTGACCTTCTGGGGTGTTGATGCTGTAAACTTCTTCATCTTAGGCTCATGTTGCATATATGTGTAAATAAACTATATACAGTGGTACCTCGGGTTATATACGCTTCAGGTTAAATACGCTTCAGGTTACACACTCTGCTAACCCAGAAATAGTGCTTCAGGTTAAGAACTTTGCTTCAGGATAAGAACAGAAATCGGGCTCCGGCGGTGCGGTGGCAGCAGGAGGCCCCATTAGCTAAAGTGGTGCTTCAGGTTAAGAACAGTTTCAGGTTAAGAACGGACCTCCGGAACAAATTAAGTACTTAACCCGAGGTACCACTGTATTATAAAGATGTCATAGCATCCACTGTCCCTAATTTCAAGGAAACAGAACCCTGGGTAAGTCCCTGGGATCTTGCATGCAACACTCTTAAAAGTTCAGTAGTCCTGTCCTCTTTTTCACCTAAAGCACATGCAAGTGTCCCATAATGGAGCAGATGACCTGGTAGATTTCGTTTGTTCCTATTTCCTGTTGTTTCCATACCTGCCGTCCCTGATCCCTAAAGAACTCTCCTGTGTTCTCAATGACTTGTTCATCTGAGAGCTGAGAATATGGCTGCTCGCGGCAAAAGGTGAAAGTCTCCCAGAGTGTCACACCAAACGCCCACACGTCACTTGCTGTGGTGAACTTGCCCTGGGTGGATAAATGGGTGGGTGGGAGAGAGGGAGAGAGGGAGAAAGAAAGCACACCATTTAGGAACATGCACTTACAAACATCCAGGGATGTACATCTCCCAAGAGCCCAAAGAGACTTCCAGGAGAAAAATATGTGGCAACAGCAGAAGACACTTTTTCAGGCTATGGGGCAGTCTAGTTTGGTAGTCTAGTTCTCAGTCCCTCATTGGTGGAGAAGCACAGCTGGAATTGCAGGGCATGTTGAAAGAAGCTGTTATTTCCAGGCCTTTGCCAAATTTAGCTCTCCTTTCTGTGGTCACCATCAGGGAGTTTGCTATCAGAAGGAACCCTTGAAAGGTCAATTGCCTGTGTTCAATCAGAGAAATAAAAGCATGATGGGGCAAAGGAATGCTTTAAAAATAGAGTGGCGATTCTAATTTGTATTCCTGCAGGATGCTAACAAAGCCAACCATGGTATCAAACTGGATTCCACAAACTTGATTAAAAGTATAATTTTTAAAAACCTTAAGAATGTGTACCTTCAATATTCACCTAGCCCACGACCCATTCTCCTCCTTTCCTTCCCATATATACAAGTCTTTGGCTTTTCGGTACAGAAAGGATGAATCCAGGCTCCATGCAGTCACCAGCTCTAAGAAGAAGTGCAAGATGAGGCTTACCAAAAGGATGCTCTCCCAGGACATCCAGCGAATGGGGAGCACAGCCCGGCCCTGGATCCGGTAGTAGTCTCCACTGTAGAGGTTCCGGCTCATGCCAAAGTCAGCAATCTTGATTGTGTAATTCTTCCCTACCAGGCAGTTGCGTGTAGCCAGATCGCGGTGGACAAAATTCAGGGAGGACAGATACTTCATGCCAGAAGCAATCTGTGTGGCAATTAATTTCAGGTTGGCATAGCTGAAGGAAATAAGAAGCACCAGAGAAGGAATGGCTTGTGGCCAGCCAAGTGTCCAAACTGCAGAAAGCATGCTTCCTTCCTGTCTAGGCAGGGGGACAGCCACCCAGAGGTCAGACTGCACTGAGGGAGTTTTTAAATTGCAGGCTTGAGAAGGGTTGCATTTCAATCTTTCAAAAAAGCAGCCGGGGGAGGTGATCCAGATGGGACTATGGTGCCATTTTTTAACCTTTTCACCCTTGCTACTTTCCTGTCAAACTGCTGCCACCCAAAATATGTTGTTTTTTTAAATGGAAAAACACGTAAACGTAATAGGCTGTATGATAGCAATTGCAAAGTTATTTACTAGAAACTACTTCCTAAAAAATTAAATACAGTTTCTCATAGTAACAAAATCAACATCATGACATAATATATTAAAATGTAGCTTATTCTGTTGACAACCAAATCCAATATTTACAAAATATAAATCCTATTTTGTCAGTGCCGTAATTCATTCATTTCTAATTTCTTCATCTTCTCTTGTATTTTTCCTGGATATTCCTGGATATTCCCCTGTTTCGCCCGAAGGGGCTTCATCAGCTGTGCGTAGTTCTAAATCATACAAACATAGACACTTTGTAACATAATAGGTACACAAATTAAAAATCCTTGTCTTGTCTGCCTGTGCCAGCATCTGCCAGTGCCAGTTTCTTTTGTCTACCAACTTTATCATCGTCATTAGACACTTAGAAGATTATTTCATGTCCCTCTTCTAAGGAATACGTCAGACAGAAAAATACAAGAGAAGATGAAGAAATTGGGAATGAATGAATTACTAATTAGGTGGGTAAATCTAGAGGGAGATACAGGGCCCGTCAAGCACGGGACGGAGAGGTTTTCTGCTTGTTCCACTGTTTTCCCCAGGAAAACCCTCTATTTACCGCTGAATTGGAACAAACATCAATCTGTAGCAAACTCAATTATTGCTTGTTCCGATTCAGCCGCAAATAGAGGGTCTCCCCAGGAGAAAGGGGCAGGGCAAATGCAAGTGCTGGCAAGCCCTAACATGCAGTTGTGAAGGCTACTTAATACATGGCTGAGTTGGCCTTGCAACAAGAAAAACTAGATGATGCTTTTCTTTTACACTGATCCCTATAATTCAAAATCCCCCAGATAGTACAGTACAGTGGTACCTCGGGTTACATACGCTTCAGGTTACATACGCTTCAGGTTACAGACTCCACTAACCCAGAAATAGTGCTTCAGGTTAAGAACTTTGCTTCAGGATGAGAACAGAAATCATGCTCCGGTGGCGTGGCGGCAGCAGCAGCGGCAGCAGGAGGCCCCATTAGCTAAAGTGGTGCTTCAGGTTAAGAACAGTTTCAGGTTAAGTACGGACCTCCGGAACGAATTAAGTACTTAACCCGAGGTACCACTGTATCTCTCTTCCTACCCTTAGTTTTTCCATGTCTCTGCTACACCTTTCCTGCTCTTTTTCTGATAGATCTCAGCTTCCCACTTTATCATCCTCATCTGCCTGAAGGTCTCCTGCTCTCCAAAATAACTCTGCCTAATGCAGACAGTATGTCCTCCCCTTCAAGCTCTTGCCTTAGCAACCTCAGTCTTCCTCCCCAACTAGCAAATCCTATGGATCCATCCCAGGATGCCACACTCTGAACCTGCAGGGTGCAGCAACCTTCCCGAAGTGAAGCTGGTCTGGTTCTGACCAGTGCCTGGAGAGGACACTGACTAGAAGACTCAGATATGCTGCTCTGAGTTCCATCATGGACAAAGGCCTGGAGAGAAATGTGAAATGAGAGAAAGTACTTTTACCAAGCCCTTCCACTCTGCCGTTGATTTTGTTGTCTCCCCAGACAAGGCTGCAGGATGTGGTGGGATGAAATGGGTGGGAATCAAATACTTGCTGGGGGGCAGAAGAGGGATAATGAGGACCCCCCTTTGCTCCAGTAAAGGCTCGGGGGGAAATGCCCAAGGACTGCACCTTGAGCCCTTTTGTGCAGCACAGTACAACATGCACACACACAAGCTCAGCGGCTTGTGGAGTCAGAATGTGGAACAGCTGCCACCTAAAGGAGGCCTGCACACAGAGGAGGCAGGACCCAGCACTCACACAGCCTTCATTAGCTACCTGACAGAAGGGGTGGAGCACTCCGACAAGCTCTGGGGCTCCTGGCGAGACAGGAATTGGTTGAGGTCGCCATTCTCCATGTACTCAGTGATCATGCAGAGGGGGTCGTCAGTGATGCACACGGCCAGCAGCCTGATGATGTTGGGGTCCTTCAACCTGGACATAATCTTTATCTCCTTGAGGAAGTCATTCCTTTCAGAAACAAAATTATTATAATTTTGTAAAATTGTGTGTCTTTGTTTTTCAGTTTTTCAGTTTCCATGGTTTTGTATGTATTGTGGTATTTTATGCATTGTCACTTGCTGTTATTTTACTTGATTATAGTTTAGTAATCATTTATTATAATTGTTAAGAGTGAGTTTCTGATTATTATTTGCCGATAGTTTGAGAATTAATTTTATTTTGTACTGTTATAGTCTAATGGATTATTGAATACAGCTTTATTTGGTAAAAGTTGTTTGTTTTAAAGTTACTATGTCTTTATTATGAATCCTTTGTATCCTATCAGATTGTTATAAGGTGTGTAATAATAATAATAATAATAATAATAATAATAATAATAATAATAATAATAATAATTTATACCTATACCCTGTCCATCTGGTTGGGCTTCCCCAGCCACTCTGGGCAGCTTCCAACAAGAGATTAAGAATACATTAAAACATCAGTCATCTTTGTTGTATATTTTGTTGTTTTTCAGCTTGTAAACTGCCTTGTGTATAGTAATATAGAAAGGCAGTATACATATTAAAAGTGAAATTAAATCCAGCATGGGGAATGGATGTGGCCCAGGGCCTGAAAGCCTTGAGCTGAAAATCCGAAAGGCCCTGGTTCAAATCATGCCTCGAGTCTAGCATGAACCTTCTCGTTAGCCTTGGGCCAGTCACACTCCGGGGCCTCACTTCCTGCACTCTCTATAATATGCAGATACCAATACCAGCCTACCTCACAGTGTTAATTTAAGGATTATGGCAATAAAATGTATCTGAAGTGTTTTGAACATACTTTGTATTTCACCTAATGCTTTTGTACTGTAATTATAAATGGTTAAGAGCCTTTTGGTGTGTTTTACTCAAGATTCCTTTCCCAAGCAGGGCAGGAAACCTGCCTGCACCCGGGCTTCCCATAGGCATCTGGTGGGGCACCAGGAGGACAGAATGCCGGACCAGATGGGCCTTTGTTCTAGTCCAGCAGGGCTCTGTTTACGTTATTCTGTTTGTTTTTGGTCTGGTTGTGGGTAAAGGAGCTGCTGTAACTGATCTTAGGACTGCTACAGCTGTCTTCCGCCTCCCAAGCACCTGGCATTCTTGTTGGCATCAGCTCTCAGCATCTTCACAGCCAGGAGGACAGGTTGGCTGGTGTTGCCGTCCGGAACAAAATCCTTCTCCACAAACTGCTCCATCCCTCCTTCCACTTCACACAGGTGGACCTGGAAGGAAGGCAGCAAAGCAGAAATGGTCTGGCAAATAGCTCTCACAGAGAGAAGGGTTGGACTTAAAAAAAAAAAGCAAGATCATGAGAATGGCCTTCCGCTCCCCACTCAACTCTCCTCCCCCCCACTTCCTCCTCTGCTTCTGGAGTAGAAATGAGTTCAAAGTGCTGTGCAGCCAATTTGAGAGTCCGTTTGCTTGTGAATTTCCTGTACAGACAGATGGTTGTTATCTTCTGGTTGTGTTATCACTCCACTGAAGTCCCCTTATCCATAATGGAAAGCTCCCCAGACACAACAAAGTTGCTGCCAAGGATCTTAGAGAGAGGCAACATGACCAGACTGATATCAGCCCCAGGGCTGAGTGACCCAATCAGATGAGCTTCTTCATATTTTGTATGAAATAAAACAATCTGGTGGTGTGAATTTTTGTGCCTGGATGACCATAAATGGATCTATGACTAGTTTTGCCTAAATTTGCTGGGGATCAGGAATTTAACAGATGAATACTGATGTTTTGCTTTATAGTTCTCTAGTATTGGCATGTAATACCCATCAGGGTTTAGATAGCCTCCGATTAGTGTGAGGAGGCAGAGAAGTTTTTACTTTGAGTCGTTTTCCAGAACTGTAGTCTTGTTGGTTTGTTGTAGCTTCCCAAACCTTGTGGTACCTAAAAAACTAACATACCGTATTTATTGAACAGTATTAATCATTTTGATGAATGATTTCTGACGTTTTCTGATATTTTGAATTACTATGACTTTATTGAATTGTACTAATCATTTTTATAAATTTGTTGTTTGCTTTATTTTATAATATTTTTATTATTGTATTTGATAGTACAATGAGTGCAATGCTTGTTGTTTTAATGCTACTGTGATTATTGTGAGCCACTTGGAGCTCAGCATTTGTTGTTGAAAAGCAGAATAGAAATACCGAATCGATATTATAGCATGAGCTTTTGGTGGACCACAATCAACCTCATCAGAGAAATGAATTGCAATTCTGCATTGGGAAGCACATGTAGACATGGAGGGGGAAACAGAAGAATGAGTTCAGGGGAAATGAAATGTAAGGGTTTATCCACAGTTACTTTTTCTCTGCTCTTAAAAGCTCCATCTCTGAGGAGCATCATTTTTGTTCTGGATGTTTCCCTGTGAAACGTGAACTTCAAAGCTCAATCAGAGCAAAAGGCAATCAGCAGAAAACCTAAATTGGCATTTGCAATGACTGAGTTTTAAAGAGCGGGTTTCTGTGAGGTTTGGGGGGGCAACCCCCCCCCCCACGCTCAGACACAGAGCTTTTAAGTATGGAGCTGTGTCTCGAAAGAATGAGGCAAAAGCTAAGTGTATGAGCCCTAAGAAGGCCAGTGGCAATTACCTCAAACGGTGGGGGCCTAAAGACTACTTTTTGTCCTTTGTCGTTTGCGCAGAAACTTGCCATAAACATATGGTAAAACAAACGTTTTTCTCAAGGCCTGGGAGTCGGACAGAGCAATAACAAATTCCTAGAGCCAGGCCACACCTCTGAGGGCTCATCCAGACCTCCTTTTGTGCTGTGTTTCTAGTCATAGGTCCGTGCTTTAAAGCACCACGTTTAAGCACACTTTTCTTTTTTCACCCTGGCACTCTCCCCACGAAAACCCTCTCCTTACCGCTGAATCGGAACAAACAGCAATCTGCAGAAAACCCAAATTGCTGTTTGTTCCGATTCAGCATTAAAGAGCGCATTTTCCTGGCAAAAGTGTCAAGGCAGGGGGAAAGCGCTCAGATACGGGGCTTTAAACTGCAGACCTGTGCCTAGAAAGGGCAGGGCAAAAGGTAAGGGCAGATGAGCCCTGAGCTGGCTCTCCAGGACTGAGCTGCTGGGTCATCGCTGTTTCCCTTTAAGGGTTCACATGCCACGTTATCTAATTGATAATGCACACATTAAACTTTAACATATCCCTATGTTTCCAGTGGGGAGATAGGGACAGGGAACCACTTTTTATTGGACCCGTTTTTATAACCAATCAGTTAAGTTGGTTAATCAAGCAATGTAACAGCACTCCTAGAAACATGCAGCAGAAATACACAGAGATTTTCAGAAATGCAAAGAGATTTCTGAACACATATGTTGTGTCTCTCCCCTCACCCCCTACCCAAAAGTATCTGCACAAGATCAAAGTTAAGGACCAACAGAGCTTGTCCAGCATGCTACATAGCTCAGTTGGTAGAGCATGAAACTCTTAATCTCAGGATTATGGGTTCAAGCCCCACGTTGGACAAAAGATTCCTGCATTGCAGGGGTTGGACTAGATGGCCCTTGTGATCCCTTCCAACTCTACAATTCTATGATTTTGTAGCTGGCATGACAGATAGAGGTATAATTTTAAAACATTTCAAAAATCTGCAAAATTGTTTGACCTGAGATAACACTGGAGCAAAATAAATGTTTGAACACAAAGGGCAGCAGTGGTTCTGTCATACCACTTATCTTTTAAGAGAGCTGAAAGTGATATGATAGTAGCAGTTTGGAACTTGATGAACACACATATTGCTTCTGTCCCACGGTCACCTCTGCTCAAATAGGCTTTGGAGACACAACAAAAATGCAAAACCAATTGTTTATCAGAAAGGATAGTGAGATGAGCCTGCGCACTATAATAAACAATGCCTTGCCACATGAACAGTGATAGAAAAAACCCTGGAGTAACTTCATTTGTTCAGGTCTTTTAAAGAGTGATACTGTACTCACTTTTGTTTTATCTAATTGTTTCTATATTGTTATTCCTATGCATTGTAGTTTAAATTGGTTTATTATTATAGTAAAGGGGCCCCTGACCATTAGGTCCAGTCGTGGACAACTCTGGGGTTGCTGCGCTCATCTCGCTTTATTGGCCAAGGGAGCCGGCGTACAGCTTCCGGGTCATGTGGCCAGCATGATTAAGCCGCTTCTGACGAACCAGAGCAGCGCACGGAAACGCTGTTTATCTTCCCGCCACAGCGGTACCTATTTATCTACTTGCACTTTGATGTGCTTTCGAACTGCAAGGTTGGCAGGAGCTGGGACTGAGCAACGAGAGCTCACCCCGTTGCCAGGATTTGAACCACCGACCTTCTGATTGGTAAGTCCTAGGCTCTGTGGTTTAACCCACAACGCCACCCGCGTCCCCCTTTATTATTATACACCCTGGTAATAAAATTTTCCTTGATAGGCAGGGTACATTTTTTTAAAAATCAGTAAATAAATAAAACCTGAACTTTCAGTAAAAATTGAAAGCCATCATTGGTGGTGATACTGTCACCGTGTCCATGTATTGTCACTGCTGTGGTGAAAAGCAGAGTTTAATTTGCGCTGGTATTTATGTTCAGATCCATAAGATAAATATAAAGTGCATGTCTTCCCTCAGAGAATCCTGGGAATTGTTTGCTGGAAGCTGTGGCTATTAAAAGAAAAGCTGTCATTATTATTATTATTATTATTATTATTATTATTATTATTATTAATGACAGCTTCCATGGCAGGCTACAATAAGTAAAATACAATATTAAAAGCAGTTTAAAAACTCCACAATCGCAAAAATAAGGTGGGTCACATGAGCCTGTGATTTTGTATTTTATTTTATTGGGCAGTTGATCATAGTGGACACCTGACAGAGCAGCATATGCAGTGAAGCAGTTATCAGTTTCTACTATTATGCATAAAGGTAAACGTAAAGGGACCCCTGACCATTAGGTCCAGTCGCGGCCGACTCTGGGGTTGCGGCGCTCATCTCACTTTATTGGCTGGGGGAGCCGGTGTACAGCTTCTGGGTCATGTGGCCAGCATGACTAAGCCGCCTCTGGCGAACCAGAGCAGCACACGGAAACGCCATTTACCTTCCCGCCAGAGCGGTACCTATTTATCTACTTGCACTTTGACGTGCTTTCAAACTGCTAGGTTGGCAGGAGCAGGGACCAAGCAACGGGAGCTCACCCCATCACGGGGATTCGAACCGCCGACCTTCTGATCAGCAAGTCCTAGGCTCTGTGGTTTAACCCACAGCGCCACCCGCGTCCCAAGCCACCCGCATCCCCTATTATGCATAATTCTCCTCCAAATTAACACCCTCCATTCATTTCCAGAAGGTCAGCAGTGACAGACGAGGAGAGCATTGCCAAAGTACAGTGGTACTTCAACAGACATTGACCTAGTAGCACAATGGAAAGTCGCAGAAAAATATATCACCAAGGACAAGTGCTCCACAATCAGGAGTATAGACAAGCAGACAAATATAGGCATAGTCTTTTTCTTTACAATCACTTGTGTATTTGATAGAAGTAACATCAACTGGAACGTGTCCAGAGGAGGGCAACCAAAATGGTCAAAGGCCTGGAAACGATGCCTTATGAGGAACGGCTAAGGGAGCTGGGCATGTTTAGCCTGGAGAAGAGGAGGTTAAGGGGTGATATGATAGCCATGTTCAAATATATAAAAGGATGTCACATAGCGGAGGGAGAAAGGTTGTTTTCTGCTGCTCCAGAGAAGCGGACACGGAGCAATGGATCCAAACTACAAGAAAGAAGATTCCACCTAAACATTAGGAACCTCTTACTGACAGTAAGAGCTGTTCGACAGTGGAATTTGCTGCCAAGGAGTGTGGTGGAGTCTCCTTCTTTGGAGGTCTTTAAGCAGAGGCTTGACAACCATATGTCAGGAGTGCTCTGATGGTGTTTCCTGCTTGGCAGGCGGTTGGACTCGATGGCCCTTGTGGTCTCTTCCAACTCTATGATTCTATGAAATCAGGAACCAGACACTGTTCCGGTAAATTCAGCATTTCTTCCCTTAATCACTGAGCTGTACAATGAAGTCTAAGCAGTAAACAAGCAATAGCTTAGAAAACTGGACAAATCTGTGCCTGTATTAATATTGCCCAATCCAGAGACCAGTTCATCCGGCTGAGAAGCAGGATTGGCTTGGGTTGAAGCAACAATCTCTTCTCTGTTTACATATTCTAAGTGTTATAGGAATTCTAAGGTATCATGAATAAAATGAATATTCATAAGTGCACAAGGTAAGCACACATACATAAGTACATAAACCACATGTTTATGTAGTTATGATGTTAGTAGCTGTGCTAACGCCAGAGACACGTGCGCATGGGGTGGGCGTGGCCCGGGGCACCCACAGTCCCAGGGCCAAGACGGTGGGTCTGGAGGGACTTCTCCTTTACTGATGAGCAACACAGAAAGTTTCATAGCCCCACCCCATGGACAAAACAAAAATTGCTGTTATTATTAGACACCCATTATTAGCCGATTCAATGTCCAGTAGGATGATATCACCTGTCCCAATGAATTAAGATCCTTACCAGGCATGGCAAGTTGGGCCCAACATTGGGGGGGCACCTGTTGTGCGGAAGGCACTCTGGCGATTGCCGTGAATGGTGGGCAGACACTCCCATCGGGGGGGCCCAGAGGGTGGAAAGCGCCCTCTTTACCTCCCACCCCAACCTCACCCAGGAGCAGCGGGGGGTGGCAGCCCCCTCCCCTCAATACTGGGGGGGCTCAGCCCCCTGTTTCAAAATATTGAGGGGGCTGAAGCACCCTCTGTCCCCTATAGCTGGCACCCCTGATCAGAACATCTTGGCATTTCTATCCCAGTCCATAGTTTATCCAACTCCTTTTTCTTTTCTGCTCATGGCCTTCTTGCCTTAGTGCTCAGTCCAGCTGAGTCTTTCTCTTATCTCCATGACCAGACCATGCCATACTTTTATCATCCATCTCCGGCTCCTGCAATCCTTGCTGGAAGGTACACATATTGTAAGGAGCAAGCCGTGAACTCACCTCTCCAAACTGGCCTTCTCCCAGCTTCTCCTTGAAAGTCAGCAGCTTTCGAGGAAACTCGGCCACAGCCACATCTTTGCCGGACAGCAAGTCCATGGTGATTGCAGGGACAGAGTAGGTGTTGCTGCCTGTCACCCCCTGCAGGTTCACAATGTCTGCCTCTGCATAGTGGGGAACCCCTTCAGCTGCACCGGGCTGGGCTGGCTTGGCAGACGCACTGCAACCTGGGAAGGGAGGAAAGTAGAGGAGAGGGTCTCAGCCAAATATGCTTTGGGGTCTTTGGCTGCAATCCTCAAGGGCCACCTCTGTGCATATGACCCGAACCCTGCTATCATCACCCGAGGCCCTTCTTCATGTGCCACGCTCCATGAGAAGTCCAGAAGGTGGCAGCACAAGAATAGGGCCTTTTCTGTGGTGGTTCCCCATTTGTGAATGGCTCTCTCCAGAGAGACTCACCTGGCGCCTTCACTACATATCTTTAGGTGCCAAGAAAAAAGGTTCCTCTATAACCAGACCTTTGACTGATGAAACAATTTAATGGTCTTTTAAATGACTTTGTGGCAGGGGGTTATTGGTTTTTGTGGCTGTTAAGTATTTTGCGTTTTCACTTTGTATATTTGTGCTGTAAACCACCCTCGGATCTTCAGTTGAAGGGTGGTATATAAAATGCTGAATCAATAAAATGAACTTTGGACAGCATTAGACTTTTTTTATTATTATAGCAAGATACCAGTAATTTATGCAGTGTCTTTCTGGATATGTTTATTATGCCATAGCTCCTATGTTGGGGAAGTTTTTTTCTTTCTTTTTCTTCTGTTTGTATTCTGTTGCTTACTCTTCACATAAATAAAAATATTTATACATACTGTATATAAAAATGTTGAATGCTGCAACTTATGGATACTAAGAACTTTATTCTTTATTTTATGTAAGTTCTGTTTCTGTTATTCATACAGTAAGGAGATTTGTGCAGGCACCACAGACTCCAGGTTGCCCCCAAAACTGAAGAGCACTGGCGCGCACATGTGATGTCACACATGCAATGTGTGACATCACATGCACCTCGCAACGCTGTGCAGGGCAGGGCAGCCTTCCTCTAGGGAGATGCTACACAGGCCGGCGTGACCTTGCGCCAACCGAGGGAGTGAGAGAGGAAGGAGGGAAGACAGGCGGTCAGGGTGAGAAATATTGAGGGGACTGGGCCCAGCTGCAAGTTGTTGGCAGGGGTGACCCAAGACCAGGCCCTGTTGTGTATTTGGAGTTTGCCAACAGGAAGACCGCCTGCTGCCATTAAGTTATCTTTGGATGCCAAATTAAGGATGGGCAGACCTCAGTTTTTCTCAGTTTCTCATTTTGTCAGTCTTAAGTTCAGTTCTCCACATTTGCACATCAGTTGTTTTTTAAGTGCTCATGAAAATTCACCCATGTGTGAATTTCTCCTAATAAACTTTTGTATGCAATTCTGCATTATTTACACATATTTTCAGGGTAGGGCTTCCCAACATAATGTGGTTTTATATATATATATATATTGAAAATATGTGTTTTTAGGCACAGTTTACCACCGTACATGTGTTTTTGTATGCATTACGTGGCAGAAGACCTACATTGCAAAATTCAGAGAATTCATACAATTCATTTTAACTGAATGAGGCTGTTGATTTATAATTTAATAACTCTTTTATCTATATATTCTGTGAGATGGCTGCTATTTTATGTTTTAAAATAAATTTGTGCTTTTAGAAGCATAACAAAACTACCTTATGATGGCTTTTTTGGGACTGAAAGGCAGTACGTATAAAAGTACCTAAGTAAAGAATTCAATCTCATTCACCCCCATAAAGAAATGTTGAAGGTGGGATAGGGGTTTATAGCCCAGAGTAACAGAGCAAATATGGGAACAAGATCAAGAGAGTGCCTGGTTGCTCTGACCTGCCTCTTGCTCCCCTGGGGTGAATTCAGGTAACTTGCGGATGAGTCGAGAAGGCTCCTGGTAGTCTGCAGCCAGTGGGAATATGCGGTCGTAAGTAGAGTTTGATTCTCGCTCACTGGATGATGTGGAGCGGTTATGGTTGAACATGCTGGACTCACTGGGCAGAGAGAGGCTGACAGTCATTTCGTCGTCCAGCATCCGGCGAGAAGCCTGGAAGCAAGTCAAGGTTTCATCTTTACTGTACAACAGGCAGAACAGGGAGAGACTGGCTTTATGAACTGATATTAACATCCCTGTTCAATCATATTCATTGGTGCAAGTGCATGCAAGGTTTTAAGACGTACAGAGCTTTTCCTTGGGCCAGACTTACACGCTATTAAGTTAAGAAGTGTAGAACGAGGGAGGGAGAAAGAGATGGGTTCCTTGGATTTTACCCCTTGTGAGTAGGAAACAGCTTAAGGGCACAAGTAGGTTTCCTCAACAGACAGATATTCAGTTATGAAAGGATCTTGAATGGGTTGCTTCAAATCTTGATACTAAACTCACATTTCCTACACATTTCTATGCTTACTTGCATGTGCCATGCTTAATCCTGAGGAAGTAACTTGCTGACTTTGGCAATTAAGTCTCTAATGCAGATGTGCACTGTATCTGTCTGCAGGCTTACCTTTTCCAACATCTTCTGCCAAAACTGTCTCCAGAGTATGATTACAATGATGGCCACCAGGATGAAAATGATGGCCACTAGGCAGCCAATCAAGATGCGAGTATTACTGTCATCCACTTTGAGGGTTGGATCTGTCAGAATACAACCATAAAATGTGAGCTTTCGGTGAATTTATGAAAACTAAAAAGACTTTCATATGGCATATTGCAAGCTGCCATCTTTTGCCCTAGGTTTCATACCTCCCCACTCCGTCAGAATTATTCTTGGTGTCTTTTCAAATACTGCCTCTATTCACACTGAGAACAGCAGCCTGAATAACTAAGAGTGCAGTTCCAGCCCCTTCCAGTATTGAGGGAGTGGGCTCGACGGCACATAGGTTCCCCTCTGCTGAAGAGTGCCACTGGTCTTCATTATGATGGGAGGTCCAGCTGCGATCAAGAGGGTGGAAAGCTACGGCTGTCCCTTCTGGTAGAAGGAAAAAGGCCTGAAATAAGGTACTTCAAGGAAGGCTGCCAGTGGCCTTGGATCTATCCAATCTTCCATTCTTGGACAAGGTGATTTAGCAGGTGGTCGCTGAACAATTCCAGGCATATCTGGAGGATGCGGGCCATTTGGTTCCCTTCCAGTCGGAATTCAGGCCCCTTCATGAGCCTGAAACTGCCTTGGTCTCGTGGTCCCTAACTCTGGCAGGCTAGGGACAGAGGTGAAAGCTGTTTTCTGGTTCTGCTGGATCTTGCAGCAGCTTTTGATACCATTGACCATGGTATCCTCTTGGCTGGGAAGGAGGTTGGGAGCTGGGGGCACTGCTATACAGTGGTTCCGCTCCTTTTTCCTGGGCCATGTCCAGAAAGTAGTGTTGGGAGATGAGTGTTCAGACCTCTGGGCTCTCACTTGTGGAGCACCTCAGGGCTCTGTCCTCTCCCCCATGTTTTTCAACATCTATATGAAGCTGCTGGGAGAGATCCTCAGGGGGTTTGCGCTGGGTGTTAACCAGTATGCGGATGATACCCAGCTCTGCCTCTCCTTTAAATCAGAACTGGTGAAGACAGTGAAGGTCCTGTGTGAGTGTCTGGAGGCAGTTAGAGGATGCATTGTGTCTAACTGATTGAGGTTGAATCCTAACAAGAAATAAGTACTGTTTCTGGGGGACAGAGGATGGGCAGGTGGGGGGGGGGATTCCCTGGTCCTGAACTGAGTAACTGTGCTCCTAAAGGACCAGGTGTGCAGCCTGGGTGTCATTTTGGACTCACAGCTGTCCATGGAGTCGCAGGTTAATTCTGTGACCAGGGCAGCTATCTACCAGCTCCAACTGATACACCAGCTGAGACCCTACCTGCCCGCACACTGTCTCGCCAGAGTGGTACATGCCCTAGTTATCTCTCGCTTGGATTACTGCAACGCGCTCTACGTGGGGCTACCTTTGAAGGTGACTCGGAATCTACACCTAATCCAGAATGCGGCAGCTAGACTGGTGACTGGGAGCAGCCACTGGGACCATATAACACTGGTCCTGAAAGACCTACATTGGCTCCTAGTATGTTCTATGCACAATTAAAAGTGTTGATGCTGACATATAAAGTCCTAAACATCCGTGGCCCTGTATACCTGAAGAAGCATCTCCACCCCCATCATACAGTTCAGACACTTGAGATCTAGGACTGAGGATCTTCTAAGAACCAAGCAGAGGGCCTTCTTCTCAGTAGTGGCGCCCACCCTGTAGAACTCCCTCCCATCAGATGTCAAGGAGATAAGTAGCTATATAAACTTTAGAAAACACTTGAAGGCAGCCCTGTATAGGGAAGCTTTTTAATGTTTTTTTTTTAATGTTTTTATATATATTGGAAGCCGCCCAGAGTAACTGGTGCCACCCAGTCAGATTGGCAGGGTATGAATAAATCATCGTTGTCATCATCTAATGGTGAAGGATCTCCCAAGTGGTCCTATCTTTGGGTCCCTCAGCTATGACATCTTGGAGCAGGAGTAGCAAAATGAGAGTAAGGGCCCCACCCCCACCCCTCCACCACAGTGCAAACCTGCTACTCTGCATCTCCCTGGTGCCAAGTTAGAATTGTTCCACAGCTAGCTCATCCACAATATTCCAGGTAGATCACTTTATGGTCCACATTCTAAACTAGCGTCACACATACCATAAGTAGTAGGAGTCACTGAAGAATCAGGAAGGGCTCCAGAATTATTGTACATGGCTGCATCTAATAAAGGAAAAAAAAGGGGGGGATCCAGACTTAAACAACAGCACCAGCAGACATGGTGGTTGTTTGAAACTTTCGTTTTTAAATGTGGAAAATCAGATTATAGGTGCTTCTCAAGACACTGAGCTGGTTTCACTTATCGTACCTTGGCTTAATAAAGAAAGATGTGAAAGCCCCTGATGGCCGTGCACACAGCCTCTTTGCTCCTCTAGTCACACAAACAGTGATTAAAACATTAGGTTTGGTTATGGAAAAGGCGGTTTCCCTTGGCCAACCAGCTAAACTCCTGTCAGTGGCCCATCCACACTTTCGTCTGACCTGTGATTCCTACTGATCTAGTATCACGGGTTCAATAGGGTTTTTGTCCCACCACTTTCCCCAGGAAAACCTACTGGTTACTGTTGAACTGGAGCAAATGCCAGACTGCAGCAAACCTGAATAAACATTTGTCCCTCTTCTGAACCAGTCCTAACATAGCTCCTGAATCGGATTTCATGTGCTTCATGTGTTGGGGAGAGTCTGCTCCCCCCCCCTTCTTTCCCCACCTAGCCCTGCAGGGTAATTTTCCCAGTTGTCTCTTCAGCTTTGAGAAGCACTTCCGGTTTTCTCAGAATGTTTTATTTGTTTATTTTACTTTCCCCTGTTTACTGCTCATGTGAAACTTGTGATAAAATGATATTTATTGGAAGGGTCCCCACTTCTTTTGTATGTCAAATGACTGTCTGATTATCCAGCTCCTGAGCATCTGGTTCCCTGATTATCTGGTTTTCTGATTAACTGACTGCCGTAGGTGGGCAGAGCTGAAGTTGGGGAGAACACAAGAAGCAGACTATTGAACAGGAAAACATGGGGTTTCAGGGATGAAATCTGAGGCAAGAAACACAAGTGGGAACACCCAGCCCTGGACCAAACTGAAAACAGGGCAAGAAGACATGGGAGGGAAAGTGTGAGAGGGACAAGAGGATAGGCCTCAGAGACTAAGCAAAGTTTAGACCAGGCTCAGGGGTGCCAACTTGAATAAAATATGGGGGAGGGGGAAAGTAAGCCCTGCCCCACATAATTTTTCACAATATGGGGCACATGCACACCATTTGAATGGCAAAGCCCATCAACTTGGGGGGCAGTCCCCTCAAATGTGGGGGGTCTGAAGGGACCTCAGCCTCTAGGAGTTCGCTCTGTGACCAGCCTCCTATGGGAAGAAGGTAGATACCCTGCGGTCCCAGGCTGCTCAGGGCTTTTTAAAGGTCTAAACCTCAGGGGGCCCTTTTCAGCCCAGCAGCCATATTCCCTCAGTTGCATACCGGGAGTGGTATATCAGTGGCAGGCACAGCCAAAGGCAACAACATGAGCAGAGATGTGACTTTCGCTTGGCTGGAGAGGGGTGTGGGTGGGTGTAGAAACCTCCAAATTTTGTATGGCTTGAACCCAACTTACCACACAAAGGCAAGGAAGAGATTATCACAATTCAGGGACGGACACATTCTGGCCATGCAAAAACACACCAGGTGAGGTGGGACAGAGCAAGGCCAATAAAGGCTGTAGCCTAGGAAGATCCCCAAGGGACAGGCAGTGATACCTGGAGGCTCTCACACAGTTTGAACTGAGTCTAGAAACTAGCTGGCAACCCATGGCACAATCAGCTGTGTCTGCCCAGCTCCTGATAACAACCTGGCAGTTTCTGGACTCCAAGGGCAATCCCATGTAAAGTGAATTAAAGTAGTCCAACCTGGCAGTAACAAGAACAGGAATAAGCATGTCTAAGTCTGACTTCTGCAGGAAAGGCCACTGTTTACAAATTAGTAAAAGGAACTCCTAACTGACTTTCTGGTCCATCAACTGCATCCTTCCCTGGGGAAAACAGGCCTGGCCTTAGTCACATCTATGTGCAATGAAGTGTATGCACCTATACACACTTTAGACATTAGAGCGAATGCCTACATGGCTTATGAGGCAGGAGTGGCTAGGGCACAATCCTGTTCACTGAACCAATTTTGCTGCATGTACAGAGCAGGTCTTCTGTGTTGTACAGATCCACATATCTTGTATATCATTATCACAAATACAGTTCATCAGCCTATGCTGTGTCCAGACATATGAGACAATGAAACCTACTTTCCCAGCACATCAGGCCTTCTAGCGATGAACAAGGATTCCTAGCTCCCTCCCAAAATATCTCTCACTTACTAGGATACACATAAACACACACAGTTCCATCACCCATCCCTGTGTCATACCTGACTGGAAGGTGATCTCACTGAACATCATCCAGGTGTCCGCAAAGTAGAACTGGCATTTGATGGCACTGGCCATGTGATGGAGAAGGGGCACTGTGACGAAGCGGGCACTGGGGTTCACATCATCTAACACCAGCACTGAGGAGACGGCGTTAGGCTCCCACTCATTTGCATCAGAGCGGAAGTGGCACTGCACCTCCTTGAAAATCTTCACTCCCTTGGCAAACATATTGTTGCAGTGAACCTGTGTAATGGAGACATGAGACGGGTGAGCAGAAGGTGACGTGATCCCACCCAAAGACTATGGGATGCTCCAACTAAGGTTGCCACATTTTTTGAAAGCCCTGCTACTTTAAACAGTAGAGCGAAACATAGAAAATTAACAGGAGAAGCAATCAAGTGTTATATAAATGTCATGAAATAAATAAGTAATAATACTCTCCCACTGTAACTGCATGCAAGGCAGCCACATTAAGCTTTTGCTCCTATGCACATATAGAATCATAGAATCATAGAATTGGAAGAGACCACAAGGGCCATCGAGTCCAACCCCCTGCCAAGCAGGAAACACCATCAGAGCACTCCTGACATATGGTTGTCAAGCCTCTGCTTAAAGACTTCCAAAGAAGGAGACTCCACCACACTCCTTGGCAGCAAATTCCACTGTCGAACAGCTCTTACTGTCAGGAAGTTCTTCCTAATGTTTAGGTGGAATCTTCTTTCTTGTAGTTTGGATCCATTGCTCCGTGTCCGCTTCTCTGGAGCAGCAGAAAACAACCTTTCTCCCTCCGCTATGTGACATCCTTTTATATATTTGAACATGGCTATCATATCACCCCTTAACCTCCTCTTCTCCAGGCTAAACATGCCCAGCTCCCTTAGCCGTTCCCCATAAGGCATCGTTTCCAGGCCTTTGACCATTTTGGTTGCCCTCCTCTGGACATGTTCCAGTTTGTCATTGTCCTTCTTGAACTGTGGTGCCCAGAACTGGACACAGTACTCCAGGTGAGGTCTGACCAGAGCAGAATACAGTGGCACTATTACTTCCCTTGATCTAGATGCTATACTCCTATTGATGCAGCCCAGAACTGCATTGGCTTTTTAGCTGCCACGTCACACTGTTGGCTCATGTCAAGTTTGTGGTCAACCAAGACTCCTAGATCCTTTTCACATGTACTGCTCTCAAGCCAGGTGTCACCCATCTTGTATTTGTGCCTCTCATTTTTTTGCCCAAGTGCAATACTTTACATTTCTCCCTGTTAAAATTCATCTTGTTTGTTTTGGCCCAGTTCTCTAATCTGTCAAGGTCGTTTTGAAGTGTGATCCTGTCCTCTGGGGTGTTAGCCACCCCTCCCAGTTTGGTGTCATCTGCAAATTTGATCAGGATGCCCTTGAGTCCATCATCCAAGTCGTTGATAAAGATGTTGAATAAGACCGGGCCCAAGACAGAACCCTGTGGCACCCCACTAGTCACTCTTCTCCAGGATGAAGAGGAACCATTGATGAGCACCCTTTGGGTTCGGTCAGTCAGCCAGTTACAAATCCACTGAGTGGTAGCATAGTCAAGACCGCATTTTACCAGCTTCTTTACAAGAATTTTAGTCTTCTTAGGGTCTCTGGGGAAGCAGCAGCATTTCAGGACTGAGGTCCAGAATCACAGTGTGTGCACATACTATTTTCTTCCTGTCTGTTTTGCCACTTGTTCCACCCATTCTATCCATCAGGTTGCACCCTTGAGGTGCTAGGCAAAGCCAGGCTCTTCTCTCCTGATTTCTCCTGCACAGGCCCCTCGGGAATGAATGGGATGCAACTTGAAACCGTTGCTCTTAATCGACCCAAGCTCTCATCAATTTCAGTAGAATAAGGTATCAGTGGATTGTGTCCCATATCAGTTAGTGGAAGGGAAAGATAACATTTGAATTTTCTGCACAAGGCACAAAATATAACACCTGTTTATCCTTTGCCAGTGCCACTCTTAAACACATCAACTGTCCCAGAAAAAAACAGGGCATCCTGATTTTTCTCGTGAGAGGACAGCAGCCCAAATGGCCACTGTGAGCTCACACAATTTCAGTACACTTTCACCCCGAAAAAGTGTTTTTTTCAGGGCAGAAATGTTGTGTAATGCCCCAAAACACATGTTTTGGGGCACCATGCCCCCAACAAGTGCTGGGGGGCGCTGAGAACTTGTACGGGTAACATGACTTACACAGGATTGCAGCCCCAAAAGATGGCGTCTGAGTTTTGGATCCTTTTGTATCTGGTGCCAACCAGATGTGCCATGTCAGATTTCAAAATGGCTGTCATCAACACAGGTCAAATGAATACACAGACCCCTTTTTTAAGGTAAGGGATTTGGACTTTGGCACACATATTTAGCACAAAGGCCCATGTGTAATTGTTTATCATAATAGTTACTCAAGTGTGTAGGCCAAAAGTTTATTTATTTATTTAAACCATTTATATATACTTAACTACCATAGTCTCAGAAATACAATACAGAAAAGATAAAAATAGGTTAAAGCTATAAAATCAGACTTCAGCTGGAATAAATAAGGTTTTGGAAGGTGTTGGAAGCTCAACGCCACTGACCTCAGCTGGAAATGAATCCCATAAAACTGGGTCCCTCAAGACCTCAGTGACTGGGGTGGGATATAAGGGATTAGGTGATCCTTGAGGTATCTGGACCCAAGCAGATAAGGGCCTTGTAAATTAATATAAGAATCTTGAACTTGGTCCTGCAGCACATAGGAAGCCAGTGCAAGCTTTTGAGCATCCAAGTTGTCTGTTAGCAGTGGTCTGCCCCAGTCAACAGTCAAGCTGAACCTTTTTGCACCAGCTGGAGCCTTCAGACCTGAGGTTTGAAATGTGGGGTTGGGCAGCAGGAAAAGGATCCCTACACATCTTCTATAAATTGCACTCTGCTGCCAGTCTAAAGAAAACATGGGAGCCCGCATTGAATTTAGCAACTAACCTTCATGGTGGTGAAGTTTCTGATCCGGTCAAATTCGAAGACAATTTCCACATAGCCGTTGGTGGTGCTCTCATTGCGCCAGCCAACATAGTCATAACCAGGCCATACATGGTATTCGTGGGTTTGGCTAAAATCATCCAGGCCTGAAACCCCGTCTGTCAGCTGGCCTAGTCCTTCCGTCATGCTAGTGAGTGGCAGGTTAAAAGAGGGGGAGGGGGGTAGAACACAGTTAATCCCAACCTTTTTCTTCTAAATATCAGCACGATTGTCCCGGCTCAAACAGGAGGGAAAAGGAGACAGATGGTGGTCTCCTGTACCATTTATTGGATGGATAAATTGTGGAATTGGCAGCTGGAAACTCAGTTGGAAGTCCAATTTAGCCCAGGGATGGACAAATTCTCACGTTAGTTTTTGATACAGTAAATTCCTCTCATGTGATGCATTGTAAAGCATTTTTGTACATGCCCTGATTATCCACAAATCATCATGAGAGTTTTTTGTGAGGCACAGGGGGCTTCCAGGAAGTTCCAAAAGACCCAGGTTACACAAGGAAGGAATCTTGTAGTTCTCTAGAAATCTAGTTACGGTAGGGGTAGCTAACCTGGTGCTCTCCAGCTGTCATGGACTACTACAACTTCCACCATCCCTGGTCATGCTGGCCATCTGGGGGGCACCATGTTGGCTGCCCCTGAGCTATGGTGTCTTTGCTGGGTCATTTCCATGTGATAACTTGCTTTGTGAAATAGTCCCCCATACAGGAAAAAGAAAAGGAAGTTACTGGAAAAGTTCCTTCAGTTCTAGAAAATGCTTGTGGACTTTAATGCAGTCACTTGTGAATTTGTCCACATGGGAATCCCAAACTCATTCAGGCAAGTCCCATGAGACAAAGTGGCCTGCATGCCATGAAGGCTTTGCTGTTTACCTGTTCAAATACCATAGTAAAAGCTAGTGAAACAATTAATTTTGCAGAAAGGTCATTTACTCCACAAAAATGTGATGGGCAGACATCGCACAAGAAATTTATCACATGAAAAATGAGCATTAATTCTGTCTCTGGTTGAACTTAGAGGATGAGGATAATTATAAGTTTGTTTGTTTGTTTGTTTGTTTGTTTATACATACATACATACATACATGCATACATACATATATACCCTGCCCATCTGGCTGGGTTGTTGTGTGACCATGAGAAAGTATAAAGGTACAGAAAGAGATGGCTGGCAGAAATTTTATAGATATTATCTCATTTTATTACTGACAACCTTCTGAGGGCTATTTGAATGGCTGAGCACTGTGAGAAAGGGATGCTGGACTAAACGGGCCACTGGTCTGATGCAGCAGAGTTGTTCTCATGTTCTTATGTTCAAATTCCCCAAATAGCAGGAAAATAGAGCAGATTCATGAAAAATAATCACCTTTGACTTAGTTTTTGCCACTGGTTTAGGTTGGATACAAAACTTGGGGGCAGGTTGTTGCACTGGATGCACACATGCCCTTTAAACTATAAAGTACACCACAAGGAAGAAACTGGATGGAGAACCAAAAATTATATTTAAAAAAGAGTTATACTCTGTGCTTTTTCCCCCAGGGGGTACTCAAGGGAACGCAGTACCGGAACCTCTTTTTTTGTTTGTTAAAAAGTGTGACACTTACTGTAACAACTTTATGGTGAGTACCAGCACCTATTTTTCTAGAAAAAAGGCACTGGTTACTCTTCACAATTTATCTTTAAATTTGAAACTATTGTTATGTTTCTTAAATCAATGAGACTGCCTTCTCCCTTCACTCTGAAATATTAACTTGGCTGAAGCCTTTCCTCTCTCCCTTCCACCCATCATGCACCTTTCCCAGTTGCGTGATACTCAGGAACCCACCTGTACCCGTCATAGATTGAATCGTTCAGGTAAATCACGGTGCCACCAGGTAGAGCCAACTGCTGCCCTGCAGGAGCACTGTATGAAACCAGCCCATCTGTAAAGAGATGGAACAGAGGTTACTTTTGCACGGCTGCTGCTGCTAGTCAGAACATCGGTCTGGAAAGAAGTCCACAAACACAGAGCCTGGAGGCTGGGAACAGATAAGCTAAATGGGAAGAAAGACTGGCTGAGGTCTAGGCTGCTTCCAAGTGGAATCATTCGCACACCTGCAAATTTAGGTTGTGCAGTTAGTGGATTTGGCACGCTTGAGCAACAAAATTGCTTTTTAAAAAAAGCACTTACTCACCATGTGATATTTCAAAAATCTCTAAGTGGCGTAGAGATTTTTTAAAAACGAGTTTTTGTGGGAAGGAAAATGATGGGGAAATGCCCTTGAAAGTGTGGGATAACACTTTCCTGCAAACAAATCAGAATAAATGCACAATAAACTCCAGCCCTCTGAACCACGCCTTCCTGCAGTTCAGGTACTCTTGTACTCAGGTACAAAGAGGACTCCGACCTCTTTGAAGCTAAAACAAGATAATACTGCAGTGATTAATTAATTTAAAGAAAGTACTTCCTGTGATCCTAATTAATTGCTCCTCTGTGGTGCCTTTAAGCTGCAAAAAGGGCAGTGTTTCTAACAGTGTAAACTAGTCTGGGAAAGGGGTTGAAAACAGGACCTCACGGCACAAAATTTGACACATATTTCTTTACTCCTGATAAAGTTCCTAGCTCCTTATTTGCACAAAAGTTTGAAACAGATCTCAATCAGTAAGCCTGATCAGGAACTACAGTTAATATACCCCTGCACCTCAAAATAAGTTATAAATATCTAGTCCATATAGTATAACTGCATGATTGAAGGAGTGTCCCCTTCAAAATTCACAATAAATCTCTGTTCCAAACCTTTGTGCAAATAAGGAACTGGGAGCTAGCAACTAAGGCCTCATCCAAACTTCCTTTTATGCTGTGCTTTCTAGGCGCAGGTCCAGGCTTTAAAGCTCAATGTCTGAACAGAGTTGTTTGTTTTTGTTTGTCTGTTGTTTTGCTCCAGCACTTTCCCTGGGAAACCCCGTGTTTTACCGCTGAATTGGAGCAAATGTCAGGGAGAGTCAGAGCAATGTTCAATTTCTGTTTGAATCCAATGCTGCAACTATGCAAGAAACAAGATCCTTTTGGTGTTTTAAAGCTGTGCCCTCCATCTTAGGCTCAGGTTGTTTATGCGTGTAAATAAACCATATATCCTGAAGACCCCATAGTCTCCACTGTTCCTCATTTCCAAAAGGAAACATGAACTCTGAGTAAACACCTGGAACCCCTGGAATCTCTCACTGCTCAGAGATTGGGGGGCATGTTTCTGTGTACTATTAAGGGGTGATTGTGTATTCTCTCTCTATAATTCCACCCCCCCCCCCAACATGTACAGGGAAAAATACTGTACAGGGAATATACGGGGGGGGGGGGGAACAGGGTTGCTTTCAGATTGCAAAATAATGGATACCAAGCGCTTCAAATGCTCAAATGAGCGTTAGAAATGCTGTACTTTATTTATCATTTTTAAGACAATTCTATCTTTGCTTTCCTATTTTATAACTATAACATTATTAATAAGTAGTTCTAATCAAATATTATGATACAATTAAAAAGTAGTAAATGAAATTAAGAACAAAAAATAAATACAGAAAGTTACCCATTCTAGCCCTTTAAATTAAACTGAATGCTTTTTTCCTTCAAGCATTAAATCTTCATTCAGTTTGGGAACAGCAGGTTTTGCTTTCTGTCACTTAAATTGTCCTCTTCCTGTGACTTATTTCTGCACTTCACTGGACACTTTTCTAAACCACTGGATTTCTATGAATTTTTAAAGTTCCAGGAAACATTATACATTTGAAAGTGATACACATAAGTAAATTAGACGTATCACTGTGCAAAGGAATATGCTGCCGGTTGAGACATTTTTCCCTGACCAGTTCCACACTTGCCCCCACTCTCCCTCTCTAGTTTCCTCTTTGCTGCTCTCATTTCAGAGTAATGCGAACAAAAATGGCCACAATCTGTGACCAAGAACAGCCAGAATCCAGCTAAGTACCGCCGTGAATGAGAGTTTTTCTGCAAGTTTGCATCTCAGCAGCTCAGTTTCAAAACTATTTTTTAATCTAAAAAACTGGTTGTGGAACTAAAGGGACTTTCCCCTCCATATCCGGTAGGAATACTCACAGGTTGCTTTATTCTGGGATGAAATTTATTAGGAGATATTAAAGATTATTAAAACACATATTCAAATTTATCCACAGTTATTCCTACTAAATGTGTCAACAGATACCATGAAGATGTTTTGCCAAAAGAACTTTTGGGTTCTGGCAGCTGCCAGCATCTCTATAGCACAGCAGTGACAATCATTTAAATATATGTCTATATCCTTATGGTAAAAATAATCTCTGGAATTTAGTTATTGCATAAAAAATAAAACCTAAGTCATGGATCTCTAATGGACAGGAAGATCCTGCTCATTTCTATTCAGTATGGTAGGATTTTATTTCATACAGTTTTGTTTCAGATGTACAGGTATCTCTCCCCACGCCATCCAGTGAAGTATGGTTGTTGTTATTTTAAACTGGGTGTTATTATTTAATGTTTTTAGATTTTGCATGCCCTGCATTGAGTTCAATATATTATTGATTTTTTTTTTGTTATTGTTCACTTGCCTCTGTGGTTCCATAATAATTTGAAAACTTTTTCTTTTCTTTTTAAGAATCTGGCAAGCCATTTGTCCATGTTGTGGATGGGATACATCTGTTGCAAAGGAAAAACCCCAGAGCAGTTGGGTGCAGACACTAATTATGAACACATTTGTCTAGATCACTGCCATTGTATGGTGGCTCAGCCAAATATGTTATTTTTCTTTTAAAGCACCACATTGATTTACCTGTTCATTAGTAGTTTTATTTTCAAAAAGGGGGGGGGAGAAGAATCCTTGGTGACATAACAGAGGCTAGCCAATCAACACTATGCACAGTTAGCTTCTGCTTCTACCTTGCAGAACTACTGCCCCTGCTTCCCACAAGAGCTCAACTTTGGACAAAAAAGGTACATTTGGATGGAACACAGTGATGAAGCTTCCAGAATAGCCTCACTGCTCTACAAAAATTATATTTGCCTGCAGTGTAAGTCACCCTGATAGGTCATAGTTCCAATGAATTGCTGTACTTACCTAGCCAGACACAACCATACAGCTCCACCCTGAGACAGACATTCGTGGAATGGTCAGTCACAGGAATAAAGCGGATGAATCGACCAATGATGGGTGGCTCCAAGTCCTTGAGGACAATATCGTATGGATTGGTGTTTCCATCAAGCACCTGAGGGGGGAAAGGACATAAAATAACCAAGAACAAGGCTGCTGGGTGGCAGGTAGGCAGGCAAGTGTTGCAGCCACAGTAATTGTACCACAGTTCTCCTTGAAATTTGTGTAGTTATTATTCTGATGGTGCCCTCTAGCAACTGAATATATAAGATTTTTCTATTTAGGTCAACTCAGTTCTGCTATAAGTTTAATCAGGTGTTTAAACTGGTTGCAATACAGTGGTACCTCGCAAGACGAATGCCTCGCAAGACGAAAAACGCGCAAGACGAAAGAGTTTTCCGTTTTTTGAGTCGTTCCGCAAGACGAATTTCCCTATGGGCTTGCTTCGCAAGATGAAACGTCTTGCGAGTTCTTGCAAGTTTGTTTCCTTTTTCTTAAAGTCGCTAAGCCGTTAATAGCCGCTAAGCCGCTAAGCCGCTAATAGCCGTGCTTCGCAAGACGAAAAAACCGCAAGACGAAGAGACTCGCGGAACGGATTAATTTCGTCTTGCGAGGCACCACTGTATTTGCTCTTTAGTAGCATGGCCTCTCCTAGAGAACACTGGCAATTTATGTACGTTCTGCACCTTCACCCAAAACATGGATTCTTGGTAACATAAAAATTCAGCTGAAATCTTGTCAAGTTCAGGGAATTCTTTGGTCCTTGACTTAGTTGTGAGAACCAAAATGTGGCGAGAAGGTAAACAACATTTCCATGCACTCTAGTTTCTGTCACAGTGTTCCATTGCACCAATAGCAGTTGAGTCCTGCTGGCCCCATGACCCAGAAAGCTGTCTGTGGACAAACACTGGCGCCCTCAACCTGAAATCAAGATGAGCGCCGCAACCCCATAGTTGTCTTTGACTGGACTTAACTGTCCAGGGGTCCTTCACCTTTACCTTTTTTGTGTGTGGTGCACTTTGAGGCATGCATACACATGTCTGTCTGTATGTGTATAATTCAACAAAGTTGCCTGCATTTTTGGAATCTTTATGGGGTCGTCTTCATGAGCTCCTGGGCTTCAGAACTTACTACAGCATTACTGAGGGCACATCCACACTTGCCTTTCCTCTGCTCTTTCCAGGCATGGTCCACACTTCAAAAGTCCGTGTCCGAGCACTTTTTTTTTTTTGCTCCAGAGCTTTTCCTGCAAAAACCCGCTCTTTAAAGCTCAGTCAGAGCAAACAGCAATATGTGGAAAGCCTGAATTGCTGTTTGCTCCAAAGACAGAGCTTTGAAGCACAGACCTGGAAGAGGAGGGCAAAAGATAAGTGTGGCTAAGCCCTGGCTGTGCTGTTGTTTTTTATTTGCCACAGACACTCTATAGTCAACAACTATTATTATTATTAGTATTAGTATTAGTATTAGTATTAGTATTAGTAGTATTAGTAGTATTATTATTATTATTTCACCCCTTCCCTACTGCTTTACCTGCTTTCCATGTCTGTTCCGCCAAGATATCCAGCGGGTGCCATCCCGGCTGTAATTAATTTTGTACATTGGTGCAAATTCATTGCCGTGACCTCCTGCATGACGGCCCTGGGTCCCGACCAGGGTGATGAAGTGCAGGGCATGTAAATCAATCTCCAGGAACTCCTTGAGGTCATCTGGTTCAACAGGGATCTCAGGGCACCAGGCACCATCCCCTTCTTCAGAGCCTAGCCTAGAGAAAAGCAGAAAGTGGACCTGACTGGTGTCACCAACTCATTTGTGGTCAATGCCCATCTTGGCCTTTCACTTCCCATGGTGGTTCTGCCTCATTCTTTCATTCGTCCCCTTCCTGTGACTCCCTTATCTGGCTCTGGCCCTCTCAGCCACTAGTCCAGTTTCTCCATTCCCGTTCAGCTTCCTGCTTTCACCACCTCAGCACCTGTGCCTTCCCTACTTGCCACGATAGATGTGCCACACGGGTGGCAACAGGGCAGAGCCAGGACTGGGGAAGCTGGGTTGGGCTGACCTCAGGGATGGAATGGAGGACAAGAGCATGGCAGCCCTGACTGGGACAACGGGATAGGCTGGAAGCTGGCTATGACAGATGGACAGAATTTGGATAGTGATAATGGTTTACTCCCTCTCACATGAAAGAACTCGGGGGAGGCAAAACAAGGAACTCTTCACATCACATTCAATGATCATATGGAGTTAGCTGCTGCAAGATGTGGCAAAGCTCAGATGGCTTAAAAGGGGCTTATGCGTATTCATGGAGGTGATGTATCAGTGGTGATAGACCATAGTAACTAAATGAGGCAAGTTGAGGCGAATGCCTCGGGTGGTAGGATCCACAAAGGCAGCAGATCTGGCCTCCAAGGAACATATCTGAAATATACTCTGAGTCAAAAGTGGATTTCATGCTCTTTATTCAGCTCATAGCGGTGAGGAGGAATGAATGTCCCCTCAAAGTATCTGCTTATATACATTATTTACACAATGGGCTGCACGTGATTGGCTAATTCAGGAATTCTCCTGTAGGCCAATGAGGTTGTGGATTCACTTCCATCTGGAGCCGGATTGGGTGGCTCCTGCAGACCAATCATACTGCTGCATTGTTCTAGGACCAATCAGACTGCTGCATGTTGGATCCTATTGTTCTAGGACCAATCAGACTGCTGCATTTTGGATCCTATTCACTCAGTACATAACACCATCACATGTAGACCTTCACCTCCTCCTTTTCCCTGATGTAAAGCTTCACTCCCCACTTTATCCCTGATGGGGCAGGTGCCATTTTGTGGCTTGCCTCAGGTGCCAAAATGTCTTGGGCCGGCCTGGCCAGCAGGGGTTGTTAACATCATGGCCCCTGCTGGCATTGGCTAGTCCTTCAGTAGCTGTGCACCCACACAGTGTTGAATTAAAAGCCCTCATGCATTCTCCACCACCTCACATGCCCCATTGAGTGGTGCTCAGCAGTGGATGTTGACAGCATCCAGCAAACCATCTCATGAGCCACAGCTGGTTACATCAGTGTTAAGCAAAGGACACCATGAACAATCCAGCAGGAACCTGTTCATTCTGCTCTATTGCTGCTGGTAATGTTCAGTGCCTGAACATTAGCACTGGGATCAGGTTCTGGGGCTGAGCCCTGGTACAAGAAGGGTGCCAAGAGTAGACCATGGGCTCTTCTGAGGATGGATGCAGAGGCAGTTTCACCTTTTTGAATGATTTTTATTAAGGTTTCAGAAAAAAAAAAATTAGACAGAAAGACATAAAAAAAAAAATACACAAATACACTATACATAATCCAAAAAAAGAAAATAAACACACACGAAAAACCAAAAAGCAAATAAAACAGAATAAACAGAACAGTTAAAAACAATATCACTTTTTCATTTCCGTTTTTTAAATTTACTTATTTTCTGGACTTCCCCATACCTCCCTCTTTTGTACTCCAGTCCAAATTGTTTGTCCAGCAATTTCTTTTCCACTTTTTTAATCCCAGTCTTTAATCTTAATATAATATAACATCAAAATTTTACCTCTTTAGTACCAAGTTTCCATTTCCTTAAACTTCTTTAATCCTAATCTTTAATCTCACTGTAATATAACTTTAAAATTTTACCTCTTAAGTACCAAATTTCCGGCAGTTTCACCTTTTTTGGGTGCCCTCAGACTGCTTAGCCTAGGAGGAGCCAATCACTTTTGGAGTAGGGGAGGATGCAAAAGCACAGCCAGTGGGGCATGGGAACGACTGGGGTATGTGAATGAGGCTCTCAGGCTCAAATGTCTTGGGTTTGTGAGAGACCCAGGCTCATCTCTCTCTTACCTTCCATACTTAGCTGCTGTGGATTCAGACCATTGACTAGAAGCAGTAATGTCCTCATCAGGGATGTGCCCACCTGACATGCCCAATGGGTAGCGGCAGACAGCTGCAGAGAGAGAGAGAGAGAGCAGTTTGGGATGTCGGTTTGGGATGTCAGTAAAGCAGTAATGGCAGGTTTTTTTAATCCAACAAAATATTCACCAGAAAAGGTTTAGAGGGGGAAAAACCAGAAGTATTGGAAGAATTGATTTTAAAAGAGTTGGTTAAAAAACCTGGAAAGGATTTGGTAAAACAAACAATAAAGATTACAAACACAATATTCCATGATAATAAACCAAGAAACAGAATGGAAAATAAGAAGGATGAAGCAGAAAAACATGTGCATATTTTGGACATGCTGCTGCATGGAATAATGCATGAGTCTGACCTTTGGAGTTTGTAAGTAAAGCATTTAAACTTACTAACAGTGTGGTTTGTTCCTTATGAGAGGGATAGAGAGGAGTAGAGAGGGGAAGCTCTGTAAGTGGACTAAACAGAATATTTAAAGAGTCTAACAACCTATACTCTTCATGCTTCACTGTGCTACATGATTATGTTTTTAAACTCTGCTGGGAGCTCTCACTTGCTGGAGAGGGTGTTCAGCTTGTGCTTTGGATCTAAGGATCAAGCCAGTTATTTTACTAATTTCCACACACTATCTATTCCCCACCCCCATGAGCCCACATTTTTACCACAATGACTCCAGCATAAAATAGATTAGAAAGATTAGAAAAACAGTATTCTATTTATCATTATAATTATGAGTACTAATTTATATAACGTGAAATTTAGCTGGCACATAATGCTACCCTGTCAAAGATTTTGAATGAGCGTTCCTTAATATTAGGAAAGAACCATGGATGCTTTAGTTGAGATTCCTGCATTGCAGGGGGGTTGGACTAGATGACCCTCAGGGTCCCTTCAGATCTACAGTTCTATGATTCTAAGCAGCAATAACGACCAGATAAAAGCTATATATAGCTCTATCTTCCTCGAAGCTCTTTAAAGCCCTAGGAGCCTTCCAGAGGAAGATCTGTGAGCGGTGAAAGACTCTTTGCCGTCAGGGGGTGGTGGGTTTCACCTGTGCTACCCCACTTCCAGTCCGAGGAACCTCAGAAGGGAATTGCTGCTATGCGCACTATGTATATGTGTAATGAGCTGAACAGAGTGAAAGATTATGAGTTATTGGGGTGGGGGGAATGTGTGTATGAACTTAACAGTGCATAGTTTATCTTTTGGTTCCTATTTTGTTTTATAAATAATAAATGCTGTATTGGTTAATTAATCATATAATATGACTTTTGCTTTAATTGTGATGTTTAGCGTGTTGTTTAATTGTAGCTTTGTTAACAGTGTTTTATAGATTGTAATTGTTTCACTGATGATTTGTTAATTTTCTATATGATTTATGCTGTATTTGTTATATTCTATAATGTTCTGTCATGTCACTGTTATTTATTGTTTGTAAATGGCATGGAAATATAATAAATCATATCAAATCAGATATGTAGAAGTTAAAGTGGAACCTGCATCTTCAGTCCATTTCTGCATATCTCTAGCCCATGAATTAAATCCTAAAGTTTTGTAGCGATGAGAAGAAATATGTTTAAAATGTGTGGACTGTTTAACTGTGAGAGTCTCAGATCCTGTAAGGGCTCACTTAATTTGGAGTTAATTACTTACTTTCGAAAAAGACACCTCTGCAAATACTGATACCATGTCATAACTTCAATCTCAAACCTGATTTGAATCTCTTGTTTAATTAAATTCTTGAATTTTTAAAAATCACATTTGTCATTTATACCATTTTTTAGTTTCTAAAGTGCTGTCAGATTCTTTCCACTAGTTCTCACTGGGTTTTCCAGTGGTAGACTTGAGTTGACAGAATATAGAGTACTCTAAACATCATTTGAAATGCATCCCCATACGCACTTTTAGTCAATTATTCATTCCTGAACTGCCTGCTGGAAGCACCCCTACCAATATGTTTGCAATCTAGAATTATAATATTTGGCATTTACACAGCACTTTGCAATATCCAAGTAACTTCTCATACATTATTTTCAATAGTTCTGTAATATACACCAGTATCACCCCAAATTGTAGGTGGGAGAGGGAGATGATGAGATTGTGTTGCCTTCGTGGCAGAGGCAAGATGTGGACTAGAGAACGTCCTGACTTGTAGACCCTACAGCAACTGAATAGTTAAACATTAAATACATTTTAATTGGAAAGATACAGAGACTGAGCTGAGTGAGCACTGGAGGGACAGCTCAGTAAAGCCCTTCTGCAAGCTCACTTCCCCAGCACCTTCTTCCCAGTTTGGAAATGGAAAACTACCAGTGCCTACAATGTGTGGCTGCTTTTGATTTGCAAGAGACTAGCCAAGAAGCTTCAAGCAGGCCTTCAGCTACCTGAGCATTATTTTTCATGCTTAGCTGCCAAGAGAGCTTCTCAAAGGGCTGCTTGTTCCACAATGTTTACTGTCTGACCGCTGGCCTCAGCCCAAAGCTCTGCCCATTACCTGCCAGCAAACTACTTCGTAGCAAACTCAACTACACGGGATGAAGAAGGTGCAGCATTTTTGAATCACTTATGCAGCCAAACACATTCCGACACATTCAGTACAGCCTACACATCTTCCAACAGTGGTTTAAAAATACTGGACCAGAAATGGGGAGCCTGTGGCCCTCCAGTTGTTGTCAGACTCAAGCTCTCATTGGCCAGCATGGCCAATGGGTAGGGGTGATGGGAGCTGTACTCCAGCTACAACTGGAGATTTGCAGGTTCCCAGTCCCCTGCACTAGAGACCTTTGGGTTGCCCAGGAAACTGATTGGCAGTAGATACAGGACACGGAAAAAGAAAATGCTGTTCTAGATTTAAAGGTAAAGGTAAAGGGACCCCTGACCATTAGGTCCAGTTGTGACCGACTCTGGGGTTGCGGCACTCATCTCGCTTTACTGGCCGAGGGAGCCGGCGTACAGCTTCCGGGTCATGTGGCCAGCACGACTAAGCCGCTTCTGGCGAACCAGAGCAGCGTATCTACTTGCACTTATCTACTTGCACTTTGACGTGCTTTCAAACTGCTAGGTTGGCAGGAGCAGGGACTGAGCAACGGGAGCTCACCCCGTTGCGGGGATTCAAACCGCCGACCTTCTGATTACTGTACAGTATTTGGGAAACGAAGGGAGAGAGACTGAGGGGAGAGAGACTTTCTGCAGGCAATGGCTTTTCCTTGCCCCACCCTCCAGCCCCTGGAGCCTTTCCCAGACCATGACTTTGAGAACAGAAGAAGCATCTGGGAAGAGAGGAATTCAGGGGTAGTTTTTAATAATAATTTTACAAGTTGTGTGTCCTTGTTTCTCAGTTTGACCGTTTTACATGGTTTTGTACGTTTTGCGGTATTTTATGCATTGTGATTTGCTGTTATTGATTATAGATTAGTAATTCTTTATTGTAATTGAGAAGTGTAAACTGTTTAATTATTGTTTGCTGATGTTTAATTTTACTGTTTACTATTGGATTCTAATGGACTATTGAATATTTCTTTATTTGATATGTTGTTTATTTTAAAGTTATTGTGACTTTTTATATAGGATCTGATTGTTACTGTTACTGTTTGATGTTTTATTATTATTATTATGTGTGTTGGAAGCCACCCAGAGTGGCTGGGGCAACCCAGCCAGGTGGGCAGGTTATAAATAATATTTATTTATGTATTTATGTATTTATTTGGAAGAATCCAAGCTGCAGAGGAATTCCTGTGGCTGAGCTAAGGTCATCAAGGAACAATAGGAAGCAATTGAGGGACATTAACAATACAAGAGAATTCCTTCCCCCTTGCCTTGAGGTTTGAACAGAGACTGGGGATTTGGAGGTTGCCAGGGTAATTGCTCTGGGAGCAAGGGTGGCTGGGACAAAGGAGGAGGAAGAAGGGCTGAAATCCTGTCCCTGGGGGACAAGCCCCTCTTGAAAGGACTATGCTATAAGTTCTGGACTCCCTCCATGCAGACTGAAGGTGTAAATAGGTAAATAAACCATATTTCTTAAAGCCACGACAGTCTCTGCCATGTATTGTATTCTTCAAATGGACACAGAACCTATGTGGGTGCCTGGGACCCCCTGGGCTCTTGGCAGAGAGAGGGACAGGCACCCGTCTTTTGTAACAATATCTTTTCTCTCAGTGAATAATTAACAGGGTAGAATTAGCTGCCACAAGACGTGGTGTTGGCCAGTGGCTTAAATGGGTTTAAAGAGCAATTACACAAATGCATGGTGTACAGGGCCACCAGGTTGGCTATGACAGCTAAATGGAACTTCTGTGTTCCAAGGAAGGAAGGTCACCTCCCAGTTTCAGATGCTGTTGTCCTCATGTCCTGCTTTTGGCCTTCCTAGTGTTATGAAAACCATCAACCCAGCCACTATTAGAAGCAGGATGCTGGATTCAATGAGCTTCGTGCCTAGTTCAGCAGGGAATCTTCTTTTGATTCTTAGGTGACTCAAACTTGTTAACTTTTGTATGCCATGAGAGCTAACCTTTATGGAGGTCTGAGGACAAGCAGCTTAATCAAGAATCATACATGGAACCTGTTAGCTGTGATAAACCCAATTTAGTGTTAAATAACATCAAAAGGTACAACTCATGACCACCAGGAACTATATTTACAATACTGCTCAGAAGTATTATATGCAATGGGACTTACTTCCAGGTAGGCTACATCTCTTAGTTTGTGGACCTGATACTGAGAAGCAGCATTTTCATCCCTTACCTGGATTGACCTGAGTTTTCACAGCACTTGGAACAGCCAGCAGGATCAGCAGAGCTATCAGTGTCTGGGGAGGAGTAAGCATCTTCAGTTTCGTACCTATGGCAGCCAAAATAAGAAATCAGGAGACACACAGAAGGCATAATTAAGACTGCAGTCGTATGCTGACTTCCCTGGGAATAAGGCCCATTGAACAGTGCACAGTGGGGGCTCATCCACACTTTCACTTCTCCCACCGCTTTTCCCCAGGGGAATCCGCTCTCTGCCACTGAATCTGAGCAAACGACAATTGCATTTTCTATGGATTTATGTTTGCTCCGATTCAGAACAGGTTTTCCTGGGGAATGCGGCCAAATAAACAGAAAACCACTCAAATTCATGCCTAGAAAGCACATAAGAATCAGAAGTGTAGACAAGCCCTGAGTTTTAATTCAAAGTAAACATGCAGAGAGTTGCCCCTTAAGACTTTGATTGTGTTCAAGGCTAGCTTAGGTCGAAGAGTTAAAAGTCCAGCCACACATGTATGTTACTGTATGCTGCACAGCAGAATAACACATTAAATTATACATGCTGTGTATACATTACCAGGTTAAAACTCACCTAGGTCCTTTCCTTCCCCCCTCCACCAGTTCGGATTGAAGTTGGTTTTGGGGGAAACACATTAAAATGCAGTATGTTGTAAGATGCAACACCATAGATATGGATTGTGGCTAATGTGTGTATAAAGGTACCCCTGCCCATACGGGCCAGTCGTGTCCGACTCTAGGGTTGTGCGCCCATCTCACTTAAGAGGCCGGGAGCCAGCGCTGTCCGGAGACACTTCCGGATCACGTGGCCAGTGTGACGAAGCTGCTCTGCCGAGCCAGCACCAGCGCAGCACACGGAAACACCATTTACCTTCCCGCTATAAAGCGGTACCTATTTATCTACTTGCACTTAGGGGTGCTTTCGAACTGCTAGGTGGGCAGGAGCTGGGACCGAAAGACGGGAGCTCACCCCGCTGCGGGGATTCGAACTGCCAACCATGCGATCGGCAAGCCCTAGGCACTGAGGTTTTACCCACAGCGCCACCCACGTCCCAATGTGTGTATACCACTTCTCAAACCAGCAGTGGGGGCACACAGCATGCAGAGTAAATGGAGTGTGTTCACAGCTCAAATGTTTAACAAGATGCTATTTTCCAATCCGTAGAAAGAGCAGAGCCAGAACGCCTTTTCAAATGCAAATGTCTTGAGCATTGCTTTTTCCAAGGGTTATCTGACAGAGGACACTTAAGAAAGGGCGGACTTTCGGAAACTCCAGGTATGAAGGTATTTTTCAGACACAGAAAGTGGAATCAGCAGAAATGATATATAGGCTGTGAGGTGTCCTAGGCTTGCCATTTGTCCTCTTTTTCCAGGACACATCCTCTTTTTCATGAGTAGAGACATCAAAGCAATCCATAGTTAAAAGCAGAAGTCATCAAATGTGTCCTTTTTTGCTCTTCAAAATATGGCAACCCTAGAAATTCTGTTCTGCACTTTACACCTTTGTAGACCATGAAGATGTTTGGCTAGACCTTTTCAGTCTCCACTCTAAGACGTACCTAAATAAAGAAAGGAACTAACTGCAACTTTCAGGTGAAAGGCCTACTTCTTGAACCATCCATCAAGTATAGCTTAGGTAGGGTTGCCATATCTCTGGTTTCTCCCAGACAGGCCTTCTTTTTCAGGGGTGAAATTTCAGTCTGGGAGGATTTTTTGAATTTGCCAAAATGTCCAGGTTTTTGCAAACAGAGCCAGGAAGTGTGCATGCGAGGATCACTCTTAACGTTTTTCTATTTCGCATGCATGGTGGATGTTGGGACTGGGCTCACTGGCAGATCAAACGGCTGCTACCTGGACCTCCCTGAGCTGTTGGCTATGCCAGTGCCCAGTAAGCTGCCCGTGAGCAGGTGGGAAAGACTCCCGGGGGGGGGGTCTCTCTCTGTCTCCCCTTCTCCTCCCCCACCCTTTCCGGGTCTCTCATATACTCTGTGTGCCTCAATGCCAGGATCTCCACCCCACCCTATGCATTATCCATTGTTCTTAAGCTGACTTTGTTTTGCAATATTAGAAAGATCTAAGGAAAGAAAGGGAGCTTGCTGGTAAAGAAGATCCCCCCCAAGCTCTCTCAGTCCCATTTAAAAGTCTAAGGCCAATGAGCATATGGATAGCGAGTGTGGAGATTAACCAAATCACATTGGGTACCTCTAAACACAATTCCTGAATGTAAGTTAAAATACACAGCTCTCATGTAAGGTCAGGGAAAGCCTCTCCCCATTTGTGTTGGTTTTTTCTTTCTTTCCTGTTTTATACATATTGAAATCTTAGCAGACTGAAGAACCGAGTAAAGAAATTGCTGGGGGTTTGGGGGGCGGGGAGAAGAGTGGAGGAAATAGCAAAAGAACTTGGCACCCATTTCCCCCCTAAAAGCTTTGCTCCTTTCTTTTGAACACCACACTGCTTGGATCTTCATATTGTATTTCTTTTTGCCATTATGTGAGTAAGTAACTCGACAACCTTTAGAAGACATCCGAAGGCAGCCCTGTATAAGGATGTTTTAAAATGTTTAATGTTTTATTATGCTTTGATATATGTTGGAGTGGGGCAGATGGGTGGGGTAGTATTATTATTATTGAATAGGATGTCTCTATTTGGAGGGTATGGTGTGCGCACACACCGTGGATGGCAAGGGGCTCCGCATTCTCTTTTTTGCTCTTCAAAATCTGGCAACCCTAGCTTAGCTTAGGGGAATTTGGATTAGTTTATTTCTGTTTGATTTAGGGCTTAGCCACACTTACCTTTGGCCCCACATTTTCAAGGCACAGGTCCGTGCTTTAATGCTCCATGCCCCAGAGTGTTTGCCACAAAAACTCAAACTTAGTAAACTTGTATTATTTTAAAGAAAGAATTAAGTTTGCATGACTGGATTTTTATTGATCTCTGTTAAGGTAAAGGACCGCTGGAGAGTTAAGTCCAGTCAAATGTGATTAAGGAGTGCGGCATCTTCAAGCTGAGGGAGCTTGAAAGCAGACAGCTTTTCTGGGTCATGTGGCCAGCATAACTAAACCACTTCTGGTGCACAGAACACTGTGACGAGTGCCAGAGCGCATGGAAAAGCTGTTTACCTTGCTGCATCAGAGGTACCTATTTATCTACTCATGCTGGTATGCTTTCGAACTGCTAGGTTGGCAGGGGCTGGGACAGAGCAACGGGAGCTCACCCCATCGCAGGGATTCAAACCACCGACCTTCTGATCAGCAAGCCCAAGAGGCTCAGTGGTTTAGACCACAGCGCTACCTGCATCCCGTATATCTGTTAGAATAGAGCACCTACTTATTACACTGCTTTAATGTGAACTGAGAGGAAAAATAAGCCATTTCTATGTTGAAATTAGTTCAAGCCCAAGAAGAACACAGGAAGCTGCCTTATACCACCCAAGTCAGACCACGGATCCATCGAACTCAGTACTGCCTACACTGACTGGCAGTGGCAGTCAAGGGTTTCAGGCACACAGCATCCCCAGCCCTACATGGAACCTTGGCTCTTTTGCATGCAACACTGGTCCCCTGTCACTGAGCTATGGCCCTTCCCCAAAGTGGGGATTTCTGACCCATAATCACATTTGAAAATTGTCCTAGAAATCCATGGACCCCTCAAAGGGAGGGCTGAATGTACAAGGGTTTTGGATCAGACATGCCTTCTTCCCACTTTTGCTCTTAAGGGAATTAGGAAAACCCCACTAACTAGGAAAGCAAGAGATAAAAATCCTACTAAGAATCCGACTTGAGATTTCAACCTGCCTGCAATTTCCCTGACCAGATGAAATGATTTAGAAGCATACTGTATTTGGGACAGTAACTGAGGGGTCCAGGCAAAACCAGCAGGGATGCCTCTCCCTCTTACATTCTTGGCATAGGTCATTTTTCAGGGCCTGAAGATGGATGGAAATTGCTCAAGCTCAACCTTCACCAACTTGGTGCCCTCCAGACATTTTGGACTACAACTCCTAGCAGCCCCAACCATCACAGCTTTATCATCCAGAAAAACTTGGGCCGTTGTTTTCTTATGCTGCAAGTCTTCTAGAACTACTTGAGTAGACATGCATAAACATGTGCTGCTTTTAATCACATGGGCTCTTGATTCTTTTGTGTGAATGTGTTTAGGTTTTATTGTATTATTTTATTTTTAACGGCAATCATTGGTTGAAGGGCAGTAAACAATGTTTACAGTGAAGTAACTAATAAGAGATAAATGCACCCCCAATCAAAGCTGAACTAGAGCTTTATAGTATCATAGAATCATTGAATTGTAGAGTTGGAAGGGACCCCGAGGGTCATCTAGTCCAACCCTCTGCAATGCAGGAATCTCAACTAAAGTATCCATGACTGGTGGTCATCCAACCTCCAAAGAAGGAGAGTCCACCACCTCTGAGGGAGTCCGTTCCACGGTTGAACTGCTCTTAACATCAAAAAGTTCTTCCTGATGTTTAGCCAGAATCTCCTTTCTTGTAACTTGAAGCCATTGGTTTGGGTCCTACCCTACAGAACAGGAGAAAACATACTTGCTCCATCTTCCATTTGACAACCGTTTATATATCTGAAGATGGCTGTCATATCCTCTCAGTCTCCTCTTATCCAGCCTAACATACTCAGCTCCCTCAACCATTCCTCAAAAGGCTTGGTTTCCACACTCCTGATCATCTTGGTCACCCTCCTCTGCACACGTTCCAACTGGTCAGTATCTTTCTTAAATTGTGGTGCCCAGAACTGGACACGGTACTCCAGGTGTGGTCCAACCAAATAATAATAGAGTGGTACTATGATTTCTATCAATCTGGACACTAGACTTTGATACAGCCTGGAATATCACTCACAGTTTTTACTTCTGAATCACGCTGTTGACCCATGTTAAGCTTGTGGTCTACTAATACACCTACATCCTTTTCACATGTACTACTGGCAATCCAGGTGTCCCCATCTTAAACTTGTGCATCTGGTTCTTTCTGCCTAAGTGCAGAACCTGACATTTGTACCTATTGAGATTCATTTTGTTAATTTGGGCCCATTTCTTATACATGCCCTTCTTAAATCTCAGCTCATCTGTAAGAGATTTATGCAGCCACATTGGTTTCTTTAGATGCCTCCTACTGTTATTTCTTGTTAGAATTGTCTGCATTTGTGGGCTATTTGGGTTATTTGTGGGGCATAGGAATTTATCCATTTCTCCCCCTTCAAAATCTAGTCCGGCCCCCCACAAGGTCTGAGGGTCAGTGGACCGGCCCCCTGCTGAAAAAGTTTGCTGACCCCTGGCTTAACTTCTTGCTCTCACTGAACCAGTAACTTTTCTTGATACTTTTCTTGGCAAGAAGGCAGCCACCATCTTTCCCTAGCTGAGAAATAAGCAATAAGCCCTCGGCTGCGGCCAATTTCCCAATAACCCCTCGCAAGCACACAAACCACCCCTTTAAGCATAGCTCAACTAATTATGCAAAACTTGCTACCAATCCAGGAGCAACCCCCCCCCCCAGACAATTAAAAATCCAGAAGCAATGTAAACAAAGAACATAAACAAAGAAAGAGATGCAGAAAGGCAAAACAGATCTGGAAAGCAGAAGCCGTGGCAACCGATTTCCTAAACAGATACTTTTGCTGCCTTTGCCTTCTATTTGCTTTGCCTTCTTCATTTTTCTTCCCTCATGTCCCCCACCCCCCTTTCTTTTCATTTTTATTTTCTGGTGGTGTTTACATTGTTGGTTTCCCCTAAACAGCATCCGTCCATATTAAAAAGGAAGGTTTTTTAAAATATTTTGTTTAGAGGAGTCTGTCTCCTTGCTTGCTATCCCTTTTATCCCTTTGATAAAAAGGGAGAGACTGAGGAGATGGGGGAAATGGAGGGGAAATTTATCTGACTGCCTCATGCTGAATTGGAAGGTTGGGTACTGTGAGATTGATGGGGAGTGTGTTTGTCCATAAGCAGTGCAATCAAATGTGTGTCTACTCACAAACAAGCCCCACTCAGTTCAATGGGGCTTACTCCCAAGAAAGTAGAAGTAAGTTTAGTTGAACTCAGTGGGGCTTATGCATGCATAGAATTCCACTCAGACCTCTGAGTGGGGAAGCAGATGCAACTTGACTAGGAAATCACTTAAACTACATACTCTTAAATTAGTTGAAAATATATTCAGTATATCATATGGAAGTTTATTTAATGTTTTTACTAAATCTACTACTTCCTTAAATTTTAAAAATGCCCACAAAACTGCATACAACTGTAATATATTCCCCAGAAATCTTTAATGGTTTAGTATCAGGGGTCAGCAAACTTTTTCAGCAGGGGACCAGTCCGCTGTCCCTCAGACCTTGTGGGGGGCCGGACTATATTTTTTTGGGGGGGGGATGAACGGATTCCTATGCCCCACAAATAACCCAGAGATGTATTTTAAATAAAAGCACACATTCTATTCATGTAAAAACACACTGATTCCCAGACCATCCGCAGGCTGGATTGAGAAGGCAATTGGGCCAGATCTGGCCCCTGGGCCTTAGTTTGCCTACCCATGGTTTAGTTGAAGCAGAGGTGCTGAGACATGGGGGGCAGATCATCGCGTGCACATGATTTCACACGTGTCAGGAGGCTGCAAGGCCCCACCACCACAGGGAGAGTTGGCATGTATGAGCTGAAGCATGCTATGAGACATCGTGATATCTCAAAATATTGTGCTATTTAGGTGGTGATACATCACAGTGTTGAAAACTATCACCCAGCCCTACTCACTTCCTTTGCACATGAGACATATTCAAATACTGATCTCCCATTTGCACAATACGATGTATCTTGCTCAACTAGCCTGTTGTACAATACGCAAAATTCAGAGGTGCCACCTCTTCTACTTCTTTTGATAGCGTAAGAAATAGAAGTGGAAGCACAACTCAGTTTTGAACCGCTCATCTCCAAAATACCCTGAAGGACTAGTTGGGTTGGAAACACATGGGATCGATAAATATTTTTCTGCCTACTCCATTGTTTATTGCTTCTGCTTCCAGTTACTGTTAAAAGCACAGGTGTAATGCCTAAAAAAGAAGCCGGCAGCCTCATATGGCTGAAATCTATTTCTGGCATATTTGATAGAGCCCCAAGAATTATTTTAAAATTCATTAGAATGTTTACAATGTGAATACTGAAAGGCAAGAATAGAATGAATGAAATAAAATCAGCTCCTCAACCTAGAACAATGGAACATTCCACGTGTTTACCCAAAGACACACACTTAAATCATATGACTCAGCTTAGGGTGTTGATTTTTTTGGCAAATTTCCTAAAAATTTCCTAAAAATTTCCACCTCTTTTTCTAGAAAAATAGCACGGGGGGTAGGGGCAAAGTTGGTGAGCTAAAAAAAATATGAAGTTTTTGAGCTCAAAACTTCAAAAAATATGAAGTTTTAGCTCAAAAACTTCATATTTTTTTTAGCTCACCAACTTTGCCCCTACCCCCCGTGCTATTTTTCTAGAAAAAGAGGTGCCGGAATGCGCCAAGAATGCCCCCCTCTTTTTCTTAGAATAGCACTGATGCCTACCTGAGAGGTGCCAGAACTGATTCTCTCTAAAAAAAAAAGCCCTGTCAACAACTTTTGTGTCCAAATTTTCACTTTTGGAAATATGGCAGCCATAACTCAGTTGGGCTCACTCCCAGTGCCCTAGGCTATTGACCCCACTCCCTTCAGCTAACTAGAATGGCTCATTGAAGGAAAGGCCCTTTGTTTATGCTCAGGTGCATGTCCTTAATCAGCACATCTGCCTATGCAGAAAGAAAGTGTCCCTGGTTACCAGGGCCCAGCAGGCTCCGAGTTGCAGCGATAGGATAAATAGCATTTTGAGCCAGGGGTGCCTTTGGTCACCTCCCCCCACCATGGCCAGCACCGCAGGGCTGCCCAGAGGGTGTATGGGGCAGGGCACACCTAGGGGTTGGCCAAGCTCATCCCCGCCAAGTTCCCATGTCCAGGAGGGTACAAAAATTGTGCCTCTCCACTCTGGCTTGGAGTGGATCAGAGCCCATCCACACACTCCCTGGACCGCTCCTCCACTGCTCTGGTTGGCTCAGGCTCCTCTGGCAAGGGTGCAAAGGAGGGGGGTGCCAGTAAAACTCCTTGCCCAGGGCACAAGGGAGCCTAGGTTCACCTCGGGATACAGGTGTGCTGTTATGGGCCCTCATGCTGTTCCCCGCAAGGACCCATTCGTGTGTGTACAAAGCTGAGGGCCACAGGCAATTACATATATTTTTAATCAAAACGTTATTGGAATTTTTGGCATAAGAAGATTAAAGCCAGCAAAGTATGAAAAAGAAAATGCAACAAACCATACCGCTGTAGTTGCACTGAGTAATACAGAACGTGATAAGTACCTAGGAACAATACTAAAAGGAGGATTCAGGAAGAACCATGAATTAAGCTGCATCAAAAGAACCACATGCGAGAACTACCACATACACAGACCGCACATTATTGCCTACCACTCCTCCTAGCCTTGGGATTAAACAAAACGATAGAAGCGCTACATTCTTTTTTACGTGGGGAAACAGGAACAGGAATTGGGTTGTCCCCTCTCAGTGGAGCTTCTATCTGCTTCCCGGAGCTCAGCCTCACGGGTCTTCTGGTTGTGGCCTTCCCCACTCACTCAGAAGGGAAGGATTCCTCCCTTAAAGCCTGGCCTCATATTGCATTCCTATGACTCTTCCTCTGGAATTTGCCACAGGAAATTACCCTCCGGTGGCACCTTGTCTGGAAATCTCAGGAGGTGTTCACTCACCATTGGCGGCCAATGGTCCACCCAGGAACTGAGGCATGGGAGCCCTTGCTTTGTGTGGGCCTGCGGGAAATTGCCCCCATGGCTTCCCACCCCACAACCCCTGGGCAGCGCTGCAGCTTTTTGCAGTGTTGCCGAGTTGCGTGGCTTGTGCAGGATTGCCAAACCTAGCAGTGTAGCAGACCTGCTACTCCCAGGGATGCCTATGTAAAGCGCCAGGCCCAGCTGCCGCCTCTTTGCTGCTCCATTTGCTGGGATCCCAGTGAAGTCTCTGCCATGTGGTGCAGGTGGCTCTCTAAGGATGGCTCCCATTGCCTTGTAGGCTTATAGTCTCGGGGTGGTGCTGATAATGCCAAGGTCGCAGGTTGGATCCCAATATGAGACAGTGCATATTTCTGCATTGCACTAGGTCAGTGATGGCGAACCTTTAGAGGCCGAGTGCCCAAACTGCAACCCAAAACCCACTTATTTATCACAAAGTGCCAACACGGCAATATCTCATTTTTTTCTCTGTGTTTCACATTTCTTCTTTATGACTGCTGTTGTAATAAATAATCCTTCATAAAAGTTATTGCATTACATTCTTCATTAAATTATATTTCTATTGATATATAATGTTATGGTATAACTCAGTGCTTTTTTTCTAAAAGAATGTTTAGGGGTACTCTCATTTTGACTCAATAAAATCACCACTGGGGGGGAAATAAATACACTTCAAACTGGGGGAAATAAATACAGTGGTACCTCAGTTCTCGAACTACTTGGAAACTGAACACTTCAAACCCGGAAATGAGTGTTCCGGTTTTGGAACTTTTTTCGGAAGCCGAGCATGCTCTGTTCTGAGTAGAACTTCCATTTTGAGTGCCACACTTCTGTTTTCCTAGTGAGGGAAGGCAGGCTGGGCAGCAAGCAAGCAGGCACCTGCCGCCCTCCAGCGCTGGGTCCCTCTGCCGCTGCCACAACAGCAACCACCCCCTCCTCCAGCTCTGACAGGCCCAACGCTGAGTGAGGCAAGGCTGGGCCAGTGGCAAGCGAGCAGGCAAGGGATGTTGCAGGCAAGTAGGAGTGGGATTGGGCTGCTCAGCTGTGGAGGTGCAGACTCCGTCACACTTTCCATTGAGGGGTTTGCGGCTGCACTCCCCTCAAGGGAGAAGTTTAAAGGAGCCCCCACCTCCTCATCAGATCCCCTGCAGCCCCGTGAAGGCAGCCAAGCTGAATAGTTGCTGGGGTTGGGGGAGGTGGAGGCAGCCCGGAAGCTGCACCTGAGAGCCCCTGCACCACCTGAAGGCAGCCAGGCGCTCCTCAGCCTGACCCCAGTCCTACTTGCCTGCAAGAGGAGTGGAAGCTAGGGCCCTGCTGGGGCGATGGCACGGTGACCAGAGAGGACTCCAAGTGCCCTCTCTGGCACTGTGCCATAGGTTCGCTACCACTGCACTGGATGGTCCTTAGAGTCTCTTCCAACTCTCTGATTCTATGATTATGTTCAGCAGATGCACAAAATGACTCCTGCTGCAAGCTCTTCTTCTTGGGCCCAACACTCCCTCCTCAGGTGCGCCTCTGCTGGAGGGGCATCACTAGTTCTAAAGGGAAGGGATCCCTATAGACGGCTGTCTTCCAAGATGCTGCTGCTGCTGCTGCTGCTGCTGCCGCCGCCTTCTTCCCTTCCTGCTTTTTTTAAACACTGAAAATTACCATTGCCCCAAACCATGGAACTGTAGCAACCATGTGACAAGCCTAGCAACTGTCTCATTTAACTTTTAACATTGTTTGCCTTGTTGCCTTTCCTATCTTTCATTGAGCTTTATTTATTTTAGAATGGCCCATTTTCATCTTTAAAAATAATAAATAAAAGTTATAAATAAAAATGGTATCCATCTGACCTCTTTCAGCTTTAGTTTCTTATCATTTACATAGTGCTTATAGCATTTGAAGTGCTAGGTAAAGGTACCCCTGCCCGTACGGGCCAGTCGTGTCCGACTCTAGGGTTGTGCGCCCATCTCACTTAAGAGGCCGGGGGCCAGCGCTATCCGGAGACACTTCCGGGTCACGTGGCCAGCGTGACAAAGCTGCTCTGGCGAACCGGCACCAGCGCAGCACACGGAAACGCCGTTTACCTTCCCGCTATAAAGCGGTACCTATTTATCTACTTGCACTCTGACGTGCTTTCGAACTGCTAGGTGGGCAGGAGCTGGGACCGAAAGACGGGAGCTCACCCCGCCGCGGGGATTTGAACCGCCGACCATACGATCGGCAAGTCCTAGGCACTGAGGTTTTACCCACAGCGCCACCCGCGTCCCCATTTGAAGTGCTAGGTGCTTGTTAATGTTGCCCCAAGGTAAAGGCATGTCCCACTGGTTTTTACCTACCACAAATGACATGAAAGCGGAAATTAAATTAAATACTTTAAAGCTCATTTTTTGTCCTTAGTACCCAAACAATCTGGAAGAAAAGGGTTACAAACATGTGCTCCCCACCCAGCTCATTGCCTGAGGTGGCCCACCCATTAGGCAGGTTGAAGCAGCCACCTCAGGTGATGGAAGTGCAAGAGGCGGTGCCCTGCCTGACACACCATTTCTGTCGCATTGTTGACATATTGCCAGAAGAAACTTGTAAAGGCCTTGAACAGTTGCCAAGCAACAGAAATTTCCCCGCCAACAGGTGTCCTTATCAGGGCATGCAATCAACTAAGTCTGGGTCAGTGTTAATGAATGTTCAGTATGTGAGTGAGTCAGCATGTCTCTCTGGCTGGATGGCTGAGGAGTGAAAAGATTATGTTTTGTTTCTTTGTTTATTATTTACACTGGTCATCATAAAGAAAAACAAAGACATTAGGAAAGGAGCCAAATGGGTGAGGTGTTTATTCCTGTAATGGGAATTTCCCAAGAGAAAGCTGGACTGCTGCTGGTGCTGTAATGATGCAGGAAGACTTTTCTGTGGAAACTCTGCTGTGAAAAGGAACCAAGAGTAGATCCTCACAAACTAACACACACGGCATTGCCACTCATGCCCACCTCTGCTGAGTTTTGGCGAGAGGAGGCGTTCTGGCAGTGGTGGAAGTGGCGGCCCTGGAGCCGGCACATTCCTATTTTGCTTCAGGTGGCAAAACGGGGTGGACCGTCCCTGTTCATGGCAGACAGTACTTTAAAAAGACCCGGCCTCTGAGCTCAGCTTGGCATGCCCTCAGCTGAGCACCACAGCTCACCCACCCCTAAGGCTGGCACTGTAGGTTTGAGGGCCATAGCACCGTCTTCTAGAAAACAATCTTGAAACTTGGAATCAGTGAGAGCTAGCTTAAAGTTTGAACCTTGCTTTGCTGAAAGGACTGCACTTATAAAGTCAAGAAAATGTCCTGTTTCCCTAGATGGGGAAGTAACTTGTATGTCATCCAGATTTTATCTATACTATGTATATATCTTTACCAGACGTTAGAAAATGGTCCTTTTAAAACCAAGCAGTGCTGTCGACTGATTGAAGAAATTAACAGAGTGATCTCACACATGTCGATTCAGAGGTGTAGGGATTGTAGATTTAGCTGATTAACCACCCTTATTTTATTCAGTTACAAATTCCTTGCTTACCTTTGAAGAAATTGGCATAGGTACCTTTTTGAGAAACTGAAGGATCAAAAGTGCCCCGATTCAAATTGAACTCCACAGACTAAAAAAATCAATCAACTAATTCCCAATAAAACTTTTTGGCTCCATAAATAACCAATTTCATGCAGTCCAAGGTAAAACCATAGCAGTGGAGACAACAGGTTCTATGGCTCAAGATGAGGGCTCTACATAGCATTGGTGTCTTCCTTTGATTTATCTATCAAGAATGCAGAGTTTTGTACTTAAAGTCCTGGATAATCCATGAATTACATGATGACTCACCAGTGAAAATACACTTAATATTCCATTCATTTGCCACACATCTTGTTTGTGCTACAGCATGCTTAAGGTATCAAAACATATCAAAGACTTTCCTTATTTCCTAGGCTTTGTAACTGATATAGCAGGAACTCAGAGCTCATGAATCTGTTTAAAAACTCTTAAAATGGAACAACGTTCCTGTAAAAAGCCAACTTAGATTTTCTGCACAGTTGACTCACCTCCCTTTAGCTTTCTTTGCACTTACAATTTGCCATCACCAAAACTGAGGATATTCATTCTACTTGTTCAGAAGCTTGCTACACCAGCGCAGATCTCATTCCACCTAGATACCTTCTTTCAAGTTTCTATCATTCATGGTTGTGAGTCTTCCATAAGGAAACTTATGGACATGGTCTGCTGAACCCTCCAAAATCTGGTGGAGGCTGGCTAGTCAGACCTCTTTGTGTTCAGCAGCTTCAGGATCCTTTACAGATCCCCCTGCCATCATTGCTGCTGCCCCCACACCTTCAAACCCCAACATCTGGAGGGCACCAGGTGGGTGAAGGCTGGTCTAACATACAGAAGTAAAAAAACAGATGGGAATGACCTTGCAAGGAATACACACACACAAACCTCCAATCTAAACAATGGCCGGTCACACCCTTGGTTGTCTGGCAATCCTGGAACCTATGACATTGACTTGATGTGCATTCCTCTCCACAGAGCACAGTTTGTTCATTTGGAGCATTTGTACCCTACTCTTATGCCAGAAAGGCTCCCAGAGTGGCAGCAGCGGAGTGCATGCCCACACGGCCTGAGGCGCACCCCCGAGGGGGGCGGGGCGCAGAAGGTGACCTCCGTGCACCACAGTTTAGGGTAGGAGAGGGGCAGGGAAGCTGCCACCCACTCTCCTCCTGCTCTCCACTGCTGGGTCAGGGCAGACTCAGTGGTGGAGCTGCTACAGCCAGGCCAAAGCCAAAGAGAGTGGGAGGCAGCTTTGCTGCCCACATTCCCCCTTCTCTCTGCGGCCAGGCGTGCCTTGCTGCGGCTGAGGTGGGCTGCTCTCCACCGCAGGGTCAGACGTGGCCCGGTGGCAGAGCTGCTGTGGCTGGGCGCAAGGTGTGCTGTGGCTGAGGCGGGTGTGGCAGTGCTGCCGCCCCCTTCCTGTTCTCAGCCTGACTTGGGGGCGTAGCTGCGCCAGGCATGAACGCCACAGCCAAGGGGCAGCTCCTCCTTGTGCAGAGCCAGGCTCCGATGAAGGAACCTGCTGTAGGGGTGCCTGTTTGCACCCCTCACAAAATTGTGCCGGGGCCAAGGCCCCCACAGCCTGCCCCCATGCTATGTCTCTGCAGAGTGGCTCACGTATCATCAGTTTTAAAATGACAAGGCCTGGCTGTAGGCTTACCATCTAAAAGGCATGGCTCTTGAGGAAAGGGGCAGGGAGGGAAGCGAGGAAAAGCTCACTTTGGTGCCAAAACTTAGGGCTTATCCACACTTGCCTTTTGCCCTGCTTTTTCCAGGCACTGCTCCACCCTTTAAAGCTCCCCGTCCGAGTGTTTGTGTTTTTGCCCCAAACCTTTCCCTGTGAAAACTTGCTCCTTAGAACTCGATCAGAACAAACATCAATTTGAGTTTTCCATGGATAGCTGTTTGCTCTCATTAAGCTTTAAAGAACAGGAAAGCTCTGGAGCAAATGAGGTGGGAGGGGAGGGTGCTCAGACACGGAGCTTTAAAGAGTGGACCTTAATGCTGAACAGCAGTTCTTAAAATGAGAAGATGGAATAGAAACAGATCACAGGTAGGAGGCACCTGATGGAAGGAGCCCTGCTTCTCATTTCTCCCACTGAGGGAGCCTGACGGAATGGCTGCTAACCAGATGACAGGGGAGGAGGAAGAAGCAGCCCAATCTTGCTGGCTTTTCAGAGCTCATCCATATGCCTGCTTGTCCTATACCTAGAAATCCAAGAGGTTTTCTGCTTGTCCCACCACTTTTCCTGAGAAAACACCCTCTTTACTGCTGATTTGGATCCGATTCAGCGGTAAACTGTGGCTTTCCCCAAGAGAAAGTGGCAGGGCAAACGGAAGTGTGGATATACCCACAGAAATACTAACCAAGAGAGTATTGTGGCACTTTTTGGTTTTTGATACAACAGACTAACATGGCTCTTTGGATCTAACTAAGAGGTCAATCACATGCTGACAACAACGAAGAGTTGTGTGTTTAAGCACTGGGAAAATGCAGTTGGCCTGAACAGAATTCCATCTGGATCCCCTGTAATAACGAAGTACGGTAAGTCCTCCCTAATGTATCAAGCTGAATGCAGCCCCCAGCCATCACCTGTGGTTGTAGTGAAACTGACACGGGGACAAATAGAAGAAGACACCTTCACCCCGGTATGGCTCCCCTTTATCACATACACAGCCCAACAAGACAATGACAAAAATCCACCAACAGCATACAAATCAATATGGCTAACCTGATCCAAAACATCCACCCACCCCACTCACACACGAAAACCAAGACCACCACAGCCAACCACACATGAATAACCACACCCTGGGCCAACCCCAACCTCTCTCACCACCGAAGGAACACAAGTGGGCAGCAGAGAACCTGCACAAGCAACGCTGACACCAAACCCCACATATAGTACATAAAACAGAAACATCGCCACCCGACCTCACCCCCAACCTGTCTCTCCCCCCTCCACCTCTTTCCCCCTTTTCTTCCTAATGTCTCAACTAATGAAACTGATATGTAAAAATGTTACATGGGGGAAAAATACGAGAGAGACATTGCACACACTTTTGTAAATCAAGAAAATCTTTAATAAAAAAACCCCTAAATAAATAAATAAAATAATAAAATAAAATAAAATACCTGTGGGCATAGTGAGCTCCTAGTGGTCATTAAACATGACCAGGGCTTCATTTGGTTTGGGTTGTCTTATGTCTTAGTTAAGCCCTATTCAGGCATCCAGGAGACTGTGTGAGAGCACAAACTGGGGGGGGGGGCAGCTGGGGGCACCCATGCTGGCCCCACTCCCAACATCTCTGTGCAGGCTGCACCCTCCTCTTCAGTTCTTCAAGCGTTTCGTGTGAAGGTCTGAAGGGACATCCTAAACATGTTCTGCTAAATGTGCATACAAGCTGCCTTTCGGACCTTGCATGGGGTTGGAATGCGCAACAGCGGGGATTATAGGAGCAGGAATGTTAAGGGTGAGAGACCAGTGTGTGCTCTCCTGTGCCTTCTTTGACCACCTAACAGGGCTACATTGCGAACTCAAGTGGGGTAAACAACACCTTTCTTTCCAGGTGCTATAAAAAAGAAGAAGAAACTGCTCTGGATCTTGGATCTAGCTCTGGCAGTCCTAGAGCCATCTAGGCTACATTTGGTAAGGATGCCACACTTCCTCTTGTCAAGCCGCCTTCCCTTGGGGGAAATAGCTCTTTAATGCTCAATCGGAGCAAACAGCAATTTGGGTTTTCCCTGGATTGCCATTTGTTCTGATCTATCACTAAAGAGCAGGATTTCCCTTGGAAAGGAGCAGGCTAAAGGTAAACAGCTCAGACCAGTTCTTTCTAAGCATGGCAGAAGTGCAAATGTAGACAAGCCCTCATTATTTGTAGGAAGGACAACCTGTTTATTCATAATTCATCCTGATTTGTTTTCACAAAGGTTATGCAGGAACCTTTAATACACTTTAAATGTGCAAACAAAGTTCTGGTATGTGCTTGAAAATCCCCTAGCCCCCCAAATATACTGACAGTCTAAACTCTATAGAGGTACTTTGGGTTTGTACAATTAAATATTTTATTAAATTTCAAGGTGGGGGGAAGCATAAACATAAACATTTTCAAAACAATTGGTTTCCCCCCCGCCCCTGTTTGCAAAATTAAGTGAGATTAAAGTGCTCTGTTGCCCTGACACAAGAAATCCACTTTTATTTTTTAAGAACTGGGCCTTTTTCAGTTTAGAAAGTGACAGGGAAATGCACTGTTTACTGAACAGCTTAGTTGACAAACAAGTCAGCCGCTGAATGCCACAAACCCAGAAGTAAGTGTTCCAGTTTGTGAACGTTTTTAGAAGCCGAACTTCTGACAAGGCTTCCACTTGAGTTCAGGAAGCTCCTGCAGCCAATTGGAAGCCGACTCCCAGAACAGATTAAGTTCGATAACCAAGGTATGACTGTATTGGATGAACAAATGATTAATGAGAAGACGTTTAAATACCCCACAAACAAATAAGAACAAATGCTCAGTAAATGACTGCATATGATCTAGCCTCTGCATAAACTTTGTGCAAGCAAATCAGAATAAATACTCAATTAAAAAATAATACTCCAAATGAAATGTTTAGAAGGGACAGAACCCTGCTGAGGTCTAAAGCAGCAGTCAAACTCCATTAAAAAGTATTCCACATATTCTAAAACATCGATGAGAATAGAATAACATTTTACTAAAGACTGCATTGCTATACATTCAGTCACTCTGTAATTCCTGAACAATTTATCCCTTTCCCCATTACATACTAAAAATACATAACCTAAGAAATTTCCAGAAGAAATCATCTGGCTATTGAGTGCTGAGTGTTTGGCAGCAATGTGTAAACTCAGAAAACAGAACCGCCCCCCTTTTTTTAAAAGATTCAATCCTTTGTAGCACACACACAAATTACTTATCCCATATTTAAGGGCCCACATCAGCTGGGGCATCGTCCTTTTAGAGGCACATACATTAAGTAAAAGTAAGGTAAGGACCCTGGACGGTTAAGTCCCCTTGAATTTGGCTCTGGGGTTGTGGCGCTCATCTCCCTTTCAGGCCGAGGGAGCCGGCATTTGTCCGCAGACAGCTTTCCGGGTCATGTGGCCAGCAGGACTCAACCGCTCTGGACCCCGTGGCGGAAGCCAGAGTGCACCTGCATTGCATACATTAGCAGTTAACGGAAAATGGGGATTTTGGCTCTTAGCTCCTGGACAGAATGCTAACAGGCCCCTTCGAGGCTTGGTGGGGAAAGCATGCTGGGAATTGTAGTCTCCCTTCCATACTAAGGATCAGGCTCTTGGCAGCAATCTGCTCCATTTTAAACAAATCTAACAGCAAGGATTTGAGTTGCTCTGACCTCAGTTTGCAGCTTGACTAAACCAGGGGTCTCTCCAAGTCAAAACTGCAGAAAATTGACTGCAATATGATGAAAACTATGCTAATGAAAACTTCCTTTGGCAGCATTGTTAGTGCTTCTCCTCGAGTGGAAGGGAGATGCTGCATTTGTTGATTTGCAAAGGTGAGAGGATTATTATTGCTATTATCATTATTATTATTATTCATGGTATTTTTATCCACCCCCATCGTTCTGCCCAGACACTGAGGTCCAGCGCCGAGGGCCTTCTGGTGGTTCCCTCACTGAGAGAAGCAAAGCTACAGGGAACCAGGCAGAGGGCCTTTTCGGTAGTGGCACCCTCCCTGTGGAACACCCTCCCACCAGATGTCAAAGAGAAAAATAACTACCAAACTTTTAGAAGACATCTAAAGGCAGCCCTGTTTAGGGAAGCTCTTAATGTTTAATAGGTTATTGTATTTTAGTGTTATGTTGGAAGCCGCCCAGATGGGCGGGGTATAAATAATAAATAAATTTATTATTATTATTATTATTATTATTATTATTATTATATCAAAACATGACAATCTGCCTAATTACCAAAATTGCATTTTCTCATAATATTAATGTTTTCTAAAGCATTTCTTAAGGTTGGACCATCTGGGCAGCGCAGAGCCTACAGGCACTCAAGCCACCGTCTCACTCCCAGGAGAGACGTGTGGCTCAGGCGCGCTGCAGGCCCCGCAATGAGTGCCGCCCGGCATTTTGTCACCCCGCTCAGTGGTGACACCTGGGGCAGACCACCTCCACCGCACCCCCTTTCTCCACCCCTGTCTAGACCAATGGCCATGATAACTAGAGCCATTTCTTATGGCTTTATCATGTGTTCTTCTTTGGTCTGTCCTGAAACTACCAACCACCAGTTCTACTAGGGGACAAGTTTTAGGGTCAAGTCTCAAGAGGAAGAAAGCATTCTCTATCCACTTTCTCTACACCAAGTATAAGATATTATTGTAATGTATGCCACTTTATGTTACTTTTTATGTTCCCTGGGACTTTTTCACTCACTACACAACAGCAAATGTGAATATACACTTAACAAGGAATTGGAGTCAATCCCTGATGAGAATGTAAACAAAGATGGTTTATATTTATGTGTGTAATTTGAGGCATGTTCTTAAATCATTTGAGAGCTACACCTAAAACAAGTCACGTGTGTAGTGCCCTTTGTCATTTGGAGATGCATGTGCCAGTGCAAATGTAAAATGAAAAATCACATTCAGATTCTGTAACTAGCAGAATTAAAGGTCTCCCTTCGCTCCCCCAGCCAGGCCTTCCTGAATCGCGGCTCCAGAAGAAGGGAAATAGCCAGGGTTCTGTTGCAAGACCTCTGGGCCTTGGGGCTTTTCGGAGGCTGGACCAGCTGCCTTTGCTTGGATGAGCTGTCGGCGCCACCAACAAAAGGAGGAGCACTAATGAAAAACAGGGTTGTCACGAGGCACACACACGCATCCGATTTTTTTAAAAAAGGGCCGTGTATGTTATAGCCTCTCAACGGAAACACTTTTACACAAGTTGCAATCCTCAACTCTTGAATAACTTCTAATTTATAAGCCGCGGAAGCTAAAATGGAGCTAAATCTCCATTTTCCTCTAGCTCCAAAGCCTCCTCTTTGAAAATGCCTCCCATTTTTCATAACCGTCAAGGGAATCGTTAATCAAGCAGTTTGGCCTGGCATGCAAACAATCTTTAAATATATATATATATACTTAATTCTTCGTATGAAAGGTCTGCCTGGGAAACGTACACTTCTATCCCCTCGCTTCGTACTCTTATTTCCCCGCTTTACGCCATTCCAAACTGGACTAGTCTTTGTTTGAGGGAAGGAGGCGAGCTTCCTTGCTGCTGCTTCGCTCAGATGGACGAGAAGGGGCAGACCCTTCTGTTTTTCAAAAACATCATAAAGTCCATACCTGGATGCTAAGATGAACTTTTAGGGGAAGAAGACAGGAGGTTTTCAGAAGTTTAATCCACTGGGTTAAGGGGAACAGACAGATTCCGCTTTCTCGCCCTAGATGGAGAGGCCGGGCTGGAAAGGAACTTCTTCAGGCTGATGCAAGATGCCTTTGCGAGCGATTTAGCATTCTGAGGATTCCTGGGCCCTGGCCAGAAATCCCACAATCCAACATATTTCACATTTGGTTTCAATTAGGGAACGAGAAGGGGGAAGAAAGTCACCAATTGGAGCTGGCTCTTTGCAGGCTTTTTTCTTTCACTCAAGGAAACTTGAGCTAAACTATAATTTATGGCAAAACTCATTCATTGCAAGCGGAGGGACGCTGTAGCAAACAGGCTCCAGGGATCTATGTTGTCCGCTTTTTTATATAAAAAATATGCTTTGTGTTTTATTTTTTTATTTGACCCCAATGACAGGATTTGGCATGTTTTACTGGCTTGCAAAGCGTCAATGAATAAGCTGAGAGGAAAATATCAATATGGGTGACTGATGAGCTGTAAGGTGTTTTTAACATAAATATTAGCAACATAACTTCCCCCCACCATTTTTACACGGTGGGATTGCAGATGGTGGAGTGATAATAATGGTTCAAGTAGCAAGAGACTAGGCATCAGTCAGGAACATATTGTTGCGCGCCACCCCAGTCTCTGAGCGGTGAGAGATTCCAGGGGTTTACCCAGGGTTCAGTTTTCTTGGAACAAGGCTCAGCAGAGAATGTGGTGTGCTTATGACATATGGCTTATTTACATATATATACAACCTGATACCTAACACGGAGAAGGCTCCCAGTATTAACACCCCAAGCAGTCTTGCTTCCCCCATAGTCACAGTCTTGAATTCCCGCAGAAATCAAGTATGGCTCTCACTCGGACTCTCCTAGTCTACTGGTGTCTGACTACCAGTCAGGGGAGGGGGGGAGGGTCCCACCCACTTGTCCTCTGGCACAGGGCAACGTCTTTTGTTATACCAATGACTGTCCTTAGAGCCGTTCTCTCACAAAGAAACACACCCAACTAGTTCAACAGTTGAGTCCTCCATCAGATTTCAACCCTTGCTGGATCCAGAACCCCAGGGATTAGAAGGGACTTGGGCATCATACAGACTGACACCCCCCCAAAAAAATTCATAACAATATCTAGGACAATGGTTCCCAACCTTTAGGAATAAACAGACTACATTAACTCGAGAAAATAATGACGACAAAAAACTGTAGTGAACTCAGTAATGCTGTTAAATGAAGTCTCAAATGTACTGAAATCAAAGAAGCAGCAAAATCCATTCCCCACCCCATTGAGCCCACTAATTAACAACCCAAGCTATTAATCCTGAAAGAATGCATTTATTCAAAAATATAAATACATTTATTTATTTCCCCAATATACCCACTGATCAACTCAATTAATCAATTCAAAAAGATATGAAAGATAAATTTATCTATAATTATGAATTCATTTAATTCCCTGTATGTAAACAAAATGTATTTATTTATTTCCAGTGAACTCAGCTGAAGTAATCCCCAAAAGAATTAAAATTAAAACTTTAATTGCCACTCATTTTTCCTTTGTGTAGACTCAGGAATATCAATCGTATACTTCAGTGAAATCATGGGAGGGGTTTTTCTAGCTGCCCCCCTCCTTGGCTCTTGGAAGCCTTTTAAGAAGTTGTTGCAGGAGAGGGGCTGTTTCTGAGTCTAAGGGGAAACTGTGAGGTCCCCTTGTTATTTCTGCTTTTGAATGCTGCATGTTGTTTAAGTAATCTTGTTATATTAATAGTATTAAATTTTGGGAGTTTTTTTTAAATTATTTTTTTGTATGTTATAGTGTTGTTGCACACCATCCCAGTCTCCTAGAGGTGCAAAATCCCAGGGGCTCCAGACATTTACACAATTTTTGTGTTTCCTTTGGAATGAGGGGCAGTAGAGACTGTGGTGTCTTCAGGATATCTGGTGTATTTACACATATATACAACCTGGGCCTATGATGGAGGGGTTCACAACATTAACACCCTAAGAGGGTCTTGCTTTTCCCATAGCCACAGCCTTGGATTCCAGAAGAAATTAGGCATGGCTTTGTCTCTCAGCCTGCCAGCTTCCAGCTCCCCAAACAACTCTCAACTCTGCCTTTGTCTTTCTAGTTACCACTCATTTTCTGTCTGGCACAGAGTCACTTCCTTTGTTTCCGTAATGACCCACGCTTAGAGGGCCATTACCTCATCAGGAAGCTATCCTGGCTATTCCAGGAATTTGAATCCTTGCTTAGACAAATCCTTTGCTAGATGCAGGAATTAGAAGGGTCTCTGCATACAGTGTACCCCCTTCTTCTGAACCACAGGCCCAAAGAAGGGCTTGTGAGAGTGGTTGGGTGCAGGGATACCAAAGAAGGTTGCCAAAGACACCAGTTCTAGTGCTTTATTAACTAAAGGTGTAGATCAGCCTGCCAGGTCTTCCAGGCTTTGCAGACACGGGATGGGCACTGCAGCCAGGAGATGGCTTCTCCACACCCAAGCAAACGTGCATTACATCCTTTGTGCACAAAGCAGCAGACATCACTTTGGCCAGGACTTCCCCTCACTATCCACCTGACCAGATGAGGGCGTAGCGGCAAATACCCAAGTCTTACAGATAGCTCCCCTTTCTGGGCTCAGAGCCCAGCACCCCAAACCCACAGACAAGGATAGCCAGCCAGTCAGTGTATATCAAAGCAAGTGACTACAAACATATATGAGCTCATTGCTGCAACCACCACCAATCAATTGTGAGGTTATATTGACTTTCAAAATGGTGAAGCTTCTGGAACACTTCATATTTGGTTCAACACACCCCTCCAGCTCATAACAATATTTTTGTTTTGCTATGTTATTATGGAATCATTTTTGTAGTGTGTATGAAATGCACCCGTTTCTTTGTTGTAAGTCACTTTGAGTATGATGTCTTTTGTAAAAAAAAAAGCAGCATAAAAATAAAATGAATGAAATCCCTCATCCCTGTAAGCAAAACTATTTATGTATATAATTAATCTATTTATTATTTGTATTTGTGGTTTTTCTTTAATAAGCCAATGGGCATGAGTAGCAAATGCTATTCAGAACAACAGACAGCCCCAAATGGTCTGCCCCCAAAGCCAGAACCCCCAAGGAATCAGGCAACCTCCATTCACATAATTTATCCCAACAAAGCACCAGAAGTAAACCCCAATAATGCCAAAAACTAAGGATCCTGAAGGTAACCATTAATTAGGAGGCAGAAAACCCACCAACGACCCACAGGGCAGAGCCCATGGAAATAAAAATAGGTGCAGTGTAAAAGACCACAGGCCTCCTCATGCAAAGCTGCAACACCAAAACCCACTGCACTCCCATGCCTTGTTGTCAAGCTCTTCTAAGTACACCTCACACCAAACACCAATGGAGGTTAGTGGGGAAAGCACACGTGAAAGCTACCGGACTGTGTTCCTGCGCTTTCCAGTAGTCACAAGCTTCAAAGATCGTACGGCGCTCCTGGGGGTTCTGCTGTGAAGAAGGAGAGGGAAGGCAGGCGAAATCCATCAAGCTCTGGCTCACAGACCCTGTGAGATAACTTAGGGGTCCACAGCCCCACAGGCTGAGAACCACTGACCTAGGGAGAACGTTCTCATGCTGAAATATCAGCTGGATCCTGGGAACACATCATGCTGCTAAGAGAGCTCAGCTAGATATTTGCAAATGTTCAAAATGCTCCAAGATGTGAAGCTTTGCAGAATTCTGAACTTAAAATTATGTTGCCTAAGGATTCATAACCTCAGTGTTTTTAGACTTGCTGGCATCTCTTGATTGTGTGGAATCTGCAGGCATTAAGTAACAAATTTCATCCACCACCCATTGTCAGATACCGAAGATGCGAACAGTCAAATCCGACATTTTCTCGTGTGCAGTTCCCAAGTGTCAGGGCTGGGCTTTGGACAGCTGCCAAGCAAGGACCCAGGTGAAGCAGCTGTTGCCCTGGGAATCTTTTGAGTCCTCCGAGAAGGAAGGAGGCAAAGGGGTGCCTGGGAAGCCCCGCAGACCAGGAGCCCCCTGGCCTCTCAGCCACATGCAGATCTGTGCTCAAATACTGCATTTACTAAAGCATACAAAGACCTTTTTCTTTTCCCAAGGTTTTAAACATTGCTAATGTCCAAAGTGTCTAATTATTTTAAGCTGTTGTTGATTGGAGATTTTCTTTTCTTTTCTGGTGCTCTTATATTGTTTTATTTGGTTAGCAGTATCTATGAAAATAAATTAACAATATGTTTTAGTAATCGGATAGTAAAGAGCATGCTTTCTGACACAGTGCAATACTATACATGACTCTTCATCATCATCATAAAATTTTATTTGTGCCCTGCCCTCCGCGGCCAGAGCCAACCTCACTGCAGCTGACATCATAAAACTAACACAGTATACGGAAGTAAATCTCCTTGCGTTAAATGGGGCTTTCTCTCAGAGGTCTGCATTGCCATAACGCTTTGAGTCAGGATATGTAGGTTGCAGGCTTTTGCTGCTCTGTCGTGAGGGAAATGCTCTCCACATGTGCTCAGAGTGCTTCTGCGTTGTTATAATTTTTACTTATTTATTACATGGATAGTGAAAACCTCTATCGCTGCCGCTCTTGTTGAGCAAAGCAGCCCAGCCAATTCCAGTCAGAGAACCTTCGGCCTGCCCCCACCTATCTATAAAAAGGAGGAAAGTCTGGTAATTACCAGAGGCTTTGTTATTGTTGTTATTAATATTATTATTATTAATTAAATTTATATTCTGCCCTTCTTCCCCAAAGAGCCGGGGCATCAAGCTTTTCTCTTATATTTTCTCCAGTATAACTCATATTATTAAAAAATAGTATTTTAATAAACATTCTCTATTGAAAAATTCAGCATAATAAATCAACAACAGTGGTACCTCGGGTTAAGTACTTAATTTGTTCTGGAGTTCCGTTCTTAACCTGAAACTGTTCTTAACCTGAAGCACCACTTAAGCTAATGGGGCCTCCTGCTGCCGCCGTGCCGCCGGAGCGCGATTTCTGTTCTCATCCTGAAGCAAAGTTCTTAACCTGAAGCACTATTTCTGGGTTAGCGGAGTCTGTAACCTGAAGCGTATGTAACCTGAGGTACCACTGTATACAAACAAAGGTTTTAGGATCTAAGTGTCTTTATTTCAGTACAGGATTATATTTCAATTCAGATTACAGAAAGATTGGGGATACAGGGGACACACCACTGAAGGGAATCATACAAAAATGAGCATTGAAAATAATTATTTTATTTTATTGATTTCCCCCAAACATGTACATATTATGAATGAATAAATAACATATTTCTGCCCAGTGATGAAAGCCTGGTATTTTTCAGACTGATGTATATTTTCCAAAAAAATGAATATTTTTTTTTAGAAAGTGGCAAAAATTGTGGTAGCATAACTCTGAAAGATTTTTAGTTGCAGGGACTCCCATATATTGGATACTGTCAAATCTTAACATCAAATCATGTGCACTTTCCTGATGTCTTTATTAAGAATAAGACAAATTTACAAGAGGCAGCCAGGTTTCACATAACTGATTTCTATATTCACTACCTTATGGAAGCCAGTGAGCCATTCCAAGGGCAGTCTCTAGCTGGGGATCCTACGCACAAAGCTTCTTTAATATCTTACCGTATGGGATTTTTCTTTTACATCTCGCCACATACAGTGTCTCGTACTGAACATTAACGAACTGTGAAAAAGACTCTGAATTGAAAGTGAAGACGCTGTATGCACTTTTCCTTGTTTATTTTGTAACACAATAAAATCTTCAATAGAAACTAATTAAAAAAACCAAACATTTTTCCACCCTTGCTATTTTCAGCTGGTTTAAGGGGTAACAATACACTTAAATTTGGGAAGCAGGATATATATCTATAGAGGGGGGAGGGAAGTAGCAAAAGTTACTGAATAAAATCCCTAGCTATAGAAGCAGCATCCTTAACGCATGTCAGCTTTGCTGATCAACTCACACAGCACAGTCCAGTGCAGGGAGAATAAACTATTTTACCACATCAAAGAACCAAGAACTTAGACGTGTTCTGCCACCTTAAGCCTGAATTGTGAAAATGCTTTTTTATCCCACTTAAAGGTGTTGATTAACCTAGCAATATAGTTAAATGTTGTTGTGTAGTCATTGTGCTTATTTTGCATATACAGTGATACCTCGGGTTACATACGCTTCAGGTTACAGACTCCGCTAACCCAGAAATAGTGCTTCAGGTTAAGAACTTTGCTTCAGGATGAGAACAGAAATCATGCTCCGGTGGCGTGGCGGCAGCGGCAGCAGGAGGCCCCATTAGCTAAAGTGGTGCTTCAGGTTAAGAACAGTTTCAGGTTAAGAACGGACCTCCGGAACGAATTAAGTACTTAACCCGAGGTCCCACTGTATATGCTTAACTGCAAGTGCTGCATTTTGTATCTTTTTGCATTTCACTTTCAAGTCACCTCTCCCCTGCCATGTGCTTATACCTGTCAACTGAGGGTAACTGGAGGCATTGAAAGAAGACTCTTCTTTGCAAACATATCTAGGGTGCCACAAACCCCTGCAACAGATGGCTACCTCTCTGAATTTTTTTCCAGGTAGCTATCATTTTTATAAATAAATTTGTGACTGATGTCAGTCTAACCCTTTTAAAAAGTCACCCAGGCTAGATCCCATCACTCCAACTTGCAGGAATGGGACTTTATATATTTTTAAATGTTGTGTGCCTTGAATATAGGTTGTTTTAGATTATGTCAAGCAAAGGAGCATATTGCTAAAAAGTAGCAGTGTTCTCTCCTTGCTCCTCCAGGAAATCTTTGCTGGTTCCTTTTTCTACTCCCAAATGGTAATTTGTTAGTTCCCACTTATTATGCATACCCCCAACTCAACTCAAACCAAAAGAGCAACAGTTTCCCCCACATTCATATGTGTCAGATTCTACAGTGGGCTTTTTCTCAAACAAGGGATGCACCCATTCAAGAGTGTAGGAAATGAGTACATCAGGCCCAACTCCTACTCGCATCCAGGAGCAGAGGAAGGGGGGTGCGGTGGAGGTGGTCTGCCCCGGGTGTCACCACTGAGGGGGGTGACAAAATGCTGGGCAGCACTCACCGCAGGGCCTGTAGCGCGCCTGAGCCACACATCTCTCCTGGGAGTCTTTGATTAAATAAATAAAAAGAAATTTTATTAAAGCTCAATTTGTTTTAATGGATTTGGGGTAGGGTGGTAGAAAAAGTCATTCCAGTTATGAATATTTGCTTCGGTGTTTTTATCTTGCATTTGTCAGACAGCATTTTCTGTTTTGTTCTGTGACTACTACTGTGTTTTTATAATGTTTATTTGGATAATTGAAAATGGCTTGTTTTTAATGTAGGCTTGCTAGTCATCATGAGGACCAGAGGGAGCTATGTCTGATTATTGCAGTTTAAAAATACAACAACACTGAAGAGCTTCAGAAAATTAAAAGATTTGTTAAAGTAGGAGGAGCAAGCTTGGAAAAAATGCTTACTCTGATAGATCCTCAGAGAGTCACATCCTGAACTCAAGAATCATTCAGATTCATCTGCTCTTGTCTCAAAGAATGAGCTTCTCTTCCAGTTCCATGACAGAGGTGTCAAACAGGCCAGCCATGATTTTACTATGGCTCCACCTGCTTAAGAGCAAATTCTTGCTTTCTCCAAGACAGGATGAAGCCACACCACAGGTAGCTGGCTAAGCCTATAGACAATGATAATCAGACAGCAAAGACTGCAAAACATGGGGAGAGTTGTGTCTGCCATATAGGCAAATACAACCAATTTTGTTCCAAAGTCAGAAGTTTCCCTTTCATCAAAAGGAGGGATGGTGGGAGCCCCCCTCCCCACTCTCAAGGACCTGCTCCACAACTCCAATTTATAAAGATTATAATCCAAGTTACGAGATCTTCTTGCAATTAGAGGTCAAGAGATATGTAAAAGTCAGTGCTTTATATGATTCAGCCACATGGTGGAGCAATACACAAAGATTAAAGAAGCCATGATAGCCGGCTCTGAAAAGCTGGGATGGTTTGTGTGGCTTGAAGTTAATGACTTGTAACACCTCACAGTCATCATAATCATATAATAAGAATAATTTATGATTTATACCCAGCCACTCTGGGCGGCTTCCAACAAAATATTAAAATAAAATAGTCTGTCAAACATTAAAAGCTTCCCAGAACAGGGCTGCCTTCAGACGTCGTCTAAATGTCAGGTAGTTGTTTATTTCTTTGACATCTGGTGGGAGGGGGTTCCACAGGGCAGGCACCACTACCCTGTAACTTGGCTTCTCGCAGGGAGGGAACCGCCAAAAGGCCCTCAGCGCTGGACCTCAGTGTCCAGGCAGAACGATGGGGGCGGAGACGCTCCTTCAGGTATACTGGGCCGAGGCCGTTTAGGGCTTTAAAGGTCAGCACCAACACTTGGAATTGTGGTCGGAAACATACTGGGAGGTCTCAGGGGCCACTCCCAGTCACCAGTCTAGCTGCCGCATTCTGGATTAGTTGTAGTTTCTGGGTCACCTTCAAAGGTAGCCCCACATAGAGCGCATTGCAGTAGTCCAAGCAAGAGATACAGTGGTGCCCCGCAAGACGAATGCCTCGCAAGACGGAAAACCCGCTAGACGAAAGGGTTTTCCGTTTTTCAATGCGCTTCGCAGGACGAATTTCCCTATGGGCTTGCTTCGCAAGACGAAAATGTCTTGCGAGTCTTGAGAATTTTTTTCGCTTTCCCCCCCTTTTTCTAAGCCGCTAACAGCCTTTTAGCAGCTAAGCCGCTAAGCCTTTAATAGCCCTAAACCGCTAATAGCGCTAATCCGCTAATAGGGTTGCTTCGCAAGACGAAAAAACCGCTAGACGAAGACACTCGCGGAATGGATTAATTTCGTCTTGTGAGGCACCACTGTAACTAGAGCATGCACCACTCCGGTGAGACAGTCTGTGGGCAGGTAGGGTCTCAGCCTGCGTACCAGATGGAGCTGGTCAACAGCTGCCCTGGACACAGAATTGACCTGTGCCTCCATGGATGCCATGAACTGAAAGGTCCCGGGGGCGTTACCCTGAGCCTCAGCCACAAGGAATGTGCAGCAGCAGAAAAGGGTAACGCTGTTCTAGGTTGCATCTATGGAAGTCCAGGGTCCTGATGAAACGAAGTCCAAGTCCTACTCTCTCCTACCTTGGTCAGGCCACACCTGGAGTCCTGTGTCCAGTTCTGGGCACCATCATTTAAGAAGGGTGTTGACAAGCTGGAATGTGTGCAGAGGAGGGCAACCAAGACAATCAAGGGTCTGGAAACTAAGATTGAAGAGAAACACTTGAAGGAGCTGGGTAGGTTTGGCCTGGAAAAGAGGAAACTGAGAGGAGATCTGACAGCCATCTTCAAATATCTTAAGGGCTGTCACATGGAAGAGGGAACAAGCTTGTTTTCTCCTGCTCTAGACGGTAGGACTCGAACCTATGGATTCAAGTTATAAGAAAGGAGATTCCAACTAAACATTCACAAAAACTTTCTGACAGTAAGGGCTGTTTGGCATTGGAACAGATTCCCACGAGAGGTGGTGGACTCTCCTTCCTTGGAGGTTACTAAGCAGAGGTTGGGTGGCCGTCTGCCATGGATGCTTTTGCTGAGATTCCTGCATCCCAGGGGGTTGGACTAGATGACCCTTGGTGTCCCTTCCAGCTATAAGTTTCTATGATTCTATGAAATTGATCTGGATTAATGACAGCCATTCACCAGTTTCATATGCAAAACTGCTTCCCACCCCACCCCCTTACTGATTAATATATATTAAAAATACATTAAAGTAGACAAATAATAACTTACAAAAAGGATCAATAAACGTGTCACCTTTATTATATAAACTGTTATCATAATCACATGTCAAAATTTCTTTTGTGAATGAAATAAAATGGTTTCAATCAGTTTTTAATAACCAACCATCAAATGTAGAGCTTGGGGTACATTTAAACATGGCTTAGATCAATTCCCCAGATGTTCAGTGTCCAGGGGTTCAGCGCCTGGCACCCAGAAACTCATGGCAAAGGGGAGTCTGGCACCAAGAAACTCATAACATTTCACTTCATTGCAACCTAAGGAAAGCTGTTGATTCGCAGAAGACACTGGGCAGAAACAGAAAGAAACAGGGGGATGAGGAGGTCTAAGGGTGAAGTCCTGCTCCTGTCCATCCTAATACTGGACAGATTATTACAGGATGTTGAGAAGGGTCATTTTTTACTATTAATTGAGAAACAACAGCCATAGTCTAGGCCAGGAGTGTTTTTCCTTGGTGACACCGCCACGTTGAAAAGTGTGTGTTTGCAAGGTGTTTCCTGTCCTGTCCAGAAATGCACCGTGCTGGATGAAGCCAGCTCGAGATCCTTCCTAAATAAATAAAATAAAAACCCACTGGAAGATATGTTTGACAAATTAATGTTAAGGGGAACAATTCACATCGTTAAGCAAGGTAGCTAAAGCAACAGGGTCAGGGCCTCCATTGCGACACGTCCCCCTGCTGAGTGACTTGGCTGAGGACTTTGGGAAGAGCAACTATTTGAAGATAGTTCAGGAGAAAGGAGGTGGTTTGTGAGAAGTAATGATGTTTTCCGGCAAAATGAAGATTTCTTCTTCTTGAGTGTAAGTAGGATGTCTAATTCTTTCTGCATTCTGCTTCTTATGCTCTCCCTCAAGATTTAGAAACATAGGGCAGTAAGGCAGATCTGGAAAAAGCCTAGGTAAAGGTACAGGTACCCCTGACCGTTAGGATGTCACATAGAGGAGGATAAAAGGATGTCATAAAAGGATGTCATAAAAGGATGTCACATAGAGGAGGGAGAAAGGTTGTTTTCTGCTGCTCCAGAGAAGCGGACACGGAGCAATGGATCCAAACTACAAGAAAGATTCCACCTAAACATTAGGAAGAACTTCCTGACAGTAAGAGCTGTTTGACAGTGGAATTTGCTGCCAAGGAGTGTGGTGGAGTCTCCTTCTTTGGAGGTCTTTAAGCAGAGGCTTGACAACCATATGTCAGGAATGCTCTGATGGTGTTTCCTGCTTGGCAGGGGGTTGGACTCGATGGCCCTTGTGGTCTCTTCCAACTCTATGATTCTATGATTCTAGGTCCAGTCGCGGACGACTCTAGGGTTGCGCGCTCATTTCGCTCTATACGCTGAGGGAGCCGGCGTACAGCTTCCGGGTCATGTGGCCAGGATGACTAAGCCGCTTCTGGCAAAAGCAGAGCAGTGCATGGAAAGGCTGTTTACCTTCCCGACAGAACGGCACCTACCATATTTTTTGCTCTATAGGGCGCACCGGACCATAAGACGCACCGGACCATAGGAGGGGGAGAACAGGGGGGAAAAATTTCTCCCCCTCTCTGCTCAGCATCCCTTCAGCCCTTGTCAAATGAATTCACTTATGTAAAACTTCAGTGTTGCAACTGACACAAATTAAATACTTTCATGACAAATTTGCACAAATCTTTTAGGAGCACAAGACTTTTTTCTCATACAGATGACAAGTTTCCTTGGCATACAGTTCGGATTTATTTGATGCCACATACTGCTGCCCCTAAAGATTAAACTCCAGCAAACAACAACACTGGCGATGCTTCCAGTGTTGAGACATAAAAAATGAGAGACATTCAGGTTTCCAGCTACATCACAAATTCAGTGGTGGCTGCTCCTCCGTGCCCTCTGGAGACACCGAAGGAGATTCAGGCAGGGGAAAGCCAGGATTTATGAGGCAAACATCCTGGCAGTGTTCCCCAGTGGGTTCTGAGGAGCTCACTGCATCCCGCTGTGCCGCGCAAGCCTGTGTTTGCCAACTTGAAATGCACAGCGGGTATGGCCTGGGAGTGTGTCCCTGCCATGGACGAGACTCCATCTCTGGCTAATTTGTGGTTGGTTCCTCCATAATTCAGACAATTGACATTAATCAAGAGGCACTCCTGGACCGATATATGCTAATGCTAATGCCGCAACCAGTCAGCTGCCCAAAGGACTGGGCTTGGTTCTTTGAAGGTATCTGAATGTTTTCTTTGAAGCTTGAGAACAGCCGGGAAAGGAAGGGGGAGGACAAGGTGCTTTGTGCTTTCTTGTGGTTTTCAAATGGTCTCCTTGTTCTTGTCCTCCCCTGCAAAATGAAAGAGACATGTGTAGCCGCTGCTGTGCTATTCTGTTTGTTACTTCAGAAAAGAGGGGGGAAGGATTTTGATTTATGCTCAACAAAGAATTTAACAAGGTTTTACTAAGATCCCCCCCCCCCCAACCAAGGCTGAATGGACTTTAAAATTATTCCTGGACTGGACTAGGAGTGCTGATGGAGTAATGCAGTTGGGAATGAACTGCTGCCGAACAGATGTGGCAAAGAGGCTGAATTTGAGAGAAGATCTTGCTTTCAGCTGTGTGCCGAGGAAGAACTCCAGAGTGGAATTTTAATGGCACAGTTTGGATACGCACTCTGTGAGTTATTTATGGTGACAGCTGGTATGCGAGTCGGTAATTACTGAAAGGAATGGAATGTGACCAGATAAACACTCCAAAGACTGAACAAAGGAAGATAGTAATTAACTTTCCCAGCACACCAGGTCTGGAACAACACGTGAAATAGAATATTTATTTATAAGATGTAACGGAGGTTCTGTTTGTAAAGTAAAAAAGGTGGCCAGCTGGAAGAATGGTTTAACAGCAAGTGAATGGTGTTAATTGGACTCTAAATACAAAATGATGTGGCAGTGTGAGGAAATGATGATCATATGTTTGGAACAGGAGCAGGAAACCTGATTTTAAGAAACTGTATTAATAAAAATAATTCGGGGGTGGGGAGGGGAATGAGACATTCATTTTGGTTGTCAAACTGGGACAGCAGGCACCTGGAGAGGCACACAAAGCCTTTGTTTGGCTCCTTCCCCAAAGCTCTGGGTGGACCGAATGCTCCTTGACAGTGTCCTCATAATCCCCTGTTACGCCCACATTACCCCATCAAGGAATCCTGTTCTATCCCTCCTCTAACTGATGGTATTTGGCATTAATACCCCAGTACACATATCTTCACCAGAAGCAGTGTGCTCTACGCACAAAACTGCATGCAAGGATCATTTATACAATCTCATGTGAAACACGTGGAGGTACAGGGTCAGCCGCCGCCCCACACAAACAGTGGAAATTCAGAAGCAGCTTCAACAAGTTCGAGGAAACACAGCTTTGGGGGGGGAGACAATTTAATCCAGTTTCACTCTTCAACATTCTTTCAACTGTGCAACCTTTGCAAGATACAACTGTTAATAAAAGCACAATATGGGCAGCCATAAAATCCCATCACTTTTTTAAAAGTCACATATATTTGAGAAAAATAAAATTTCTCCAACTCAAACCCCGTACCATAAAGCCTTTTTGCAGGTATACCATTGGATTTGATACAAAATGCCTTGAAGTCCTGTAGAATGAAATGTAGCATCCTTGCTATTTTAAGTGTTACTACCCTTAAATTAAAAGTTATATAAATAGCTATCCTCAAGATAAAAAGCGTGAAAAGGACTACATCCATTCTTACTGCAGCCAAGTCCTGGATTTTGAGGGAATTCAATTTAAGTGAAAAACCCACAGGGTGATACTGAAACTTTAATTCGAATATTCACAGTCTGACAACCGAGGATCACAACAAGTTCTAGACCAGAAAGATGAGCAGGGGGATCTCACAATCCATTCTTCACCAACTCATGGATAATCAAAGGGGCATGGAATTCTTTGTCCTTCACGTATTCCTCCAGGCCCTAGGAGAATAAAAGCAGCAACAGATATTCAGAAACTGGGCACAGCAGATTTAGTAGTACTAAAGGCTAGGGAGTCAAAACTTAAGTGCAGCTCTGAACTTGGGAACACCAGGTTCAAATTTCTGTTCAGACAAGAACCATTCAACTTTACATCCCCACCTGTAAACATAACTATTTATGATCTCCACATAGGAGTTATGGCAATAAATGAGATAACAGTATGCCAGAAATACTTGGCATATAACACTTTATACAGACAAATTAGCAGCCATGTCAGAGTTTCAAGCTCCGGATTAATCATTTACACCTTCCATGTCCAACACAGAGCAAGTGGCTAGAAAAGCCAAATAAAGTTCTGACATTCCTCTTGCACAGTTGAAGAAGATGTATTTCTTTATTTTTTCTTTTTTTTTAAGCAAAGTAATAATAATACAAATAAAAATGTGCCCCCTGCCCCTGAGACCATTAGTTATCATAATTATCCAACTTTCCAAAAATTTGTTTTATGTGTGTAGATCAGTGCACGCTGACCAACGCACAGTCTTCGCAGTAGGGCTCTATTCCAATGGCATGAGTATCACAACGACCGGTAGATTCTTATCTGCTGCAGCCTTCATTCGCCTTCACGGTCGTTGTAACATACCGCTTTTTATCTTCCGCCTGTTCTGCCGTTGAGGACTTCTAGGATCATTCTATGTCCAGCTCAGTGCTTCCCAACCTTTTTTTGGTCATGCCCCACCTAAGCATCTCTAAAATCCTAATGCTCCTCCCCCTGGTCACATATAATTCTTACTATTCAAAAAGTGAACACCTATTCACATGGAGGAAACCTAAAAGGCCATTAACTTGGTCTAATTCATTCTCAATTTACCCCCTTAAAAACCAAATTACCCCCCTGTGGGGCGTGTGGTGAGCCCCACGTTGGGAACCACAGGTCTAGTTCCTCCCCTTTGACCTTACCGCCTTGGGTGACCCTGCTGGGAGTACAAGACTCGTGACAGACCTTGTGGGGGGCCGGACTATATTTTTTTAGGGGGGGGGAATGGTGCAAGAGCACCACAAGCCCTGGTGGCTGCTTACCTGTGTCTTGCGAGCGGCAGGGGCTGGCAGCGGAGGGGTGATGAGCGGCGCACAAAAGGGCTCCGAAGAGGGGCTGCTTAAAATGGCACCCGCTCGAGCATTGGTGCTGCTGGCACCAACAAAGCCCAGCCCCCTTCCTCCTCTAGGCAGGGCGGGGAGAAGCCAGGAGGGAGGAGGCGTCGAGTGGGAGGGAAAGAACACGCGCACTGGCGAGCCACACAGAGATTCCCAGACCATTCACGGGCCGGATCCAGAAGGCAATTGGGCCTGCGGACCTGAGTTTGCCTACCCATGACTTACACCACTGTTTGAATGGCCAGATAAACTCGCGCCTGCATCTACAAGATAGGATGACTTCCTCGTGCCAGCTCTCTAGGCTCCTCTTACCCCTTCTTCGCTACAGTGCCAAGGACGGACAGCCACCAGTTCATTTGTATAAGGCGTGCATAGCATACCTTCCTGTGGTTTACTTCAAGCCTTGCCATCTGCCCTGAGCATTAAGACAGGGGAATTACAAATTCAAACTGGATGGGGGTGGGGAGAGAAAGAGAGAACGCCACATCAACTTACTTCACCCCCGTAGGAAACAAGAGGAGAAATCTCACACTGAATTGGGAAATCATTGGCATCCTTCAGACTAAAGAAAAAAAGCGAGGGAGAAAAACATAAACAAATCAGACAAGATACACGTGTTTCAATTAGGAAGGTAGTCACTCTTGTCACTTTGTTAAGGATTAGCCTTTTCCTCAGCTCCTGCCAAGGAAACAGTTCAGCAGCAATAAGGAAACTAAGATGGCACCCATGCAGCAGCTCCAGCACCTGAATCCACAGAGGTTAGTTAAGCTTGTGCCCTGAGACACACACACACACACACACACACACACACACACACCAATGGCAATTGAGAAGTGGGAGTAAAAAAATTAAAACCTCACTGCTCCTTTCACATACATATCTTCTTATTAATGAGCATCAATATTAAACTGAGCAGACCATTTGCTTAAAAAACCCACTCTAATACAGTGGTACCTCTGGTTACAAACTTAATTCATTCCGGAGGTCTGTTCTTAACCTGAATCCGTTCTTAACCTGAGGTACCACTTTAGCTAATGGGGCCTCCCGCTGCTGCAGCAATTTCTGTTCTCATCCTGTGGTAAAGTTCTTAACCCAGGTACTACTTCTGGGTTAGCGGAGTCTGTAACCTGAAGTGTTTGTAACCTGAGGTGTTTGTAACCCGAGGTATCACTGTACATCATTTCAAGCATTGTGCCTTCCATCTTCAGACAATTTATGAGGGTTCTGGATTTAAAAATTGTAGCTCAACCGACCATAAAGCTTTAGTTGTCGAATCCAAGAGACACAAATTTTAAATCAGCAAGGCTCAGAGTTTAAGACAATGTCATTATGTTCTCAGGTGTTATTTTGGTTCTGGTGTTAGTATAATATGGAGTGCATTTTTTAAAAAAATGTAGTCTTTCCTTATAACTATGACTGGTAGCTGTTTGTGAAAATGTTGGTACTGCAAATGATTTCAATTTAACTGAATAAAAGGGGCAGTTGTTTGACAGCCCTTTGGGTTTCAGAACAAAAACAAGGCATGAAAGTCTGCTTGCACAATTGCAAACTCCTGTGCACATGTGCTTTCCACGTTGGAAATTAGACAAAAGCTATTTTAAGTGGCCCATAAAGGCTTCGGCTCACAATCAAGGAATTCATAAGTACTTTGTTCCAGGTCAAAAGTCACAAGAAATTCCAGCAAGTGATCCATTTTGCTAGATTTTGTGGTCCTAACAGTAAAATTAGTAGAGTAGAATGTATGATGATACCCAAAAGGAAACCTGACTATTGGTCCATCTAGCTAGCTCAGCGCTGCTTATTCCACCAGGCCATGGTGCTCTAGGGAGACAGCAAAGTGCACACGTCTTGGGCTGGCTTAGCAGCCTTGCTTGCAATAATGTTCTTGCCCACCTCCTTTGGCAGAGAAGGGTTTCTCTCTCACTTGTTAATACAGTGCAGCTGCACGCAAGCATTGCAATTCTCAGAGGTGCTGTGTATATGTTTTTTAAATTCACATAAACTATAGAGCTAAATCTGTCAGAAGCGCTGTTCGTAACTATGCAGAAACACTAGATTCTCAGTTGACTCTCTTGCCAGTTTGTTTTAAAATGGCTTTCACAAGTTTTGTGTGGAAATTTCTTCCTGTGAACAGTCTTCTCCATTTTAAAATACTGAGCCCTTAGGCACAGAACAATAATAGCAATAATAATAGAATCTCATTGGGATCTGGAAATGAAGTCTACGTGAGAAAACAGGATGACCGATGGGCACAGTAGCTCACAGTAGTTACAGAACTATAGCAGAGATCAAACATGGCAAAAGCAATACCTACACTGTGTCACTCTGCCTTCCAAAACATAAGCAAGCCTTCTGGCAAACTTAAAAACAGACTCTAAGCCTGGCAAAAACGCAGTGCATACTACACTGCATGCAAAACTGAGAGCCCTACCAGCTCATTTTCATTAAACCTCTTGTCTTGGTACACCATAAAAGCAGTCACAGGGTCATATGCCATCAGCTCCCAGTTAAGCCTTTCAGATTCACAGATTTCTCAAAGGAATGTGGCCAGGTTACTCTTCAGTTTCACTCGTCATCACCTCCTGGACTCTACACAGTCAAGACATGCACCTTTCCCCAGCATTCACCTCAGCTACCAGACCCTTCCCAAGAGACGTGTTTACCACAGCAACAAACAACAACAACCCACTCCCTTAGAAAATGAAACAGAACAGGCTGAGCACCGAGACCCTGCATGCTGCAGAAAGGATTGTTAGTCAGTGCCAAGCGCAGCGCCATCACCGTGCACCTCCACCCGTCCAGGATAGTATATTTACTTGTGACTGACATCCGCCTGGATCGCATCAGACCTTCCATTAGTGCAACTGTCACATGGGAAGAAAAAGGATTAATGAGAAGGGAAATGAAGCTGGGGAATATGCCAAATCAAAACAGCAGACTTTCCTGAGTCTCTTGGTACCTTGGCTGTCGAACGGCTTGGCTCCCAAGCAAGTTGGCTCCCGAATGTCGCAAACCCGGAAGTGAGTGTTCCGGTTTGCGAATGTTTTTTGGAAACCGAACATCCGAAACGGCTTCCGATTGAGTGCAGGAAGCTCCTGATTAAGTTCAACAACCAAGGTACCACTGTGCAATGGTTGGTTGGGCTCATTCCATTGAGATGGCTCCTAAGGGACCTTGGAGGCCACTGCTGGCTGAACTGAACGACAGTGGCACGTTATTTAGGATTCTACTTCTAACTAAACAAATTGTTTTGCATGTGCCATGAGTGTGGTAGACCACTTCACTCAATTCCACTCTCTTCAGAACAACATAGATGTTTCTATGCAAGAGACGCAGTCTCCCACAAACTTAATCTTGATCATGTAAATTCAGTATGATTCCAAGACCCCTCATAACTCCCCCAGCCAGAAAACTTTTAATTCCACCAGCTCCAAGCACGGACGCAGTTGAGGAGATGATCACTCTAGTCCTATGAGCAAATGTGTTGAGGCACTCAAGTATGTACAAGCAAGGCTCATCTGCCAAGCAGCTTCTATTCAACCATTATAAAGCTGTTATCCCAGCTGTTTCCTAAACCATACATTAGAGCAGCCTCTCTCAACCTTGGGTCCCCAATGTTCTTGAACGACAACTCCCACCATTCCTGACCACTGGCCTGACTGGCTAGGGAGTTGCAGTCCAACAACCTCTAGGGACCCAAGACTGACAAAGACTGCATTAGATACTAGGCCTTGGTAAATTCATCAGCTCTGCTGAGAAACCAGCTAATATTATCTCCTCTTCTTTTGATGTCTTTCCATTCCAGATGGTCATTATAAGAACACTGTAACCTACTGGGACACGGGTGGCGCTGTGGTCTAAACCACAGAGCGTAGGGCTTGCTGATCAGAAGGTCGGCGGTTCAAAACCCCCCGACGGGATGAGCTCCTGTTGTTCAGTCCCAGCTCCTGCCCAACTAGCAGTTTGAAAGCACATCAAAGTGCAAGTAGATAAATAGGTACAGCTCTGGCGGGAAGGTAAATGGCATTTCCGTGCGCTGCTCTAGTTTCACCAGAAGTGGCTTAGTCATGCTGGCCACATGACCCAGAAGCTGTCTGCGGACAAACGCCAGCTCCTTCGGAGTACAGAGCAAGATGAGCGCACAACCCCAGAGTCGTCTGCGAATGGACCTAACGGTCAGGGCTACCTTTACCTTTTTAACCTACTGGTGCTTGTGTTCACCTTCTCCCTTCCTCTCCATCTTTTGTTTCTGGTGTGTTGTGCCTTTTAGATTTTAAGTCTGGGATTTTTCTATTGATTTGTTAGCCACTGTGTGAGCCTTTTCAGTTAAAGAGTGGGGTAAAAATACTTTATAAACACACTTCAAGGTATAGACAAATTGTTGTCTTCTGCTTGCTGCTATTATTCTAAAAGGGCGAAGGCACTGGTACCTTCCCACATCTGAAGAGGAGGGAGCCTAAAGCAGCTATTCTCTAAAAAGGCTTGGATATCCTGGCTCCAGTTTGAATTATGGAGGGCTGGAGTAGTTTCCTAAATGCTGGGGTTCCATTCACTTGTCCCCAATGACACAGATGCAACTGTGATGATCAAGTACATCAATCAAGATTGTTGCCTCACACTGTGTAGTTATCTCAGCCATGCTAATTACAATCAAAGGGAGATATTATGGACATGGGAGCCTGTTGTAGAATATTACTAGAAACCCGATCAACTGGAACCTCCAGCATCCTTGCACACTCTCCCAGATGTGCAGCCACTACACCCACTTCCATAGGCTATACTCAGGGACGGAAGGCAAAAGCTAAAGCAATGCCTAAATATTCTTACCGGGGAATTGCAGAAAGCCGTCTTCCATTTTCATCCACAAAGTGCCCTCCAGCATTGAGAACCCAACAGTGATGCAGTGACATCAGCGAGTGGCGTGCAGTGGTGGGGCTGTCTTTCCCATTCTGGCTGTCTGCGTTCTTCAGAGGAGAGAACTCGTCTTCTCTCAGCACTTCGTAAACCACAAATTTCCTAGAAGAGCAAGAAAGCAGAGACAGCTCTGGTAAGTTTTTTTTTTTTTTAAATCCATCAAATTAGAAGGAAACCAGCCAAAGTTCAAGAAGGTTCCCAAATACCTCAAATTTTACTGTGACAGGCCAGCCACGCAAGCATGGACATCAGTTTCCAAGGCGAAGGCCAAGGACTTGTAAGAAGCAAAGAGAATCTTTCCCCAGTCTTCAGAAATGGACTGCAGATTTTCAGTTTCCCTCTTTCTAGGCTGCGAGGGCAGTCCCAATCTTACACACAAAGGGACAACTGAAGGCACTGTGGCAAAGAGGGACCTTCCTGGGAGTTCACCCTGGCACCATAGCAGAGGTATAGTATACAGGCCACATTCTCCTCTCCAAGAAGGGCCCCTGCCCTCTTGCTGGTTTCCTACTATGACTGCCTCTGTGCTATCAGTTGCCACAACAGCCTCAGGATGCAAGAATGCTCCTCAACCATAAGTAAAAATCTATTCTCAACTCCTCATGCAACGTACTTCTTTCTGCTCTCCAAACTGCAAGATTAACTTAGTTCCTCTCTTTGCTAATCTCAGCTAGTTTCTCAGCAGCTGAGCTTCCCAGCGGACATGCCTCATATAGTTTGTACCTTCTACAACTGTGAAGATCCAAAATTAGGTTTCTTGTTTTGAAAGTAAAGCTATCATACCAAAATGAAGTTGCAACAGGTAACACAAAACACTCTCAGGACTAGGCAGAGGAGCAGCACAAAAGGACATACTTGGCAAACTGGAAGATGTCAAATACGAATTTCTCCATCTTAATCCCATTTGGTTTGTCTGGCTTCAGAGGCTTTCCAGTGGCTACATCTATACACGGGATCTTCTTTTGGGCCACGTGGTGCTGTAGCTGAGGCTCGTAAAGACTGAAACATCAAGGGAAGAGTCAGCAGAGTCTGAAGCACACAGGGAATCAAGGGTCATTAGCTAAATGAAGCCTCCAGGTACCAGATGTTGGGGACAGAGAATGGGGAAAGACATCACCTTCATGCCAGGCTTGTGAACCATTTGCACGGCAGCTGAAAACCAATACTGAATGAGATGGACCTTGATATAACAAGGCAGTTCTTAGGTTTTCATTGAATATTAATGTATTTCCAGCAGAAGGCGCTTGATATCTAGTTATTCTGGCACAAAAGAAGCCACCTATCCCAAGTGTAGGATATTTGATCCACACCTTTGCTTTACCTTTTGGCTGCAAAGGTAGAAGGTGCCATTTTCTACAGATGATCTGCAGTTACGACTCACTACCACTTTTTACACACACACCCCACACACCCCACCAGCAGCAACTAGTACAAATCTCGGTGCAATCAGACTGCATCAGCATGCCAAAATCTCCACTACTAACTTCATGGTTTTAATGCACAATTCAGGTCCTCTGCTATTGACATGGAGCTCTAAACACCTCTGTTCCTACGTATTAGCGGCCATTTTCTTTCATCAATTCTCTTTAAGGTGTGGACACAATCAGCATATGATGCAAAGCCAGAGTATTATTTTTTTTCCCTACGTTTACTGTTCTGATTGAGACAAAATAACATTGAAACTGGAAGTTAGAGCTTTGTGGTGGGCCTAGCAAAATGCTTCCATTAAAAAACCTTGCCACTTCCATAAGCAAGTGCCACTGAACTTCCCCAAAAACTCAGAACGGTTAACCAGTGCCCCAGTTCTCATTCATTTCCACCTTTAAACTGAAACAGGGAACATACTCTGCACATAGCAGAATCAAGTGGTAAAGCTTTTTCTAGCTAGAATGATCGCCAGATTCAGGGGTTTGGGGGGGGGACCTCTGTGGACCCAAAACAATAGTGCTGGGATGCAACCTGTGGCGCTTTAGCTGTTACTGGATCACAACTTCTATCACCCCTGACCACTGGCCATACTGACTGGGGTTTATGTGAGTTTCAGTCTAAGAACAGGGCCACAAGTTCCTAATTCCTGCAGAATCATGTTCTGAAGGAGGCAGATCTAGCTGAATTCTGCTGTTAAAAAGCGAGAATTCGCTGTTCTCCCTCCCCCCCCAGGGGGGCATTCAAACATGCAGCTCCTTGTCTCCAGCTGCCTGAAGTGCCATATTTTTCTGTGTATAAGACGCCCTCGTGTTTAAGATGCCCCCCCCATTTGGGGGGACTCCAAAATAAGAAAACATCCCTTAGCAATACCCGTATATAAGACGAGCCCCAATTTTAAACCTTTTTTTAAAAAAAAAAACAACCCTAGTCTTACACACGGAAAAATATGGTAGTATAGTTTAGGAAAAGATTTACCCCTTGATTCCGCTACATGTATAAACTGGCATTGTTTGCTAAAAAATTTTGACACAAAAGGAAGGTAGCAATGGCAGATATATGAGGATAGATAGAAGGAAATGATATATAAGAGCTATTCCACTCCTGTAGGAGTGCATCTCAGGACTAAAGGATGCCCGTACTTGACAATGTCTTTCAGAAACTCCAGGGTGAAGTAGTGGTTGGCTATGTTCCCAGCATTAAATAGCAGCCGGCCATCAGGACCCCTTTTCTGCGCTGTGGCCAGAGAGATCTCACTGTACTCCACCACTTGGTAAACGCCACCCACTCGGCACACCACACCAACGGGCTCCGTGGGATTGGTCTTTTCAACAACCTAATATAGAAGAACAACAACAGTTTTGTTATACTTAGAAGGCCAACAAACGGATTACAGCATACACCTTGGTGGGCTTCATCATATGCATGAACATACATGGATGCTATTCTTAGGTACCACAGTATAATATGAACATAAGAAGAGCCAGCTGGATCAGGCCCACGGAGTCCAGCATCCTGTTCTCACAGTGGCCAAGCAGGCGCCGGCAGGAAACCAGCAGGCAGGACCCGAGCGCAAGAGCCACTCTCCCCCCTGTGGCTTTCAGCTGCTGGTATTCATGCATGAGTAGAGAGGAGGGAAACAGTGGAATCAAAAGGCAATAAAAACTAAAGTCTGACAGTTCAGTGAAGCAGCCATTCACAAGATAAAAGAGTGCAGTTAGTTACACCTAACACTACTCCACCCCCACAAGGTCTTACAGAGTCACCTTCCCAAACCTAACAACCTACCGCCTGCATCAACATGGGTTACCTTTGCTCCACAGTCTGCTCCCTTCTGTACACAGAAGCCAATGAAGCGAGGGTCAGCCACTTTGACTAAAATATTGTCAACACAATAGACATGGATGCTGCCAATGCCTCGCTTTTCCATGTCCTCCACAATATGATGGGCTCCCAGAGCTCGGTAGAGACCACCATTACCATCTTTAGGAAGGGAGAAGAAAAGGAAGCAGTTCAGTAGGTCAGAAGAGTTATTTTTTCATATTGGTTTTTGTGTATCTTTTTTTGACATGACCCACCACAAAGACAAGTTATCATACTTAAGGTTTGTCAGTAAAAATCCTAAAAATTCAGCATTACTGGTAACACAGAAAATATCAGCAGCATCACTGAAAACCTTATATTCCAAATGCCTTTCAATTTTTTTTTTAAAGTCCTGCCCACACACAAAAGTCAGAGAAAACCATCCCCCCTCTTGAGAGAGCTCTGCAAATGATGGTGTTTCAGCTGAGGCAGTCTGTCTTCTTCATGGCCTCCAATGTTCCTCTGGGTGCAGCAGGACCTTGTCCAAAACTCTGAGGGGCCACTGAGGTCCACAAAGGAGGCAGCATTCCCTTTAGGGCTTTTAAAGGTAAGAAGCAAAACCATTAACTGAGCTCCACATAGAAAAGCATTTCAGCTCTATGGATGAGCTAACAGCCAGCTGGGCAATCCAAAAAAACAACACAAACATTAATCACTAAAAGATTTGTTGGACAACATATCAGATGCTGGGGCAGTCACGATGGCTGCTGCACAAATGACAGTCTATGCCCCCACAGCTAATCTTTCATGAAGTATGGAACTTCCTTTTTAATAAAGGTTCACACTAAACGCAAGTGTTAAATCAGAAAGAAAATGTCTTCAAGATTCAGCATTTCCATGCTTGAAGTATCTGGAAGCTGAAAATGTTGGCTTTGAGAAAATGACCTAGATGGCACTGTGTAAGGGCAAAGTGATGTTGGGGCCTGGTTATAGGGTTCAAGAATTTTCACATATTGCCTTACATAATGACCTGAAAGCTTTTTTATTGAGCTAATAAAAAATAACCAGATGAATAAGCATGAGCAACTTCTATGTGTTAACTTTCTGAATTTGGAAGATACTGAAGGGTCTTATTTGGAACAATCATAAAAATAAAAAAAGAACGGTTGCTCAAAGTTTGGAAAAAACCATACTTGTTAACTTAGTCACTACTGAAACAATCAAATTTGGAGCCCTGTTACGCAATGCCACAAAAATACAAGTTAGATGGCAAATTTCTAGTGTCTCCCTTATTATAGTTACTGGTGTTATTCAAGCTTAGCTGCTGGTTGTCATGATTCTCTATGAAGTTTGGGAGTCTATGTCTTGTTGGTTTTTTTATGATATTCCTATTTTCTACATTGTTTTCTTTATAATCACAATCTGTTCTATTTTTTGAATGATAAAAAGGGAGGAGTTGCTTTTGAAAGACATAATGGGGGTGAAGAAGAATGAGGAAAAAATGACATCTTTAACTGAGGCCATGTCAGACTGTGGATTTGCATAGACTGCTCAGGGACACGACTGGGAAACAAAACATGAGAGTAGGAAAGAGGCTTGCTGGTAGCCTCAGGTATTAAGCAGAAGCCCCAGCTGCCCCTTTCCTCAGCACCTTTTCTCATCAAGTCACAGGAAGCAAATTACAGACATAGCAGAAGCTGATGAATGCTAGAGCAAAGAGGGGCAATTGCCAATATGGGTTTGGAAAGGGTTCCTATAAATGTTGCACCTGGTGCCATAGAAACTTTGCCTTTCTCTTCCAAGAGAATTTTCCCATCAAAGTCCATAGCAGGCAGCATCCCTTGCTGGAAGAAGATCACATTCTCTTTCTTTAAGCCAAAGTATTTGTGCTTCAGGAAAAATTCTTTAGTCAATTCCATTGTCCTACCACTTGTCATGATATACCTGAATGGCACAAATAAGAGAATAATAGATAATTAAGACAGGGAGCATATCATATCATCAACATCATCATCATCATCATCATATATTATATATTTATATCCTGCATTCCCCACATCAGAACTCAAAGAGGCTTACAAATAAAACAAGAACTGCTACGAACATAGAAAAATCTATCATTGAAAAACAATAGAATTAAAACTAAATAAATCTATAAAATCTGTTTAAAGCATACACATAATTATAATAAAATCAGCATGGCACCAGCCTTTTAACTAAAAGCAGTCACTTTCCCAAAGCCTGTTGGAAAATGAAAGTGTTCACCTATTATGGGATACAAAGCTCGTGGCCTTTCCTTGCTACTAGACATACGTAGGAACCTTCCTCCCCAAAGGGCCAAAAGAAGCCATGCATTCACAAGTATTATTTCACAGCTTTCTTATGGGCTCTGAAACCATACGTGCCAGAAAACTTCAGAGGAAATAATTCAAAACTGGGGCAAGAGATCTTATGCCAACTTATAGCTATTTTACCCTTGCACTGCAACTTTATAAGATACACCCCTCACTGTTGAAGGGCCCCAAAGTACTCTTGGGGGGTGGAGTGTGTGTAGGGGTTGATGATGGAGAGGAAGGGAAAAGAATGTCTTCCGCAGGCAAGCTGTCTTCTGCTCACACCACTGCTGGATACAGCCCTGAAAGCAAGGCAGCAAAAGCTTCTGAACCAACAAAACAAAGACCACTAGCAGGGATCATCTGCTTCCACTTGCTCCTGAAGAACACTGATAAAATGACTGAAGAGTCCAAGTTGCTTACCATGGAATAACACATTTCAGGCCATGTTGTCTTTCAGCCAGCTGCTGCAGTTTCAGGATGCGCTCTGCTTGGATCTGGAAGAGAGTTTTGTGGGATGGCAGGCCTACATCATACATCCCCTTGGGGTATGAGACACCCAGCCTTGTTCCTTGCCCACCAGCTAGAAGAAGAACAGCAACTTTGTTTTGGGAAATCTGTCGGAGACCTAAAAAGAGCAAGAAAAATAAATGTTACTCCAGTGATTGACAGCAAGCTTGATTTGCACACAACTCTTTTTCAGGCATGCAAGGCATTACTCAAAGGATCTAACTGATCCAAACAGACGTGCTTCACATAACGAAGCTAGAATCTCTGTATCCTGCTCAAAGTGCCCTTGGAGACTCCAGTCCTCTCTACTACTAATCTAAGGCTGTTTTATGCTCTACTTGGAACCAAGAGTAATGAGAAATTCCCTAACATCCTTCTACACCACTAGAATTTACATCTTGAACCAAAAGCTTCACTTAAGAACAAGAAAAGTGATTACAGTTCTGGAGATATATATATATTGTTTAAAGTATATTTTTGTTGCTGCTTTTAAGAGGGAAAGGGGGTAGAGCATCTGTACTCTGTATGTCTGCCTGTATGTCTGCCTGTATGTCCCATCCTACAATACTACTCTCAGGTTTGATTGCTTCTCAACATCAAAAAATCAAAAATGTGTGAACAAGCACATTAAAAGTTACATAATTCATTTTTCAGAATAGACCTTGGAAGATGGGGAATCAGTGGTTATGCCAACCTGTGTTCAATGCTGGACTGAATCTCAGGCTCACTTGCTAATTCCTTGCCTAATTTCCAATTTTGAAGAAAAGCAGAGACTGCTGGTTTGGATGAAGTGGCAAACTGATGGTTTGCCTCAAACTAGGCAAGTTGGCTAGACATGAGGTTGGGGGAATGGCAAGAAAGAATGTTGCATGCAAATCTGGGGTTCTCATCAATAATTTTATTATCACAGGAGTTCAAATATGGGTGTTTCTAAAGATACATTATGTGTTAAATGTTTATTTGGCCTCCCCATGATAAAATGCTTCCTGGATTACTTCCTGCTTGGAAACATGCCTGAAACTATTTACGCATTTGTTTTATTAAAAAAGGGCACACAGTATAGGTGAATGAGGAACACAGGCAAAGAGCAACCTAAGCAGCAAGGCAGAACAAAGCTAACTTCAAAAGATATTCAGTAGTACCTACATGCAATACCAAGTTTTCTTGGCCTGGAGAAGAACGCTGTATTACTCAAAAGGCTGCTTTATGACATTTTAAACAGTTACTGAGATAGTAAAAGCAAAATCTTGCTTCTTCTCTTCTTCACAGCAACACAGCTGCTGCTGCTGCTGCTGCTTTTGCAAGTTTTAATATTTTTCTAGTCCAGAGCAATCAGACTTGAGCCTGGATATTACTTTTTCTTTAATTCTTTAATTCTTTAATTCTTTCTTCTCTCTCCCTCTGTCACTGCTTCAATCCAGACCATACTCCAAGCCCACAGATCTTACGACTATGGTAGAGTCAGTCTCCAGCTGACTCTGAGGGGAAAGCACTGGGAAAGGTCATAGCTCTTTGGGATAACAAGGAGAGTCCTTATGGACGAACATGCACTTCAGCGGTCCAGAGAACTGACACAAACAGCTTGCTCAAGGGTCCACTGTTTCTACTTTTTCCTGCAGTTTCTAGTGGAAGAGATCATATTAAGAAATGGCACTCAGGCCTAAATCCCTTTGGCTACATAGTAAAAGGAATAGCAGACTCCCACGTAGACCACCAAGGCTCCATACAGTCAAGACAACCAAGCGGATGAACACAACGAGACAGAGAAAATTAATCTAAAGAGTGCTATTCAGCATTGTTACTAATAGAATGAAAACCAAGGGACTGGTATGTTCTCCCCACTTTAAAATTATTCATAATTTGGCATTCAACAAGCACCTTCCATAAGAGTCTAGAGACATACACAACCATTTTTTAAAATGTTAGTCTCAAAATACATAGATTTGCCATTGTATTATTATAGTTACACAATGGTCTATAAGAAAACTTTATGAAGTTGTGAGACTTCCCACTTCCCTCAAAGCACATGCGAAAACCTTGCTACAAGGGGTCCCGACTGAGCTTGCTGTAACATCAGCCTACACCTTCTAACAGAGAGTGCTTTCATATTTCACAAACTGTGGATATTATATAAGAAGTGTAGAGAAGCAAGCCTATGATCTGTGTTGTTCTTTACATAGTCTGTATCACTTCAGGGACCAGGTCTGCTTCCTAGAACTGACTATGTGGCAAGTGGGGTTCTTCTTGTTACCTTCCTGCTCCCAGGCGGACAGCTGGGCTTGGTCCCGAGTTGCGCTCCCTAGCACTTCACGCGGCACAGGTTCCATTTTGGCATCCACGTTCTCCTGTCCTGGCAAATGGCTGCTTTCCTTCATGGCTTTCTGGAAAGCTTGGCCCAGCTCTCCCAGATTCATGTCCTTCAAGTCTCTATACAGCTCTTGCTGCTCTGACACATCCAGTTCTTCCCAGAACCGAAGCAGATGGCTCTGTCCTGCCTCAGCCAAGCAGCGCTGGAGCTCATGGATCTCATTGTCCCCGTCCATGGCCTATGGAGGAGAAGAGAACAGTAAGACTCACTGAGAAACTCTTAGCCCAAAAACACTTTGCACTTCCCCCAGCTACAGCAGCCTTGAATTTAACAACTCACCAGGTAGCCATAGCCAAGCAGGTAGTCACATAGGTGAGATTCAAGAAAGTAATTGAGTAGACTGGGAGATGGGTGAGTCACTCCTCCCCACATTTACCAAACTACTTGGGTTCCATGCTAGTGAAAAGAAGGAAAACCTCTTCCTTGTTTATTTATTAAATTTTGATACTGTTCTTTACCCATAGATCTCAGGGCAGTTCAGAACATAAAAATACAAGATAAAAAACACAAAATACATAATAAAAAGCAGAAGAAAAGGCATAGTTAGAAGGCACTTTCCCTTTTCCTTACTAGCTTGCATTTTCATGCAGTGGAGGTGACTAATCTTTGTCTATGGCTAGCATGGAATTACAGGTCACTTGCCTCTTAATAACCTCATCAAAATATTTGAAGCCCACTATTTTTTGTGGAATGATTTACAAAACTGGAATTTAGAACATAAGACATTTTGAAAAGGATGTGCAGGATGCTGGCCTGAATCTTGATCCACGAAGGCCACCATTAAGAAGGGGAAAGCGCCAATTCCAGTGATATCTAAGTGAACAGTTCTTTCTGCAGGGGGAAAGACTCCGGCACAAGGAGGCAAAGATAGCCTAGTTCACATCTGTAAAGGCAAATACTGAAACAGGGTTGTTCTTTTTTAAATTGTGTTTATTTTAGTGCTTACATCCCATCTTATTTTCCAAAAAAGGAATTCAAGGTGGCATGAAATCACGCAACAGTTAAAAGCAGTATCACATACACACACACACCCTTTACAAACAGTAACAAGTGCATACCCCCAATATTACTATAAACACCAATAACACCCATTTCTTTTTTTATCCCCGTGTCCTCTATAGTACATATATATTCTCTGCATATATATGCGCCCTTTTGAAGCACCCCAGAGTTACTGCAACAAACAGACCAGCTTGCTAGACTCGTACGCATGCACACAAACGCCTCACTCGTGTCATCGAGCCACATCATACTTCTGCCACTGACTATGGTAACTTCCTTATAACATGGGGATGCCAGATGTGACACAGAAAACATCATTATGCTGTGTCTATAAAAATAACATTATCTCTCTCTCTAGATATAGATACTGTATATACACACACATGTACAGTATGCGCTCCTTTTATGCCACCTGCCTTTTCTGCTGCTCTGCAAAGCACCGTCAAACTGCATTAACCGTGACAGAAGCCAAATAAAACCCACTCTGAAGTGCCCTGCTAGGGCTGCTCAAATTTGGCACAATCGTTATTTTCTTTATAAAAAACGAAAACGCGACTCATTGCTCTGGCTCCGCTTGAACAAGAAGCTATACGATATGCGATTTAACTCTCTCTCTCTTCTCCCCCCCCGCCGCCCGCCGCCCGCGCCCCCTCCCGGCGCTCACCTCCCGCGGCGACTCCCAGCGCCGACTCCGCTCCTTCCTCCGCACCAGCCAGAGCCCTCTCCTCAAGCCCCGCCCCTCTTCCCCCACCTCGACCAATGGCAAGCTCCGCGGGGCGGGGCGGCGCCTCTGCCACGTCATGCCAGGTCCCGGAGGAGCCGCGCCACGGCATTGGCTGGGCTCCAGGGCGCGGGGCGGGGCGGGGCGGGGCTCGCCGGGGGAAGGCGCCTCGCGCGGGGCGGCCTGCCGTTGCTATGGCCACGGGCCCCTTTGGCGTCACGGTCCCGAACTGAGCGAGGCCTGGTTCCTCTCTTCTTCCATGAGTCACAGGGTTGCAACACGCATATTTGCAAATAAAACGTATGACCCCCAAACAAGTATCGTAAGATTATTTAGGGAGTGGTCCCTAAGGCCAGGACTTCCTTCCTAAGCTGGTCTGCTGAGTCCTCACTTCTCTTAAAATCTTCATTATTATTAGTCACTTCATTTCGAAACTGCTTTACGTTTTTAAGATTTAAACCTCAAAACGGTTTGCAACCCACATTAAAACATCAGATAAAACAGTCCAGGATAAAACATTACCGAAGAAAGTCAGAAAGTACCATATACATTCAAAGTAGCGTAATTAAGAAAGAGCAGAAATACTATTTTAAAGATTTCAAAACAAAAGTTTACAAAGGTGGTCAGCTGCACAAGGCTCATTCAACAGCAAAGCTAACGGGAGGGAAGGGGGACTTTTCAAAAGAAAACAACTAAAGGATGTCAAATATAAAATGCACAAGTAAGGCAGCATAATTGTTGTTTAGTCGTTTAGTCGTGTCCGCCTCTTCGTGACCCCCCGGACCAGAGCACGCCAGGCCCTCCTGTCTTCCACTGCCTCCCGCAGTTTGGTCAGACTCATGCTGGTAGCTTCGAGAACACTGTCCCACCATCTTGTCCTCTGTCGTCCCCTTCTCCTTGCGCCCTCCATCTTTCCCAACATCAGGGTCTTTTCCAGGGAGTCTTCTCTTCTCATGAGGTGGCCAAAGTACTGGAGCCTCAGCTTCACGATCTGTCCTTCCAGTGAGCACTCAGGGCTGATTTCCTTCAGAATGGATGCGTTTGATCTTCTTGCAGTCCATGGGACTCTCAAGAATCTCCTCCAGCACCATAATTCAAAAGCATCAATTCTTTGGCAACCAGCCTTCTTTATGGTCCAGCTCTCACTTCCATACATCACTACTGGGAAAGCCATGGCTTTAACTATACGGACCTTTGTTGGCAAGGTGATGTCTCTGCTTTTTAAGATGTTGTCTAGGTTTGCCATTGCCTTTCTCCCAAGAATGGCAGGAGTCTTTTAATTTCGTGACTGCTGTCACCATCTGCAGTGATCATGGAGCCCAAGAAAGTAAAATCTCTCACTGCCTCCATTTCTTCCCCTTCTATTTGCCAGGAGGTGATGGGCCCAGTGGCCATGATCTTCGTTTTTTTGATGTTGAGCTTCAGACCATATTTTGCACTCTCCTCTTTCACCCTCATTAAAAGGTTCTTTAATTCCTCCTCACTTTCCGCCATCAAGGTTGTGTTGATATTTCTTCTCTGCATATCTGAGGTTGTTGATATTTCTTCCGGCGATCTTAATTCCAGCTTGGGATTCATCCAGCCCAGCCTTTCGCATGATGAATTCTGCATATAAGTTAAATAAGCAGGGAGACAATATACAGCCTTGCCGTACTCCTTTCCCAATTTTGAACCAAAAGACAGCATAATTAGCAAGAGAATAAAAATAAAATAAAAAAATAGAGAACATAATATTACCATAAGCACAGACCATATTTGTTGCTGTTGCCGCCAATCCTGCTGGTGCAGAATGCTGCAGCATGATTGCTGACTGGAGTGAGGACTTGGGGATCATTCTATTGCTCTTTGGGACAGTTGTAAAGATGAATGAGATCATAGGATCATATAATTGTGAAGGGAGAATTGTAGAGTTGGAAGAGACCTTGAGGGTCATCTCATCTAACCATCTCCAATGCAGGAATCGCAGCTGAAGCATCTGGGACAGATGGCCATCCAACCTCTGCTTAAACCTCCAAGGAAGGAGAGTCCACCACCTCTCGTGGGAGTCTGAACTCCTCTTACTGTCAGCAAGCTTTTCTGAATGTTTAGTCGGAATCTCCGTTCTTGCAACTTGAAGCCATTGCCTCGAGTCCTGCCCTCAGGAGCAGGAGAAAACAAGAATGCTTCCTCTTCTGTTTGACAGTCCTTCAGATATTTGAAGATGACTATTATATCTCCCTCAGTCTCCTCTTTTCCAGGCTAAATATCCCCAACTCCTTCAACCATTCCTCATAAGGCTTGGTTTCCAGACCCTCGATTAGCTTGGTCACCCTCCTCTGCACATGTTCCAGCTTGTCAGCATCCTTCTTACCATAAATTGGGGTGCCCAGAACTGGTTACTGGTGTGGTCTGACTAAGGCAGAATCAAGTGGTACTATTACTTCCCTTGATCTGGACACTAGACTTCTGTTGTTGCAGACTAAAACAGCATTCACTTTTTTGCTGAATTTCTACAGCCAGGTTTGGGGTAGGAGAACCTTCCTTTGTATTTCTATTAGATTTATGCAGTTAATCCTGTCTAAGAACCAGCATATGCACCTCATAATCTCTGGGTAGAGAGTCATTTCTTAGTGACTGCGTCTTCTGCTTTCCCACACTTGGATGGGGGGGGGGGAGGACTGGGTTATTTTTGTCTGTCCCCCTTTCCACCTTTAACTGTTGTAGGGAATATATTCAAGTGGAGAGAGGTGTGGCATCTCCTCAGAATTTGCGGAAGAATGATGTCAATCAACATCTGATGATCTCCTTCTACCGGTCCACAATAGAAAGTGTCCTTTCATACTGCATCATGGTGTGGTATGCTGGTTTGACATCAACTGATAGGAAGTGCCTACAGAGGGTGGTGAATACAGCACAAGATATTATGGGCTGTCCCGTGAATCTGCTGGATGAAATAGCGGAAGAATGTTGCCTCAGGAGAGTGAGGAAAATTCTCAGGGATGATTCACACCCTGGCCAGCACTTTCTTGATCTCCTGCCCTCGGGCAGAAGATATAGAAGCAGGATTAGTCGCACCAACAGGGTAAAGAACAGCTTCTATCCGTGGGCTGTTGGGCTGCTGAATGAAAAGATAACAACAGGGCAATGGACTTTCGGGTTTGGTGGGTGTGCGTCAGTAAACGAGGGGAATTAAGACTAAGAGAGCTGAGTAGGGGGTGCTCGTGTAATCTCACTGTATACAAATTGTACAAGTGACAATAAAGTATTTTAATTCAATTTCAATTCAATATGCCTTTCTTGTATACACCATTGTGTTTGTGACAGCAGTCCCCCAGTACAGGTGTACTTGCAATCTTCTATCCTCGAGGAGCCACCACTCTCATTTCCTAGCAGAGCTGCTAGCTGCCAACAAGAACATAAATCATTCTTTAGAGTTCTTTTACACGGCTCTTACAGTTTTAGGTATAAACTGACCCAATGGTTTGCTAATAGAGGAACACCAACTGACTGCAGCAGGCAGAAGACTCAAAACATCAAGTGACTGCAGCAGGCAGAGGAATCATTTTGTATAGAATTATTGCATTTATTTCATAATGCCTTGAAATTGCTTTGTGTAACAATGATTTTTTTAATTTAAAAAATGATACGTCTAAGTCAACAAGTGGGCCCTTGCAAAAATGAAACATGTGAACTCTCCCTACACCAATATATTTGTGGGCCACTGGTTCATAAATTTATCAGGAAGAATCTGCAGCATAAAGTTATGATCAATGATTCATTTTTAAGGGAGAAATCAAAATATCATGAATTGAGCTGTTGTCAAGTAACAGGCCTTTTATTTTTTGTTGTGGTTACCAAAACACAATGTACAATTTACTGCTAAGCTAAAGCACACACTCCTTCGCGGCTTGGATTGAATATCTGTTACACAGAGGGATTGCGCCATATGATTTTGGAAACTTTCCTGGTTGACTTGATATTTTTCCACAAAACTGTGGATGTTAAGATTCAGCCTTGTGGCCATATGGAAGCCTCTTTTGACTTATGGGAAGTACGATTTTACTTGGAAGAATGTTTGAACTTATTTGGCCCTTTGTCTTCTCGTGCCCATTCAATTCTCCCCACCCCTTTTCTTTGCTGTTCCACTAGTATCAGTTGCTGGCACTCCAGGACGTGCTCTTATGGGAAGCTGACTTACAGCACCAGGCTCATTGGTAGTCCAACTCTGTGTTACAAAGATGTCTTGCCACCGTGACATGAAGGCTGGCAGCATCAACAACCCTGCCATGTGGGAATCCCTAGCAGACAACCACAACGCCTGGAGACAAGAAATCAAGTTGTGTATCCATAGCAGGGTCACAAAGAGTCAGACATGACTAAACGACTAAACAACAACAGCAGTGACCAGAGGGAGGAGTGCAGAGCAGAAACGTCATGGTGCACCAGCAGCAGCACAACTGGAGGCCTTCCTCTGCCCCAGTTGCAACAAAACATGTCCTTCCTGCATGGGTCTCCGCTGCCACAGCAGGCGCTACTATGGTCCAACAGTTTGACTTCACAAACGGTGAAGTCCTGAGACAGACAGATGCCAAACCTTCAAACTCTTATAGTAGTTTTGCTTCGTGATTGCTTTCTGTTTTGTATGGTTTTCCTCAGGGTGCACTTTTTAGTCCTGATGCCCTTTTTATACGTACTGCACACATTATACAAATAATTTTTTTCCTTAAAAAAATACAGCCCTGGAATATGTTAAACAATTATCATCGTAAAAGAGCATGAACTGAATATGAGCACACTACCTCCTTCTTAGCGGGACGCGGGTGGCGCTGTGGTCTAAACCACTGAGCCTCTTGGGCCTGCCAATTGGAAGGTCAGCAGTTCGAATCCCCGCGATGGGGTGAGCTCCCGTTGTTCAGTCTCAGCTCCTGCCCGCCTAGCAGTTCGAAAGCATGTCAAAGTGCAAGTATCATAGAATCATAGAGTTGGAATAGACCACAAGGGCCATCGAGTCCAACCCCCTGCCAAGCAGGAAACACCATCAGAGCACTCCTGACATATGGTTGTCAAGCCTCTGCTTAAAGACCTCCAAAGAAGGAGACTCCACCACACTCCTTGGCAGCAAATTCCACTGTCAAACAGCTCTTACTGTCAGGAAGTTCTTCCTAAGGTTTAGGTGGAATCTTCTTTCTTGTAGTTTGGATCCATTGCTCCGTGTCCGCTTCTCTGGAGCAGCAGAAAACAACCTTTCTCCCTCCTCTATGTGACATCCTTTAATATATTTGAACATGGCTATCATATCACCCCTTAACCTCCTCTTCTCCAGGCCCAGCTCCCTTAGCCGTTCCTCATAAAATAGGTAAGTAAATAGGTACTGCTCCGGTGGGAAGGTAAACAGCGTTTCCGTGCGCTGCTCTAGTTTCGCCAGTAAAGCGAGATGAGCGCCGCAACCCCAGAGTCGTTCGTGACTGGACTTAACTATCAGGGGTCCTTTACCTTTACCTCCTTCTTAATAACTACCAGTCTCCAAAATGCTTTGGAGGATGCAGTGCTTAAACAGTGTGTGAAATATCCAGGCAGGCTTGTTTCTAGTGTATTTTATTTGGACCATTCAAGCAAACAAAAATTCAGAGGGCTGCAGTTCTTAAGATCTCCATGCCCTATTCACCACTGACATGCACGTGTGTTCCACACTACAGATGCCCAATTCAGTTTCTGCAATATCAAACTTCCCTCCACAGCCACTTCTGGTATTAATCCAGCCACTATATTCTTATTGCACATGCCTCTCAGCTCACATTGTAGCTTTGTCTTGCCTCAAACCCCCACACCTATTTATTCCCAATTTCTCCTTGAACCTTTGTGCTTGGCATTCTTCGGTCTAGAATGTACCTTCACTGCTGTACACATCAATGGACCCCCCAAAATGTAGATTTATAATGAGATACCAGAAGGCATTTCGGATCTAAGGAACATCTTTGCATCAGGCAGCAATCTTTAAACTTCAGTGCCTGTCTGAACTTTATGCTCCCACCCATCACTAACACTGCAACACTGAAAACAACACAGCACGCCTCACTTAATGTCCCATCACGTGTGTGGGTGAGGCACAGTGACAGTTGTCTCAGAATGACATAAACGAGTGATCATTACAGCCTTGGTGGGCCAGCACAACGCCCATTCCCTGGAGAAAGAGCTTGGGAGTTTACCAATAATGAAACAGGAAGGATGCTGGCCAAGTGAGTTTTCAGCACAAAAATGTCTAATTTCTTTGTGTCAGTATTTGTATTTCCAGAATTTGTCCAGTTATGAAATATTTTGTTGTATTCAGTTACATTTCAAATATATACCAATATCAAATATGCCAAAAGGATTAGGAATAGAGAACATACATAAATAAGCCCTTTTGAGTATTTATACTTCCGCTAATTCTCATTCCTTTTTTTCATCTTCTTTCGTCCGTGCTTTTGAAGAGGAGCTACTGCACAGTGGCCTTCCTTCGAGGCCAAACTATATACATTATGCAAAATGCATCACTTACACCTCTTTTTATTTATTCTTGAATCAATCAGATTACTTTGAAAATAGCAAATAATTATTATTATTAACTAAGTTTAATGCTGCCTGTTTGAATACATGGGGTATCTGCTGTGGTAATATAATTTCTACTATGAAAATTATTTGAAAATGTGGTTGGATAGACCTCTATCTTGACTATAGCCTTGTTGGCCCTCCTGTTGGAGAATGAAAAATCTCTGATTTGTCATAAACCTTTGCAGACATGCTGTCCAAATAAATGAACTGTGAACTGTTAGTCCCTTGATATGTTTCTGGAAGGCTAGAACATCAATTTGGTTGCCTTTAGTGCTTTCATTGACTGTTTGAAGATCATGCCTGAAGATGGGTTCCTTAGCTTAAAAGGTTGGCATAAGGTCTCTTTTGGCTTTTTTACTGATATTTCTTTGCCAAGGATAGTTGGCAACAGACACCAATGTAGTGATATCTAGATATTTCCCCATGCCCTCACTCCCAATCCCCAATCCTCTGGGATGGTAGCTAATTGATCTATGCTGGTGAACAAGGCAGCAAGCACTGGGGCCCGCAAATCAACACTGGCCTTAAGAAGCTCGGGTGAAATATTGTCTGCACCAGGAGCTTTGCCAAGTTTAAGAGATTGAATGAGCCTTGCGAGCTTCTTCAGTTGACACCGGGGGCCACTCAGCACCAATATCACTTAGAGGTAGGGAGAGATGTTGCTTAGTTGTGTATAAGGATTGGAAGTATGACTCCCAAATCCCAACAGAGATGGTATATTCCACTTCGGAGGGGGAATCTTGCCATCCTTTTGCGACTATTTTCCAAAAGGTGGCTGAGTCCCTCCTTCGAGAGGTCTATATTAAACATTGCCACTCTCCCCTTTGGGCCTGAAACTTTTTCTTTTTGATCAAAGCTTTATAATTTTGTTTAGCTTCAAACCACTCTGCAGGGAGTGAGGGTAGATTGGCAGACCTATAGTTCCTGTATTTTCCCAACAAAGACCGCTTCACAGCGGGGCATTCCTGATCAAACTAGGGTTAAGATTTGTTGGAGTATAATGGTCATCGCATTGCCTTTTTTGGGGTCAAATAGGGTTGAAGAAGTGAAATCAAATCCTGAAACAAGTTTATTCTAGTTTCAGAGCATGAGGAGTTTAAGAGGTTGTCTCTCCTAATGAGGAATATATCTGAGCACTCTGCAGGCATGTTTGCTCTGCAGTACAAGCCGGAAGGCAGAAAGAGCCTCTGAAAACAGACATATACAATCCAGACCAATCAAGACTTGTTACAAAACCATAACGCCTAATGGTTCTCAGGGCACCATAAGCACCATCTCTGCACAATGTTTTGCTTAGAGTCCTAATCTTGGATGTTGTCATTCATACAATTCTGTCAGTTCAGTATCTCAAATGTCTGCAGGGGAGACGTGGGCTCTTAACCAGGTTCAAAATGAAGTAGTGATATCAAGGCTAGCAAGATGTATCCGAATCCCCTTCCCTTTCAGTATACAAAACCTAAAGGATATTTTGTCTTAGTAAAGCAAGTTGCATATTTAAGGTGAATGTGTCTCATCAAACCTAGGGTTCAAAGATATGGCAACGAGTTACTGAAAGATCTTTTTATGCCACAGAGATTCAGATTTCTTCTGCTACTCTCCCGCCAGGATCGAAAATTCTGCAGCCAATGATTTCTCATGCTGTACCTCAGTCACAAGATTTATGTCTTGTATGTCACCATTTTGGGGGTCCCACTTCATTGACCACTGAGTGCCACTGGGACGTGTTGTGTTCAGCAGGTATCAGATCAATGTTTAGAGAACCTCATTCTTAGAAATGTAACAAGACTGTCCATAGATCAATGCAGCAAATGGAGCTGGTGTTCTGTAACCACCAATCTTACGTTGGCTGAATTTACTTTGGTACAGGATGTTGGAAGTTCTTGTTTTGAAGTCAGAGATTAGACTGCATATTTGGATGTTTTCTCTATGAAGGGTGACAAGTTTGCTAAATATTGCTGTTGGATACCATTCTGTGGCTGCTGAGGAGAAATAGAAGGAAGGCCTAAATACCCTTTCAGAAAGGTTATTTCCTGTTCAGGACAGGGAAGGAAAAGCCAGTCATTCTGTCTGTGACTCGCTCATTCCTTGCAAGGCAATGGGGGGGGGAGGAGGAGGAGGAAGCCACCTTGCCTCTTGGCTTTTTGGGGGAAGCTACATGCACCCCAACATCCTAGCACTCTGACAATACCCGTGGCCAAGAGGAAGAACTATTTCTGATTAAACTCCTGCCTCACCTGACACCCAGGAAGAACACTAGCTTTATAATTCAAATGGTACACATTTAAAAAACAACTTGCTAAGTTCAGTCTTGTTTTTCCTCTCCATTGTGAAGACCACTGGCAGCCTGCCCCACACTGAGCTTTCTGTTGTATTTTTTGGCAATCTTGGGGAGTTTCTTTTCCTCCTCTTGGGTATTTCGCAACTAGCTTTAGACATTACAAAAAGGTCATGCCACAGTAGACCGGGAAGCTTCTGTCTAATTGGTGGTGACTCACACTGAGGTAGAACTGAAATATGCAGACTTGAATTTTTCCCACTTTCACAGAAGGGCTAAGAGAGTGTCAGTAATGTGCTCACAATGTTGGTAAAGACGCTGTTTGCCTCCCTGTAGGCACAAAACCCTTTACACAGTGTTGAAGGGACTCCCTCTTGCATCACACTTTTCTGTAAGGAAGGCTACTGTTTCTATCCCACCCAGCAATGATTCCATTTTTTAAGTACATACCACAGTTCACCTTGCCTATTTTTAAATGTTGGGAGAAATCATTAATTATTGCTTCACACTACAACAGCTACTGCACAATAGAAAGATATTTTATTTTAAGCAAAGGGGACTGATTTATCTGCACCTAATGTTAGATTTTTAAAAAACTATACAGAATGAGAAAGGCAATTTTCATTACCCCAATTTTCAGGAACGTCCAGGATAAGCAGTTACTCCTGAAAAGTGCTCATGGCACCATTTATAGGACATATCCTAAACATCTCCGTTTCCATGAAGAAGGGCTACGTGTGCAGCCTTCAAGGGCAGTCCAGGGACATTTTATCCCTACAATGCTTTGAATAGATGGACAGTCGTTCCGCAGTACAAGTGTGGGAGTGCAACAGATGGGCAGCATTAATCTCAAACCTCAGTAGGCTGCTGCTTCTCTCCAGAAAGTACTATATGGGACTGAATTATCCTTCTTCACACCAGTTTTACTGCTTCCAGTACATCTGCCAGGACATAAGTAGTGTCCCATGCTTGACCAGGTTGTCGCAGGGCCTTCTCCAGAATCTGAGCTGTGTCTCGGAGCTCTGCAGGAGGTAGCTTGTGCTTAGCCTGCTGCTGGCAGAATAGGATTTCATTTACCTCCCCCTCAATCCTCCGGACATAGAGCAAAGGGAAAGTCTCTCTTAGGGTAGCCAGAACAGCATCTCGAAGCTGGGTGTCTCGACACACCAAATTTAGAATGAAGAGGCCTGCAGAGAGGAATAAGACACATTGATTATTACAAAGCAGATGTCAGAGATCACAGAGCACCCATTTAGATTTGTTTGTAGGAGGGGGTGGGGGAGGGGGTTTACTGATTTGTGGGGGTAGGTTGAGTAGTTGATCCATAGCCTAGGGTGGTGTTTGAATGTTGGCAGACAAGGAGGATTGTTTTTAAAAGTTTTTATCTTCTGGGTGTGAGAAAAGGGGCCAAGACAGGTGTAGCAAGGTTGGATTTTGTGTGTGTGTGTGTATAAGGTACAATGTTCAAAATTCCCATTGTTCTAGGCGCATTTTGTGTGAGTAGATACCTTAGGAACTTATTCTGGCACACTTCCAGGTCTTTCAGGTTATTATTTCAGGTTATCATCCCCCAAATCTTGATACCATATTGCATTTGAACTACCAAGATAAACAGGCACCACTACAGGGACAGAATCCTGAAGTGAAAATATGTTTGCTGTTATCTGACTGTGATCTGCTTGTCACATACAAAACAGCCCTATTTGCTAAAGCCGCTAAAAGTATTCGTGCTAGCTATATAAAAGACAATGCTGTAGATTGTGCATGCAATTCATTAATTTGACTTATTGTAAAAGGATGTATATCTCTGGATTTCTTTTAACAGGCTTTAATGGACTTGCTGGATCTGTGAATGAATCTGTAATGGCTTTTAGTCAGAAACAATGAAAACGACAGGTATCTGCCCCAGGGCACTTAAGGCCCATTGACCCTCACCTTCCTTCTTCAGAAGGGTCCTCACTTTCTGAAGGAAGGACTTCTCCACAAAGGCTGGGGGTGGGCAGCTCATACCCAAGGCAGAGTCCTTGCTGTCCACATCAAACATGATGGCATCATAAGAGGATGAAGCTGAAGAAAAACAGGAGTGTGTTTCTGTGAGATCAACAGAAATAGGGTGAAGCAGAACAAGTGTTTGGATATGCAAGTGCCCTGGGGTCAAACTAAAATAGCCAACAGTGTGTCCACGCCAATCTGTCTTTTACCAACAGGACTCTCTGTAAACAGCAGTTATCTAGCAACAAGGTATTTGGAAACAATTTCCATCCATCTCAAGGGTGTCTAGTACAGCCTTCCAAAACCTAGTGTCCTCCAGATATTTTGAACACAGTGAACACAACTATTGGCAAAGGATGGTCTAGGAAGCCCATTTGTTTCCATAGGAATGCACTTACTGCAGTGGTACCTCTGGTAACGAGCAGAATCCGTTCCGGAGGTCCGTTCATAACCGGAAACTGCTTGTAACCTGAGGTGCCATTAGCGAAAGTGTGTCTCCCTCTGGCATGCGATTTCCGCTCGCATCCCGGGGCAAAGTTTGCAACCGGGAGCGGCTACTTCCAGGTTACCAGAGCTCGTAACCCGCAGCATGCGCAACCAGAGGCGTTCACAACCAGAGGTACCACTGTACTGACATGCATTAATGCCATAGAAATTGTGCAGTGAAGTGCAATGCCCTAAACCAGCCTTTTTCAACCCAGGGTCTCAGGTTTTGCTGGACAACAACTCCCATCATCCCTTGTGAGAAGGGCAAGCAGTCAGGACTGAGGGAAGTTGTAGTACAACATCATCATCTGAAAAAGGCTGCCCTAGACATTGGGGTACCCTCAAAAGAAACTACTCTACCTTAGGGGTTTTTTTGCATTTACTTCTCTTTGACCCCTCACTACCATAACCACTGCCAAACGGAACAAGGGAATTGGGAGTTGGAGGCAGCTGAAAGTAGAATCATAGCTATTCTTATTTCCTTTCTCTCCTCTGAGTGTGTGTGGCATCTTTTCCCAATGGTTGTATTCAGGTCCAGGACAATCCAAAATACAGTGTTGAGTCACAGTGACTACAAATAATCTGAGAAAATATTGAATAACAACAAAAAATCTAAATTTGATGCACATTTCCCCATATTGTGACACAGAAGGGCCCCCAAAAGCCCCCATCCCACCAATCTCTCAAGCAGAAGGGGAGATGGAAGTAAAGAAAAAGATTTATATACCAGGGCAGACCCCTCTCCCCAACCCCTTGGGTCAACTCTGACATGTAGGCAACACAAAAAAGCAGGAGTACAACAGAGATTCTTTGGAGAATCATGAAATGCTTGGCCTCTGGAAGGCAAACAGATTACACAGGCTTATATGGGAAATGGTTACCTTCTGCTGCAAGGTTGTCAACATAAACTAAGCCATCTGCAATGTGAACTTTGAGCCTGTCTTCAGGTGAAAAGCCAAACCAGCGTGTAGCCACTTCCAACATAGCTGGGTCAATTTCCACTACATCAATAGAGCACTGCAAGAAGTAGTCATGGATGAAGAGGGGCAGGCTGCCGCCACCCAGGCCAATAACCAGCACACGGATCAGGGCCTCTGCAATCAGCACACAAAGCAGGCATGAATCAACAGGTATAACTGATAGGACGCATCTGCAAGTTACGAGGTGTGAGATATCCATATCACCATATCACCCAACTCAGTGCTAACCAAACCCCAATACATATGTAAACCCCCTATGGCTCTATTACAACTGCGAACTTAATGGAAGTTGTGCTCCTACTGGCACATTTTGAAGGGCATATTATGGACTTTAACAGATTTGAACTGTAGCCCTGAGGACGATTTAGACACTGGCAGTAACAATCTTATCTCATGGGAAACTAAAGCATAAAGCCAGCATCTGCATGGAGTCATTTTGAACAGTCTCTCAGAAGTGGTGGTATTCATTTGTACTAGCAAACAAGGCTACCTCTTGTGTACCCAGAGAAATGTGACGCCATTACCCAGTGCATTTTATTGCCTTTTGGCGCCATCAATTTAATTCCACCCCACCCCCTTTTATTCATATATGTATGCCTGCTAACAGTCCCCACTCTCCTTTTCATTCCAGTCTAACAAAGTGGGCTCTAGCCAATGAAAATTTATGGAAGATTTCAGGAATGGTTAGGGTGCCAGACTCTTGTTTTCTTATTCACAATCTACATTGACAATGGATCAGTGAAATTACTGCTAGCAATCTGAAAATGCCTGGCTGTAGAGAAGCAGCAGGATTCCCTCAAGCTTTTTGTGCAGGCTACATTTTAGCTGTGAAACAGCTAGCAAATTTCTGGAACAAACACAACTTCTCACCCAAATGACAAGTGAAAATGGAAATTAGGTTGATCTTACTAATTACCTGGGAGGTGCTCAGGATTTTTCAGCAGGCACAATCCTGCAATCATGGCTCTATGGTGAGCACAACACAGATAGGTTTTGTCGATGGACTGACCGGCTGGCACAGCAGCAGGCTCAGCAGAGTTAATGGAGGCTGTTTTTTTCTTTTTTTTGTGCTTCTTATTCCCTGAAAGCAAAACAACAACAACTTAAACGGGCAAACCTATTCCTGCCATGCAGAAATAGTATGGAAGGAGGTGTGATCACTGAAAACATTTGGGGCAGGAGACAGCAACTCCAAATAGCTCCTGGCATGTCCCTGTCCCCCCACTAGATTCAAGCTGAGCACGAAGCAAGAATCTATTCTCTGCTAGACCTAAGCCCTCTCAATAATTTTTTTTCTTTCATATAGTAGTCTCTTCTTTTTTAGTACAGCCTCTTCTGATGGCTTTGTTAATTCTACAATTCTCTTCTCTACCTTCAAAGAACGTGGAAAGCATTTTTTCCTTGTACAAGCAAGAGAGCTCCTTTTGGCCTAATACATAAGAATCATTTAGAGTTGAGTAACTTGGTTTCTAAAGGTAGATTGCAGACAGGAAACACACCCTTGCAGTCTAGCTCCTGTTCTGTAAATAAGAGTTGTGCTTATTTAGAATCATTAACCCAGAAGATTTATTCTCCCCACTGTTATTTATGCCCTCAGTACATACATAAAGGAGGCTCCCTTAATACTGCTAAGGGGTCAGATAAAAGGACTTCATGCACCAAAACTGAATTCATGCAATCTTGACACACAATGGGGCACAGGACAGCAGCAGCAGGGATCTGTATTTATTCACAGAGGTTTATAATATTTAATTCTTACTGCAAATTCCTCAAGCCATTTAACAAGAACAGATAGGCAGTCTGGAGGGAAAAGCAGTCCTCACATGCCCAAAGCTCAGATATGGGAAAACTCCTCAGAATCCCTTTCAAGCGGCACTCATAACTAGTGAACAGGTGAGTGGAACTGTGGATGCCTGCACATACTCAATGCAGAGAGGAAGTGCCACATGACCCCCCCTTATTTTACAAGCTTTCATGCACACACACAACTCATAGTTTAGTTCTCTCCAAAAATCAGAGGAATGGAAGCCTCCTCTGTTGCAACTGAAACATACTCACTCCAGATTGTGCATGTTTTTGCCACAACTTGCTATTTCCACACTTGCCCAGTCCCTATGATTCTGCTTCCCACACCTCCCAGCAACCTCATTTTACGGGTCAATAGTTGGCAGTTACTTGGCAAAGCCTCATTTCCTTGCAGTAAGGTCATCCCCATTTCATCTTCACCACACCTCATTTCACCTTTGTGGGAACCTCTGAATGAAAGTCTCGCCTCTGACTGCACCACATTCCTGTTGCTGAGGAAGATAAGGCGGCGGAAGTAGTGGGCACCATCACCTTTCACATCCTCAATAACATATTCCCCACTAAGGGGGCTCGTTCCACGATGCTGGATGGTGCGGATCCCAATGTCACCTCCCACTGACAGAAAAGGCACCTGCAGGAGAAGATGGTCAGAGGTTGCCACCACCTTACAGAAGGCATTATCAAAAAGCATGGAAACAGACAAATAAACAGATCATGTGTGAAATTACCGTATTTTTCGCCCCATAGGGCGCACTGGCCCATAAGGCGCACCTAGGTTTTTGGGGGGGAAATAAAGAAAAAAAATTATTTTCCCCCCAAGGCGCGATGCTGGGGCGGCGGAAGCCCGAACTTCCCCCGATCCCAGCCCCCAGAACAGGCTGCTCTCCTCAAGCCCTCCTGCGGCTTGCGCAGAGCTACCCGAAGCCCCGGCGCGACAGCTCAGCTCGCTGAGGCTTCGGGATAAGAGGCAGCGCTGTGCAAGCCAGGGGAGCCCTCCCGCGGCTTGCGCAGAGCTACCGGAAGCCCCGGTGCGACTGCTCAGCGCGCCGGGGCTTTGGGATAAGAGGCAGCGCTGCGCAAGCTGGGGGAGCCCGGCGGGAACTCCCGCGAGCTCCCAAGGCTTGCAGATAGCTTCCTGAAGCCTGCATTCGCCCCATAGGACGCACACACATTTCCCCTTCATTTTTGGAGGGGAAAAAGTGTGTCCTATAGGGCGAAAAAATACGGTACCTTAAAGTGGGTTGGGCCACTGTTCTGTCTGCCTCAGTTTTGTCTGTGATCTGCTCTCTTGGATTTTAGGCAAAATGTTAATTTTATTCTAAGAATTCTAGATCCACTTGATCTTGTAAAACATATTTAGTTTATCTTGCTTGAATAGGCCCATACATACAAGTCAAAATTGTGGTTGATATGTTTCTAATGCTCCTACATCTGGCAGCAGTAGCTAGGAAAGCTCCACACACTCTTTTTCAAAGGATGGCTGAAGTGTGCAGTCTTTGACTGCTGCTGTTCAGAGGCATCTAGCACCTCCCTAAGGAGTGGTCAGTGGAGTTCCTCTACCATCATCTCCTGCATCAAGAGAACATTAAGCAAAAGCCTTGTGCCATCAGCAAATGTAACATAGTTTCATTCTCTGCAGCCCTTGAAAAAATCATTTCTAATTCTAGAAGCTCCTCAGCATTTACCTGCTGCCCAGCTGGGAGACCAGGTGGGGCCAGCTCCATCACCTTTTCCGACAGTTCTGCCTGGATTGCTTCCATACCTTCATAGTGTTGATCTCTGTGCAAAGCCACAGTTACTAGACGCCAGAATCCCGCACATGTAGCCAACTGCTTCCGTCCCTCATCCGTCCCAAAGAGCCACTCAGTTTCTCTGCCCTGTGGTACTGGGGAGAGGCAAAATGGAAAATATAGACAATAAAGAAACAATTGTCCAAGTACGTGAACAAAGTCAGAGCGTTCCAACATCTTATGTGGGCTTTGCTGAAGCAAGTCAAAGACTGCTACTCCATCTCCAATATGGAATGTTAATAGTACAGACATCATGACTATATCCTCAAGACAATTCTTTTACGGGCTCGGTTTGTACTCCTATGAATTGGCAGCAGATGCTGTTCACTTCACTTTAACAGGAAAAGCAGACATGTCTAGAATCAGTTGTAAAAGCCACCCCCCCTTTTTTAAATCTATTCAGGCTTGCTGCTGTTTTCCTTTGGAAGTAAGAAGATGAGAAACTACACAATGGGGACAAAAAAAATACATGGGATTATTAACCAATGTTTGTAAATTCACTAAGAGCAAAAATAATGCTGTAAACAGACCATTTGCTGTTCTTAAAACACTGCTTTTCAGTATACTTGGTGGTGGTGCTTTAATAATAATAAAACATATCCACTTCTTAAACATTACTGGCAGTGTGGGAGGGAGACTCAGTTGAGACTCTTGGATTGTTTAGATTTAACTTGAACTTTCCAACCTTGGCCAGCCAAGGAGATAAAAACTTACCAATGAAGATAGCGAATTTATTGTCAAAAGACGCTTTCACATTCAGGCTGTGCACCACATGCAAAGTGTAACGGGCTCGGCCAGTGTCCTTGCTGCAAAGGTCCAGTGAGACCGTGCCTGAACTGGGGTTCTTATTGATCTGGCTCCGTAGCAGAGAGTAGTGTTGCCTCTCTTTCACTGCCTCAATCAGATGCTCAGTGCTCTTGAACCGGATAGGCTTGTCCTGTGCTTCAGCACACAGCTCCAGGATGCATAAAGCAGAGCCTGGGACACGCCTAATCTTTGTCATGACATAGACAAAGATGGGCAGGGCAAATTCTCCCTCTGACGTTCCTGCTTTGTTGCCAGAGACTTGGTGTATTCGCACCATCCAGCCTTCCCGGGAGAAATATTCTATGGCCATCTTCGATACATGTGCTTGCGCCAAGGTTACGCAGAGGTAGCGGCCCCCAAACTGCAGAACACGGCTAATTTCAGCAAACATCCTTTCTGCCCTACTCAACGTGGTCTCTTCCCCATCAGTCAGGAGGGCATCAAGTGTGCCTTTGTCCAGTACCACTTGGAAGCGCTCATCAGGAAAATCCATTTGCAACACATCCATGACCATGTAAGTCATCTTCGGCCTCAGGTGAGCATTGCGCTCTTGCATCTGCTTGATAACCACTTCACTGATGTCCACATTGGTGATATCTTGATACCCTTCATCGTAGAGCTGCTCACTCAGTTCTGAGTTCCCACAGCCAGCCACAAGAATCTAGTGGGAAAACACATAAGGAATGTCACATGCCTTGTGAGCAAACCAAAATGGTTTCTTAAAACAGACTTTCCAAGAAGTCTCATGAATTCAGAGACAAGAACATGTGAAGGATTATCACCACTACTACAGAACTACAGTTGCTACGTATCACAAAATACTCCCAAATAAAGCAATTGGTTGTGTAGAAGTCAGAAGAAAATAAAAAAAAAATTAAAAAGGTAATCACCAACAAGTTCCACTACACAAAGGCCACTGAAATGAAAAACACAGGAGCCAGAGGGCTGAGTTTTCCTGCCAATTTGCTCATTTTCTTCTGGCAATGAGTTTTAAATACCCTTTGAAAGCATTAAAACATGACAACTATTCTCATTCAGCAGCATATACAGGATGTTCCTTACTCACAATAAGTGGAGGAAATGGGGGGGGAGAGAGCTGCAAGGGGCTGTTCACAAAAGTGTTGCTTTCATGCTATAAACACTGCAACATACAACATCATTGTGTTGGCCCTTCTCTGAACCTTTCACAACCCTACAATATCCTCTAAAACACTTGTTTTAACCGTCCCTCCACGCCTTTATTTACTTATTTAATAAAATCAATACACTACTTGATTACAACCATAAAACTTCAAATTGATTTACAGAAAGGTAAAAACCATAAAATCAGGGGGAGGGGAATTGCAATTCATTAAAACCACCCTGAGATCTTCGGGTGAAGATGCAATACATAATAGTATTGCTGTTTTCAGCAGGGGACGCAAAGAGCGCGCGCGGCGAAGGCGCCTACGTATCACGAGGCGGTGAGTTCCTCGGGCCCCGCTCCTCGCCCTCCCCCCTCTCGGCTCCTCGCCTCACCGAGTCCCGCGGCCGCAGGTACCGTCCCAGGGAGGCCCGGAGGTCCTGCCACTCGCCGTACCACTCGAAGGCGCGCCCGCCTCGCTCCCGAAAGAAGCGCTCCCAGTAGCCCGACGAGGCGAAATCCCGCGCGCGCCCGGGAAGCAGCCGCAGCGCCGCCGCCGCCATGGCGAGGAGAGAACTGCGCCTGCGCCTTCCTCACACGGCTCCTCCCCCTCCGTTCTCTAAGCTCATTGGATGCTGGCGGAGCTGTCTGTCACTGCTCCCCACCAACCAACCGAGAAACCGGCCGTTAGTCGCCGGCCGTCTAACCGTCTCTCTCATTGGCCCAATTCGAGCGGGCGGAGGAGGCAGTTGAGCCCCAACGGTGGGATTGGGCGGGCGAGCCGAGGAGGCGCCGCGATGGCGACGAGGAGCGTGGTCTTCGTCACCGGCAACGCCAAGAAGCTGGAGGAGGTGCGAGAAGCGGCCGGAGGGGATTCTGGAAGCGCTTCCAGGCGCAGGTGGTTTAGGCGCCGCCGCCATTGCTCTCCGGCCTGAGAGAGAGAGAGAGAGAGGCGTCCGCCCGGCGGAGCCCCGAGGCTCTCGAGTCCGGGGGTTCCAGCCCGTGTGTCGAGGCGCCCTGGGGTGCCGTGAAGGGTGGTCGGGGTGCCGCGGGCAACCCTGGCCTGTCCCTCTTTCCCTCCTCGGACGCCCCCTCACGTCTCTGCCCGCGCGGGCGAAGGGGCCTCTGGGGCTGCCCGGGGGGGGCGGCGCTGGGTGCCAGGCGCTGAGGCAGCCCTCAGAAAGGCAGCTTGGCAAGTGTGGGCGATGTTCTCCATTTCTCAAGAAGAGCTCCGCCCCAGACCCCCGAGGGGGTCGCTCCCCCACTGCCAGGGGCCTCCTCTTTCCAGCCCCCAGGAGGCGGGGTGAGGAAGCACCTCTCCCTGGAGGGGGGTCGGCGGCTCAGAGACCAGGCCTGTGGCAGCTGCGGGCCAGAGGAGGAGAGGAGGCTGAGGGAACACTTTATAAGGGGGCCATGGACTCTAAACAGTTGAAACCCTCTGATCTAAACCAACCCCTGAAATGCGGGAATCTTTCATGCAATGTGGGGCTTAATCTGAGATTAACTCCTGTGTGTGTTTGAGAGAGAAAGGGAGGAGAAAGGCAGAGATATTGAGACACCCATTGTGGTGTGTGAGATGAATATATTCATTAGGACATTGTATATTGGGGGGAGGCCGTTTTTCCTTACTACACTCCCGGTGTATACCCAGTCCTGAGCCCTCTCCAATTGTGGAAGAGGGGAGGAGGGGAATTTGATATAAAGGCAACACTATTTGGAAATAATAAGATGACAAAAGATAAATTTCCTGCAACACAATTGCTGTCTGGAGTGAGGCCTTGTCAGCATGTAACACCCTGGTCAGAGTTCTGCACTGGTTGCTTATTTCTGACATTCAAGCATATAAAGCCCTTAACAAATTGGGACTAATTTACCTGAGTTTATCTATGAGATCGCCATACCTCACCTGTGCCCACTCACCCACTTCAAAAGGTGGAATTGGCACTGCTACAGATGCCTGTTCTGCATTGATAAGAACTCATTCGTTCAATGGGGCAGTGCCTACACTTTGGAGCTCCTTGTCTGTTGAGATCAAGTAGGTCAGGCATGTCCAGAGTCCGTTTTGGGGGCCCAATCCAGCCCACCGGTTGATTTAATCTGGCCCCCGTGGCAGTATATGTTCTGGGGTAAAATCCTTAAAAAAAGCTTTGGGGTAAAATTGTAAAAAAAGCTCAGTGTCTTTGGTCGACCCTTACGCATGTTCACTTCATCAAATCTGGCCTTCTTTGAAAGTAAGTGCTTTCACTGTACTCTTTTCAGTGCTTGCTGAAAACATTCCTGTTTAGAGAAGTCTGCCAAGATGCTTAAAAAGTTGAGGTGATTTTAATCAGTTTTAGTAATTTAACTTTTGTATGTTTTAAAGTACAGTTGCATTCCCCCCCCCTTGATTTTACTGTTTTAAACCACTTTGAGGGTGTGTTTTTTTACATATTATGAAACAAATAAATCCCCAAAGAGGAGGTACAGACCATAGAAAATAAAATAATGGACCTCAGCTGTTTATGAATGCTATTACTGGCCAGACTAGCAGTGTGATAGGTTGCCTCTATCTGGGGAAATAGCACAACTATTCCATTGAGTTAAAAAAAAAGTTGTGGGTTTTTATTTTTTTTAAATGTTTATCAATTTATTTTTTAGAATACAGTTTCAAAAAAATCAACAAGATGCCACAAATCAATCGAAGGAAAACAAAAAATCATAACTGTATCCATGACACTGAGTGAATTGGGTTTTTGAATGGGGGGGGGAGCTGAACGAGGGGGGGAATGAGAGGGGGTGTATTGTTTAAGGAGTTGAGCAGCTGCCATGTAAAAAGTGAGTAAACAAAGCATAGCTGTTTAACAGCAAATGTCCATTGTGGAAGCAGCTTTACATCAGTATTGTATTGGAGTCTGATTACTGTGCTCTTCATCTTTGCAGGTGATTCAGATCCTAGGTGACTCCTTTCCATACAGGCTGGTTGCAAAGAAAATAGACTGTAAGTTCATACCTCACTACATCTTTGCGTGGCGAGTTCCCGCCCCCCCCACCAGGATAAATAAAGACACAAGACACCATAATTTAAGGTTAAATGGGCAAATTAGGCCACAACTTTATTGAATCCAGGAATGAGAGGCATTGGCTTAGGCATTGGTCCTATCGACTATCCGGCTCCAGCCCATTTGCTGGAGACACGGGAAGGGTTAACACCATAGAGGGGGAGTCTCCTGCTGAGGCACGTCAACTAGGAGCTCCCCCGGGTCACCGCTCGGGGGCGTGCCTTTGGCCCACACCTCCATAGGCTTCGGACAGGGCCACGCCCGCCAGAGTCCTTTATCGGACCACCCTTCGTTCACTGGGGGGAGGTGATGGCGTTCCTCCCCCCCACGCACATCCTCTTAACCCCTTCTTACCAATGCCTAACCGCCAATGCCGAGGAGTTGTGATGAGTTGCTACGAGGTAGGCGAAAAACCAAATGGCTGTAAATTGCTAATTGGGAAAAATTCCTACCATGCCCCTTGCAGCGACAGACCGAAATCCCTAGCAAAGTCAGAGACCTACCTAAAGCCTACCCAAAGGGAGGGAGGGTGGGAAAACGTGGGGGCTAGCCAGCGAAAAGAGGGCGAGCCCCCTCTGCACCGGCCCTAAATAGGGCAGGCCACCCCCCCAACCAGCCAATCGGCCGGGATTCCCCTGCTCTCGCGGGGGCTGAAACCAGACCCCGCTCATGTGGGGGTGGGCGTGAAGCCCGCAACCCCACCTCCTGGGCAGGCCGGAAGTGGCTTTGTGCACTTTTTGAGTGTTCCTGCAATATGCTAACTGCAACCTTTTCATTTTGCAGTGCCTGAGTACCAAGGGGAACCTGATGACATTTCTATCCAGAAGTGCCAGGAAGCAGCTAAGCAGGTCCTTTCCCCCCCCTTCTAGATCTCTACTTCTGAAAGCTTTTTGGGCAATATTGCACAAACCTAAGGCCAGAAAAAACTTAAAATTATTACAAGCTTCGTGCCTTTCAGAGAGTATTCTGTTCCCATTAACATTATTCAGTGCCATTTCACTGATTGTACAGTGGCCAACTTGGGTTTGTCATGAGAACTACCATATTTTTGGCTCTATAAGATTCACTTTTTCCCTCCTAAAAAGTAAGGGGAAATGTGTGTGTGTCTTATGGAGCGAATGCAGGCTGTGCAGCTATCCCAGAAGCCAGAACAGCAAGAGGGATCGCTGCTTTCGCTGCGCAGCGATCCCTCTTGCTGTTCTGGCTTCTGGGATTCAGAATATTTTTTTTCTTGTTTTCCGCCTCCAAAAATTAGGTGCGTCTTGTGGTCTGGTGCGTCTTATAGAGCGAAAATTTATTCAGTGGAGTTCTGTAAGCCATTATGAGTCGTTAAAGAGAATGCTTGTTTGCATCCAATGAATCTAGTTTCAGTAGCCAGACATTTTTAAGTGTGTGTTCAAAATGTACCATCTCTAAATTTGCCACACACAACTCTTTCTGAAATAAATGCAAATTATGCTCATCTTTGGGACGCAGGTGGCCCTGTGGGTTAAACCACAGAGCCTAGAACTTGCCAATCGGAAGGTTGGCGGTTCGAATCCCTGCGACAGGGTGAGCTCCCGTTGCTTGGTCCCTGCTCCTGCCAACCTAGCAGTTCGAAAGCACGTCAAAGTGCAAGTAGATAAATAGGTACCGCTCCGGCGGGAAGGTAAACGGTGTTTCCGTGTGCTGCTCTGGTTCGCCAGAAGCAGCTTAATCATGCTGGCCCCATGACCTGGAAGCTGTACGCCGGCTCCCTCGGCCAATAAAGCGAGGTGAGCGCCGCAACCCCAGAGTCGGTCACGACTAGACCTAATGGTCAGGGGTCCCTTTATGCTCATCTTACCCGTACTATCTGTTCTTTGTGCTGAATTCTGATTGTATGCTCCTCAGAGAGGAAAGACCTAATCGCTTAGAGTTTATAAAATGCTATGTATATCAGTTGTATTATATAATTCACTAACTGAATAATGGATACACAAAACAATGTATGGCTAGGAATATAATAATTATTTATTCTGTTATCAAATCAATGTGGTCTAGTTCTAAGCCTGTCTGCTGAAAGTGTCCAACTAGATACCTTGAATGGGAACTTTAAAGGCTGGTTGGGTTTCTGGGTTTCCTCAGTCCTTTGGTGCTTGTCTTCAGCACCCAGAAATAAAGGAATATGTAATGTCTTGTAATATGGAGGCTTTCATTTTGGCTGTTGTGGTTAGTAGTCACCAACAGACCTGTTGTCAGTTAGGATCTTAAACCAGTTTGTGCTGATTAACATTGCAACATCCTGTGTTAATGAATTCTACATTTTTAAATTTCAAAATGCCCTTATATGCTTCTTGTTTTCTATTCTTTTTCTAAAAATATTATTAGTGTTTTGTTGGTTGTAGCATGCAGCCTGATCTCAAATTTTGTGCACACATCTGGACTGAAATAAGTGATTTTGACTGAATTTCCATATCTGTAGCTCTTCCACACAAAACTGAAATACTCTCTTCCACTGTAGATTTAGAAAGTCAGTCAAAAAGCTCTTGTTGCATGCGCTGAAGGCTTGGCTCTCTGGATTGGGCTCATTAAACTGATATATTCAGAGAACTTTCTCTTGTTGCCCCAGTATGTCCTTCCTTTCTTGACATAGTAAGATTTACATAGTAAGATTTACAGAACATGTTATTTGAACCTTATTAAATTTTAAAGTTTCAGTAAGTCATTTTGGAGAGATTCTCTTGGAGTTCTTCATACTGGATAGAGGCAGCGGAAGAGAATGCAAAGATCATATTCACACACAAAAAATACTGTAGGCAAGTCCCAGGATGAACAAAATTTCCAGTTCAGATTACTTCTTAGTAATCTGAGTTGAAAGGGACCCCAAGGAGTCCCCCGCAATGCAGGAATGATTAATTATGAAAGTCAACTTACTTGTTCTTCGATCACATTTGTATTGAAGCCTTTTGCCAAGGATTTCTCAATTGCATAAATGTCCTACTCTGCAAGGAGACAAGGAAAGCAGATGTCAGCAATAAACCGATACCGAGCTCTATATCATAGCAGCAACTACATCTTGGCTATTAGTCCCAACTGCTCTGGAAGGGTAATCTTCAATTAATGGGGTCCAGCACATTACAGGAGCCTCTTACGGCAACAGAGCAGGGGAGCCTGTGGTCTCATAGGGGCTTCTGCAATGGAGCCCTCAGAATCCAAGGATGGCAGTGCCACATTACCAGGCCAGGAAGGCACTTCCCCCCTCAACCCGGCTTGCTTGGTGGAATCACTTCTGCATCTGCCCTCATATGCCCTTCCTTTCTACTTCAGAGTCCTCAACCTTATCCCCTGAAGAAGGTGAATCTCTCCGAGTCCCTAACACAGTGGGGATCTTGCTTATTTCCATGTAGCAGCTGCATAGCTGTGTCATTTGCAATAAATTTGCATATTATTATTATTATTTATTAGATATTTATAAGTTCTTTGGGAAGATTATTTATGTTTACTTTTGGATACAAAGCCCCTTTACAATATTGGGGGAGAACTCTGCTGTCTAATTAATTAAATTGTCACTGTATTCTCACCAACAGATCCAGGGACCAGTTATTGTCGAAGATACTTGTTTGTGTTTCAAAGCCCTTGGAGGACTCCCAGGGCCGTATATGTAAGTAAGAGTTAAGGCTTTTATTCAGAGGATAGTTGATAAATGGAAAATGTCAAAAAGTGTTTAACAATATTCTTTGAATCCATTGACACATGGATTAGATTGGTCACCCAAATAACTCCTATCAGCCCCAGGTAGCATGGGCAATGGTCAGGGGTTTCGCACCCCGAAAAGTCCGTAAGTAGAGTGCTGCTATTGTGCATCCGCACATCCTTGCACAGTGGGGACATAGGTTTCTGGGCAAGAGTTGATCATGATGAGGGTTTGCCAAACATGCCTTCCTCTTAGCTCGTTTCTCCCTTTCGTCCTGAGTTTGTGCTGCTTCAAAGTCCATGAATCCAGAGCGTCCCTTATATTTCAGTAAGAACTTGGATGGCAAATTTATAGCCGAATTGGTTTTCTTTTTCTTCCTGGTTGGTGGGGCCAAAAAGCACCCCACAAGAACAAACTGATAATAGGAGGGGTAAGCAGTGCCTTTAACCTCTTTGGCTCTACTAGTGTTTACTTATACTGTAGATCACAAGTCCATTTAGCACAATTCATAAAGAATTGAAATGAATAGAAGCAATGGAAATTACAGTAATCTATGCCCTGGTAGCCTCTTTAATGGGCTGCTGCAATGTGTTGTGTATGGGACTGACGTTGAAGACTTTTAGAAACTTCAGTTGTTACAAAATAAATTATTTTAAATTGTATGTCACTCTGAGAATCTTGTACTGAGCCTATACAGTGATCAAATCAGAGTTGGCTAACCTGTAGGACAACATAAGCCACTTACCCTTTTCCTCAGAGGCCACCTTCTGCTTTTTTTGTCTTTGCTTCTCAGTATCACATTGGGGTGAGAAATTTGTGGCATCCAGGTGTCATTGGACTTCAACTCCCATCAGCCCCAGGCAGCAAAGTAGTTGAGGACAATGGGACTTTTAGTCTGGAGGGCCAACAGTTTGTCACTTTGGTTTAAATAAATAATTGAAATATTTATTGAAAATAAAGCATTTAGGTTTCCATGCTTATCAAATACTATTTCACTGTTTCTTTTATTTATTTGAAATAATGAATATTATTTGAACCTGAATTTTCATTTCAGAAAATGGTTCCTAGAGAAGCTGAAACCAGAAGGTAATTTGGTATTTCATCCTACTTCCTTCTGTGATGAGGCACCTCTCCTGAAATTTTCTGTTTTTTTCTGCAATGTATAGTGATGCTCTGTAGTGACCAGACTTATTGGTAGCAACCTAGCTCACTTCCCATAGCAGTCTGGCCCTGTCATCAGTCCCATACCTGGCTTCCCATTCTTAAGCAGTCATGCTTTTCTTTTCCTGTAGAGTTTACCGTGGCATACAGTTCCAGAATTCTAAATGTTTCTAGCCTTCCCTCCATTGCCAGTCGATCTTCCTTAACAGATCGTGCCTGAGCTGCTTCTCTTTCCCTCTATTTCTGCCTTGAATGATACTTTTGGGTATGAATCTACTTCACTGCCGAGGTATTAGTCTGGCAGAAATGGCCCTGATTTTCTGCTTGAATATGTATTTTAGTCCTGATTTAGCCATTCCTGTCTAACAATACATCGGCCACAATTGAATGTCACAGTAAGCAAGAAACAAAGGCTAATCATGCATGAGCAAATCTTGCTCACTTTGCTCCTCCCAAGCCATGATCCTTGGTGCTTAGCACTGCATCTGTGGTTTGCATTATGGTTTGTTTCGCTCCTGGCTAGCCATGAGCTGAAGCCAAGGTTTGTAATGCTAAATCAGTTCATAGTTTGTTTCCTTGGAAGTTGCACCAAGCCAGGGATTGTAATGTGTTTCTTCCTGGAACAAGTGGGTAGGAGACAAATAATTCAGCTAAGCGTGTTAACAATTGACCATGGTTAACAGGACCTTAAATGCTGATGAAGGTACCCCCTTTCTAAAAAACAGGAAAAGCTGCTTAAAGAGGGGGCAGCAAGGATCAGAGAAGTGGCAACAGGGTGTTTAACCCTTTCCTTGTCTGCTCTTTCTGGCTGCATACACACTGTACATTTAAAGCACAGGGCTTCTCCCACCCCCCCACCCCCCCACCCCCGCCAAAGAAAAGAATCCTGGGAACTGTTGTTTAGTCCTTACAGGGCTACAGCTTCCAGCAGCCTTAGTGTTGGTATAGTAGTGTGTAAAAGACCATGTCAGTCTTACAATAATAATAACACTGAAAACAATACCTTTGGCCATCAAGGCAGCAATATGTGCTGAGATGGGTGCAGAACTGATTGAATCCCAAAGAGCAGCCTGCCTTCCAACAGTAGGAAAGTGCACAGTTCTCATAGTAATGATATGATTCATGGGATGTGCGTGGGACACTTGTTCATGCTCCAAATGTGTATGTTTTCTTGGTTTCTACGTAAGTATCTGCTTGTTGGGCAACACTTTCCCCAAAATAAATTATCTGACATTCCTTTTTCTTTGGCCTAGGGCTGTACAAACTGTTAGCAGGATTTGAAGATAAATCTGCTTATGCTCTCTGCACCTTTGCCTATAGCACTGGAAATCCAGATGACCCAGTGAAGCTGTTCAAAGGCCAGACTCAGGTGTGTATAAGAGGTTTTGCTACAGTGATGGTTTTGGATTAATGATGGAGCAGGGTGGACCCAAGCTCTGAGCAACCTAGGTTTTGCCAATATAACAGTAGTAATACTTTCCATGGCCTGTTCAAGTGCATCACATATAATTATTTCAGAGATCTGGTAAAATACCACATTTGCTCAAATCTAATATGCACCTTTTTGGCCAAATTAGGCACCCTAATTCAAAGGAGCATTACATTTGAGTAAACAGGCTCGGCGCACATGAACACTCCCCTCCAAGCCCCATCCCTGGGTGGCAGTACCGCTCAGTATGGGCCTACCCAGCTCTAGCCCCGTCCCCTATCAGAGGGCTGGGGGGGGGGGAGGCATCCAAGTTCTGTCCCCGCGAGGACTGGAAGGCAGTAAACAGCATCCTCCAAGCCCTCAAGGGCAGGGTTGAGAAGGGGGGAAGGAGGGTGGTGACCGCTCAGCGCACGCCTGCCAAGCAAGGTTATCCAAGCACCGTCTCCCATCAGCAACGAGGGCTGAGGGAAGAGGGCATCCAAGCTCTGTTCTAGCGAGGGCTGGAAGACTGTTTAGTTAGGCTTGCCATATGTCTGGATCTCCAGGGGTATAATCTCTCTGTGTGTGATTTTTAGGATTTGCATAAACGTTTGGGGGCCAGCTCACACCCTCCTCGGTGCCCTCAAACCACCTGCAAAGCTGCCCAGGGAAGCAAGGAGGGGAGCGCGCACACAGGGTGGGGCTGTGGAATGCCCCTTTCCATAGCCACTCCTGCCTCCCCCTCTTCTTTCTCCTCACAATTACCCATCATGTGTTGGGGAAGACGTGAGCGGGGAGGCTGGATGCCAAGGCACCTCTCTCCCTCTCACACTCTTCTTGTTCCTCCTTTCACTCTCACACACTTCCAATTTATCCACTCCTTGGCTATTTTCCCATCCTTGGGTCCCATCCCCTGGATAAGAGGCTGTTGTGGATCTCTTCCCTCTGTGCCCCCCCACCTTTCTATAGAAAATTCTCTTCTATTCCCCCCCCCCCATAAGGCAGAGAAGGTGCACTTGCTTCCCTTTATCTCCCTCTCTCTAAACTTGCATCCTCATCCAAGGGAGGCAGTGGAAAGGCATCCCTCGACATTGTGTTGTGCATTGCAGTTAATAGGTTAGGAATTAGATCAGAACCAGCTGCTTCTTCCCGCCCCCCAAAAGAGGTAGCGGTGGTGACCTGGATTACAACACCGCCTCCTCCTGGTTTGCAACTGGCAGTGCCAGGCTGACAAATCAGGGCCCAAGACAGCTCCAGCACTGTTCCATTTTGGAATGTTGATAACAGAGAGTGGACCAACAGGGAGCGGAGAAAAATGTGTGTGTGATTCTGCGGTGTGTTTTTTAAAAAACCAGCTCCCTCTGCTTGCACAAGCTCTGAGAGGGGCGGGGGGAGGAGGAGGAGCAGGAGGAGCCAAAGACAGCGCAGGCAGCAGGCGGTCGGGAAGGAGAGGGGTGTGTAGTCCGGGTGGAGCCTCTCTCTCCCTTGCTTGGCTGGCTGAAACTCACTGATATAAAGAGTGCACTTTTTGCCCATTAACATTTGCCAGCAAATACTTTTTTTGGTTTCAAGGTTCTGAAAATTGAAGTGTGCATTAGATTCGATGGTGATTAGACTTGAGTAAATATGGTAGGCTAGTAGAAGGACAAGTCTTGCTGAAGTAGAATCAAAATGGCTTCTGCTTTAGAATTTTTTGAGAGTATTGACATGCATGTGGATGGGATGATTTGATAAAACATTATTTACTTGGACTTTCAAAGAACCTTTAACAAATTCCTTCACCCAAATGGTCCTGAGCAAACTTTGCATTGATGGAATATGGGCTGGCAATGATGGCGTAGGAAAGGGATCTTGGGATCATAGTAGATAACTAGACGAAAACATTGACCCAGTGTGTGGAACCTGTGAAGAAGACAAATTTCATGTTGGGGGTTATTCAGAAAGGGATCAAAAATAAAGCCGCCAGTTGTAAAATGTTTGTATAAATCCATGAACAGGGGAAACTAGTTACTAAAAGAAAGGGGGGGAAAGTACCTTTCCTTTGATGCTGTCCACCTCTTCCTCCATGTTTCTGAAGCATCTTCAGGATTCTCAACAGTTGGGAGCCTGGCTTATACATCACTATTTTTTATGCTGGGCACTGAATGGGAATCAAGTACTTTAAAAACCCTCTTACTTATAGGGACATATAGTTGACCCAAGGGGACCTAGAGACTTCGGATGGGATCCATGCTTCCAGCCAGAAGGTTATGATAAGACGTAAGTTGCTACTTGTCTCTTTGTTATGTAAAATATCCAAAATGGGTTCATAGAGCTCTATAGCTTTTTAAATGTATATGTGGGAAGGGAATTATCTGTTTGTTTTTCTTTTATTATGTAATTTGTATTCTCATTTTGTACTTTTCTGTTGTAAACTGTCCTGCGATCTTCAGATGAAGGGAGGTATACACATTTTAATAATACAGTGGTACCTTGGGTTAAGTACTTAATTCGTTTTGGAGGTCTGTTCTTAACCTGAAACTGTTCTTAACCTGAAGCACCACTTTAGCTAATGGAGCCTCCTGCTGCCGCTGCGCCACTGGAGCACGATTTCTGTTCTCATTGTGAAGCAAAGTTCTTAACCCGAGGTAATATTTCTGGGTTAGCAGAGTCTGTAACCTGAAGCGTATGTAACCCGAGGTACCACTGTACTCTGGTTAGTTTGTACATTGTAGTTCTACAGAAGATAATAATAATAATAATAATAATAATAATAATAATTTTTTATTTATACCCCGCCCTCCCCAGCCAAGGCCGGGCTCAGTTTATTTCCCAAGGAAATCATAATTCTGCCCTGAAATCTTTGTGGACACAGTAAGCCTGTTAACTTATGTGGTGAGGATTGTGTCTAAAATGAAAATCATGTATAGTCAAAACACATTGAGTGCAATGATGGATGGGATTGCCCAAGTCTTTTTCCCCAGATGCCCACCCTTTATTTATTTATTTTGCCAAACAAATAAATCTGAATGTGCCCAAATTAAATGTGTGTAAGTTATAGGCTTACTGTGTAGTTACTGTCAGGGGGAGTCTAGTGGAAATTACAGTAGTTTGACAGCAGTGAAATTCCAAGATCTCCAATGAGAGCCAACATGGTGTCCTCCAGATGGCATGAACTGCAGTTCCCATAATCTCTTAACCATTGGCTATTCTGGTTAGTGCTCCTGTGATCTGGCTGCCCTGGGTAAGGGAAGTGCTGCATGCCTAATATAATTCTTCCTAATTCAGAAGTGTGTGTTTTAGGCTGGGAGGTGTGCAAATTTAAAGTAATAATAAAAAACTGCTACAGAATTGGTGGACTATTACAGTTTATCTTGATAATGTTGCATTTTCTGTCCTTAGCTATGCAGAATTACCCAAGTCAGTGAAGAACTCAATCTCTCATCGTTACAAAGCCCTGAAAGAACTGTCTACCTATTTCTCTCAAGAGCACAACTTGACAGAGACCACATCTTGTCCCAGTTAGCCTGCCTGGGTCTGTGAGATCCTGTGGCTTTTGTACAGAAAATTGTATTTGAAGTTGGAGATCGACGTTTACTTGCCTGCAAAGATCATGTCCAATAATTTTAATTTTCTTTAAAGACCTGTGTTTCCAGCTTTCTTGCTTGTGAAATAATTATTTCCAAAAAGCAGCATGGCAAATATGTGTTGAAGGATTTAGATTTTCACTAGAAGCACCAGAAGAATTCAAGATACACTAGCATACAGGAATGAAGATGCAAGAATAAGCATTAACTGTTCAAGTACCAGGAAAATAAACACTGGATTGATGTGCTTTGTTATCAAGACAGGCCCTTGAATTTCCAAGGCAAACCAACAATGGAGCAGGAGCAGATTTTGAAAAGAGACAAGAAATGTCTTAAGGCACCTTCTTCCAAGCAAAAGCTAAAGTGACTAGAGCCAGTGGTGCAGCTCAAGTGGGGCCCCAAAACCCAGGCCCCCCCAAAATGACCACACAGATAGCAGGAAATGACGGGGGCTTGCCTAACCTCCAATCAGTGGTGTCACTGTGACTTCTCGGGGCGGGGGGAGACAGCAGAGAGTTTAGCGTGGTGAAAATGCACTAGATGGGCTCTGCCAGTGCATATGCACCATGCTGACCTCATTGCTTCTCCCTGCTGGTAAGTTGCAGTGATGGTTACTGTTGTGTCAGGGTCTGGTCTGGATCGGAAGATTGGAGAATGCAATCACAGGGAGATCAGCTCTTAACAGAAGAGGAAGGGAAATACCCCTCCCCCATTCCCAGCATTTCCAGAAGCAGAGACAGAAGCTGCACAGTTCAGAGAGGAGCTACCCAGCTTTGAGAGAGGAGCTAGGCAACCAGAAGGGAGGGAGCAGCTGGGCGATACATCCTTCGAGAGTGGGGGGAACCCCTCCCTCCCCCTGAACTCGGAGATCCGAGTGTGTCAGAGAACAAAGGAGACGCAGAGGAGGAGGGACATCTTGCTGCAGAAGTGAGGAGGGATTAGAGTGAGCATCTGCTATCCTTGCAGAGAGTTGCCTGTCTGCTCACAACATGATACTGTGATAAAAAGACTATAAATCTACCAAATGCTTGTTAATTCTTATTGGTGAGCTACCAGAAGGGAGAAGGGAACTCCTGTACTTGACATGTTGGTAGGAAAGTTCTGCCCTCCTCCTGGTGACTGCTACTGATCAAGTAGCCCCACGTATACACCTGGGCGGACATGGACATGGTGGAGCCCACTATGGTGACAGCTGGTTGCTGGAGTATTATTTTTCCTTTTCCTTTTAAATGTTTTATCGTCAGGGGTTGTTGGCCAGGCATATGCATTAGTAAGGAGGGGGAAGAAATTTGATTCAGTTCACATTTAAAGGCGAACCTGCTTTTAAGCCACAGTTTCCTACAGAGTACAAGAACACAGTCATCCGTAAGTAATCAACATTCTCTTAATTTTGCAATGCAGAAAATTAAGGCCTGTCTCTTTGGGCTTGCTAGGAAGTTTTGCAGAAACTATTTTCTTATTTTTGTTAAATATTTTTTATTAATTTTCAATTACAAAAATCCAATATGCATCTTATTATATTAATACTAAATAGAAATACCAATTCAAGTACAAATCAATTACATAGCCAATTATAAATCTGATCTGGCTTCCCACATGCTGTACTTCAGGGTCAGAGTCCCACCTCCAGATTATTGCTCAACGCAAATACAATCGATTCTTGATAAAAACCCTTATACCACAGCTATAATAATTAACTTCAGTTTGCATTAACACATATAATAATTTGTAAATTCGCAAGTGAACTTCTCCTTTATTCTTCCTGTGTGAGGTTTTAATTTCCATCAATTGTTCCTTTAATTCTTTATCAAATATTATGTCTATATTAATTATTCCTGATCTCCTTTGTGCCTTACGGCTGTGTTGACTCGAAGTTACTCTGGAGAGGTCTCTCTCTTTGTTCTCAACTCTTCTGATGCAGCTGGAAATTCCACTTTCGATTTCAAGCAGGGAGTCACCCAATGTCCTGCCAAAGCCCTGGTGGGCCTCCAAGTTCTCCCCTCCACATCCAGTTGAAGCAATTAATTATAATTATGCATAGAAGAGTGATCTGGTGCCCTGCCAGAGCTCCGGCAAGTCTTCAAAGTCCAGTCCCTTCTCCCCTCAATGAGGGGGCAAGTAAAAAAATTAACTCTGCCCTTTTTATAATTATTCCAAATATTAATATTTTCCTCACACAGTCCCATTTTTCATTATAATCCATATCTGTACTCCCATCTCCTTTCTTCTTAACTTGCTTTATTTTCTTTGGCATTCTCGGGGGGGGCGGGTTGCCGAGTCATTTATGTAACAAAGGAATTATAATGAAGTGATTGGCTTCCCCCTCCCTAACATACTATCTTGCTGCTCGAATGAAGTTATCTTCCAATTTAAATCTGTACAACCTTGTAGCTGTTTCGATTCGACAGTCCTTAATCTTGTCCCATCATTACCGGCACACGTCTGTGTATTAATCCTAATTAATCTCTTAATGAACAGAAGAACTGCTGCTCTTAATAGCAGCATTGGAGGGTTACCAAGAAGTGAAGTGCTTTTGCACGCAGCTTCTCCCTACCTCTCACCTCCATGTCAGAATGAAAGGCAGGTATCGAAACGATCTCTCCCCGGGCCCTGGGGGGAGCTTTCAAGGATAATTACCCTCAAATCATCCTTGTTTGTCTTTGCTAAAGGTCTCTGCTATCGTGGGAGCTGTGCCATTAAGGCAACTGGAAACCGGAAGCCAAACACACACTTTTCAACATGGTGGGGGCACCAAGGGAAAACACTTCTGCCAAGGCTATGACTCCTGTTTCTCTCTTAATAGTTAAATTAACCCCTCTCAACACCCTGTAGTAATCTGTCCAGTATTATGATAACCAGGAGCAAGACTTTATTCTTAGACAGGCATCCCCAACCTGAAGCCCTCCAGATGTTTTGGCCTACAACTCCCATGATCCCTAGCTAACAGGACCAGTGGTCAGGGATGATGGGAATTGTAGTCCAAAACATCTGGAGGGCCGAAGGTTGGGCGTGCCTGCTCTTAAACCTCCTCATCCCCCTGTTTATTCAGTTTCTGTCCAGTGTGTTCTGCCAATAAACAGCTTTCCTTAGACTGTGAGGATGTAGAATGTTACTAGTTTGTGGGTGCGACTCCCTTATGCCATGAGTTTTTCTGGGTGCCAGGCATTGAGCTCCTGGGTTCAGCAAATGGCTTTATTTCAAAGAGAAGTTCAGTTCTTTGTATATGCCCAGGAAAACATGTTGAATCTGTGAGAATATTCTGGGGTTTAGTATTTAAATTTCTGGACAGAATACAAGAAAAGCAGTCTGCTAGAGTACTTTCACAAAGCTGATATTAGCTGTCAAAAGGAAAGCATAAAATGGTGAAAATAAATCTGTGCAACTGCCTCTCAGAAATTGCCTAAATGCTATCTTATTCTGTTTTAACCACCACCAGCCCTCACACACACAGGAGCACCACCATCATAGTCTTACACCCATATCTAGTGAGAAAAATAACCTCCCTTAAGAGAGTTCCCAGATTTCTCCTTTTTCAACATACTTCATCATATTCTACACAGTATTTCACTGCATCCACCTGTTACCGTAGCAACATGTTCTAATCTACAGGGAAATGTTGCTCTGCCTCCCGGGCTCACCGCCTCCCGTTAGGCATGTGTGCACATGCGGGGTGACAATGCATGGCTAGTCCCTTCCAGCTCTACAGTTCGTCCTGCACAATTCATATCTGAATGGTTTCACAGTCATCTCATCTGTGCTGCGCCAGCATGGGATCTTGAGGTGCTGCCCTTGACTCCACTGGCCGGGCCTGGGTACGGGGTGCCCCTGGAGAGAATTCCCTCCCACTTGGGAGGCTTCCGCTGGCAAGGTGGGTGTGCAGGTGAATGCGGACAGGAAGGCTGGTGATCTCTCACTGCCCTGCCCTTCTCTTCTTTATAGTTTATGATTTTCAGTTTGATACATTCCAGTAATTTTACCATCATTTTAACATTTCAAAACTTGACTTCCCCCTCTTTCTGCTTTTCATTAAATTTATTTATTTTTATGTTTTCTGCATATCTAAATGAATGAATTTGCTCACCTATTCATCTACATTAAATATATATACTCTTACAAATGGGGGGACTTTATAAATGGGGGACGTGGGTGGCGCTGTGGGTTAAACCACAGAGCCTAGGACTTGCCGGTCAGAAGGTCAGCAGTTCGAATCCCCGCGACAGGGTGAGCTCCCGTTGCTCAGTCCCTGCTCCTGCCAACCTAGCAGTTTGAAAGCACTCAAAGTGCGTGTGCTGCTCTGGTTTGCCAGAAGTGTCTTAGTCATGCTGGCCACATGACCTGGAAGCTCCCTCGGCCAATAAAGCGAGATGAGCACCGCAACCCCAGAGTCGGTCACGACTGGACCTAATGTTCAGGGGTCACATTACCTTTATTCTTATAAAACTGCATGTTATTACAATATTCTTATCCGTTTACAGTTTATTTGTAAATATCCAATAAACCATTTCCATTCTTTTATAAATAGTTGGTTATCTTGCTAATTTTTCTGGTAGGTTTCGCCATTTCTGCATACTCCATAAGTTTTTGTATCCATTCTTCTTTCACTGGGACATATTCTTCTTCTTTCCATTTTTCGGCAAGTAACTTTCTTGCCACTGTAGATGCACCCATCCTCACAACTGTTGGGAAAAAGAACCCCCGGGGATAAAAGCATGATCAAAGACTAGTATATCTGTATTCCAAACTTTATTTAAATCCATACAAAAATTATTTATATATTTCTTTATTTATATATTTGGAATTGTGGGGAGGGGGGAACTGGGCGTGGGAGGGGGGTAAGAGCTCCGCTCGAGCTGCTGGTCTCACTGCTGCTGTTGCCTGGAAGAGAAAAGAAGAGAAAGGATTCTTAATATTTTAATTGATTCTTATGCTGATAACCCATCTTTCTGCACCCTCCGCCCCACTGCCAGATTTTCTCTGGTCTCCCTGTTCCTGAGGAAGAAAGATCAACACTCACCATCCACGTTGTTATCGGTGGACTCCATCCCCTGGTCGCATGGTCTCACAAAAATCGATCTGATCTTCACCACCTCCTCCTTCCCGTCCTTCATGATGTTGACCTCCTCCTTCCACTGATCTCCTTCCTCCTCCTGGCAGACCAGGGGATGTATCTTGGGCAACCGGCAGCAGGAGACCAGCAGCCCACGGAGCCTCCTCAGACTTCGGAACCTAGGGAAGAAGAGGAAACAATGAGGAAATGGGTTCTAGAGATCTCTGTGCTGGATTTGGGGCTCCTGGCAGCTAAACCTCCCCTACATTTCAGAAAGAAGGAGAAATCCTACTTACACTTGAGACAAAGAGAGTCTTTGAATTCTCTCCTGCAACATCTCTGCTCTCCCTCACTAGCTATCTTCAAATGGTTGCTCTTCCCAAAGTGCTCAGCCAAGTCACTCAGCAGGGGGACGTGTCACAATGGAGGATGTGACCCCCTTACTTTAGCTATCTTGCTTAATAATGGGCATTGTTCCCCTTCACAGTCACTTTTCAAATCTATCTTTCAGTAGGTTAAGCAGTTTTATTCTATTTATTTAGAAAAGATCTCGAGCTGGCTTCATCCAGCCCGGTGCATTTCTGGACAGGACAGGAAACCCCTTGCAAACACGATGCGGTCATCAAGGGAAAGCACTTCTGGCCTAGACTACGGCTGCTGTTTCTCACTTCATAGTTCAAAATAACCCCTCTCCACACCCTGTAGTAATCTGTCCAGTATTACGTTTAAATGTACCCCAAGCTCTACATTGGATTCTTGGTTATTAAAAACTGGTTGAAACAATTTTATTTCATTCACGAAAGAAAACCTGACATGGGATTCTGATCAAGGTTTATAGACAATGGGTGAGACATTTATTGATCCTTTTTGTAAGTTATTATTTGTCTACTTTAGTGTATTATTTATATACAGTAATCAAGAAGGGGTTGGGGTGGGAAGCAGTTTTGAATATGAAAATGGTGGATGGCTGTCATTAGTTCAGATCCATTTCATAGAATCATGGAATCTTAAGAGTTGGAAGGGAGCCAGGGGTCATCTAGTCCAACCCCCTGCAATGCAGGAATTTCAGCGACAGCATCCCTGACAGATGGCCATCCAGCCTCTGGTTAGAAACCTCCAAGGAAGGAGAGTCCACCACCTTCCAAGGGAGTCTGTTTGACTGCCAAACCGCTCTTACTGTCAGAAAGGTTTTCACGAATGTTTAGTCGGAATCTCCTTTCTTTGAACTTGAAGCCATCTGTTCGAGTCCTAGTGTCCAGAGCAGGATAAAACAAGCATCCTCCCTCTTCCATGTGACAGGCCTTAAGATAGCTGAAGATCTCCTCTCAGTATCCTCTTTTCCAGGCTAAACATACCCAGCTCCTTCAAGCATTCATCGTAAGGCTTCGTTTCCAGACCCTCGATCATCTTGGTCACCCTCCTCTGCACATGGTCCAGCTTGTCAGCATCCTTCTTAAACTGTGGTGCCCAGAACTGGACACAGTATTCCAAGTGTGGTCTGACCAAGGCAGAATCGAGTGGTACTATTACCTCCCTTGATCTGGACACTAGACGTCTGCTGAGGCAGCCTAGAATAGTGTTAGCTTTCTTTTGCTGCTGCATCACGCTGTTGACTCCTGTTAAGCTTTTGGTCCACCAAGACCCTTAGATCTTTTCCACCTATACTGCTAGAAAGCCAGGTGTCCCCCATCCCATCTTAGTGAATCTGGTTCTTGCAGAACCTGACATGACTCCCTATTGAAATTCATTTTGTTTGCATGTCACTTGTCACCCCACTTGTCACTTTTCCCCAGGAGGACGAGGAACCATTCATGGCTGCTCATCATGTCCCGGCCGTGGGCAACATTTGCAGCCTGGTGCATTGCACCACCATCTCGGAGCCACACTGCTCCTGTGGCTCTGCCTCCCGGGGTCACCGCCTCTGAGTTCCCGCCGGAACCCAGCCGTTTGAATCAGCCAATCTGCAGCGGTCCCAGGGGAGTGGCAAATCTAGGAGGAGCAGACCTTACCGATGCAGGCTTCCCTCTAGTCCGCTCCTCTCATCGGGGAGGAAGTTTGCCCCCACACCATGTGTTTCTGCTGGAGGCAAGAAGGCAACATCGGTTGGCTCTTCCACTGCACCTGGGGGCCTTGTGACCACCATCAAGCGGTCAGCTTTCTCCTCCAGCTGTCAGGTTCTTTCCTGATGTCCTTTGGGTTGTTTATCAATTTTCCTTTATCTTTGATTTTAGATATAATATTTTGAGTTTCCTTTTTCTTCAGTTGCTACACCAGCAACTTTCCTGATTTTTTTGCATGTTCGAAGTACTTCTGTTTTATTCTTTTTCTTTATTATTGATCATTGAATTTGTAATAACTTAATAGTTTGCTTTATAGTTTCTTTGTTGGGCTTCTGTATTAATTCTTTTTCCTTTTTTGTCAAGGCCTCTAAAATTTCCTTTTTCTTCTGTTCTCCCAATTTTTTTTTAATATGCATTTTGTTGTATAAACAGACCTCTCCTGACCGCCTTACTGGCATCCCAAACCACCTGTAATTTTGTTTCTCTATTTAAATTTAATTCAAAATAAACTCCTAATATTTTCTCTGCTTTTTCTAAAAGTTTCTGATCATCCAACAACTCCTTACTCAATCTCCATCTACGAGTGGAGTCATTTCCCTCTCGTAGCTGCAGTATTACTGGATTATGATCTGAAATTGTTCTTGGTAATATTTCTATTTTTTTTAATTCTGAGTTTGTATTCTTGTTATAAAAAAAGCACGCCTAGACATTCAGCTTCTGCGCTCATAACCTAGGTTTAAGGTGCCATTTAGCTCCTAGTGTTCATATCTCAGTTTCTAACCCTGCACCTGTATGTACACGTAAAGGTAAAGGGATCCCTGACCATTAGGTCCAGTCGTGACTGACTCTGGGGTTGCGGCACTCATCTCACTTTATTAGCCGAGGGAGCCGGCGTACAGCTTCTGGGTCATGTGGCCAGCATGACTAAGCCGCTTCTGGCAAACCAGAGCAGCACACGGAAACGCCGTTTACCTTCCCGCCGGAGCAGTACCTCTGTGGTTTAACCCACAGCGCCACCCATGTCCCTGCATGTACACATACATACACACAAATGAAGGAATGGAGAGAGAAAAAGAAGATGGAGAAAAGAGAAGAAGAAAAGGGGGGGTGCGTGTGTGCAGAGAAGAATTAGACGTGGAAAGTAATAATGTAAAAGTAGGGGTGTAAATAAACCATTTTTAACTTACCAAACGTGGTCTTTTCCTATGCTGGGGTAAGAGAGGACTCATTTTTTTAAAAGTCTAACAGCCTATATTGTCATGTTTTGCTGCATATTTTAAAGCTCTGCTGGGGTTCTCTCACCAAAGAGTACTTGCCCCGAACCTAGATCTAGGCATCCAGGGAATTTTCCTTTTATACCTATATTTTTCCTTGCCTACCAACAGGATGCTACTGTGGGGCAGTCAGGTGGGGGGTGGATGGGAGGCAGACGCATGGCCCAGTGACTGGTCAGGGATAGATGGGAAGTTCTACTTCAACATCCAGAAGGTCACAGGTTTCCCCATCACTGAACCAGAAGTTACTGTTGTCATTTTGGAAAACCGTTAAAATGATATATAATGAAATTCAACCAAGGGGATTTGAGGAAGTCACTTAATAATGTTACCAAGATTTAAACAGGATGTATGTTTGTTTGTTTGTTTGTCTTTCTGTTTGTTTTAAATTTTAGAAAATCAATTAAAAAATTTGAAAAAAGAAGCTACTGTTGTCAGTGCTGGTCTGTTGAAGCCCTTGCTCTGTACCTGAGCACTTCTGATTTAAAGTACATATTAATCCACTTTTCTCTCTCTTTTTGCTCTGCTGAAGCAACACAGCTACCAATATAAAAAATCCTTCCAGTAGCACCTTAGAGACCAACTAAGTTTGTTATTGGTATGAGCTTTCGTGTTTCGACTATGGCAGACCAACACGGCTACCTTCCTGTAAACAGCTACCAATAGTTTAAGCATGATTACATTTGCTCTCATAACCACTCTGTGAGGAGGGGCACTAAATTATTCCCATGAAGAGCAAGAAAAGCAAAAATGACCTGTAGTAACTTGCCCACAGAATCACACTAAATCTGCTACAAAAGGGGGTTCGGACCCTCTGAGTCTACAGTCTTCAAACCAGGACTCCTAGATCCAACATGAGATTTCCCCAGACACTCTACAAAACTGTTCCTAACTTCACGAAGCACAGACTATGGTGTTTACTTGTAGAGAAAAACTAGAAGAGGGGAAATTCAATATCTTTGCATACATCCTTGAAGAAAGCTGCTAGTGACCCAAGGCTAAACAATGTTGCAACCTCATGCCATAAATGTCAGCTAATGGGTAATAATGAATTCCTGCTGCTCCAGGTTGTTTTGTTGGGAACAGAGAACACACTGAATCCTACCCAGGCTGCAAATCTCCACTTGGATTTTTGCATAGCTCACTTAAGAGGTTCACAGAGTTCCTAACCCTACATTAATCCTTCCCTCCATAGCCATGTTTTCTTTCCAAGAACAGAATCATTTTGTCAGTGTTATAAGAAAACAAAATGGGAAGATTATGAAGCAGGCAATCCTTTGGAGAACCCAATTACTAACCATATGTTAAAAGCAATAACTTAATCAGTTGATAGCATTTTCTATAATGCCATTACAAAAATATACTCAGCAATTTTCCCCCAATTTAGAAAATTCCAGAGGTAGCCCCTCTATAGAATCTTGTTTTCGTGAAATGAAAGTGAGAGGTTCACAGGGGTTTTCTAATATCTGCTTCATCACAATTAGGTAAACAGAGAAACTTTCATATGCGTCAATTGCCCTGGCTTCTGTACTTCTCTTCTGGCTTCTGTCCATGTTTTGCCCATGAGGAAGACCTTCTACCCTGCCGCCCTCAGGGGAGAGGTTTAAAATGCACTAGATACACGTGCACTAGAATTCCTTATGCTTCAGCCTTCTGCCCAGATCTCCAGATGATAAATATCACAGCTTGTTCTATCTTGTGTGTAAATGCACACACAAAGAGACAATATGACCCTGCACTCGCCACCTCTGGTAACCACCTAGCAATGAATGAATAGCCTGCAACTACTCTATAATGAAGAGAAGTAGACTCAGCTTCCTTAAGTTAATAATAATAAATTTGCTGTGGTAAAGTAATAATAATTAATTAACTAATGCAAAAATATAATTAATGCAGAGAAAATTAATAACAAAGTACACAGCAAGTAGGTACGTACCTCCAGAGTGCATAGTGGGGACGGAATCACAGTGACCTTTGGTCTGACAGTAGAGGTAATCTTACTCAAGAGTATCCCTTTTTCTATGTAATTGGCCTGCAAGCAGGGAAAGTCGAACCATAAAGAGCAGCGCACACCTCTCGGAACCCTACACGGTTGCTTCTAGTTTAGCTAGCCCCTGCTTAATGCCCAGCTTACTCCCAATTCTGTCACCCTCCTCCCTACAGTCAAACTGCCAATAGCTTTCTTTTCTACAACACGGGCACACACATCGGCAGAGCACTGATTGTCCATTCAGAAAACACACTAGTCTTGTTCACAAAGTCACCAATATGTAGGCTAAACACCCAAGCTGATGCCTATTCTGAGATCAAGCACTCTGCACCTAATACCTGCATGCTCAGTGCGACATATTAAAGGAGTGTAGGCTCCCCTTTTCAGATACTGGGTTAGATTCAACTAGATTTTACTCAGAGTAGACCCATTGAAATTAATGGTCTTGACAAACTGTGGTTGATTATTTCAATGGGTCAGAGTAAACACTGAATCCCACCTACTGTTTTAAGTATGAAAGCATTCAGCGAATAATCACCTCCCCGCTATTAACAAGTAAACAAAAGAAGACTTAACAACTTGTATACAACTATTCCATGTGTCTGTTACTCATTCTGCCAACTCTTCCAGAATTATTTCACCAGCCCAGGCAGAAGCAGCACTGTCACAAAACTGAGAAGCAAAAGTGTGTAATGCCCATGTTTGGGGCATGTGCTACCTTTTACTTGGTAAAAGGAAAAACAAATATGGTATTTGTACTTCTCGGGAAGTGTGCTGTCTCCCCGGGGCTAAGATCCAAGATGTAACTGAACAAGGAATCATAAAACCCACTGACAAATACCCCTTCTTTTGGTTCATGTGGGAACCAATGACACTGCAAGCAATAGCCTCCAGAAGATCAAAAGAGACTATGAGGCTCTGGGCAGGAAATTGAAGCAATTAAATGCACAAATTGTCATCTCATCTGTCCTCCCAGTTGAACGACGTGGCCCAGGGAGAGAGGGAAAAATAGTGGAAGTGAACAGCTGGCTTCGCAAATGGTGTAAATTGGTGTAAATGGTGCAAATGGTGTAAATTCGCAAATTGGAGGCAGGTGATTAGCTGTGGGAGGACCTTATCAGAGCTTGCAGGGCAGCAGCTGAAGAAGGTGCAAAAAGGGTTTTCTTGTGTGTGTGTTTCTTTGTGGCTGATTAGCTGCTCTCCCTGTGCAAAGGTCAGAGGGGGCAGGGTTTCTGTTGAGGCAGGTGATTAGCTGTGGGAGGAGCTTATCAGAGCTTGCAGGGCAGCAGCTGAAGAAGGTGCAAAAAGGGTTTTCTTGTGTGTGTGTTTGTGTGGCGCGCGCAGTTTGATCCATCTTTTAGATTTAGGGGAGCTAGTCTCAAACGTTTGTTGGGGGAGACCTAGGTTTTTTGGGGGGGAGTTATTTGTCCTGTCTTCACGCTTTTTATGATGGAGGACCGCTGTAGCCACCCCCAACGACACATTCTCAAGATGGAGGGGGAGGGAACAGCTGCAGTCGCCTGCGGTTCCTGCGCAATGTTTGCCATCTTGCCAAAGGTTGCAGGCAGCTTTACCTGCAGCAATTGCATGTTGATTGCCCTCTTAGAAGACAAAGTCCAGCAACTGGAGGAACGTGTAGCTACGCTCCAAAGAATTAGAGAGCTGGAGCTCTTCTTGGAAGCAACAGAGCACACCGTCTCCACCAAGGAGGAGACAGGGGACTCCCCTGAGAAGGAGGCTAGTTCACCAACACAGGAGCCAGATATATGGAGAAACGTGACTCAAAGAAGTAGGAGGCCCAGGGTTCGCTCTGATTGTTTAGAAATACACAATCGCTTTGAGGTCCTCTCCCCTAGCATGGAAGACGAAGAGCAGACTCCATTTGAGGATCTCTCCCTCATTACAGTCGATCAGGTATATGAAGACGAGCAGCAAAGTCAGTCCTCAGGGAATGTGCAGGCGACCTTGGAACGGACAGCTCACGGAAGAACCCCGACCAAACCTAAGAGGAGGCGTGTAGTGGTGATAGGGGATTCCCTACTGAGGGGAACAGAAGCAGTGATCTGTGGGCCTAACAAGATGTCTCGGGAAGTGTGCTGTCTCCCCGGGGCTAAGATCCAAGATGTAACTGAACGAATGCAAGGAATCATAAAACCCACTGACAAATACCCCCTCCTCTTGGTTCATGTGGGAACCAATGACACTGCAAGCAATAGCCTCCAGAAGATCAAAAGAGACTACGAGGCTCTGGGCAGGAAACTGAAGCAATTAAATGCACAAATTGTCATCTCATCTGTCCTCCCAGTTGAACAGACGTGGCCCAGGGAGAGAGGGAAAAATAGTGGAAGTGAACAGCTGGCTTCGCAAATGGTGTAAACAGGAACGGTTTGGATTCTTAGATCACGGACTGCAGTTTCTTGAAGATGGACTTCTGGCAAGCGATGGGCTGCACCTCACAACGGTTGGGAGGAATGTTTTTGCCAAAAATCTCAGAAACCTCATCAGGAGGGCTTTAAACTGACTAATGTGGGGAAGGGAGACAGTGCTCCTGAAGGTAGGAGTCTATCAGTTGATGAAGATGATCATCCAAATGTCATAGACCAAATGGAGCAAACAGCATGCAGACCTAGTGGTGGGAGGAAAAAAATCCTTAAATAAGAGTCACGGGGGAATGATTAATGGACTTCAATGTCTGTACACTAATGCGCAAAGCATGGGAAATAAACAAGATGAGCTTGAGCTCTTGGTACAGCAAACTAAATATGACATAATAGGCATCACTGAAACCTGGTGGGATAAGTCCCACGATTGGAATGTAATAATGGAGGGATACAATCTATTTCAGAGAAACAGACCAGACAAGAAAGGAGGAGGAGTGGCGTTATATGTCAGGGATGTGTATACCTGTGAAGAGATCCAAGATTTAGAACCTCAAAGCCAAAGTGAGAGCATTTGGGTCAAAATTAAGGGAGAGAAGAATAACAGTGACCTCATTGTGGGAGTTTACTATAGATCCCCAAGCCAAACGGAGGACATAGATGATGCCTTCCTGGAACAGATGGCCAAGCATGCAAAAGGAAGGAGATAGTAGTAATGGGGGACTTCAATTACCCGGATATTTGTTGGATGTCAAACTCAGCCAAGAGCATAAGGTCAAACAGATTCCTCACTGGCCTTGCAGACAACTTCATTGTCCAGAAAGTGGGAGAAGCAACAAGAGGAACAGCCATTTTAGATCTGGTCCTAACCAATGTTGATGACCTGGTTAGTGGGGTAGAAGTGGAAGGATCATTAGGCGCGAGTGATCATGCTCTTCTGAAGTTTACTATACAGCGGAAAGGAGCAGCCAAGCATACTAGGACTCAATTTCTTGACTTTAAGAAAGCCGACTTCATAAAACTTAGGGAAGTGCTGGGTGAGATCCCATGGACAGTAATACTAAAAGGAAAGGGAGTTCATGATGGCTGGGAGTTTGTTAAGAGGGAGATAGTAAAAGCACAACGTCAGGCAATACCAATGAGACGGAAACATGGAAGGTGCCTAAAGAAGCCAGGGTGGCTATCTAAAGAACTTTTAACTGAGTTAAGATTAAAAAGGATGTGTACAAAAATGGAAAAGGGGAAACCACCAAAGAGGAATTCAAACAAATAGCCAGCACGTGTAGACACAAAGTCAGAAAAGCTAAAGCACAGAATCAACTCAGGCTAGCTAGAGAGCTTAAAAGCAAAAAAAAAAAAGGCTTTTATGGGTATGTTCGTAGCAAAAGGAAGAACAAAGAAACAGTGGGGTCACTCAGAGGAGAAGATGGTGAAATGCAAACAGGGACACAGAAAGGGCTGAACTCCTCAATGCCTTCTTTGCCTCAGTCTTCTCCGATAAAGAAAACAATGCCCGACCTGAAGAATTTGGAGCAAATGATTCAGCAGAGGAAACACAGCCCAGAATAACTAAGGAGATAGTACAAGAATACTTGGCTAGTTTAGATGTATTCAAGTCTCCAGGGCCAGACGAACTGCATCCAAGAGTATTAAAAGAACTGGCAGATGTGATCTCAGAACCACTGGCAGTCATCTTTGAGAATTCCTGGAGAACAGGCGAAGTCCCGGCAGACTGGAGGAGGGCAAATGTTGTCCCTATTTTCAAAAAGGGGAAAAGAGAGGACCCAAATAATTACCGCCCAGTCAGTCTGACATCAATACCAGGGAAGATTCTGGAGCAGATCATTAAGCAAACAGTCTGTGAGCACCTAGAAAGGAATGCTGTGATCACCAATAGTCAGCATGGATTTCTGAAAAATAAGTCATGTCAGACTAACCTGATCTCATTTTTTGACAAAATTACAAGCCTGGTAGATGAAGGGAACACAGTGGATGTAGCCTACCTTGATTTCAGCAAGGCATTTGACAAGGTGCCCCATGATATTCTTGTAAAGAAGCTGGTAAAATGCGGTCTTGACTATGCTACCACTCAGTGGATTTGTAACTGGCTGACTGACCGAACCCAAAGGGTGCTCATCAATGGTTCCTCTTCATCCTGGAGAAGAGTGACTAGTGGGGTGCCACAGGGTTCTGTCTTGGGCCCGGTCTTATTCAACATCTTTATCAACGACTTGGATGATGGACTCAAGGGCACCCTGATCAAATTTGCAGATGACACCAAACAGATGACACCCCAGAGGACAGGATCACACTTCAAAACGACCTTGACAGACTAGAGAACTGGGCCAAAACAAACAAGATGAATTTTAGCAGGGAGAAATGTAAAGTATTGCACTTGGCCAAAAAAATTGAGAGGCACAAATACAAGATGGGTGACACCTGGCTTGAGAGCAGTACATGTGAAGAGGATCTAGGAGTCTTGGTTGACCACAAACTTGATATGAGCCAACAGTGTGACGCGGCAGCTAAAAAAGCCAATGCAATTCTGGGCTGCATCAATAGGAGTATAGCATCTAGATCAAGGGAAGTAATAGTGCCACTGTATTCTGCTCTGGTCAGATCTCACCTGGAGTACTGTGTCCAGTTCTGGGCACCACAGTTCAAGAAGGACACTGACAAACTGGAACGTGTCCAGAGGAGGGCAACCAAAATGGTCAAAGGCCTGGAAACGATGCCTTATGAGGAACGGCTAAGGGAGCTGGGCATGTTTAGCCTGGAGAAGAGGAGGTTAAGGGGTGATATGATAGCCATGTTCAAATATATAAAAGGATGTCACATAGAGGAGGGAGAAAGGTTGTTTTCTGCTGCTCCAGAGAAGCGGACATGGAGCAATGGATCCAAACTACAAGAAAGAAGATTCCACCTAAACATTAGGAAGAACTTCCTGACAGTAAGAGCTGTTTGACAGTGGAATTTGCTGCCAAGGAGTGTGGTGGAGTCTCCTTCTTTGGAGGTCTTTAAGCAGAGGCTTGACAACCATATGTCAGGAGTGCTCTGATGGTGTTTCCTGCTTGGCAGGGGGTTGGACTCGATGGCCCTTCTGGTCTCTTCCAGCTCTACGATCCTATGATTCTATGATTCTATGATAAAAGGAGAATCCTGGAATTTCCTGTGCGGCAATGTGGTGACACCCCTGCCACTGCTGCTGCTAGGAGAAAGCCAGGAGGGACCACAGAGGCCACAGGAGCCGGATAGGTATGCGCCAGAGGCCAGGACCCGCGAAAGCGGAGCAGCATCCTAGTGAAGCCCAGCTGACTAGGAGCGCACCATGGGAGGGCTGCTCTGGCACCAGCATGCAACTGGGTGAGTGCCTCCCGCAAGTGGGCAGCGTGAGCTTTGGGCCGGGAAGCAGCATTGGAGCCCTGTGTGGCTGTGTCCCAAACAAGCCTTTTTTTTTTTTTTAACTTGGGAAGCAAGGCGGAGAGGCCTTCCCTCCTCACCCTGCTCTTCCAAAATAGTCTCCATCTCAAAGAAGAATCATACCGTCCAATCTCATTGATAAACCAAGCCTACAAGATATTCACATCAATATACAAAATACTTTTCCAAAACCCCATAAAACGCCTCTGCGCAATCAAAAAACAATGGGAGGAAGACAAAGGCTATGAGATTAGCTTCACCCCATGGACTAGAATGTGGTTTAAACCTCCCTTTGAATCCATCTCAGCCAAAAGAAAAGAACTGGCTCTGAAACTCACAGATGGTGCCAAGCCAGGCACCATTCCTCCCAAGGGATGGCAGAGACGTTTGCAGGTGTTTGGCCAGCATCTCCAATGGTTAGAGGGATGCCTGGCTTTTCCAGAAGGGAGCTGGGAATCAGAAACCCACCTTGGTCTTCGGGAGAGGATGGTTTCAGAGCGAGGAGCCAGAAAGGGGAGAAAGAGAAGATCAGGAGGCAATTTGCTCCCCTTAGGCGTGAGAGCAAAACAGTAAAATAACGGGGAAGCCCGGCGTTTGCTTATCTACTTACCTGTTTTATTTAGCTAAGCGAGGATGGCTTCACTGGAGAATCACAGGGCGGTTCACAGCAAAAAGATACAAAAGGAAAACATAAAATGCATAACAAAAAACAAGAGCACGAAGAAGACAAACTAGTAACCCACAACACGTTTACAACGACACAGAATGATTACAATAGAAAAATCGGACTAATACCTGAAGCCTTTCGCAAGGCCCCGCCCCCTGGGCACTGGCCCCGCCCCGCCCCGGGAACCCGAGGTGCAGGGGGCGGGGATTGGCGGCTACGGCGGCCGGCAGGGTCCAAACCTCCCGCTGCGGCAGTTGTTTTCCAACGACGTGCTCGGCGCTCGGCTCCCCGCCCCTGTCAGGAGCGCCGAGTTGCTCGATGGGACAGCAGCTGACGGCGCTTCTTCCTCCTCCTCCTCCTCGCGGTCATTTCCGCGCCGGCCCTGGAAAGGAAGCAGGTGAGAAGCGCGAAGGGGCGTCGTGGGGCTGGGGAGGCCTGCGGGGCCTGCGGGGCTTCTGAGGGAGGAGGCCCTGCGAGCAGGCCGAGTGCAGGGAGGGAAGGAAGGAAGGGGCGCTGAGGTAAACCCTCCGAAGAGGAGGAGGCGGCGAGGCCGAGGGCCGTTGGCGGAGCCGGGCGGGATGAGGGGCCTGCCGGAGGACGGGAGAGGAGGGGGCGCCGGGGGAAGCGAGGGGCCTTTGCCCCCGCCATCCATAGCGAGGGGAGGGGGAAACGCTGCTTTATTATTTATTGCGTTTGTACACCGTCCGTCACCCGAAAGTCGCAACTGAAAACGACAATAACAAAAAACCCCACGTCTTCTTTATTTGTTTGTTTTGCGAAATATGTACACCACTTGACTGGAAAGGAAGGAAAGGGGGAAAAGCCTCAGCGCTTCACAAAAAAAAATTGGTTCACAGTAAAATCCGCAGCCCTACTTTAAAAGCATACAAGAGTTTAAAATGCTGGCACAGATTAGAATTACTTCGACTTTCTAAGCACCTGGGTAGTTCTTGTATAATCAGGAATGTTTTTTCAATTGGCAGGGAGTTCCAGAGTGCAGGCAGTGCCACACTAAATGAGATCAAGTTCTTACAAATGTGGAAGGGGCACCTGCAGTAGTGCCAATTCTGCTGCAACTGGCCTTTTTGAAGTTTTACAACAGGGACCTTTAAAAAAATAATCAAAGATTAGGGAAATGGGAAAAGAGTTAAAAGCAAGGCTGTAGGTGACTTGGGAATGGGAGGTGGGTTTGGTGCAGTGGTTAGTCTTGTACTAGGACGTGGGAGAGACTGGGCTTCAAATCTCCCCACTTGGTCCCCCATGAAGCTCACCTTGCACCATTCACTGCCTCTTAGCCTAACCTACCTCTCAGGGCTGTTGCGAGGATAGAGCCACCTTGAGCTCCTTGAAGGACAGGTGGAATAGAAACGCAGTAAATAAATAAGCTGTTGAAAGAAGGGGTGCTGTGAGACCCTTGAACCAGTCAAAGGAGGGCAGTCCTCCTATTTAAATAGGGAAATGGGATTCTTTGAGATTGCATAAAAGGGAGATGAAGTGGGTGATATAGGACAAGAAAGGTGTGTGTAGAAGAGGAATGGTTTAGAAGTCCTCTGAAGAGTGTAGGTTGAGGAAGGTTGTGGTATGTAGTTCACCTACTTAAACTACTAAGAGTCCCATCCATTGTTCCACCTCTTTATTTCCTCTGGCCATGCCCATAACTGGCATGCAGCTCCCAGAAGGTTATCCAGAAGGCGAAGCAAATGTTCTCTGCCCCTAACATATGTGGTTAATGTGTTGGAATACATTTAAGAATGTAAGAATAGCCTGCTGAATCAGGCTGAAGGCCCGTTCAGTTCAGCATCCTGTTCTTACAGTGACCAACCAGATGCCTCTGGGAAGCCTGAAAGGAGGACCTGGGAGTTTCATTACAGTGAAACCTCGGTTTTCGAACGTAATCCGTTCCAGAAGTCTGTTCAATTTCCAAAATGTTTGAAAACCAAGGATCAAAGGGCTGGAAGCAAAATCCTCTAAAAAAATGGAGAAATACGCCTCGGAAGCCATTCAATTTCTGAGGCGCGTTCGAAAACAGAAGCATTCACTTCCGGGTTTTTTGCGTTCAACTTATGAAACATTCAGCAGCCGAGATGTTCGAAAACCAAGGTTTGACTGTACTAGGTTCAAAGGAATAATCTTCTGAATATTTATTGCTGAGGGCACATCAGTAATTGGGCAGGGGGGTTGTGACTTTCATGCCTTGCTCGGGGTCTTCCTGGAAGTATGCTGGAAATGGAGTGCTGGGGCAGAGGAATCCATGCTCAAAAAGCACTGCTCTTGTTCTTGGAAGCTTCAAATATTTGTGGGTACAGAAGTAACAGTGGGTTCTGTCCAACACTGTTGCCCAGCTGATAGGAAGGAATCTATCAATTCTTCTTCCCACCCGCAGCCCCATGCTCTTCCCATCCTCAGACATGCTCTGGAGGGTTGGGGGACCCATTAGTTTAGTTACACCATTGGATACAACCCCAAGGCTTCTACTGAAATAGATCTTGCTGTTTTAGGTTTTTGAAATTGTGGGATTGTGGCCATACTTTTTAGCTACCTTTCCAAAAATGTCAATGATTAAAAAGGAATTGCTGCTCATTACCTTCTTTATGGGATAATACAGTGGACGCTCGGGTTGCGAACGTGATCCGTGCGGGATGCATGTTCGCAACCCACAGTGGCGCGTCTGTGCACACGCGGGCTGCGATTCGGCGCTTCTATGCATGCGCAAAGCGCGATTTACTGCTTCTGCGCATGTGCAACTGCCAAAACCCGGAAGTAACCCCTTCTGGTACTTCTGGGTTTCGGCGCATTCGAAACCTGAAAAAACACAACCTGAAGCGTCTGTAACCCAAGGTATGACTGTAGTTATAGTATTTAAATACCTTTACCTGTTCCTTTGCCAGTCTTATGACCAATTCCGATAATAGTAAAAATCCTAAATCCTCTTTGCCACCTTAAAAAACCTTGGCTTTTTTAAGAGATTATAATATAGTGTTATAAAAGGCATTGGACACTTCTAATGATTTGTATTATTTTCCATACAGGCATCACTGTGGCCAGTCTTGTGACTGAGAATGGAACCCCAACGAAATTGATTTTTTTTCACCCCATCTCTCTTCCTAGGAAGTGGGGCTCCCCTCATCTCCTTGTATTGGGCAAGTAAAAGCAACACATATATGAAAATATGCCTCCAAAATTCAAGCGCCACCTCAATGATGATGATGTTACTGGGTCAGTGAAAAGTGAGAGGGTAAGTGCTTGAGGGCAATGGCTTTCTTTGCATGTTTTAAATGTGCGGGTTAGAATGGCCCCACAAGTCAAATCCATCTGTAGAATAATTGCTTTTAAGTCACTGAGGGTGAAGTTATATGGTGCTATTATGTCATGGTCTAGCTCTTGTTAGTATATGGATGGGAAGCTGCATGATAGTCCCATGTAAATTACTCTTAGTTTTCTTAGAGAAGAATAGGCTATGGTATAAAAAGATAAGATAGTAAACATGCCTGATGGACTTGAAAACTTTTTTCTTGCAAGTCACCAAGATTATGGTGATGGGTTCATTGTGCAACTGCCTATGGAGTTTGGACTGGTCTAATAAACATTCCAGAATATATCATTGATTAATGTACATTTAAGGATACTTAAATGTACTTAGACGATTATTTGCCAATACCTTTACAATATGGAGTTTTCTCTCCATATTATAGAACAGGTTTTCTTCAGCTAACTTTTACTTGGAGTAGACAAAGACTCCTTGCTGCTGATACCTCTCTGGCCTGTTTGGTCTGACCTGACTTTTCTTTTGGTGTGATGTGTCTTCCAAGGAGCAGAGGGTGTAACCTACCAGTGGCTCCTATTCCTGTAAATGATGTATGAGACCAATGCATGCTTACTGAACTGAATGTTTTTTTTCTTAATGCTGATAAGTTGCTTACCTTTTGCATTTCCCAGGTTTTAAATTGTTTTATATTTTATGTTTGCTGTAAGCAACCAACTTAAAAGAAACTTATAACTTCTTTAAATAATAAGTTCTCTTACCTCTCGGGGTAGTAATCTTGAAGAGAAAGAAAGCTTGTGGGTATAACTGGGAATGGACTGGTAGCACACAGTTTCAATAGCATAACAATTAGCAGCTGTGTTCATCAGGGAGTAGGCCTGTTCTTCAACCATCATCAGCTTCATGAACTATTTCTATTGCAGTCGATGTGAAGGTGTTCAGCTGCCAAGACTTAACTGGTCATTTCGCCAGTATGCCAGTGCTCAGTGCTATCAGACTTTGTCCAGGAATAGTTTTCTGTGACATATTTTACTGCAGGTAGCAGGAAAATACAAATGGAGAGCAGGGAAAATCCCCTGTGGAAAGAGCTTTTCGAGCCCTCTGCTCTGCTAGCTGGCCCCAGGGCCCTTATGCAACCTTCCCAGAGACCAGTAAGAAGCTATTTATTAGTATTATTAAATTTGTATTCCGCCCTATACCTGCGGGTCTGAGGGCAGTTCACAGGATATATGATATAAAAGCACAGAATACATATTCAAAAAATAAGAACAACCCAATAACGCCCCACCCCCCATTTCAAAAGGGCATTGAATGTCAGTCAACCAAAGGCCTGGTTAAAGAAGAATGTTTTTGCCTAGCACCTAGAGGTGTATAATGAAGGCGCCAGGCAGACCTCCTTGTGGAGAGCATTCCACAAATGGGGAGCCACTGCAGAAAAGGCCCATGCTCCTGTTGCCACCTTCCAACCTCCCATGGAGGAGGCACACAAAGAAGGGCCTCAGAAGATGATCTCAGGGTCTGGGTAGGATCATATGGAAGGAGGTGGTCCTTGAGGTATTGTGGTCCTGAGCCATCTAAGGCTTTATAGGTCAGAACCAGCACTTTGAATTGGGTCCAGAAACTAATTGGTAGCCAGTACAGTTGGACCAGGATTGGTGTAATATGCTCAAACCGTCTTGCCCTGGTGAGGAACCTGGCCACTGAATTCTGCGCTAACTGAAGTTTACAAACAATCTTCAGAGGCATCCCCACATAATCTAACCTAAAGGTTACCAGAGCATAGGCAGCAGTATCCAGATAAGGGCGTAGCTGGATGACCAGCCAAAACTGTTGGAAGGCACTCCAGGCCACTGAGGCCACCTGAGCCTCGAGCAACAGAAAAGGATCTAAGCTATGAGAACCCCCAAGCTACGAACCTGCTCCTTCAGAGGAAGTGTAACCCCATCAAGAGCTGGCAGCCTTCCAGCCCATCCGGTCTAGGGAACCACCCACTAACAGTGCCTCAAACTGATCTGGATTGAGTTTAAGTTTGTTGGCTCTCATCCAGTCCATTATCAAGGCAAGACACCGGTCTAGCATTTCCACTGCCTCACCCACAGATGTAAAGGAGAAGTAGGGCTGAGTGTCATCAGCATTCTGCTGACAATGCATTCCAAATCTCCAAATAACCCCACCCAGTGGTTTCCTGTAGATGTTGAACAGCATAGGGGATAGGATTGAGCCCTGAGGAACTCCACGTTGAAGGTTCCACAGGGCTGACCCTCAGGGAACGACCATTCAAGTAGGCCCAGAACCACTGCAAAGCGGTCCAACCCATCTCTAACTCAGACAGCTGCTCCAGAAGGATACCATGGTCAGTGATATCAAAAGCCGCTGAGAGGTTGAGGAGAATTAACAGGGACACATTTCCCCTGTCTCTGTCTTGACAGAGGTCATCATACAGGGTGACCAAAGCAGTTTCTGTGCCAAAACCGGGCCTAAACCCCAATTGAAATAGATCTAGAAAATGAGTTTCTTCCAAAAGCGCCTGGATCTGGTCTACGACCACCCACCCTAGAGTCTTGCCTAGGAAAGGGAGATTAGCCTCAACAGAAAGTGATTTGACCATGACAAGGGACTAATGTCACTGTCCCCCACTTTCAAATCACCCTCTTCCTGCCTAGTTGAGAAAGCAAGATCCAGAATATAGCCTGCCATGTGTTTTGGGTGTCAGGCTGCCAGAAAAGCCCCTCCATCTGTTGTCCAACACGTAAACAGAATCCGGCACAGTGCTTGCAAACTTCATTGCTCAGTAATCAGGACGTCAGTACCTGGCACATCAGTTTCAGAAACTAAAGTTCTGTCCCCTCCCCCTTATTTATACCTCCCTCCGTGCATTTTTTTGCTGTGATTCAGTGTTTCTTAATTGTTCTAGCCTTTTCTTAACCCTTCTTTCCTGCACTGAGAGTGGGGGAGAGGAAGGAGCAGAATCAGGGCTGCATTGCAGAGCAGGAGACATAGCCTTCTTCTCCTTCTCTCTCAGCGTCTGTGGCTACCTCAATCCTCTCCCCTTCATCCTCACCCTCTGCAGATGATTCCTCCCTGTCCCACCAGTCTGAACTTGATTCAAAGTCCCCTTCCCCCTCAGGTGCCTTCTGGACTACTGGCTGCCACCATTCTTCCTCGTCCAGCCAGCCCCTGACATCAGTGACAAGTTGGGACAGCCCCATGGCTGTCATGGCGGCCATGATGTCCTGAGCTGCCCCAGAGCCAGTTGCCTCGGCATGGATGTTAAAGTCCCCCAGCAGCTCTGTCAGCTCAGACAGGGACACTGCTGGGCAGTGAGGCAGGCGGTAAACTAGGAGCACACACTCTTGATTCTCCTCTGACTGGACAGAACCTGGAGATAGAGATACAGGGAAAAAAGTATTTGATCCCCTGCTAAATTTGCCCGTTTGCCCTCTGACGAAGAAATGACCAGTCCATAATTTTAATGGTAGGTTTATTGTGGCTGTGAGAGATGTAAGATGTAAGTTACCTGTCGTAGCTTTGTTAAAAATATGAAGTAGACACACTGGTGGGCATTTAAGTTTTTGCAGAGTGAGGTGTGAGGGCCATAGTCTCACTTCTCTGTGGTTTCAAGCCTATGGAAAGTTGTTTGTGTGATAGGACTTTTTGTGGCAGTGCCCCTTTTAGATATACTCTCTTGGTTTTCCAGGTCAAATTGATTCTCTCTTGTCTTCATGATTCCCAGGGTAGGTTTCTGCTGCCAACCTCTGGAAAGTTTAAGGCAAGCATTTTACACATGGCTCTATATTTAGAATGATACAGAGAAGTGGATAAGCAAATACTTGAACTAGCCCTGTGAAGGGTCTCTGTGCCTGTTTGTGTCCTCCTTTCCCATGCTTTTGAGTCAAGATCATATTAAGATGAAACTGATGTCCCCAAGCCTATAAATATACATAATTAGCAAATGGATGTTCCAGGACTGTATTCCCAAGTATGAGATAGAACACTGTGAAGAAGGCTCAGTTTTAGGAGGTTGACTTGGTGGCTATCTTGAGCACAATTTTGTCTTTTTGGAGGGTGAGGACATAAGAATGCTGATCCCTCCTTGCACTGAAGAGGAGAACGTGGGTGTCTGTGAGGTACTTCATTGAGATGTGTGAATGCTGAGCAATCTTCCATTTTTCAGAAGTGCTTGTTTCCTTTATGAATCATGGATTTGTAGTTAAATTTTCTTTTAATTTGGACTCCAGAGAACCTAAAGCAGAACTGATGTGCTGATTGCAGCTAACAAGATGCACCTCAAGAAAGACCTAGCTGCCTTCTAGCTTTGAAAGTGGACAAGAAAGACTTGTATTTCTTGTTGAGCTTATCTATCTTTTATGTTTGCAGAGGAACCTCCTAGAGGAAGATTCAGATGAAGAGGAGGACTTTTTCTTGTAAGTATCTCTAAGACTGAAGCAGGGATACCTGAACAACCTTTGGGGAGGATCTCTTAATGCTTGCTCTTCCCTTCTCCGGTATGGGGCCCCACCTCTGTTGTGTATAGCACTGGCCTTGCCAATGTAACGTGATACAGCATCAGGTGTTCATCTTCAAAGCAAGGTGAAGTATTGCAAGATTCACTGGAACCCTTGCCAACAGCACCTCCTGTGAACTTTGCAGTGTAAGATTGAGGACTCGCCTTGCCGGCCCCTTCCTTCAGCCTTGGGGGCTGTACTAGTCTTCTTGAAGTACTTTTGCCATCAATGTATTGTGTAACAGGCATAGGCAAACTTAACCCTCCAGATGTTTTGGGACTACAACTCCTATCATCCCTGACCACTGGTCCTGTTAGCTAGGGATGATGGGAGTTGTAGTCCCAAAACATCTGGAGGGCCAAGTTTGCCTATGCCTGGTGTAATACTTTAAGCCTCCAAATATCTCCCTGTTAATCAGCCATGTGATGCCGCTCATTCACTCAAGTAGATGAATAGCAACTGTGTCCTCAGGTTTGATCTGTTAATAAGCTTGTGTTATGTCTTTCCAGGAGAGGGCCATCAGGTCCAAGGTTTGGACCCAAGAATGACAAGATCAGGCAGTAAGTATTTTGTGGCATTTGAAAATGGGTCTTTCCTTGGCTTGTGTGTCTTTTTCATATAAAATTGCCGCAGTCTTAGTTAAGGTTTTTGCAGCATTTGTGTTGAATCTAGTACTGTAGTAGTTTCCAAGGCACTAAGACCTTTTGCCATAGACCAGTAAACATCATTGCTATGTTTTGATTTTTCTGTACTGTGGGCTAAATGATCCATCTTCCACCATGTTGACAGCCTAGAGATTTGTAAGATCTCCTGGAGAGCAGAAATAGGTTCAAAGCCACTGAGCAAATTGGAAGCAATTAAAACTTGGCTAGTAATCACCAACTGTACCAAAACAATAGGAAAGAATACAAAACTTGGACACCTTCCAGGAGCAATTTGTGCTAAGAGGCTTAAGCTCTAGCTTTGACATCCTTATCCAATGGCTCCCTGGAGGAGGAGGAGGCAACCCCCTTCTTCACTCAGATACCAGTTCAGTTAAATTTACTTGCTTAAAACCCATGGTGATCCTGCATATACCCCACATTCCAGTACAGAAGCATTAATCCTAAAGAAATGGATCACCTCAGTTTATTAGTGTTGGCTTTCAGGACAAGAACTTTGGAGGCAGCTCATCATAGCAATTGACTGTGGGTTGGAAACTTGTATCCTATGATTTTATTAGGATGGGCAGACCTGTGCACTTGTCTGTTTTGTGCCCATCTCTCTGAAATTTTACTGCACCATGTGCAATTCTTTCTTTTCTTTCATCATTCATTACATATATCACCAAAAGAAAAGCAATGTGTGTGTCTTGATGTATCTGAATATGTTCTGAAGCTCTAAAGTTCATCTTCTGCTGTTCAAAAGCATTCTGCTTGGAGGATCAATTCAAAGAGAGTGTCTACCCCAGAAGCATTTGTGGAATAGTGTTCCATTCAAAGGCATATCACATGCAAACTGGGTAGGATTGTAGGTAGGAATCCTTGCTGCAGTTGAAATAAGGGAGCCGCTATAGGCAAGAGGTGAGGCACCTGCTCAGTCTGCAAAGGGGAACTGGGGTAGAGCAGAAGCACACACACACAAAAACCCAATAGCTATACTCTCCCAGAACTACTGCAGGCAGCTGTGCAAATAGTAATAGTAAGGTTTAGAAAGAATGTCATTTTCCCAGCAATGGTTGCAATTTGAATACTGGGACTATGTGATTTTCTATCAGTTGAAACATTCATTCGGAGAGGAACAAATAATAGGTGCTCATGTCTCAGACTACAAAAAGCCTTTAAAAGAACTCAAAATTAGTGCTCATTTATGGGGAGGGATAGAGATTATTATTGTAGTCTCTAGAACTGATTAATAGAGGCTGACTATTTACTGGGGGAAGCTGTGTATGAGTTTATTCCTTGCAGACACAGTAAAGTGATCCACCCTGGATTGAAATACCAATATAAAATGGCAGATGATAGAAAGTTGGAAAGAAACTGTAGAACAGTTTTTGAAAGTCTGTAATTGGAATGTTTGGAGAGCTTAAAGTTGAGGACAGCATTTCTTTCCAGCTTGACTTTTGGTATGCCTTTAAATTCTTTCTTGGAATTGTCTGCTAAGTCAGGGCAGCCAGTGAGGAAATTGCTCACTTCCTGAGGCTCTGTTAGCTCTGTATTTAGGTCTGGGGTCTTGCGGCTACCTGATAACCATGTCATCATGCTCCTCTTCTCTGGGGCACAGAGGCAAGCAGCTTTTACATCTGCAAATTCTAGGCTTGAAATCTGTTGGGGTGTGAAGTTCATGGCCATCCACCTTCTTACGCAGGAAACAGCTATGATATGTTGAAAGTTTGCCACAACTGAGACCCTGACTACTGTTCCTTGAGAAGTGTAGTTCTTACGTTCTTCAAACTGAGGGCATTTTGTTGACCATTCTGCTTCTAACAGCCATCTAAGTGCTTATGGAAACTCGCAAAGAAAAAGCCGTCCCCATTTTTAGGTCCCAACGTTTGGTACAGAAATATATAGCCTCTGGACAGAGTTGCTATCTAATTATTGTGGCGGATACCAGTTGATAGATTATTCTCCATGAATTTGCCTAATCACTTTCTAAGCACATCTGTGCTAGTGGCCTTCAACACACATTATGATAGTGAATTTAGTTAACTATAGAACATTTTCCAGGTTTTTTTCCTGCTGTGCTAACTTGTTGATCATTCTTGTTATCAGTGGTAGTTGAAAGCAGATGTTATTGGTACTAACTAGTATCTGGGCACCTTTGTTTTTTCTTTAAGTGCAATGGATGTCCAAGCTTTGGCTCTTGAGCAGTTCATGTTGGACACAGTGTTAGAAACTGATATATGGAAGCTAGGAGCTAAAGGGCACCTTAAACCTAGGTTATGGACGCAACAATGGAATGTCTAGACGTGCTTTTTTATAACAAGAGTACAAAGCTGAAAATGAATGAACTGCAGCTAAATATTATGTTCCATTTTTCACATGGTCTAGTACTTCCCCTGTCCATCCCCCAATATTCTTAAGAGGGTCTTTTCTACAGAGAGTAGCTGAAAAGGTCCTCCTTTCCTTCCACTTTGCAGTTTTAATCTGAAATCTTAGCCACAGTACTGCACCCAGAGCTCAAACTGCTCATGCTAATCAAACTCCCTGTCGCAAAATGCACCTAGAACAATGGGGATTTTGAACACTGGCCAGACATTAAGAAAGTAGCCCTTTGTACTCATAGCATGTGGTAGAGAGAGACCTTTTCACACACTTCTCTCTGCCATATGCTGGTGTCAATGCGTTCTAGGAGAGCAAGGAGGTGATTTTGCCATATGAAGTAACAACCCCTCCTGCACACTTATGCTGTAGCAAATGGGGTGCAGGTTGCATGGATCTGGGTGGCTTGCTTAAGGTAGCTGTCCTTTACATTGGAAACACTGTAGTAAACCTGGTAGGAATATTTTTTCTGAGTGTTCCTGTGAAGGGGAGGAAATCTTGGTGTATCATCAGAAGGGCAGCACCTCAAGTACACAAATCCTTATTAATTTGATTAAGGGGCCAGTGACCTTGCTTGTTGGTATTGCTTGTCTGAGACTTGTTTTTCCTAAAACCAACACTTTGGAGACAAGGCTGTCAAAGGGAGGTGGTCAGGGTGAGGTGAACAGTCATAAGATTCTCTTGTTTTGCTTTACTTGCATTCCTGTGTGAAATTAACTTAGCAAACTGGCAGAACAGAGCCATGAGTAAAATGGAACAGAAACCAGTTATGACTACCCCTAAACACACTTTTGTTAGGAGAGCAAAGTAATTTTAATGATCTAAAGCTGTGTTTAGACAGAACTGACAAAAGTGTGTGTGCAAATATAGTTGTGGAGACCATCCAGGAACCAAACACCATCCCATCTGTGTCCTTTAGAGTAGGCATAGGCAAACTTGGCCCTCCAGATGTTTTAGGACTGCAACTCCCATCATCCCTAGCTAACAGGACCAGTGGTCAGGGATGATGGGAGTTGTAGTCCCAAAACATCTGGAGCGTTGAGTTTGCTTATGCCTGCTTTAGAGCAATGTTCCCCAATCAGGGGCCACATGGCCCCCTGGCCCCCACCCCGGATATTCCAAAATGCGTAAATGAGAGGAAAGTGAGAAGTGAAGGGAAAAAATCATTTTAAAAAAATCCTGATTGGCTGGCTATCTGCTTGGCCATTCACTCCTTTTTGCCATGGGCGTTTTCTTGGCGCAGTCCTGGTTTGTTTCCAATGGGAGAGGGTTTGTTGAGGCTCCCACTTTGACCAGTAGAGCCTGCTATCCGGAACCCCCAGGTCAGGTAAGTGCGGTGGTGGGGTGGCAATGGGTAGGGCTGGGCGAGCAGGAGCTGCTTGTTGCTGCCACCACTGCTGGGCCGGGCAGAGTCATCTGGTGCTGCTGACTTGCATCTAGTAAATAACTGTCCACTCAGAAGAAAGCTGCACTGAGTTCAGTGGGCCTTACTCCCAGGTAAGGGTGTGTGGGACTATAGTGTTTTATTTAGGCAGCCAGGGCCACTTGCTTTCTTTGAGCGGTTTGGGTACCTTGGTTTACGAACTTAATCCATTCCGGAAGTCCGTTCTTAAACCGAAACCGTTCTTAAACCGAGGCGCTAATGAGGCTTCCTGCCGCTGGTGCCCTTCCGCCGTTCAGATTCCGTTCTTAGACTGAGGTAAGGTTCTCAAACTGGGACACTATTTCTGGTTTTGTGGAGTTTGTAAACTGAATCATTCAGAAACAGGACTGTTCATAAACTGAGGTAGCACTGCAGAAACTATCTTGGAGGAGGTCCAGGTTTTAGGAATGGGGCACCCTTTTGTGATGTTGTTGAATAGGCGTCATCAGGGATTCCTTGAATTTCTTATAGAATTCTGCTATAAAGCTGTCTGGGCTTTTAGTGGTTTCAGGTTTTTGAGGACCGTATCTATTTCCTCCAGGGTGAAAGGACTGTCCAGGAATTCCTCTTCCTCATCAGGTAAGGTAGGAAAGGTCAGTCCAGCTAGGAATTTTCTGATTTCCTGTTCAGGTGGGTTGCTGGAGGTGTATAGGTCAGTGTAAAATTCAACAAATTCTGAGGTTATTTCTTTGGAGAAGATTATGTTGCTGTCTTTTTTTGGTGATGCAGTTTATTCTTGTTTTGAGTGATTTTCCCCCGTACTTGTAGGTAGAAGCATTGTTTTGAGTATAGAATGTTGATCATTGTTTTGTTGATTTCTAGTGAGTCTAGTTCCTTCCTTTTTTGTTCTATAAGTTTAAGGAGTTTTTCAGCTCCTGTTCGTTTGTAGTGTGATGAGAGTGCTGTGATGTCCTGTTCTATTTTGCTAATTTTTGAGGAGGTTTATTTTTTAAGGGATGCTTTTTTTTCTTTTCTTTTTTTTTTGGTACAGTGGTACCTTGGTTTACAAACAGCCTGGTTTGCCTATGTTTTGGATTACAAACATGTCAAACCTGGAAGTGTATGTCCCGGTTTGCAAACTTTTTTTGGATTACACCCCCCCCCTTTTTTTTTATTATGAACAAATTTTTTTTGGAGGCCCCATCGGCAAAAGCGCGCCCTGGGTTACAACCTGTTTTAGTTTACAAACGGGCCTCCAGAATGGATTATGGTTGTAAACCAAGTTACTACTGTATTGTCTACATCATTTTCTTTGCAGTGTTTTGGAGAGTCTTTGTGAGACTCTCTAATTAGTTTGTTTGTGCTTAGGATGGGACTGAAGGACCATGAGGGGGTAGTTCACATTTCTTCTGCGATTTTAATCCTACCTATGTTCGTTGATTCAATCAAGGGTATCAGACCTTGTGTGAGCAGAATGCTATCTAGTCTGGATACTGTGCCATAGCTCCCGGACTGGAATGTGTTGCTGGTGTCTCCGAGATTTTCTTTGCTCCATATGTCATAGGGACCTCTGTTTTTAAGCATTTTAAGCAATTTGTAAGAGTTCTTAATTATTTGGGGTTTCCTTCCGTGGAAGGTTGCCCATGGGGTTGTAGGGTGGTTGTCTTTCAGGTATATGGCTCTCATATTTAGGTTGAAGTTACTTCCCAGAATTGCTTCCCCTTCAGAGAAGGAGAGGAACTAGTTTAGTGTTTTCTGGATGAACTCTGGTTGTTTTGAGTTTGGGGCATATATGGAGCCAATGGTCTGTTTAGTTTTGCCACTCAGTGTCCCTTTAGTGAAAATTAATCTGCCTCTTTAGCACTGCCGTGGCTTTGAAGTTCAGGTTTCTGCTAAGTATTATGGCTGCTCCATGGGCCTTTCCTGAGCCAGGTACAACCCATTGTTGACTGAAGTGGGGTTTGCTCAGGAGTTTGCTTCCTTTGGGTGGATTGTGTATTTCTTGTAGGAAGGCAATGTGTGGTTTCATGGTGTTTACATATGAGGTGATGCATTTTCTTTTGATAGGGTTTCCCAATCCATCATTCTGCTTATCTGCTTTATAGGATCATTCCCTGCCAACCCGTGTGGGTTGTCCTGAGTCTGTCACCTTATGTTGTCTATCAAACTTAAGTTGCTCTGACATAACGTGTGATGGGTGGGGGAAGAGGGGGTTTAGAATTAGATTTGGGTTAAAGAGTGGGGAGTGGATTACAGAAAGTAGGCTATATGTAGTTATATAGGTGTTTATTTGGGGTATCCAGGATAATCTGGCCTTCAGCTGGTTGGTCCTGGGTCTCAGCTGGCATGGAGGACCTTGTTTGGGAACAGTCTGTCCTCCCAGTCATTTCGGATAGGGAGTGGTCAATGAGATGGTGTTAAGCACATTTGTGACTCCTGTGTTGGGTATAAGGTTTATAAGTAGTGTTGTCAGTGTTACTAACAACATTATTGGTTTGTTGGGGCAGGGATATGGGCATTGGCACACTCTGGCACCACCATTATGCAGGTTGTGTGTCAGATTTTATCCTCTTTGTTGATTGTTTTATTGAGGTTGGGGGTATTGTTTTAGTTGGTGTGGGTTTCTTTCTTCGTTTTCCTTTTCTTTTACCTGCTTCTTTTATTTGTGTGTATCTTCTGGACGACAAGTCCAATGATATCACAGTGGCCGTGGCAAAGTTTATTTCAGTAGTCATACGAATCAAAGATCAACATACCCATGACTAAACAAATAACGCCTCGGTCTCCCTCCCCTGGGGGTTTGTCTGTATGAATCTGTTTTTTGTTGCTTTTGTTTTTGTCTTTTAAATATATATTTAATACTATAACATAGTATAATAAAGACAATTTTCAGTGATGGTGCTGCACTTAAACTGGAGTCCACAGTAGCCACATGTTCCCGTTTTTGTATCTTTGTCCAAGTTTATATACACTTTAGGGTGTCCCAGAGCTCTGCCGCCACCATCGCAGGATATCACTCTGGTTTCAACTTCACTCACAGGCTGCTGAGCGATCAAATCGATTGCAAAGCTTTCATTCACCTCTTTCTGTCGAGCAGAAAACCGAGCCCGCCTGTAGTCAGTTTCCTCAAAAACCTGTCCCGTGTGCGTCACTTTCTCGCCGGTCGGGGACGTCCCCGTGCCATAGCTTCTCCCAAAGGTGGGTCACAGGGAGGGGAGAGCTGTGACGCCCCACGCCAAAGCCAAGCCTGCCTGGGAGGCTCCTCCCAAGGACACAAACAGACCCGCCATTTCGGTGACAGTGGTGAAGGAGGAAACAAGGTCAGAAAAAGGTTCGGAAACGCGACTTTAGAGGAAGAGTGGCTACAAGTGTAACAAGAGCAGGAAGTGAGGATTGTCCATCATATCAAGACTGCAAAACCACAATAACTTCTTTGTTTCCATCTTAGCCCCATGCCCACAGTAGTCCTCAGACAAGGCAAAGGAAATGACTTCTTGACATGTGCTCCCATGTACATAGCTGTTGAAGGACAAGGATCAAAGCGGACGACTGCCCCAGACCTGTATTCTCCTCCCACTGCCCTGCAGCCTCTCAGGCTCTTTCCCCAATCTTCCAACTTAAGGCTTGACAGTCTGTCATAACAACTTTAGTGTAATTGGGGCACTGGAGATTAATTGTAATCCTAATTAACAGGGTGTACATCCATTTCCTTTGTTTGGTCTAATCACTGCTGGGGGTGAGAGAATAAATGGCTTTGCAATTTGGCTTCCATTGAAATGAAGTCACTTGGAATGCTGCAACCCTAAACACTGGAACATTTTGGCCTAGTTGCCACAAGAGTGATAAACTATGCCAAACCACTTCCTTAAAAATGTTTTTCAAAACCCCTGCTCATAGTAAACTTAACATATTAAGGCTAAGCTAGGCATGCCCAGGTTGTTGGGGTTTTTTTTTTTAAAGGAGGAACATTCTATCATGTGAGCTTCCACCTGCAGTCTGAAGTGAGTCTGGATGATTTATAGGTTGACCATCTCCATGAGGAAAACTAGGTCATCATTTAATAGGACATATAAGACTACAACTAGCCTTTCTGTATTGCAGGAATTGGGAACCTGTGGTCCTCCAGGTGCTGTTGGTCTGCAGGACCCCTTGTCCCTGACCTCTAGCCACACTGGCTGGGGCTGATGGGAATTTGAGTCCAACAACATCTGGAAGGGCCACAAGTTCCGCATCCCTGATGCTGCCTTCTGCCTAAGCACTGCGGAAGCCGTGGACTTCATAATAATGAGTGGGTTACAATTTGAGACATGGTACAAAAGGAAGAAAGGAGTGGGGAGGGAAGAAGTAAGAAAGAGCAAGGGGAGTGGACCTTCTTAACTCCCTAAGATGCAAGTAGGTTCAAAGCATATAATCTTTCCAACACCCCTGTAAAGTAGGTCGGTATTATCGTTCCCTTTATTTCCTCTACTTACTCATGATGGCTAAATGATTGACGGAACACTTTTTGAGAGCAGTATGCAAGTCAAGGCTGCCATTGCCTCATTACTGTTACTTCATGTTATTTAGACTGCACAGCCAGTCCTTGGCTTAGGGCAGATAACAAAAACAACACCCACTCCAAAAAAAATCATAGAAATTTCCCTTTTCTAGCTAAACCTTTGGTATGTAATTAGCTGAAAATTTGAGATTGCTTTGGCTTCTCTTTAAAAGGCTACTTCTCTTATTAAAGAGCTGTTTGTATTGGAGAAAAATCTGGTACTGTGTGGGGTTTCCAAGATTAGAACAAGCTATGAACTGAAATTTAGATTAAAAGTCAGGGCCCCAAGCTTTCTGAGAGAGTGGGAAACAAAACAAAGACCTTCCCCCCCTTATCTCAAAGAAGAAAGAAATTAGGAACTGCAAGATACACATTCTGCCCTTCTCTCCCTGGTCACTTTCCTCCCTTTACCTGTTTTTTCCTTCAAAAGATTTTTCCTCCTGGTCACTCTCCTTTCTCCTTGACTTGTTTTTGACACTTGCTAAAAATGTTTTTGTTCCAGCAAAACCTACCCAGGCATGTAATTTTAGCAAGTAAAGCATTTTTAACATTATTGCTTTCATTTTAAATTTTAAATGTTTTAATAACTTGTTTGCTAGTTTCATTTTTTAATTGGTATTTTTAAAAATGTTTTACACACACACACACACACACACACACACACACACACACAGTGTGTGTGACTGGTAGGAATACATCCATTTCCCTCAATTCTGTGTCTCATTTTGTTTGAAAGCTGCCTGTTCTTCGTGTACTAGGTGGGTATGAATTCAAAGCGGGGGTGGGGGTGGGGTGGAGAGTGTGTGTGTTCTCAATGACTTTGATGCCACAACTTTCTCAAGTTTTCATTTAAAATTGTGTTGCAATTTTTCTGGAATTCTTCAGTGTGGTAGAGCTTCCAGTAACTCTTAAATTCAGAATGTAGTATGACCCAAAGCCATGTTATAAAGTCTGTGAGGATATAAATGTGGCATAAAAATGACAGCCAATGTAGTGTACTTTTGGTTTTGAGACCAATATTTTGATGTATGCTCTATTTATGTTTACTTAGAAGTTTCACAGTCAATTAAATGAGATGTATCGTAAAGTTTGCATGCATAAGACTGCTACTTTCAATTCAAGTTTTGCCTTAGCCATTACTTCCTGGGTAGCCTTGGGCAACCCAGTTCTTGAAAAAAATATTTGGAAAACCACACATGAACACTTCATTCTTAAGAAAATCATAATTTTTAAAGCCCATTCAAATCTTTACATATGCTACTTTGCATTTGAATCCAATAATCAACTGCATTTGCTACCACTTGTGACAAATCATTGGGTAATATGATTCTTCCTCCACACCCTGCTCTGTTTTCCAGTGTCCAAAACCAGGTTGATGAAGTTATTGATGTCATGCAAGAAAACATCACCAAGGTGATAGAAAGGGGAGAACGACTAGATGACTTGCAGGATAAGTCAGGTAGGAATAGTTGGGCCTCTTTTTTTCCCTTGCAGCCTCAGAAGAGAGTCCTCAAGAGTACTAAATCCAGTGTGTTGTGAGCTCTGTGCATAGTCTGAGAATATCCTAAACATGATCACCTATGAGTGTTTGCTTTCCCCCCTATGCCAGGAGTTGCTTAACATTTTGGATTTTTGAGGGAGTGCTGTGGGTGCCAATCCCTCTTGAGAGAAGAGAGAAAGAGTATGCATACATGCTGCACTTTTTCCAGGGATCTGAGAAAACGTTGGATCCAGTAGAATTAATCTGACCCTTGAAAAGAAGTGGGAGAGACCTGCTATCTGCTCTTCAAGGGAGAAGGTAGCAGCCACTTCATGACAGTTTGTGTGTGACTCAGGTGCTTTGTTGGTGCCAGGGAAGGATATCAAGGGTCTCATTGTGCCCGTGGGCACCACGTTGGCATCCCCTGCCTAGAACACAAACCTGAAAGACTCCTAAAATGTTCTGGCAACTAGAGATTTAAAAGGTTCTTGCTGCCCTGAATACAGAATCCATCCTTACCAAAAATATTTCTAAACCATTCAATCTTAGAATAATTAATTATACAAAATAAGTACATTTCTTTTCCTTAGTCTTCATAATTATATTCCTAATATTGAATTTAGTTTCTTTTGTATGTACAAACAGTCCCAATATATATATTTACTTACTAATGCAATAGTCCTTTTTAGATGTAACATAAATAAGTTTCAATCTTGTTCATTCCCAGACCACTGTTCTCTGGCACAGCCATGAGATGGAAATCAAAAGCTTCTGCTTTTATAATAACCAGAGTTCCTTGTTACTACGAAACTCAGGAAAGCTGTAGTGGGTTAAACTATGCTTAGTCCAAACAAGCCAGGATTGAACTATGGTTTATTATCCTGGCTTGTTCACTGACTATAATTTTAATCTAACCAGTTTCCCCAAGTTCAGATAAAACACAGAACCCTGGTTAGTTTTAAAAGGTTTTGGCTCTCCTCATGGCTCCACGGGGGGGGGGGGGGGGGGTTGGAGTACATAAGCCCAAAGCACATTCACATGACATTAAGTGATGGGTGAGGAAACTTTTCCAGCTGGCAAACTAAATCCCAGCCTTTCTCACCCACCCATGGGCCATTTTGACATTGGGTGATAAGTTCAAAGGGGCCTGCTGTCAGTGCTTATCAAATGGCTTTTCACTGAATGCTAGTGCCTTTGAAGGTGCACTTTTAACACCAAACAGTTGCTTGGTGCTGATAGTGCACCTTTAACGATTCTTGCTGCTGGTGAGCCCTGCTTGCAAATGAACAATTGCTCTCTCATTTTGACCTCTGCAGTCCTAACTTGTCCCACACCTGATATTTCATATTACATTAGGTAGGAGGCATGTGGAAGTAGTTTGGGAAAAATAGCCTTGTAAACCAAACTAGTTTACCATTGCATCTTAACTCACCCAGTGTGTGGTTTAAATCTTAATAGCAAACTACCTGACTGCCCTTTATGAATGTTTTGAAAGTTCCCAAGCGCTGCTGTCATTTTTACCTCAAAATGTTACTGTCTTAATGATGTGGTAGATGCCCCCCGCCCATCAAGGATGTACATTATGTCACTTGAGTGATGTTCCCAGCCTCTTTTCATCCCATTGCTTACTCTTGTTAACTTGTGGGTCTTTCCCATTGCATTCATGGAGAAGATAAAGAGGCAGGTCCTTTGTGTACACAGGCCCTCTTGTGTGATCAGAATCCGCCTAGTTATGCAAAGATATAGGCTTGCATATCCTGGCTTGGATGTACATCAGAGGACCATTTCCTGCCCCTTCGTAGCAGAGTGCTGTAGGCTGGATAACTTGTATCATTTGTACTTCTGCCACTTTTATGTTTGCTTCTTCCTGCACAGCATGGGCTCATTTGTTAATGAACATATTGTATTACAATTTCCAAACACAGAAAACTTAAGTAATTATGTGGGTGGAAGGGGAGTCTTAAATCAATTTGTATGAACCACAATGTTGGCTGCATTCCTAATGTTCTTCTTTTAGAAACAAATCACATGGAATTCACTGTACCTCTGCAAGAATACCTGATCATTACCTCTTTGCATATGCTTGCATGTATAAATACAGACATGCATGCTAGGATGGAAAGCTTTCTCACTTGTATTGCAGCAGGTTCAGTTCATGAGGGAGCCGGTGTTGCGTTGTGGTTAGAGTGTTGGACTAGGATCTGGGAGACGGAAGGGATCAAATCTCCACTTGGCCGTTAAGCTCACTGGGTAACCTTGGGCCAGTCACTGCCTCTCAGCCTAACCTGCCTCACAGGGTTGTCAAAGGGATTAGGTGAGGAGGGAGACATCATTGAGCTTCTTGGAGGAAAAGGTGGGATATGAATGTGATGAATAATAAAAAATAAATGTTCTCTTTCTGGCACAGAGAGCTTATCTGACAATGCAACAGCTTTTAGCAGCCGATCCAAACAGCTCCGACGGCAAATGTGGTGGCGAGGCTGCAAGGTGAGGTCCCAGAGAGAAATTAATTTGTTGACTTTTTTAAAAAGCAGACCTATTAAGGTCACAAGGGCAGAGTTAACGTGTGTGAACATGAAGTGTATACACAATATTGGGAATTGAGTGCTAACACTTTCCCCCACACTGCAGTTAAGAATGGGCTGTGTTTGCCACAGGAGGCCAGATTCTTTCTTCCATCCTTTTTCCTAAGTAATCAGATTAGATCAGACATGTTCAACTGGTCGACCACGATCGACTGGTCGATCACCAGAGTGATCCTGGTCGATCGCAGGATTAAATAAAGTGGGCAAGGAATGTCGCCACAGGGAAGGCTGGGCTGGGCGGCAAGCGCAAGGAATGTTGTCTTCACTGCTGCAAGGGTAGCCCCGCTGCTGGATCCCTCTGCAGCCGCTGGGAAGGCAGGGCTGGGTGCTATTTCTTGCTTGCTGCCCGGCCCGGACTTCACTGCTGCAGTGGTGGCCCCAGCACTGGGTCCCGCAGGGAAGGCCAGGCCAGGTAACATTCCTTGCGCTTGCCGCTCAGCCCGGCCTTCACTGCTGCAGCGGAGGCCCTGACGCTGGGTTCCTCCGACACCGCTGGAAAGGCCAGGCAGCAAACACAAGGAATGTCACTCCCCCCCCCCCCCCGCACTGAGTCCCGCTGCCACTGGGAAGGTCGGAACAGGCAGCAAGCGCAAAGAATGTCGCCCACTGGGTCTTCGTGGCGGCAGGGGGGGAAGGAGGGAGGGCAGGCATTATTGGGATCTGCGTGGCTCCCTTTGCCTCCACCTTCCACACACCACACCACGCAAGATCCTCGTCCCTCCAATGACAACGGGTAGATTATTGCCAGTTTTTTTATACTGGGATTAGATCACAGTTTCTTGGGAGTTGGACGTGCCTGGATCAGATCAATGTAGGTTGGTATCTATGGGGACATGTGTGGGTCTGGGTGCACACTCTGAAGACTGGTGTTTTTACTCCAGTAAAAAAGTTTGATGAGCTTCATGGCTGAATGACCTCCAAATTCTTTACCCACTCTGCTACAGTGTCCACGTTATGCCCGTATTTTGAAAATGTGGATGGAAGACATGACTGGAGGCATTTTGAGTTGTTCAGTTGATTCTGCAAGCTTTCACCATTATTGTGAAGAAAGGAGTCATACTAGCTTGGTTTAAATAAGTCTCTGTAGGCAATAAGGAAGTAATGTCTTGGCTTGGCTTGTGTTTCCTTCTGCAGATGAAGGTAATTGTGGCTTTGGTTGCTGTTGGTGTCCTGCTAGTGATTATTGGTAAGTGCTTTCTGAAGTTCTTTGTTGTAAAAATTCTGTGAAGTGGCAAGATGTAGAACAAATAGACATCCTTGAATTGCAGCCTTAAGAGAAATCATACTGTCAGGCTTTGGGAACTTGGCTTCCTCCTCCCCTTCAGCCTAGGATAAGCAGCACAAAGCAAAAAGAGTCGCTTACCATTTAAAGCATGGGTAGGCAAACTAAGGCCCGGGGGCCAGATCTGGCCCAATCGCCTTCTAAATCAGGCCCACAGACAGTCCAGGAATCAGCATGTTTTTACATGAGTAGAAGGTGTCCTTTTATTTAAAATGCATCTCTGGGTTATTTGTGGGGCATAGGAATTCGTTCACACCCCCCCCCCCAAAATATATAGTCCGGCCCCCAACAAGGTCTGAGGGACAGTGGACCGGCCCCCTGCTGAAAAAGTTTGCTGACCCCTGATTTAAAGAGGCTTTAATCACCACAGCAAAAGAACAGAGCAGCCATTCTCGGAATGAAGGTGTTCCCAATTAACGTTTCCACCCACTTCCCCCCATGTCATTTCCACACCACTGTGCTTTTTGTGTAGCCAACTTTTCTGCTCTACGTGACCTTGGACTGATAGGCTGGAGATAGTCTGTTAGCTCTCTCTCTTCCAGTTCTTCTTCACCCCAGCTTTTGTCTTCAGAACTATGGCCCTCTGCAAACCACTGTTCCAAATCTATATTGCTCCACTGCTTCTGGGCAGCTTCAGGATCCTGGTCAGGAGCAGGGGGAGGGAGAGGCTCTCACCATTCCTCATCAGAGCAGAACTCCTCAGCCTGGTCTCTGACACATACACTACTTCAGGTCTTCTTGCTTGGGCTAATGGATGACGTACTATTGAGTTGTTAGCTTAGGAGTTGCCCAGAATATTGCCATTAACTTTTGAGTGCCCCTAGTACTAGAGGATTGTGGGATTGAAATAGCTTTAATGTTTGTGGGTCCTTTTTAAGAAGAAATCAATATAATCTAACCAAAATTGAGCATTTCTAAGATTGATTTTAATTGGAGAGATTTAAACAGGAACTCAGTAATTCTTTATAGTTTAGAACATGGTGGCAATTCCTTTGTCACAAGAGTGTTGTACTTTATGCACACCTATAGGAAAACTTGAAAGTGTTGTTGATGTGATGGAGATTGGGAGCTAGCTCCCTGTCTGTGGGAGGATAAAGGAATGGATAGACTAGGTAGGATGGCTTTCTGTTGTTTATGAATCCAAAACGTTGAAGACTCAAAACATAATTCGACATGGGACTCTATGCATTTTCCAATTAGGGATGAGTTGATTTTATCATCTCAAGAATGGGAGCCAAGTTCAAGTCCTGAAGATAGGGCATTATTTTCCATCTCAGCACAATGTGAAAAAAGCAATCACCAGATTCTGGAAGTTGGTGGTGCTTTTGGATACCAGAAAACCTCCATAAGAAAATGGAAGTCTTTTCCAAATGATAGCAAAAAGAAACACAAACTTTGCAAAGAAAATGCAACCTAAGAAGAAGCAATGCAAAAAAACTAATTTGAGGAGCATATTGCAGGAAGGCATTCTGAAGAACTGAGACAAATTATGCTGATTAGCAAATTATCAGCAAATTAAAAATTAACACTGGCTGGTATCAAACTGAGAAATTGCTCAATCTTCTAAAAATATGCAGGTGTCTTTGTATCCAAGGACTGGAAGGTGGCCAGTGTAACCATTTTGAAGAAGGATCCAGGGAAAGGATGAAGGGAATTGCAGCTTAACCCTGCAGCTTGACTTTGAGGCAGGTTTGCTACTGAGGTGCATGATGAGAGTAGGGCCAGGAGTTGTCCCATTCGTGACATTCCAGAAGCCAGATACATTTGGTGTCTGTGCACGCAGTAAACCTAGCTTTCCCAAAAGATCAGCCACACACTGTCAAGGGAGTTTCTTGCTTCCTGCTCACATGTACTTGAAGGGTGTGAGCTGGAAGACATGCCTGCTCTTCTTAAAAGTGGGATAACTGAGAGATGATATTCATGGAAAATCCCATCTGCTTTGACTTGAGGATTGGAAAGAGATGGAAACAGGATGTTCAGTAAAGCAATTTTGACGGGAAATAAACTTTCCCCCTTCCAGACTCCAGCTGAGATGGTAAGAATTTTTCCTTTCAAGGGAATAGATAATGTTCTTAAAAACCGAGCCTATTATGAAAACTTTATATTACTGCAAAAATAGTTGCCCTGTCCACTTAGTTGTCCTATCCCAGTTGGATCACTATTTGGGAAATGCATATGTTGTGCCAAAACTTAGGGGCGTGGGCTTTGAATGCTGAGGAATACCAGGGATTGTGTTAACGTAGCTAGCCATGTTATTTATTTATTTATTTATTTAGTCAGTCAGTCACTTTATTTTTATCTTTATTTATTACATGTCTAAACCACCCTTCAGCTGAGGATCACAGGGGGATTTACAATATAAAAAACATAAAAATACATAACATATTAAGAAACAATTAAAAAATCAAAGGCTGGGATAAGAGGAATGTTTTTTCCTGGTGCCTAGAGATATGTAACAAAGGCACCACATAAGCAACCTTGGGGAGAGCATTTCACAAATGGGGAGCCACTGCAGAAAAGGCCCTCTCATGGAGGCTCTTGAAGAAGGGCAGGGTCTAGGGCAGAATCAGCCATATGTACAAAGCATTGCAGTAATCCAGCCTAGAGGTTACCAGAGCATAGACAACAGAAGTTAGGCTATTCCTGTCCAGATAGGGGTGCAGCTGGACCACTAGCTGAAGCTGATTCAAGGCACTCTGGGCCACTGAGGCCAAATGAGCCTCAAGTGACCGCAAGGAATCCAGAAGTTTCCCCAAGCTACATCCTGCTCCTTCAGAGGGAGTGAACCCCTCTCAAGAGGAGGCATCCTCCCATACGCCCGGTCTTGGGAACTGTCCACTAAGAGTGCTTCAGTCTTACTTGGATTGAGCTTCAGTTCATTGGCCCTCATCCAGTCCATTACTGAGGTAAGACCACAGTCTAGCACATCCACTGCTACATCTGCAGGTGTAAAGGAGTAGAGCTGAGTGTCATCAACATATTGTTGACAATGTACTCCAAAACTCTGGATGACCCCACTCAGCGGTTTCATGTAGATGTTAGACAGCATGGGGGATAAAACCAAGCCCTGAGGAACCCCCCACTGAAGGCCCCAAAGGGCCGAAGCATCACCCTCTGGACATGTCCCTACAAGTAGGACCGGAAACACCGTAAAGGGGTGCCACCCACCCATAACTTGGACCTCCGCTCCATGTGCAATGGTACTGAAGGTCACTGAGAGGTCAGGGAGAATTAGCAAGGACACAACTCCCCATCCCCACCCTCAAGTCCGCCCTGATTCTGTGCTGAGTACCCCTGCTGGGCGAGACCAAAGCCCCTTTCTCACCCACCCAGGCGTCCGTGATACGTTTGTTGCACAAATGGCATTCTTAGAAGGGTGTTGTGGATTGAGATTGGTGCTGGGTCACGGCTGAGACAAGAGTCTTAAATATGTAGAGCCCAAGCTGGTTGCTTGACAATTCATTTTGTGTGTGTTTTTAAAGATGCCTCTTTTCTGTCTTTTACAGTTCCCCTCATCCTCAAATACCACACTTGACTTGCTGGTGGATGTTGTGGTGGCTTCAGGATGACAGCATAGGAGGCAGCTGCGTGACTTCTGTGGAACATAATATGTATATAGCTTTGAGGTGTGTCCCCCCTTCTCCCTTGGAGGCACCAGACTAGCTCCAGAAAGAGCATTCAGAGGATCCAGCAAATCATCCTTTTCAGCCAAGAACTCATTCTAGTGTCAATATCTAATCCAAACCCCCCATTGTTGCTCCCTGGAAGGAAGCTCAGTTTGGAGTCAGATATTTATTGCTAACTGGTAATGATGTTATTTATAATTTACAGAATTTCTTATTACTTCTGACAGAGGACAATGGAGGAAGAATAAGGGAGGGATGCAGTGTATAAACTCTATATCATTGTTTAGAGACATATTTAGATGAATAACTGTGAAGATGCCACTTTCTCATATTTAAAAAACCACGATTTTGCAAGGAGACTTTCTGTACTTGTTAAGGGACCCAGAAGCTCCATGTTCTCGCTGTTGCTTATGGATGTGACATAAAAGCATTCCAGTAAAAAAACTATTTTTAACTGTAACTATGTAGCTCCTAGTAAATTATTGAAGAAAAGGAAACACTGTTTACTTGAATGAAGACACACAAAAGAAAAGGAGACACCTTTTGGTCTGTGCAAGTGCAACCCAAACCATGCATGTGTTTTGCTGCCAAATAATTAAGAGTAAGCAAGTTTACATGCCTCCTTTTAAAAAAAGGGGTCAGGCTGTTTACGTTTCAACCATTTTTAGAAAAAAAAATAGTCTCCTACCTATACCTTAGTTAGTATACTTGGCTAGTCAGATGCAAGTAAGTTCAGGTTAAGAATATGTGAGGAGGTTCACATTTAAACTTCATTCACCCTACATCTGGTCTGACTTTTTACCAAAACGTGAGGAGCAGCTTTGAGACTTCCAGGGACTTCAAGTTTTTCTTTTCGTTTTAGGCACAGGACAACTGCACCAAAATGACTACATAAAGACAGGTTATAAATTATGTTACTATAACATAATAAGTGTCTGTTCACATCTACTCCTCTGGGTATTTATTTATTTATTTATTTATTTATTTGAATAGATATAGATACAGATACAGATATAGATAATATAGATGCACATACACACGCACACTACTTAATTATAAAATGCACCCACACCCATCCTACCTGGTACTATTAGGACCTCCCTGCCAATGATGCAGGTGCAAGGCAGTGGGGAGCAGTAGCAAGATGTGGCGCTGGCGCTGTGTGTGTCACACCACAGACTAGCCTGCTGCCCTCAGGTGCCCTGGTATGTTCAATGTTTCCAGACCCAGAATCCACTTTTAACCCAAACATGCATTTGAGGACCCATTTCTTAATCTCTTGCCATGTATTTGCATGGGGGTGGTACTCCTGTTGTGGCCCCCCTTGGGTCAGGCTTCAGCCCACCAGATGCAAGATCAGGGCAGCAGATGATGATACATTGCCAATGTTAGTCAGAGTCATCAGTTAGTGCAGGAGCAAAAAGGGAGGGATACCATTGCCTAGGACAGTGCAGCTTAGGTTTAACTAAGGTCAGACTAAGCAGGGCTTCTGGCTTTAAGACAGGTGAGGTATGGAGATTGAGCTTTTTGTTCAGTCTGCAGCCTTTTTGCAACAATGCACTTATACAACATTTTAAATTACTAGCTTGAATTCCAGGGGACTGAATACCCATGAAATAAAGCAGGGTGAAGAAAAGAATCATGCCTTCTCTTTGAGGAACTACTTGAGACTGGTTCTTTATGTGGTGACACTTCTTTTCAATATTATTTGCATTTCTAGGCAAAAGCTACAGATTGCATTTTAGCTGGCTGAAGAAGAGCCTTTGTTAAACAAATGTTTGCTACAAGTTGAGTCTGTGCATGCCTATGCAGCCTAAGCACAGAACTAAGCACAACTAAGTTCAGTAACGCCTTTTTCCAAGTAAGCGTGCATGGAACTTCAGTTTTAAAAACAATTGGTGTTAAAATATTTTTATATTTTTTACAGTTTTTCGCCAAAAGAAATTAGGCTAAGGAATCGTTTTACCTTTTGATTTTTGTATCTTGCGGGCTGCTGTGCAAAAATGAGCTGTCACAGGGGCTTCTACACTACCTAGAGATTCGCAGTTTTGTGAAAATTCTCTGGGAGAGCTTTTGTTATATTTATTAGTTGCTTTTCCACAAAGGTGAACTTCAAGCAGCTTTAGAAACAAGCATTGGGAACAAGTGTAGAAACAAGAATGAAAGCAATGATAATATGTACAAAAGAGCAGGTCCAGCTCAGCCCACTCCACAAAAAATTAGCAGAAAAATAAAGCCCCAAAGCCTGGTTTTTGCCTGACATTAAAAACAGTGATGTTGCCAGGCATGTTTACCTGGAGAGAGCATTCTCGAAATGGGGAGTCACCACTGAAAAGGCCTGTTCCCATGTGACCACCTTCTTGCCTTTCCTGGCAGAGAGGTTAGTATTGCAAACTGTTTAAGGGGAAGGAGTACAAATCTCAGGACCTGGGTGGCAGCCTATTTTCTGCTTGACTTAAGAGCATTAGCCGTTTGGTCCGCCCTCCGATGCCATTCACCAGGCCCCACACCAAGGCACCTGCACGTGGGGCTGAGCTCCAGGAAAGCTGCCAACTCAAGCTGGGACAGTTGTACAAAAGGTGGAGCATTGTTTCCACTGGCCTTTGAAACACTTGTTGTTGAGTGGTAATTTGTACTTGCAGTCTTAAAAGAAGAAGAAATAAAACCACCCATTTTGGCGTAAGTAGTACAGTCTCCAGGCAGCACAGCATGACCCAGTTCTGGCTTTCTACTGAGAAAAAAAATCTGGTTTAAGTGGAATTAACTTCCAAGTACAACTGTAACTTGAGGACTTTGTCACCTTTCTGCTTTTTAAAATTGAAATTCTGAAGCCAAATGTGCAAATAATTTCACTATGAAGAGGAAACAGTAATTAGTAGTGGAGTGTTTCAAATCCTTCCTATTGTGCATATAATATTGTGTATATTATTGTGCATATTGTGCATAGGGAATCAGGCAACAGTCTGTTTTCCCAAGTACAGTACAGATGAACAGAAGTTAGAAAAAGAAGAGAAGGCACATCGATCCTCTTTGTGGGTTTCTATAGCTGAAATTTGTTCTCTATACTAAATCCTAGAAAATAAATATTGCCCCTGTATTTTGCAGGCAATAAGTATAGAGAGATTAACACGCCTGCAAATAACAATAATGCAAAATGTTGTTTATGTAATTATTTATTTTTGGAGCTGGTTTTACATTCTGAATTTGTCTTCTGTCAATGAGCTATACTTTCAGTTATACTAAGAACTGATGTAACAAAGTTGTTTTAAAAATGTGAAGCTGTTCACACTCTCCACACCGCATAATAATATAATTTTATCAGCTGGTGTGGGGTGACTTCAGCCCTGCTTTCTGCAGGGACTGGCTGTGTGGTCAAGTTCTCCATGGGGAAGTTGGTTGCACAGCCCATTCAGCTGCTTCTCCACTGTCCCCACACTTGATGCCACCTGTTATGTCAGGTGTAGGGCAGGTTTGGGGAAAACAGCCTTGTGGGCCAAGATAGGATGGGCCTGGCTAAATGTGGCCTAGGACTGAAAGTTCCCCACTACTACTCTAAACCCCTCATAGATTGTTCCCTCTAAATGTAAAAGCCTTTGGTTCTTTACTTTTTCCTCTTTGGGAAAGAGTGGCATATTCGTATTGCAATCCAGTCCGTGGCCTGTTGACACTCCCTCCATGGGAGCATATCAGTCTGAATAGTGTCCAGTATTGTTCACTCTGGCTGGCAGAAGCCCTCCAAGGTCTCCAGACACGGGTCTTTCCCAGCCTTCCTTCCGGGGCCTCCAGGGATTGAGCCTGGATCTTCCTACCTGCTCCATGCATGAGCTTGGCCACTGAGCCACGGCCATTGCTTTGCCTTGGACAAGTGCTGTGTGGCAGATTATATCCCCAGTAAAGGACTGGTGTGAAAACAGCCAAGTCCTGTCCATTTCTGAAAGGGAAAGAGAGAAATAATAAATGATTATTCTGTGCACTGCTGTAATTTGTATAATTTGGTATTCTTGTGATCAGAATACTGAGTAGCAAAAAGATAACAGTGAAACGCTGCTAAAGATACAATCATATATATATGGCAGATTGTGAGTGTGTATGAGTGAGTGAGAGAAAGAGAATGAGAAGCTTTTCATTTATTGGATGTCATTCCTGGAAGTGTCTGGTTTCTGCTACTGATTTTAGCAAATGGGGACTTGCAGGTTTGGCTATAAATTAACAATAAACTTTCTGTGATACCATTTACTGATGTGACGTGAGTGTGGCAAGAACTTTAATTTTTTGTGGATAATCTTGAAAACATTGGTGCATCACGTATGGAGTGTGTTGTGTAGGTGATCATTTACATGGTATGTAGCAAGCAGTGTCTGGTTAGGGAGCTGTGTGGAGGTTATAGGAGAAGGCAAAACCAGCATTTTAGGTTAGTGTGGTAGACTAGCAGACTGCAGCCTTTGGGATGGATGGGATTTCTAGGGAAATATCTGGAATTCCAAGTGGCTCAGAATAAAGCATGTCAGGCCTTGCATTCAACATCCCTGAATAGCTTCCATTCAGTTGAGGATGAAGCTCAGGCCCCAGAACTTTGAGGCTTGGCAGGTACAGTAGTTACCCTGGGCCCCCGACTGCATGGCCCGCTGGGTCCAGGGCCCTTATGTTAGCAGGAACTAGATTTTGAATTGGGAACTAATAATAATAATAGTTGAATTTATATATTGCCCTATACCTGGAGGTCTCAGGGCAGTTCACAGAACAAAATCAAAATATAAAACCACAAAAGATATAATAAAAATAAAAACAACCCAATAACACCCCCCCCCCCGGAGATATTTTAAAAGGGCATAGGATGTCAATCAAATCAACCAAAGGTCAGGTTAAAAAGGAACGTTTTTGCCTGGTGCCTAAAGGTATATAATGAAAGTGCCAGGCAAACTTCCCTGGGGAGAGCATTCCACAGACGGGGAGCCACTACAGAGAAGGCCTCTTCTTGTGTTGCCACCCTCTGGACCTCTCAAGGAGGAGGCACACAAATAAGGGCCTCAGAAGATGATCTTGGGGTCTGGGTAGGTTCATATGGAAAGAAGCAGTCCTTGAGGTATTGTGGTCTTAGCTGTTTAAGGCTTTATAGGTCAAAGCCAGCACTTTGAATTGGGCTTGGAAACTAATTGGTAGTCAGTGCAGTCGGACCAGGATCAGTGAAATATGCTCAAACCATCTTGCTCCAATGAGCAACCTGGCCACTGAATTCTGCACTAGCTGAAGTTTTTGAACAATATTCAGAGGCAGCCCTACGTAGAATGCATTGCAGTAATCTAACCTTGAGGTTACCAGAGCATGGACAACAGTAGTTAGGCTATCCCTGTCCAGATAAGGGCGTAGCTGGGCCACCAGCCAAAACTGTTGGAAGGCACTCCAGGCCACTGAGGCCACCTGAGCCTCGAGCGACAGAAAAGGATCTAAGCTATGAGAACCCCCAAGCTACGAACCTGCTCCTTAAGAGGAAGTGTAACCCCATCAAGAGCAGGCAGCCTTCCAGCCCATCCGGTCTAACCGTGCCTCAGTCTGATCTGGATTGAGCTTCAGTGTTGGTTCTCATCCAGTCCATTATCAAGTCCAGCATTTCTACTACCTCACCTGCAGATGTAAAGGAGAAGTAGAGCTGAGTGTCATCAGCATACAACGTACTCCAAATCTCCAAATAACCCCACCCAGTAGTTTCATGTAGATGTTGAACAGCATAGGGGATAGGATTGAGCCCTGAGGAACTCCACATTGAAGATTCCACAGGACTGACCCTCAGGGAACGACCACTCAAGTAGGCCCAGAACCACTGCAAAGCGGTCCAACCCACCTCTAACTCAGACAGCTGCTCCAGAAGGATACCATGGTCAGTGATATCAAAAGCCACTGAGAGGTTGAGGAGAATTAACAGGGACACATTTCCCCTGTCTCTGTCTCGACAGAGGTCATCATACAGGGTGACCAAAGCAGTTTCTGTGCCAAAACCGGGCCTAAACCCAAACTGAAATAGATCTAGAAAATCAGTTTCTTCTAAAAGTGCGTGGATCTGGTCTGCAACTACTCACTCCAGAACCTTGCCCAGGAAAGGGAGATTAGCAACTGGCCAGTAGTTAGTTGGATTTTCTGAGTCCAGGGAAGGTTTCCTAAGGAGCGGTTTTACCACTGCCTCCTTCAAACAGGCAGGGACCACCCCTCTCGTAAAGAGGCATTGATCACCTCCCTGGCCCAGCCAGCTGTTCCTTCCCTGCTGGCTTTTATCAGCCAAGAGAGGCAAGGGTCTGGAGCGCAAGTGGTCGCTCTGACTGATCCCAGCACCTTGTCCATATTGTTGAGCCTTAGCAACTGAAACTCATCCACCACAACAGGACTAGACTGTGCTCTGGACACCCCATGGGATTCATCTGCTATAACAGCAAAGTCAAGGTCTTGGTGGATGCAAGCAATTTTATCCTCAAAATGTTTTGCAAACAATTCACATCAGCTACTGTTGGTCCCGCCACCTCCTCTGGGTGTCTGTCTGAAAAAGTTCTGCCGGACAACAGGATGAGGATGCAATGGAGGCTATTTTGCTGTCTTCACTGCCACTAGGGAGGCTCCATAATGAGCTCTTACCAGTGTTTGGTTGCATTCATTTGGATCTTTCCTCCCCTTGCATTCAAGCCATCTCCCAGCTTGTTTCCTCGCCCTAAGCTCTGGAGTATACCAGGGGGCCAGTCGGGCTCCACAAAGTTGGTGAGAGTGCTCAGGGGCAAACATTCAGATGTCCCAGAGGTCCCAGAGCCATTTGTAATCCCACTGGATCCATCAGCCTCCAAGGGAGGACCTTCCTAGTAGGTCCCCCGTCTCTGCGGAGGGGAGAAGCTGCCAACAGCCTAAGTCTCAATGGGCTTTAGGAACAGAATTTAGGAACATTATTCCTTTCACTGAATAGCAATATTTAGAGTGCCTTCAGACTGTCACTATTTTGCAGGAGGGATTCAAGTGCATGTTGGAACTTTAGACTTGAACATTTAAAGTGAGTTAAGTGCCTGTCACCCTAGTGCAATAAATCCATGGGATGACCAGGGATGGGGAGCCACAATTTTTTGCAGTTTGCAAAGTGGCAGGGAAGTACATTGAAAAATGTGGGATGAACAGTTAACTTATGGGAAGATGTGTAAACACCCTGGAAAACAATGAAATTTAGGGTATGCAAACAGCAGCTTGAAATACAGCAAAGCCTTGCCCCCCCCCCCACCTGCCTGCTGCACTTTGCAGTGCTGTCCTCATCAGAGAGGGGTGTGAGGGCTTCTTCAGCTGACACATAAGACCTTTTGGGTTTCCCTTCCCCTGCAACCCAACCCTAGTCAGGAAGCGGTCATCTGCTCTGACTGTCTCAAACCTGGTTCAGGTACAAAGTGAATGCAGCTAAAAAAATTTAGTTGGATTGTAGCTGGGTTGAGGAAAAAATGCACCTAAAGGCAGATTTTCCTCAAGAAACTACAGGATGGATATGGATTGTGGCTAACATCATATGTATGCAGTTTCAAAAACTAGAAGAGGGAGCACACTGGATGTGGAGTAGGCAATAATGTGTGTATACCCTTAGGCTCCGTAAGGAGTGAGTGAACAAAACATCCGTGCCTCACATTCCAGACTAAATCATGAGTGGGCATAACGCTTAACATAATATTTTGTAGTACTTATTTCCATAATAACACATTTCTAAATGGTTTAATGGTTGCATATTTATGGTGTAGAATCCCAACTGTCTTTGGCAGGCAAACTTTTAAAACTTCACTGCTCCAGAGCAATTGCTTCCCTGACCCTGAACTTGCCCCACTGCCGGATGCACAGACTCATAAAGCCATGCCCTCCGCAGACACACATGGGCGGCAGATCTGCCTCTACGCATTTTGTATGTGTTGAGGATAAGGATCCCAAGAATGGGCACTGGGTTCATATTCCCATGGAATCGTAAATGAAACACGATCCCTTTAAGAGAGTTGATTCCCATTAAGTCTGTGTTGCTGCTGCCGCCCAAAGCGACCCTCTCCTGCACCTCCCTGGTTCTCAGCTGTATAAAATTGAGGTCACTAGGAGCTCAGTTTCAGAACAAGTGAGTGAGAGCTGGTGAATGCTACTTGCACACTGCTTCTCAGGAAGGCTGTGTGGGCTTAAAGAGGCAGCAGTGAAGCTATGAAGGAGCTGGTGACTTGGTTGCTCTCAGCTTGGATGGTATGGGAAGCAGTTGGGAGCACTGCACGCCTCCACAAAGCAAACAACCAGGATGGCAGATGCATCTATTCCTTCACAGTCCCCAGTGCAAATGAAGCCAGCTGCACTGACCCTGGGGAAGTGATGGCCATTATCAGGGATCTCCAGAGGGAAAGCAACAGCCAGCGCCTGGAACTGGAGTCCTCCAAAGCAAGGCTCAGTCTCCTGGAGACCCTGGTCAGCCAGCTGCATGGAAACCAAGCAGCAAGGAGTTCCTCCTCCTCTGTGGTGAGTTTGCTTCAAAAAGAGGTAGAGAGTCTGAAGAGAGAACAAGCCCAGAGGGACACACAGGTCAGCAGGTTGGAATACACCATCAGCAACCTGCTCCAAGACAAGTCTGACTTGCAAGAAGATAAGAAGTGGCTGGAGGAAGAGAGGAATGAGCTGGGAAGGAGGTTGGAGAACACCATGCAGGAGGTGGAGCGGCTGAGAGCCAGCCACTGTCCCCAGGCGGGAGAGGCACCCAGCAGGGACTCCCTTCAAGGTACTGTAGAAATTAAAGCTGCCGCCCCCCCCCCGCTCAGTCACCCTTTTTTCCTAAATCAAAATGCATGTCTTTTAGCCTTTCCTCATAGGAAGGAAGGAAGCTTCAAACCCTTCGTAATTTTAATTGACCTTTCCCAACTGCAGTGGGATGCCATTTTGTGAGCTGGAGGGGAGGGGAGGTGACCAGGCCTGCCCAGCCTCAATCGCATTTCATCTGAGGTTTTTATGGCATGTTGTTTTGTGTTCAATCTGTTTCTCAACTCTTCCTGAGCCTCTGCAGTCAGACCTCCTGGCCTAGTCCTGGATGGAGTATGTTTACTGCAATGACAGACATCTATACAAAATGTGAGTGATGGTTACTTAGAGATGAGAAATCGTGGGGCCTAGGTGCTTCTCGCCTGTCCCTGGCACAGAGCCATGTCCTTCCCACTTGTCTCCAACTCTTTCAACAGACGAAATGCCAGGGAGCATCAATGAACATTCCCATCTCACGAATGGAATAGCAGCAGCCCCAGGCATTAAAGGCTTCCTGCAAGCAGTGTGTCACCCTGTTGGTGCTGCTAAATGCCTTGTGCTTTGCAGAAAGGCCTGTCCCATTGAGTCATGTTCCCCCAGTGGTAGAGTAATCCATGGGTGACCTCAAGAAGGTATCTGAATGAGGCTAAATGGTTCTCACGGGCCTCTTTCCAGGTTTGCTTAGCACAAGGCTGGGCTTTTTACAGGCCTTTGCACCGTTGCCCCTATCACAGGGTGGCAGAAATAGGGGGGTGGGGGTGGAATGAATATAGAAACTGGGATCTGGTGTCTGTCAGGGAATATTTTTAGAGTGGGATGCCTCCGGAGCAAAAGTAGAGCATCATTAGCATTTCAGGACATATCAGTCAGCAAGCTGGAAAATAATTATGCTACTCATGAGCAACAGTTTCCATCAAGGTAGTGGGGGGTCAGGCCAAAAAGCTTATGTCTCCTTAGAGAAAGGGTGCCTGAGATTAGGAGACCTGCCAGTGACTACAGAAAGAAAAGAGAGGCCCAGCTAGCCTTTTTGTTTGGTTCTGGGGGTAGTTTCCAGAAGAGCAGATAGCTCAGTGAGACTCTTAATTTCAGGGTTGTGGGTTTGAGCCCGCATTGCCGGGGGTTAGACTAGATGACCCTCGTGATCCCTTCCAGTGCTACACTTCTATTTTTATTATTATTCGGAGTGAGGGGATAACTGAAATGACAATGAAACCACTGGAACTTCAACCGCTGCTGATTTTGTTTAATTGAAGTAAAAAATGAATGAAATCTCTAATAAGGGATTTATTACTAGCAGAAAAAAAAAAGAGAGAGAGAGAGAGAGAGAGAGAGAGAGAGAGAGAGAGAGATGAAGTACATCTGAGCGCATTTGGAGTGTGGCTGGTATCCAATGCCCTCACTATATGAGTGCAAGGATTTATGCACTAACAAAAAAATTAATGCTATATTGGACACAAGCTTAAAATTTCATCAACACCAAGTGGCCTTTCTGAGCTTCCACATTTCAGGAAGCAGCAAGGCTTCACCTCTCCTTTTTCTTACCTTGGCGGTAAGAAATAAATTGGTTTCTTGAATCCACTGCTAGTCCCTTTAAAGTGGAGAAAGACTGCTTTAAATGAATCTGGCCAAGGAAAGTGGTAGGACACCACTTGTTTGATTCAATGCCTCACAAATCAGAAGCAATGTTCAGTAAATAGCTGACATAATTTAATCTCCCCTTGAATAACTTCAGTGACCCACAAGGACTTTTGACTGCTCAGAGAACTTCTCTTCCCTTCTCTCTCCTCTCCTCCCCAGCCCTGTAGGCCTATAGCTGGAGGGGGGCTGCTCCCCTAAATTTTCTCTTCGTTTCCTATTTTCTTTACACGCAATGTTATCATCAGGAAAGCCTTTGTTTCAAAGCTCCTTGATGGCAGACTCCTCCTTTCCGTCCCCTTGGCCTTCCGGGTGTTAATTTTTCTTCTTGCCCTCTCCTTCCCTGCTTTCCTCTGCAGAGTCCAAGGGGAACACAGACACTCTGGACTACCAAGAGCTCAAATCGGAGCTGGTGGAGGTTCCTGCATCCCGCCTCTTTCAGGGAAGCCCCTCGCCTGGCCTCCCCAGCGCAGAGGGGGAAGAATCAGGTACAGAGCGCTCTTGGGCAGGGGCTGGGTTCCCTTGCTTTGCTCAGTGCTGGCTCCTGCCCATCTTTGTAGCACTAGTGAAAGAATCTCGCCCAAGACACCTTGTTTGGGACAGCCTCCCTTTCAGCCAGCTTTCCACCAGTCCAAAGTGAAACTCTCCCTTGTCAGTTTGCCCCTTCAGAAGTGCCAGCTAGTCCTGAAAAACCACCTCTGACTGCCAGACTCCCATAGATTACCTGTTTCCTTCCTTTATAAACAAACCTGGCCTGTGTGTGGAACACTACATGGAACCCCAAATCAGAGTGAGCATCTATTTGAGTCTCCATAGAAAGTTGGAGAACACATAGCCAGAAAATAATTATGGCTATTCTTCATCAGAACGAAATGTTGAAATGTTACACCCATTTAAGAACAAGAACAAGAAAGCTGATATACAAAGTCCCAAACCATTTTTTGTGGGTGAAGTGGAAGCAAAATTGAAGGATATTCACTAAATTAGAGGCAGCCACCTCCAACTGACACCACTACAAATTTATTCAGAACTTTTAAAATGAAAAGGTTTTGATTTTGAGACACAGCTTTCTCATGCAGTTTCAAAACCTAGGGGAACTTATCTCTTATTCCTCATTCTCTATCCCATTGCTAAGTAGAATAATCAGCGGCAAGAGGCAGAAATTCCCAGATTCAGCCTTTCCCAACTCTCTAATTATTATTTTTTGTATTTTGGGGGAATTTATATCCAGCCTTTTGCATACATTTTTAAGTAGCAGGAATGAGAAAGAGGCCTTGGAAAACTGCTGGCCGTGAAAGTAGAATATATATATATATTTTAAAAAACCAGTATTTGTTTTAATGATGTTTAAACATGGAGATTCTTGAAATATTAAGCCATTTAATAGATAACCCACCCAGGTTGGTCTAAGGCAACTATAGACATCCATTCATGCTCTCCACTGGTAAAAAGATGACTGCCTTCCAAGTTAGAGTGATCACCTGTGGATGCCGTCTGGTACAGAGGCACAGCCAGAGGTTGGCAAAATGCTCTCTTTGTGGGTCTGACCCCCAAGCTACAGTTGGGGCAGAATTCTTCAGCCCAATTACCAACACCCAGCTGGCTCAGAGCTCTGCACTGGCTACCGATTTGCTGCTGGGCCAAGTTCAAGGTATTATTAGCATATAAAGCCCTTGAACGCTAAGGGAGCAGTTTACCTACGAGATTAACTTCCCCCACATGCTCCCACTTGACGGCTTCGATCAGTGGAATTGACACGTAGCACCTCTTCCCCATTGGTAAGAATGTGATTGTTGAGTGTGGCAGCACCTGCACTTTGGAACCCCCTTCCTACAACATTCCTCTTAGAGAAGCCTGCTCAGATGCTTAGAAAGTTGAGGTAATTTTAATCTGTTTTAGTGTTTTAAATTTTGTATGATTTAAAGCAGGGTTGTAAGCTTCCTTGATTTTTTACTTTTTACAATCAAGTGGTGTATAGATTTTATGAAGCAAGCAAACAAATGTATAAAATGCCTTTGGATTGGGGCACACGGTAAAATAGCATATTTGAAGAGTAGTCCCCCTCCCCCCCCCCAATCTCAAGTTCAAATTCTGCCGTAGGGTGAAGTAACTGGCTTACTTATTTCCTGGAACAGGCTGTGGAGTGCTCATATCAGTTGGTGAACCAGTGACCTTCCGCAGGGCAGAGACCATTGCTGGCAAGTATGGCGTGTGGATGAGGGACCCAGAACCCATCTCTCCCTACAGCCGAGAGACAACTTGGAGAGTTGATACCGTTGGTTCAGATGTCCGCCAAGTCTTTGAGTACAACAATGTGGATCAGTTCACCAAAGGCCACCCTTCCAAAGTACATGTGCTGCCCCGATCTATGGAGAGCACTGGAGCTGTTGTTTATCGGGGTTCCCTCTACTTTCAGATGCGCAAGTCTAGAATAATGGCAAAATATGACCTGAAGACAGAAGTTATTACGGTCCAAAAGGAGTTACCCAATGCCGGCTACCACGGACAGTTTCCCTACTCATGGGGTGGATATACAGACATTGACTTTGCAGTTGATGAGATGGGGCTGTGGGTAATTTACAGCACTGAAAAGGTAAAGGGGGCCATTGTGCTTTCTAAACTGGACCCAGAGACCATAGAGATTGAACAAACATGGGAAACCAACATCCGCAAGCAGTCAGTGGCAAACGCCTTCATGATTTGTGGCTCCTTGTACACCATCAGCAGCTACTCATCCCCTGAGGCCACTGTGAATTTCATCTACTCCACTAAGACAGGAACGAGTGCACCACTGAACATCCGCTTTGAGAACCGCTACAGATACAGCAGCATGGTAGATTACAATCCCACAGAAAGAAAACTCTTGGCTTGGGACAACTTCAATATGGTTGCCTATGATATCAAGCTTTCCAAGATGTGATCTGCTTGGGGAGAGTGGGAAGATGCCACCTGCCAGCGAGGCTCATTTCCAAGGGAAGCCTGGAGCAGGAAGTCCACATAGCCACCATTACTTTGACTAGTTACAATATGGGGCACACAAATCATGCCAAAGTTCTCCTGACCAAGCTCTACTGAGGGAGGAGGAGCTTTGTGCAAGCTCACCCCTGTGCTTGGTGGCTGTGCTCTTGTGCAGCTGCTATTCATTTCAGTGGAGTTTAGGAAGGAGAACCTCCCATGGATTGTACCCCAGTTCACTGCCCTTGATGGGCAGCCACTGCCATTTGCTCCAAATGTCTCTGCACAGTGTAGTCTTTCCTAATTAGACCTGGAGCACAAATGCATGCAGCCTTCAAAATGACACAGACCCATTGCCTCTGGAGCTCTCTACTTAGCCTGGCCATAGGATTCAGCACTGTTGGTTGACAAGCAGGACTGAAGTAATCTCTTTCGCTCTCTTCTGTGGACCTGACAATGGTTCATTCATTACATAAGTGTAAAGTTGCCGTTATTATATTTGGCTTCATTGTAAAGCCCAGCTTGCCTATAACAGCCTGGTGGCTGCCTCTTCACTGCAGAGAACTTAGCACCACTTTGTGGTGGGGAAGGGGCTGCTTAACCCTTTCTCGCCCACTTCTTTTTGCCTGAAGCTTGTCTTAAACTGCTTCCTCCTGGCAGGTCAAAGTTCCAGGTTGAAGTTTTCTGTGTGTGTTAGAAACAAACAGGGGTCCAGTGTACTGGTGTAGTAAAAGCAACTGAGAGACATTTCAGAGGAGTAGAATTTGTCAGAATTATAAATCTAAGAAGTGCAGTAAGTGAATAAAAATTCAGAGCAGTCCATGCCTGCAGGCTTGCAGTCTAAATTCCATTTGGGTTTGCAAGGTCTGCTGAGACTGAGGAACCTGTGACCCTCTAGATGTTTTTGGACATGCAGCTCCCATCATCCCTGATGGTCAGGGCTGGAGACAGGAAGAGGTCAGCAACAAAACAATAAATCATCTGAGGCCAGTGAAGGAAACAAACCACAGCTCTTGCCCAGTGGCCTCGGCAACTCTTTCTAGGAGGTCAGTTGCAAGGACTGAAGGTCCCTGCCTTCCCAGTGCCCACTAGGACTTCTCATCTCCAGGGTCTTTCCCACACAATGTCAGGCTGCATCTGCGCACCACGACACCTCTCCTCTGCCTGTTTCATTGCTCTGCGTGTTCTAGGATACCAGGGGTGAAGGGAGCTGGTTGCAGCAGCAGGAGACTCCTGTATGGAAGTCAATAAACAATTAACCCTCCAACCAGTCTTATCGGTGCAGTCATTTCTTTTCTGCAATGTTTCTTGAGGCACTCTATTTGCTATACAGCCCTTTCCCCAAAAAACTAATGGGGTGTGCCTGGCACTGCCTGGGACTTCTTAGAAACAACAAAAAAAGGTTCTTTTTAAATGAATAGTGCAATTTGTGGTTTGAGACCCATCACAACAAAAATTGGGTGAAGTCACACCAAACTCACATTTCAGCCTGCCATATTAATTCAAAATGGCTCTTGGCATCCAGACATCAACAGAGACACCCCCACCCCAACCTCAGGAACCCTCATGCTGAGTTTGGCAATGATATCTAGAGTGCCAGTTGAACCTATGTCAAAAAATGTGCCAAGTCATGCCAAAGTGATGTTTTGGTTTGCCATCTTCATTCAAAGTCATGCCTAGCATCCAAATAATGACGTCGTCTGACATCCCACCTTGGTAACTATTGCGTCAAATTTGGTGAGGCATCTGAACATATAGAGACCAAGCAAAAGGACAGGCAAATCACTGAACTCTCTGCTGTATGTATGCTTTGCATTTGAAGCCTGCTAGGGATCTGGTGGAAGCCTGTACTTTATGTATTTAGTGAAACTGCCTTAATGCTTTGGACCTGTCAGTAAAGGACGGAACTGAGTGAAAAGTTGGAGTCCGACTGTATTTCTTCCAGCACAAGATGCACTGCCACGAACCTACACGCTTGGAGGGCTGCACACATTTGGCACATGCCATATGTCAACAGTGTGCACTGTAAAGCCTGCTTGCCACTCTCTTGATACTCTGTCAGTTACTGTGCTGCTGTCCTGCGTTTGACTTAACTAAGTGTCCCTATGAGGACAGGAATGTTGTCTTCTTTGTGCCACATCACAGGTTTTGAAAGAAGCAGCTCCTTGCTACTAGGGGTGATGAGTTTTTGCCATTTGTCCTTCCACTCATCTGCCCACACCATGTATTTACCACTCGCCTCCAATCCCTGATCTGCCTGGCAGCACCTATTTGCTCCTAGGCTCTTCTGAATCTCAGCCTCTCACTGCCCTAGGATATCTGACACTCCTTTCTTTAATACCTATAGCAAGAGAGCATTAATATGCTTTTGTTCTGATGGAATTAACCTGGCAACGCCTTCATAAAAACTAAGAGGGCTTATTACACAAGCGTGACATCATCAAGGACTCCTACCTATCCAATCAGATTGAAAGACTGATGACAAATCCACACATAATGGATCAGGATGGACACCAGGCCTGCTCTGAAGCATCTCTGCTGAAGTTAATAGAATTTAACATCTGAACTACAGCGACGTGATGTGATGGTGGATTTAAAGGGCATCCAACAACAGTCCACCTGTGACAGAATTTTGACACTGCAGTGAGTTGGGGGTCAATTTGCAAGTGCATTTGTTTTAGAGGTGCCATATTTCAAAAAGTGAAAATCTGAACACTAAAGTTGTTGGCCTTTTTTTGGGGGGGGGGTGTTGCAAAGCTGTTGAGCTTTGACTACAGTAAAGTGGTTCAGTCACGCAGCCTTCTGTTTAGTTTCTCTCTCTGTGTGTGTGCAATGTGCTTGACCAAAGGCCCCATGGAAACAAGTTTTGAAGAGGGATTTGAAGGAAGCGAACAAGGGGACTTCTAGGCACAAGGGACAAAAGATCCTTGCAGATGTCTCAGGATGGCGCTGGATAAATTGTTTTGGATGAGAGGGTGTCGAGAAAGGGGCAAGGGACAAATCCAGGGAGGGTTCTGAATACAAGGATGTGTTTGTACTGTGCCTGGAATGACAGACATCCTCAGCAGAAAGGCAACTGGACGTGAGAATGTATGCTACTCTGATTTGCTGTCTTTGGAGCAGGTGTTTTCTACTTACAGCAGTTAAGCATGTCTTTATTTACAGTAATCATAATCATCCATTTTAGGTTCTAAACTTCATTTAACAGGCAGATATACCTATACTGTGAGAGGAGGCTGCAGATGTGGGATGTCCTGAAATGGTCAAAATCACCCTGAGAGTCAAAGCCATGGCCTGCCAGGACTCCTGCGCAGGTCTCTAGAAGCAGGGGCCACGCAGTGCAGGTTTACTTAGGTAGACTTAGGAGAGACAGTGTGGCACAGCAGAGGACAGGCTCTTGCACTGATGAAACAGGGGTTCAAATCCCAGGCTAGCTTGGCCAAATTTTAGTTAGTACCCAGCCTGTAAAGTGAATTGATTAGAGTATTTGTAAGTGCAAATTCCAATAAGATAATTACTATATACACACAAAATCTATAGAAATTGCTATAAAAACTAGCATGTGACTGTTCAGTACGCCAAACTGGGCAGGGTGCCTTGGCACTGGCCTAACTCAAGTAACACTTGTGTTTTGGCAAAGCAGCTAAGCTCAAGTTCCAGCCGCTTGAATGACTCGTTTCCCACTCCACAGGTCAGGCATCAATGGACTATCACCCAGCAGCACAGAGGGATGGATGTGAGATGTTTTTGCATGGCTCCATCAAGTCCCTGCTTTTCAGATGCCTCTCCTGCTTCCCCCAGAAATGTCCACAACTCATCCCCTCCTGAGCCAGGGGAACAACCCTGCAGATGCCAGTGCCACTCTGCAAGGTTTCGCCAAGGTCTTCCATGCTGTCTCAGACAGGGCTGCATGCAGCAGCTCTCAGACAACTGGGTATTTTCCACCAATGACCAGAGCCTCATTAACCCATGCTCTCCAGCCTGTGCACGAAGAAGTCGAAACATCACCTGTCCTGAAAGATGTCTCTGTTCTCCCCCATTGTGGCTTACATGCCGGATAGATGGGAGTGGCACACCACCTCTTGTAGGCAGCTGGGCTGCGCACTCCAAAGACCCTGCGTGCAAAGCAACTGATCTAGCAGAGCATCAACCGACACCTGGAAGCTGCGCAGTCTACTCCCTTGATACAAGAAGTCTGAACCCCACATGCCAACATGGATGCTGTGCTCCTTCTCTTCCAATACATTATATCATTTACTCATCACCTGTTTCCTCGAGCCATTTGCAAAATGAAGGTGGCCACCGATTCTCTAATAATGTGCCACCAGTTCTTGTTGCTGTGTATCCAAGGGAACAAGGTTCCCCACCTCATGTGGAACAGCTAGCCCAAATTGACCGGACTCCCACACCTGCTATTCCAGACAGCTACCTTGCCTTTTCTGGGCAATAGGAATGTGTGCCAAGTTTGAACAGGGCTGGCCTTTCCAGGGCATCATAAATTAATGGTCATTGCATTAGATCTCTTTCTTGGTCTTTTCATATTTCCTTCCTCTCTCTCCCTGTGACCTTGGCTTTTGTCATGCCTCTCTTTTGCTTTGTATGTCTGAGCAACATCACTGCAGAATGCACCTCCTCTTATAATATAGGTGGGTGAGCTGACTTGCAATAGTAATTTCTTACAGCATTTATCATGGATAAATTTGCTGATCTAGCTATTCTACAGTACTCTCGAGTAACTGCAAATTAATTTAGTGCAAATTGTTGTGAGTTAAGAACCACTATTTTTAATCAATATGTTGAGGACTGATATTCTGGCTTCTTTTTATGGACCACATTTCATAACTTTACATCAAACAGGAAAGAACCTGAAAGGCTTCTAAATTAAAACTGAAATGCTATTTGTTCCCGGTGGCCAAAGTCAAATGAACGTTGTACAGCCTGAGCTTTCTTTGTGCAGCAACCACAAGCTGCTTTTCCAACTTAAAAGAGCCCAAGAACACATCTAACAACTCTAGCTGAAGAGTTCAATCTTGAAAGAGATGCGTAACTTCCATCTTCAGCAGTTTCCCCTTATTGTTTTCATCTCAGTCTGAAATTGCACTAAACTGCTCCATTTGTATCTAACTAGCACATTATAGCTCTGATACATTAAAGGAGGTGCCAGGTGCTGCTTTCAACCCAAACTCCTATTCTAGGTAGCCAAGTAACACTTCCAACTTTAGCACCTGCAATGCAGACTTAACTCAGGACAGTCTCCTCCAGCTGCCTCAGAAGCAACTAGAGAATTCCAGCTGCCTTGGGTCCTCGTTAGTTTCCAAGCCTCAATTCAGGGTGCAGGTTTTAATCTTTAAAGCATTTTTTGGCTTGGGATTAGGGGACCCGAAGGGGTACTTGTCTCCATATGAACCTGATGGTGTTCTAAGTTCTTCAATAGAGGTCATTCTTTAAAGGCGAGGTGGGTGGCAAAGCATGACATTCCCAGACACTTTATGTAGAGAATATTTTTTATTAGTTTCTGTAATCAAACCCATGTAAATAAGACCTTACATATTTAATACAGTGTTACCCCTGTACAAATGAAAAAAAAAGTTTAAACATTTCTAGACCAATATGGCTGTTAATTTCTGTACAATGCCAACTCACAGTACAAGTGGATATCTTTTCCCCAAAGCTGACATCACAGCTAAGTTTCCAAAAATTCAAATTATAATATTTATATAAAAAGATAACCAATAGCATTTCACTAGGCATCAATAGCAGCAACAGACTTTTCCAGCTTCTGCTGTCATCTGAACAAAATTATACACATTAGACTTTTAGCTCACTCTTCGTTCCAAAAAAATGTTGGGAAGGGGAAGAAGAAATTCTCAGAGAAAACAGTCAATTCTGCAATTGCTATGGTACGTGGTGCTCTCTTATTAACTTCCAATCATTGCCTGAAAAAGTCTTCAGTAACGTCATTAAAACAGCTCTACTATAGCACAGTCACAACTACATATAAGCAGGTATGGAGTATTTTACATTCACAGAAGTTATCATACAGTACTCTCCTACAGCTATACTACTAGAAGGATACAATTAAGAAGGCATTATTTGACTTGATTCTATTTCCCAGCACACAGTGAGCAGGAAGGAGTAGCTTTGATATAAGAATGCATTGTTTCAGAGGATGCTGTCTTGCAGCAGGTTACGTGCTTGTTGCTCTATACAGACATAAGCTGAAAACAGTTTGAAGGCCAAAGGATTCCTTCCCCCAAGTACTACTGAGCCAGAGCTCAATGTGACTGGCAATACAACTCCTAAATGGGAGTATTCTAAACTCTGCACTTTTGGTATGAACATGGGAGTCAATTCGCATCTTCCCAGTTAATTCAGCACCATATCAAACCATAGCAGCAGCTATAGCCTGCCTTTTAGGGATATCTGATGTAGAGCATCACAGAATGAAGTGTGTGTTGGTGGGGAAAATGAGGAAGGCTGAGGGTAAGTTGCTCCGTGTGACTTATCAATTGCCTTAAATTCTCTTGTTTCATTATTAAATAACAGCATCCTCTTAGGACCCTGAGCAACAAAAAAACCAATTTCATTTCTGTCCAGCATAGCCTTCTTCAATCTGCCTTTCTTTTCAAAATGAAACAGCAAACAGAAGAGCATTTACCACTGGTTAATAACATGCTTCAGCAGCATTATTTTTCATTTTGCATCCTCAGAAAAACAGGTGCCCCTATACAGACAGATTACGCTCAATTCATGTGGTGGCCTGGAAGCTACAAGCCCCAAGTTCTCCAGACCTTTAAAGCATGTTACCATTCATGTCTGCCAAGGCTAATTAGCAACTGTGTCTATTTATGCCATTCACAGCCTTGAAGGGACATGCTTTGCCCTTTGGCTACAGGTTTTGCCAGTGGCATTTCACTCCCCAATTGAAAGAAATGGGCACAACACTTAGGATTTTGTTTCCTCTGTCTTGATAGCCTGAGGTTTGATTGGTCCCGTTCTAACAGGCTTGGGGGCTGTTGTGGGTGCAGGGCTTGGTTTCTCCGCCACTTTGTCCTGACATACTCCTCCTGGGGAGGAGTCTGCCATTGCCTCAGCCGCTTTACTTCCACTCTCGCTCACTTTCTGCATTTTGCTTCCAGGTGGCTTGGCCTGCTGCTGTTCAGAGAAGAATCTCTGTGTTGACTGAAGGACTTCTGCTCTCTGCTTTGCCTTAATAAGAAAGAAAGTGGGTTAAATAAGAGCACATGCCTGAAAGAAACTACTTATTCAGTGTGTTCAGGATCTGAGGGATTCAGAGTTCTCCTGGTAGTGCCTACAATAGTAACTCACACACCTTGAAATTTATTCCACAATGTAGTTTGAATGCCAAGACAAAATCATTTCTTGTCATGCCTGGCATTTTGAATTTCTCTGGAGATCCAGTGAACCTGCAGTTCTCCAGATGTTGATAGGAGTTGTCATTCAACTCCCTAACCTAGAGCCTACTAGTAGTACTACGGGAATTAAAAGGAGCCGGAGTGACATTTAGGTCAGTCCCCTTGCGCAAGCCATGACCGTGCTTCTTCCTCTCAAACACATTCCAGTTTGTGGTAAGCAGAAAGGCTACAAACACCACCAAAGTCAAGGCCAAAAACGCAATGAAGAATACACTGTATTTCCACCTTTTTATAAAGTCAACCTGAAGGCTACAGTGCCAAAAACATGTCATCAAAATTTATACAAGCATGTGGTAAGAATGGAATGTGACCTGCACAAAGATTAAAAGCAAGGATACAGAAGTATAAAAGTACAGCTCTGCATACAAGTCAAAAACTTCAGATGCTGACTTCATAAATTATAAATAATAGTAGTATGTCAGCATGTGTAAAAACTCAGTGCAATCAAGAAAATAATCAATAATCTTCAGTGAAGTTCTATAGACCCTTCAAATGCCAAACATATTTTGGCTTGGTCAGATTTCCTCAGTGGCAGATGTTCTTGTACACAAGTTCTACTGTATTTATGAGTCTAACGTGCTATTGAATTTAATGCGCACCTCAATTTTCAAAACCTTGAAACAAAAAAAAGGTATTTGCTCATGAATTTAATGTACATCAGCAAAAAGTGCACTCTTTACAACCATTTGGACTCTTTATAACAACAATACAAAGCTGAAAATGAATGAACAGCAGCTAAAATCTTACGTCCCCTGCCTGCCCTCCTAATATTCTTATGTGGGCCCCTTCTCCAGTCTTCAGGGAATGGCTGGAAGGCAGAAAAAGGTCCTCCTTTCCTTCCACTCTGCAGACAGGCTCTGGATTCTCCCTGCACCCCCTTTCCTTCATAATACATCTAATTTTCTAGCACAACAACTAACACAACACAGGCCTACACAACTGATGGCAGAGACACTCACCTTGAGTGTACAGTTCACACAAACCTAAGACACCAGTGTCCCTCAATGTTTCCCCTCTACAAATGTTCTCTGATGGCAAGGAACAGCTTGCCTCCATGACACGCAGAGAGAGAAAGACTGTGTGTTAGTGAGGAAGCCAAAAGCGGGGACATTTAACTAAACAGTCTTAAAGGCATTTCCAAAATCATGCATAGAAGGTGTATTTGTCTCTGGGCCAGAGCTTGGATGCCCCAGCCCTCACGGCCAATAGGGACAGCCCTAGGAGTAGCAGGACGGGGCTTGGAGGATGCTGTTTACTGCCTCCCCCCCGTCCTCACTGCCAATAAAACTGACAAAAAATGGGGTGTCCCTAAGAAGAGGCACTCCTTTATTTCGTTTTTCATTTCCAGCAAAAATTTTTTGCAAGTAACACTTACCACTTATAGAAGTTTAAAGACTATTTCCCACAAAGTTCTGTTTCTCCAAAGCATGGTTTGTAAGGATGAATGACTAGCAACTCTCTCCTGGTCTTAGGCTTCTGGGAGTTGGCTTATTGAGATAAAATACGCTTTCTTTAGTGAGCAGGCAGTGTTGCATTTTGCAGCGGCTGCCCACTACTGATGACCGTTCCACCTCCTTTTAACTAAGGAGGTTGGAGGAAGAGAACACAGACTGAGTAGTTCATTTCCGTCTTTCTTTTTTTAAAAAGACGCTTCTTTTTGCAATGTGCTAATGAGGCAAAGCAGCCAGGATTTGTGTGCTGCTTTCTTTGCCTTGAAGGGAAAGGATGAGCGTCCAGCAGCAGCAGCTGCTCTAGGACTGGGGAAGGAAGGCTGGCTTGGCTAAGGGGCATGAGGGGACCAATCTTCTTCTTCTTCTTCTTCTTCTTCTTCTTCTTCTTCTTCTTCTTCTTCTTCTTCTTCTCCTCTCTCTCTCTCTCACTCACACACACACACACACACACACACACACTTTTTGGGGGGTTTGAGGCTGGGAGTGCAAGGAGGGAAGTCTGCACGTGAGAGAGGGCTACTGTTGGCCACAGCCGATTGCAGCTCATGGAGCTCTGAGCAAGAGGGAGGCTGCCGAAAGATGAAGCAGCAAATCTGGTGGCGGGGCAGTTTCGTCTGACAAGAGGGAGGAAGGGAGGAGAAGGTGGCCGCGGTGGCAGCAGCAGGGGGTGAGAGGGTCTTGGGGCACCTTGGCAGCAACCACAATGTCTGAGGATCAGGCGCCTACCACTGGCATCCCACTGCTGCCTCTTCCGTGCGAGCAGCCCTCTACTGCTAGGGCTCAAGAGTCACTGCCTCGCGAGAAAAACATAAGAGAAAGTGGCTTGGTGCCAGTGGACTTTGGGTAGCAGGGGGGAAGACAAGCCTCCTGGAGGAAGTCAAGCTGCAGGAGGCCGATGGCCTGCAAAACTACCCTATTTGCTTGGATGTAATGTGCCACAGAAACTAATGTACACCCTGATTTTTGCAACGCAATTTGGCCAAAAAAGGTGGGTATTAGATTTCAGTAAATATGCACTTGATCTTAGCCAAAAGGCCGAGAAGCGATAGATTTGAGTAAACATGGTATATGCATGAGCTCAATGTATCACACTTGTTGCTATCTTCCATCTGCAAAAATTTGCGACATCTTTTTCACAGGAGTAACATTTGATTATTGGGTTGCACATTGTAATATTCGTGATTTTGCAAGGGTCAAAATCCATTTTTCTCACATGCTTGTATAAATATTGCAAACACTTTCTTGGAACTGTAGCCACTAGGCTGACTTTACTAAAAGGTAGAAAATTTAAATATACCGTTTGAGTTTAAAGAGAAGTCAGAATTACACGCAAACCACCTGAGAAGATTATAATACCACCAGGGCTTGCCAAGAGGAAAGTCTCTTCTCATACCCTTCCACCTAAAGGTTGTGTGATTAAGCTGCAGTTAGTCACAAGCATCATAAAAAATTCTGCACAATCAGACCCTGCAAATAATTTTACTCAAGAGAAAAGGATTCTGCTTCCATGAAACAGGCATCCAGTTCATTGTATAGACCTGGAAATTAAGGAGAAGGAGGGGTGGACAACAACTGAAAGTGCCATTTCCTCTTCACAATTCAACTGTGCATTTCCACAATTTTTCAAGATGGGATATGGGATCCCTGAGCATTATCATCGGAAATGGTAACTGGAATTGAAAAAGCATGCATGCCTGTAACAATTCAAAGTATCTTTTTGTAGCACAAACTTTCCAAATGGTATAACAATGTCTTCTTTTAAACAAAATGATAGATGGTAACATGGCAACGGGAAAGGCTTTATTCTAGGTATCATTACACCTGGTTATTGTTGGCCCTGCATAGGCAAACTCAGCCCTCCAGATGTTTGGGGACTACAATTCCCATCATCCCTGACCATGGTCCTGTTAGCTAGGGATGATGGGAGTTGTAATCCCAAAACATCTGGAGGGCCGAGTTTGCCTATGCCTGTTGTTAGCCTTCCTCAAGTCAAATATATATATTTAAACATTTTCTCCAAATGTAATAATGAAAACTTTGGCTGAGAAAGCTGCTACTTGCCTTGGGACAGAAAAAGGACAGCAATGAGAGCAAAACAATTCAGGTGGATGTTCACTACCATCTGCAGTATATTTGCCCTACATGATCTGGGACACAGGTTATCTAAAGAACCACCTTCTCTCACTTGAGTCTTTCTCAGAGGTCCTCCTCCAAGATAGGTGACTTTGTGACTGTGTTGTCAAATATGTGGGACTCCAAATCCAATGTCAGGCAAATATATTTTTATTTGCCCAAGCCTTCCAATATGTGATTGAAGATGTTTTTAACTGGAAATTTATACTGATTCTAGTTTAATTAGTCTGTTATGTTTTTACTGGTCCTACTGATTTAGTAATTTAGTTCTATTGGGATTTGATACTGTTTTTTCTTGTAAGTTGCCTGATAAGTTTTAATTTTAATATTAAAACTTAACAACATATGCACTCCTCCCATCCACCCTCAAGCCAGCCAACCATAATTTGTACAAATAGCAGAACTCATTTATCAGAGGCATTGCCTATTATACTGACCAAACCATTTGAAAATCACAAAAACCCTGTAGATTGTCTCAGGGAACCACTCTTTTGTCCTTGTACACAACTGAAAATAATAAGGAAATTCTGTCCTTTTTAACAATTGATTGGGTGCACTGATTTCTGAGTTCATTTAATCTTATGGTATCCCCACACAGCTCACATTGAAAGGAAAGTGTCTTGTTTCGTTCAGAAGGGTCTCCAAGTGCTCTTCAAATAATGTCATGCAGTGAAATGCAGCTATTGATGGGAGATTCTAGCTATTTAATAACGGTTTTGTACATTTAAAATAAGAGAAAGGCAAAGGGAATGGGTGCAATCCACCAGGCAGCGGACTGCAATAAAAGCAGGCAAACCCTTAAGCGTTGAAATCACATTCCCTGGGATTGTGCTTTTACTAACATGTGCTACCTGAAATCAATATTTGGGTTTATATTCTCTGTGGCCACTGCAGAAAGGGGTATCTGAAGGATCGAGAGGCATTTTAATAGTAGTATTTTGCCTTGCAAGCTGTTAAGACTGAACTGTGGTTAACACAGCATGGCCATCCAAAAATACTAACCTTCATGTCTTGTTCAGCCTTCATCGCAGTCTGGGCCTGATTGCCTCTGACTCCAGAGAGTGATCCACAAGGACCCCTGGCCATATGTGGCAAACGAGGGTGGCTCATAAGGCCTGTGGTCATCTGAGGTGGCATCTGACTAGCCAGTGCCACTGGCGGCCTCTGAACAGGCGCTGGGAAGGTGTTAGTATGTGGGGCTCTTACCAATGGAGGGACCAGGTTAGGCTGAGAGAGGATCTAAGTGGGGGAAAAACAACAACAAAAAGAGAGACATTTAGCTGTTAGCATAATGCCAACCTGATCACATGGTGGCTTCTCTGCAGAGAGCACGCCTCTGCCACCAATCAGTGCCTTGTGGTGGGTGCATTTTTTCTATTCAGATTGGCCATGTTTGGAGAATTCTAGGGGGGGGGGGGAGAAACTTAAGGTAGGAAGTGTGCTTAAAAATTGTCTTAGCACATTTGAAAACCAAAAGGGGGGAGGGGTTCCTCAAAATATATGTCAAGGATGCAGGGATTGGCAACAGATAGGTTTATGTTTTCAAACAGAATCTGGCAATCTCAAATTTGAAGTGCAACATACAAGACATTTTTAGAATCAAAAGTACACACCACATGTCTCCATATCATATACTTTATAGCAACAGCACTCTGAAAGTACTCCCCCTTTTAAAGGATGCTCAATTTTTTATTTGTAGCTAACTATTTTGAAGACTGCCTTACAGCTGCATTTCAGGTAAGTGGCTAACAGCACACAATTCACCAGGAATTTCTGTACAAGCACCAATAAAATGAGTAGAGGTGGAGGCATATGCAATTCTCAGCAGAGCCAGCACAGGAGACATTCCTGTTGTATTGTGCACTTGATGATGTCTGCTTTAAGCCGCACACTGGGACCCTTCTCTCAGACACTATTTTCCCCTCTCCCTTTAAATGTTTAACACTCAAATGTAGCAAGAGCTGTGCGGAGAAGCCTGTGGTCACCTGCCTGCATTAGAGCTGTCCAATCTCTCAACTTTAGGAGCACAGATGTTACTGAAAACAAGATACAGAATGTTTATATATATTTGATTTATAAATTATTTAAGGAAATATTTGATAGATATTCCTGCATATAGGGGTTCTTCCATTTGAAATAAGCTGAAGATAGAAAATCTCAGACCACTGGCAGTATAGCAGCTGCTGCCCACCTGGGGTGCAAACTGAGGAGGAAATGGTTGCGTCATTCTCACAGCTGCCGACTGAAACTGCTTCTGGTAGACGATGGTATTCATTTTATTGGCCTGACTGTTCGGACTTGTGGAAGCAACCCTTAAGAGAGAAAACATTTTAAGTAAGTTAATATATTGGATATCATAGGCACCAGAGAAACCTTTTGTTACACTTTTCATGTGCTACCTTGAATCCAGAAGAAAACTGGCCATTATTTAGTAAATGCTGTTTGTAGCGAACACAAGGAAACAGGAGTTTATTGTACAGCAATATGAAATAGAGAGATGCTAACATTAAAGCTCAATTTACTACCACCACCCCACACAAAGGGAGAAATGAAGCTTAACTATAAATTGTGGTATTCTGAATTCAATAGGCAGTGCACAATGTCTCTAGAAACCCTGTAATACAGCAGGAGGATTTAACACTGTTCTGTTCTTTCAAACAGAACCATGAGACCTTTGCTTTCTTCTGGCACCCAGCAAACATTCCTATGTGATACTGGTAGTTTAATCTCCTGAGCTGCTGCCACACCTGACAGGGGTAATCACTATAGCTAAATGCTTCTATTAAAAATATGTCTTCAGATTTTGGGAAACTCCCAAATAACTCTCAGCCAGGGGCTTTATTTTAAGGGAAGCACAAAACTTAGCTTTCCAAATCATCTTGTTTAGACTTCCACTGATTTTGTGCTCAGTACTGCTTTCAAAATCAATCTCCAGCTCTGATCAGGATCCAATGTACTATGAAGCGAGTTGTGTTAGCCCTCAAAACTGAGAGGGGAAAACCTGAATGGGAACCTGCTTTTAAAGCTGAGGAGAATTTCAGTGGTTTGGTACGGTGGTCAGCATTTCAAAGGGGGAAAAACATTCTAACGGATGAGTGCAAGCTTATTGTGTGGGCCGAAGCATATTATCTGGTCCCCAGACTTCTATGTTTTGATCTCTCCTCTCAATTTGTGTTCTTCAAGTAAGCATTTAAAATAATACTAAAAAGAGTCTTACAAGTCACCTTACTTTTCAATTTGAGTAATATGAGTGACTTTTGAGTAATTTGAAACCCTAAGTACTGGCTGTAGCTCAAATCTGCAAGTTCTTCCCTCTCCAACTGAAGACCAAATACTACCTGGCACTAATAAGAAGCATTTCTTCTTGCTCTGTTATTGCTGAATCCCTAATATCGCATAGATAATATTGGGGCTATGTAGAAAAATGTACAAGGAAATGAAAATAAATTCTAAGGAGCACTCTTCATAAAATTCAGAACATTTAATCAAATAGCAGTATTCACTGACATGAGTACAGTATCCAAATTCATAGTCATATTGATTGTTGTCATATATATATGAAACACAATCCTATGGAAACACACCTGTGCAAGCTCTGCTGAAATAAATGGGAATTGGGCAAGTATGCAGTCATTCTGTCTTCATATTTCCTGCAAAATAAATTGCCCTGTTTCCAAATATGTTTCCTTTTTCATCTCAGTCCTGAGCAGCTCAGTTAGTTGAGCCCTCCAGCCACACAATTACTGACACTGTCTCCTTACTACAAAGTAGAGGAAATACCAAAAAGCAATCTGAAATGACTGACTGCAAAAAGAGGCCAGAATGCCTGTTAATGGCTTAATTAAAACATAAATATTCCACGCCAGCCAACCCATTCCCACATAACACCCATTTATTACATTCACTTAATTTTTTTTAAAAAAAAATATAACAATATTTTAGCAGTTTTAAGATGGGAGGCGTGGTCCATATTCAGTGTTGTTAGAAGCATGTCCATATAAAATATCATGGCCCAAGTCAATGTTCTGCACAAATCTTTCTCCAAACTGCATTAGCCCTTATTTATTAAACATTTCTATGCCACTTCACAGCTGCCTACCAGAGTGGCACCCTTACACTAATGCTTAATAAGTACTATTTCTGTAAGTGGGCTTCATCACGAATCTATGCTGCTAACTTGTTTGTAAAGACTTGCTTACCGGAAGGGACTAGACGTTGGAGTGGTGCTTCGTCCGGTGACTGGAGGTGTGCCTGGTTTAACATCAATGCCACTTCCAAAAGCTTTCAGGTCCATTTCTGACATCTGAAGCAAAGAAACCCAACCAACTTACAAAGGACACAAAATTACACACTAATACTTTCATGGGACACGGGTGGCGCTGTGGGTTAAACCACAGAGCCTAGGACTTGCTGATCAGAAGGTCGGCGGTTTGAATCCCCGCGACGGGGTGAGCTCCCGTTGCTCGGTCCCTGCTCCTGCCCACCTAGCAGTTCGAAAGCACATCAAAAGTGCAAGTAGATAAATAGGTACCGCTCCGGCGGGAAGGTAAACAGCGTTTCCGTGCGCTGCTCTGGCTTGCCAGAAGCGGCTTAGTAATGCTGGCCACATGACCTGGAAGCTGTATGCCGGCTCCTTCGGCCAATAAAGCGAGATGAGTGCCGCAACCCCAGAGTCGGCCACGACTGGACCTAATGGTCAGGGGTCCCTTTACCTTTAATTTCATGAAGGGCCCTGCCATACTCATTTAATCATCTTTACAATGGCAATAGGAGCTAGGAAACAAGTTCCACACCTACTCCAAAATCTTGGGGGGGGGGGAGCTGTTGACATGTTACGGTTCATACTCTCATATTTCATGTGACATAAATAATTAAAATCCTCAGCTAGGCAAACTGAAAGCTCTTAAGCACTCTCTACCAATACTCAGTGAATCTCACCAAAAGACTTATGCGTAACAGATAAAAGAGTCACTGAGCATTTGCATGGTCTCTATGGGACTGAGAAGTACTTACTGGATAGTGTCAAATGGTCTAAGTAAATGTATGGCTATGGTGTTCCCGTATTTGGCTGAGTCCCCCAGAAAGCTATGTGCGCAACATGAGCCCCTGAGCACAAATTCTGCCCGCTCAGCCTACCTCAGTCAGCTGCGCAGAGCGTGGGTGGCAAACCCGAGACTTGCATATTGCACACCAAGGTTTTTGGTGGTCTACAGGGAGCCCCAACAATTCAGTGGAAAATCAGTGGCTTTTTAAAAATAAAAAATAGTGACCCCACCAAACACTTTCCTCCACTATTTTCCAAAGTGGGCTTCCTCTAGTACTCCCAGGTAATTTTCAGTAGTATAAAAAGAACTGGAGTTTCTAACACGCCATCCCCACCCCTTTGGAAACATGACCTTTCCTCCTTTTTTTGCTTATGAGTCCACTATTTTTAGTGCTACTCAGTGATGCCATTGGCTCACAGCTGGAGAAACAACACAACTGTGGTTCAGAGTATAAGGATGCTTGGGGGAGGTACGCTCATTTGACTGTGAATGTGAACCACCATAGGATACAAAACCTCCAGCCTGTGGGCCAACCTTAGCTTACAAGGGGGTCCAATTTGGCCCATGAGGCTATTTCCCTCAAACTACTCACTTGTCCACCAGCTGACAACACTGGGTGATGTCAGCTGATGGAGAGAGAGAGAGTTCAATGCTTCTGGCTGCTGTTTTGCCAGGGTGTTTCCCTGCAGGGTATGTGCTGGGGAACTTTGGTTGAATTAGTTTAATTCTAAACCAATTCCATCCATTTTCAATCTCTTCCATTTGCTATTTCGTCATAAACTGGTTATGGTGCTACAAGGACTAAGATATTATCCCTTTGGAATGATTGCTATACAATAACCATGGCATGCCTGGATATGATGTGCATTTGTTCATGCTTTTCTGCTGCCATTCAGCAAGATTTAAGACACAGTCACATTTACCTTCCCAGTTATAATGCTGTGTTGAGCTCCAGCTGGAATTAGTCCTCTGAAAGGCTGGCCTACTTGTGCTGGCCGACTCAGATTCTGAGTCTGAGGCTGTGGTGGTGTGTGCTGTAAAGGAGGCTGAAGGGACTGTGGAAGAGCAATTAAAGGCTGGCCTGCTGATCCAAAGTTGGGCAAAGAAAGTTGTGATCCTGGTATAGGTACTGTCACCTGGAGAAAAATGCAAGAATGTTTTAGACACACAGATGCTTCAATAGCTAAAGTGCATCATGATTAAATTGCCACTTCTGAATACTGTTGAGAAATATACACGTGTTGCTCTCTATGTACAGCTAATATAATTTGTACCTTTAGTGCATCTGAACAGAAAGAATATACACATTTTTATCCTTTGGAGTTATAAACTTGAAAACATATGGGCAGCATCTGATGATTCAGAAAGCAAGCCAGAGTAGGACATGGTTCTTAGTAAACAGAATTCCCTCCCTGTCCTTCTCCTATAACTTATGTTTTCCCTATCTCCCTCATTATTCCCTGTAAAACTGAGGTTTCAGAAGCAGGAATTGGGTTTCATGGTGCAGAAAGCAGTAACTGAAAGCATTTATTTCTTGGCCCTGATGGAGAAGACAGGCACCATACAGACTCAAAAGGACAACACTGTGAGGACACAATAATGGAAGAGATGTAGTTTCTTCATAGCCATCTTATTTGTGTGGGGTAGATTTGCTAAAATTCCACACACACCCCACCTGGTATTTTAATCATGGCCCAGCCATTTCTCTGCCCCTAATCCTCAAGTAAGCCACGGAGGTATAGGGACTCTACCTAGGGAGAGTACACTTAGGGATTGTGTCAAACAGGTTCCACCAAGTGGCCAGAGCACAAATAGGAACACCAGTCATATTGACTGGAAATGTTCCAAGAACTCTCAAGAATACGTATGAATCCATCAGCTTCTGTGGTGGGAGACCATCTTAATGTGTCCCCTACTCTGTGCAGAGAAACAGGAATGCGAGATATGTAAATCTCACCAGGAAATGAGCTTAAGACAAGTGTGCTATTTAAAAAAGTCTCCTCATCTAAAGCACCAAACCTATACCCTGTTCTGATCCAGAGTGTTACCTTCCTCAGGGTGGGATCATAACATATTGTGACAGCTCTACTGTTGTCATAGTAGCCGTGAAGTCCTGAGACACCAAAGATGAGCTCACTATGGATGCTGAAAATCCACTATTAAATTGGTGTGGCATCTAGGGTCCACACATTCAAAGGGAAGGACTGAGAAGAGGCTTAGCAGTATATTTCTAACCCCTCATCTCTTCTGTCCAGCCCCCATTGCAACCTCTCTTGTGTGTCTGTAATGACTTCAGTGATGGTGTCCTCACTGGATAACTACACAATTAGATACAAAATACCAAAATTTAAAGTGCTATGTCCATAAAATATTAAACGAGATATAAAAGATAGCAGTATCAGTGGCAATATAGTTAGAAGACAAACTACACCCTCCACCAAACAATATACCAAAATATCACATAACATGAAGGGGAAATTGCTCCTGGCTATGAAAGCGTAGTTCTTAATTTATCCACTCCAGTTGCAGACCTTATCTAAATACCTTATTCTGATATTACCTTTGTTACTCAGAAGCAACCATTTTCTGCTCTCATGTAGAGACTTCTGTCTTTAGAGCAGGGAAATTCTGGTAAACATACACACTATGCCCAATTCCCCTTGCAACTCTGCAATAAAATAGAGCCTCCATTCTTGATCCAAAAGGGATGACCTCTTTTTTATTATTGTCCCACCAGCCTAATTTAAAGATTTACCTCTTGCCTAGCAACAGTGCTGGCCTCCAATGCCACCATTGACTGCTGAGCCATGGTTTGGGGTAATGCTGCAGTATGATCTAATGTAATATACCAAGTAGCCATTATTCAAAAGAGGCAAGCTTATGAAATACGTTTAGGATGTTCACCTCTATAGAAGACCAGCACATCACTGAACAAACTGAACTGAAGGGGAATTGTATGCAGACATTCATCAAGTGCTCCTATCCATTTCTATGTACTCTATGTACAAGAAATGCCTATGTAGTTTACAGATCTGCACCATCTTGCTAATGTTTAGATGCCATGAACAGGATTTTTCTAACAAATCCCCAGCAGAAGCACTATGGTCTTGAGTATTTATCACCTGATCTTGGAGAAAACTATTCTCTGAAATCACATTATGGTTTTGCATAATGGAAGATCAACTTCCTAGCTGTTGACTCTAGGATCATAAGAAGTTTAACTGGAGTACAGTAAGGACCACAGTAAACATCACAGTGATCTCTAGACAAAAGGTGGCTTGATTTTCTTAGAGCAACACTTCTGAAGAAAAAGAAAAGAAAAAGAACACTATATTGTTTTTTAAAAAGAAAGCTCTGTGTTAGAACTGTTTTGGACTGCTATATTCAGAGAGACAGCAACTTCTCTATAAAAGAACACAAACTAGGTTCTCAAAAGAACATTCTCCTGTCAGGAGACAATGGTACTACATGCACCACAAGCACACAAACAAACACATATTAAATATAATTGAAAGCAATTTACCGTGCCATAGTTTACCTGCTGGAGAGCACTGGGAGATGGCGCAGTGTTATAGAAGCTAGTCTGACCTGGTTGCTGAACCTGTCCAGAATACAAATTTGAGGCCTGGGTAAGAGTAGCTCTGGCCTGAGAAGAGAGAGGTTAACATTTTCTAGGTGACTAGCTAAGCAAGGTTAATTTAATTTGAAGAACAGAACAGTTGTATGACCATTTCATTTTAGATTTACTCTTCTCTGTATGCTGCAGCAGGAATGTTGCTGAACTTTAATTCCCATCAGCCCCAGCCAGCATGCCCAATGGTGAGAGCTGAAGTCCAAGGACACCTGAAGGGTCACAGGTTCTCCACTCGTGCTATAAACATTTCCATATTTGGAAAAGCAGCAAGCATGGATAAAATATGTCCCAGATTTAATTGGACACATAACTGTTGCTATGTATAATCTATATTCAAACCAGCTGAAACACATCACTGCCAAATATGGGAACAAGGTTCTATAAAAAGTGAAAGTTTTAATGGGTGAATCAGGACTGCATCAGGGTGTGCAGGACTCTTCCATACATCTGTCTGAAATTACCTGAAACCTGCATGCTCCAGTTCCAGTTTCCAGTTTTCCTTCCTCCCTGTTACAGTTTGGAAAGAAGGGGGTGGGGAGAAGAGGTGTATTTGGGGAAAGGAAACATATCCAGGGTTTGATGGGGTCCCTCCAAGTGTGGGTAACATTGTGATCTGTCCCAGGTGTCTATGAGTCACCTACCATTAATTACTCACAACGTCCTGGAGTGTCACTGTGTGTAAATGAAACAAGGCTGCAGACCCAGCTGCCTGGTGTGGAGGGCCACAGTAGCTGCATGGGAATGCTGGCTGTTGACACCAGCCCAGTACAGTAAGTGTTCAACAGTACGGTGCCTCAAACAACTGAAGCACTATGTATAATAATACACATGAGTTGGGCTGTAGCTCAGTGGCAGAGAATCTGCTTTGTACGCAGAAGATTCCAAGTTCAAGAGTGACTAGTGGGGTGCCACAGGGTTCTGTCTTATTCAACATCTTTATCAACGACTTGGATGATGGACTCAAGGGCATCCTGATCAAATCTGCAGATGACACCAAACTGGGAGGGGTGGCTAACACCCCAGAGGACAGGATCACACTTCAAAACGACATTGACAGATTAGAGAACTGGGCCAAAACAAACAAGATGAATTTTAACAGGGAGAAGTGTAAAGTATTGCACTTGGGCAAAAAAAAATGAGAGGCACAAATACAAGATGGGTGACACCTGGCTTGAGAGCAGTACATGTGAAAAGGATCTAGGAGTCTTGGTTGACCACAAACTTGACATGAGCCAACAGTGTGACGCGGCAGCTAAAAAGCCAATGCAATTCTGGGCTGCATCAATAGGAGTATAGCATCTAGATCAAGGGAAGTAATAGTGCCACTGTATTCTGCTCTGGTCAGACCTCACCTGGAGTACTGTGTCCAGTTCTGGGCACCACAGTTCAAGAAGGACACTGACAAACTGGAACGTGTCCAGAGGAGGAGCAACCAAAATGGTCAAAGGCCTGGAAACGATGCCTTATGAGGAACGGCTAAGGGACCTGGGCATGTTTAGCCTGGAGAAGAGGAGGTTAAGGGGTGATATGATAGCCATGTTCAAATATATAAAAGGATGTCACATAGAGGAGGGAGAAAGGTTGTTTTCTGCTGCTCCAGAGAAGCGGACACGGAGCAATGGATCCAAACTACAAGAAAGAAGATTCCACCTAAACATTAGGAAGAACTTCCTGACAGTAAGAGCTGTTCTACAGTGGAATTTGCTGCCAAGGAGTGTGGTGGAGAGGTCTTTAAGCAGAGGCTTGACAACCATATGTCTGGAGTGCTCTGATGGTGTTTCCTGCTTGGCAGGGGGTTGGACTCGATGGCCCTTGTGGTCTCTTCCAACTCTATGATTCTATGATTCAATCCCTGGCATCCTCCAGTGGGGCTGGGAGAGACCCTTGTCTGAATCTGAAATGCTGCAGAGCTGCTGCCAGATACTCAACCACTGGCCTGACTCAGTAGAAGGCAGCTTCCAACGCTCATACGACAGGGCACAATTAAATAAATGCACATCACAAAAACTGGGAAGGCTGTTTGCATGATAGGGCAGCGAGTGCCTGTGACAGAAAGGATAACATTACCCTGTAGCTCAGAGGTTTTCAACCTTTTTGAGTCCACGGCTCCCTTGACCAACTACATGCTTTCTGTGGCTCCCCTGTGGGGAAACACATTCTGAGCCTCAGAAGTCCAGTTATGTCACCCCTTGCCTGCAGAGCCGGGTACTCATTGTCTCATAATGCAGATTAATTTCCCTTTTATATACACTCAGAAGCAGCACAACCATTCCATTTTGTTGTATTAAAGAGGTGATTCCAACTCTTCAGTTACTTTTCTGGGGAGGTCTGACTCTGACCTGGAGAAGATGCGTATCAATAAGCTGGGAGCCTCCTAGTCCTGAAGCTTGACTCAGTTGATGCTCATACAAGATAGGAATAGGCTGAGTATTAGATGTCTGCTGAAATGCAAGGCCTGACTGTGCCTTGGCAAGCTCCTGATGCTGCACTGCTGGGAAGTTGTGTAAGGCTGTGCCAGAAAGAACCACTGGGGACGGCTGAGACAGGCCACTCTGCATAAATGCCTGCTGGGATCTATAAAACAATAGTGCCCTCAATTAGTTAAGTTAATAAAACGTTATTAAACTACAAAAACTGGTTTCATGATTAAAGTTTTAATGTGCTCTAGGCATAAAACAAGGAGAAACACACAAACATATATCATACACCCCCTTATTACAAGAAAAAGATTACTAAGGGGGGAATCCATGCAAATACTCAAAATTGACATTAATTTAAGACTTTTTTTGTTCTTGTTTACAGAACTGTAAGAATGGTTCTTTCTAGAAACTGTAACACATGACTTAAAGCCACTTCGCCAGCAGTTGAATAAAAGTGTCATAGCCAGAGAAACAGATTATTTCAAAATCTAGCACAAAAATGCACCACACAAGTTGTAAGAGCATCAAATTTACAATATTTCAAGCGATTCTGCTCAAAATTGCAGAGGAAACCTAAACTGGACAAACACAAAGGACTGGCAAGATTCTGAACAGGCAGAGAAATGATACTTCACATTCCACATCTATCCTACTCCCACCTCAGAAATTCTAAGCCTCCTTTTGGTCTAACATTTTCAACACTTATCCCTAAAGCACACAAAAATTTAAAAATGAATGAACTTACTTTGCATACATTTTTAAATTTTAATGTGGACTGTTTAATTTCAGAACATTTTCTGGACATTTTCAGAACATTTCATAAAACAGTGCAGTTTTCACAATTCTTACACCAGTGAATACAAATGGAAAAAATGTGTGACATGGTTAAGAGACTAGAACTAGAAACAAAATGTTAAAAAAGCGGAGTTGCTTTCTACTTACCTATAAGGCTGCAATGATGAGTTAAACAATTCCTGGGCTTGGGAAACAGCAGGTGCTGCTCCTAAACCCAACTGAGCTTGATGCTGCCCTTGCAGAGGTGCATATATAGGGATTGGTATCTGCTGAACTGATGTAGGCTGTAAGGAATATAATTAATTAGATACCCAAGCAAGCAAGCAAACATCAGAAACTGCCTTGTGCTCAGTCCGTCTAGCAATTCTATTCTCCTGAGGTGGCTCTCAAAGTTCTCAGTTAAAAGGATGTCTTTTCAACTTGCTTCTTGAAATCCTTTAACTATAGATGCTGTGGACTGAAACTGGGAGTTTTTACTCACAAAGAAAGTGCTCTGACACTGACCTATGATACCTGAACTAATAATGGTGTGTGCATCTCACTAGTTGCTAAAAATATCAAAGGAGTGGGAAGTACCTACAGATTCTGTGCAAGACATTTGGCTTGCAGGAACTGCAGACTACAGAAGGTACCCCAGTTCTTGCAGCTGATGAGCTTAATCTTTCACAGTAGGATGCCTCTGCTCTTTGAATACACAGTTAAAAATGTTCCAGTATGAGCCACCAGCTGTGACCACAACTCAATGGTTTAGCTGGACAAGGACATTCAAAATGGAGAATGGTTGAACTCTGATTTGGAATACAAGAGTCAACATGTATTGTTATTAAAAAGCAAATATGCCACCCAGTCAATCCCCATAGTACCTGTGAGAGCCCTGGCTGAAATCCCTGCTGCTGGGCCAGTGATGGAGGAGCCAGTCGTGCATGCTGGGTACCAAAGAGATGGCTTGTATCCATGTAGAAAGCTGGAATTTGAGCTACAAAGTCATAAGAGAAAAAAATCAGTAGCACAGCGCATGAGTTAACTAAAAAGTAAAGGTAACTGATACGCCTAGCTGCTAAACAAATGCTGGGGGGGGGGGGACATTTCAAAGGCAAGAGAAAAAGACTGATGTAAACTTTCAAAAAGAGCATTTGTGTTTTGTTTACAAATACTACAACATTCAATACAATTTGTTGGGAGAAATGAATAGACTACAAAGTTGCAATCATGAAAGTAACCAGAAGATTTAAGAAACACTGAGCTTAAATTTAGTCACCCCTACCTTTAAATAGAAAGAGGAACCATTTATACCCAGATACAATGCAAAGAGACTACCTCGTATATTACCTGCTGCCGACTGAGACACATAGACCTGTGGACTCTGCTGCTGCTGAGCAATTAGTGATGGCATACAGCTTAGCTGGGAAAAGTGACCAGCAGATGCCAAATTACTTGTCTGTAACTGCTGTGGCTTCACTTTACAAATGTTGGGTGGATCAGAGGTTGTGGTTGTTTTTGTACTCAGTGAAGAGGTAGTGTATGTTCCAGCTCCTAAAATTACAACCAGCAAAGCACTGCTTTAATAGTTACTAAAATCTAACATGCTTCAGTAAGCTAGTCATAAATTTGGTGTACCCTAAGTAAAAATGCAAGTTGCTAACTACTGCAGTACTTTATTCAAACATTCTACTTCTGCATTATTTATTTATTTATTTATTTATTTATTTATTTAATTTCTGTCCCAGCCTTCTTTCCAAAGAAGACCAGGAAAGCGAACAACAAAGCAGCAAAATATCATCAAAAAATTTAAAAGAATACTTAAAAACATTATGAACACCTAGAAACATTCAAACACAGTTAACGTATTATTACAGGTAATACTTTCAAGGTTGCCGAGAATAGTATATTTCAGTCATCAAATGCTTGGGAGGTCTTGTCATGGATCATCGCCAACCAGGCAACACCCAGACATAACACTAACAGGACCTTCCATGCCAATTGAAGGGTGCCTACAGGAGGATTTGCCTAAAGTAGCTTCACAGATTACTTCTTCCTGTATGTGATGGCCCTAGTTGGCCCCCAAGTCTGTATAACAGAGGGATGTGTTGGTAATAATGGTGGCCGCTCATTCTTATAGGGTCACATTTCCTGGAGACTTGTCAAAGGACTAGCATCTTTTGAAGTCTCACAAGGTCCCTTTACTCAGCTGGCATTCTATGCCAGCATTAGGGTCAGTATAATATTCACACACAGTGTCCCACCCAGGAACATGAGGGCGAAAGGTTGTAAACAAATTAAAAATGATGATGATGATGATGATGATGATACACCACCATAGGACATATACAAGAGAATGATACATATAGCCAGAGTTTCCTTTGCAGTTTTCAGGACTGCTTCTTCTATAAATGAGGGAGCAAATTGTTTCCCTCCCCGCTCCCTGAATGAAGAAGCAGTCTCAGCAGTTGTGGGAGTTGCACTAGTAAAAACCAAGCAAGCCCTGGTTATGTGCATAATTCCCTGACATGAGTTTTAAACCACTCTTTTAGACTGCAGTTAACTTTTTTCAGTAACATCAACTGCTTTAGAGCAATGATTCTTTAAATGTTTCCTGGGAGACACTATTGTATTATGAGAGGGGGTGAAGTATGTCATGAAAATGTAAGTCCTCTCATCTTCCACTCCATTATGCCACTTCAAGGAGGCTTTATTCTGTCAATGAACAGGCATAAACAGCATCCAGAGTGAGTAATTTAGACTCTGATGTACAGGCTGGGACCATTTTGTGCGATCATTTTAGCCCTGCCCCATTGCATCCCTGTTCTGGATTAAGTAGCATGTTCACAGCTGTTTCCTTCTGAATATACCAATGTTCTTATGTGCTTAAAATTACACATCACGTGTTAAACTTTCTTAAAAATTGACCAACAATCTACTGGACAAATACTACTTCAAGTGCCAAAGAACTACCCGAACCCCTGTGCTAGATTTGTAGACGCGCTTGAACCTAAATACTGATTTTCTTCCCCAACATTCAGTTGTATTAAAGCTTGATCCATAATTAATGGGCTTTCCAATGAAATTCATGTACTGTAGTAAAACCTTATCTGAGCATCTTAGGCGGAGGAGGAAATCTTGGAAACTTTCAGTTACAGGCAACTCTCTGTTTGCATTCCAGGCATTCACACGGGTCAGTGGAGCGCCTGTCAGCCCACCCTACTATCCCCCATCCTCTTTCAGGTTCAAAATGACGTGTTCATCGGTGATTGCGTGTCATGTGAACACGTGCGAAATGGTCGCCACCTGTATTATGGTTTAATTACGTTATCTCTATAGTCAAGGTAAACTAACCAGAGCAGGCAAGCTGAGAACAAGCTAGTTATGTGTGTTGCTTTTAGAATAGAGTTGAATAATGCAGAGAGTTAAACAGAACTGGAACCCGAGTTTGCTTTTACCCTCTTCCCTCCCTATCCCTTTAGTGTCATGTCTTTTAGACTGTGGCCAGGGGCTGTCTTGCCTTGTTTCAAGGGACTGTATGCAAGCCGTTCTGGCAGTCTTTTAGACTGAAGGACTATGAAACTTTCAAGGAGATGAGTAACTAAATAACCTTTAGAAGACATCTGAAAGCAGCCCTGTATTGGGAAGCTTTTTAATGTTTAATTATGCTTTTATATATGTTGGAAGCCACCTAGAGTGGCTGGTGCAACCCAGTCAGACAGACTGCGTAACAACAACAACAACAACAACAACAACAACAACAACAAGGCTGTAGTCCAAAAGTTTGTACCTGACAATGAAGTTGTAGGTGTAACTGAAGCCACAGGAATGGGAGGCATTGATGCACTTGAGAAAGAGCTGTATGTACCACTGGTTGGTCCACTGCTACTGCTGCTGCTTCCACTGCCACTGCTGCTGCTACCACTACTACCACCTACTGGAGATGCTGATGATGTAGCTGGTGAATTCTTCTCCCCGACATTTGGTGAATTCTCCCATGCTTTGCGAGCAGACTCCATCTAGTCAGAAAAAGGAAATGGTTCCACTTTGAAATACAAATTTAGCCCATTTAATTTTCACAGTGTCTTATTTTCACTTTCTCGCTCTAGATAGCATCCATACTCCTCTAGTTAGCTGCCAGGGAAACTGAATTGTTTTAGAATATTAGAGGTATAAATTGTTTTAACGTTTTCAAGAAACATGGGGCAAGCATACAGCAAAGGTTAGAGCCAAGTGTAAATCACTACTAGCTTTGATACATTAAAAAAATCTTTTCTCAAGAAAACCTTTTAGAAGTATTCCCCAGCTATTTAATCCACATATTAAAATTACATTAATGGCACCATTAATCTAACACGTTTTACACTCTAGATCTGAATCTCAGGGACCCACAAGTATGCAATATGAACTAAGCCAAATGTAGCACAATCCTGCACAATGACCATAATACAGTTTTTGAAAACCCCGGCGAATCGTTTGCTTTTTATACCACAGTTTAGAATTTGCCAGTAACCAAAACCAGGATTAATTAGGTTTAAGTAAGCTGGGCTATAGTGGAAAAAGTCAAAGAAGAGATTTGGAACTACATTTTCATTGACTGCCTATCACTGGGCTTGCTTTCAAGTATAAAAATCTGCCCAAGACACGTGTCAACTCTTCATGGTTCTATATTGAACCTACCACCTCAGCATCTCTGAGCAGTCCTGAAAAATGCATAAACCACCATATTAATAGTACTCATACCTAATGAGGCATCATATAATTGAACAGATTGTTACTTCTCTGGAAGTTGTATTACAGTGGTGCCCCGCAAGACGAATGCCTCGCAAGACGGAAAACTCGCTAGACGAAAGGGTTTTCCGTTTTTGAGCTGCTTCGCAAGACGAATTTCCCTATGGGCTTGCTTCGCAAGACGAAAACGTCTTGCAAGTTTGTTTCCTTTTCTTAACACCATTAATACAGTTGCGACTTGACTTTGAGGAGCAACTCATAGAACGCAGTGTACATAGTAGCCTTTTTTGAGGTTTTTAAAGACTTTGGTGATTTTTGAAGCTTTTCCAAAAATTCTTTTGCAGCCAAGTTAAGCTTTTAAAACTTTTTTGGGGTTTTGGATTTTGGGTTGGGGTGTTTGGAATTCAAGGACTTGGTGTTGGGGAGGGGTTTGCAAGAATCTGGAAGCTTGTGTGTCTTTTTCTGCATTTTTATGATTTTCTGTGACCATTGGGCCACTCTGCTGTTTTTTTAAAAAAATTCTGGATTTGAATTTCTGTGTGCTGGGTGGCTGGGGGAACAGTTGGGGAGGGGTTTGCAAGAATCTGGAAGCTTGTGTGGTTTTTTCCTGCATTTTTATGATTTTCTGTGACCATTGGGCCACTCTGCTGTTTTTTTAAAAAAATTCTGGATTTGAATTTCTGTGTGCTGGGTGGCTGGGGGAACAGTTGGGGAGGGGTCTGCAAGAATCTGGAAGCTTGTGTGGTTTTTTATGCATTTTTATGATGTTCTGTGACCATGGGGCCACTCTGCGGTTCGTTTAAAAAAATTCTGGATTTGAATTTCTGTGTGCTGGGTGGCTGGGGGAACAGTTGGGGAGGGGTTTGCAGGAATCTGGAAGCTTGTGTGTTTTTTTCTGCATTTTTATGATTTTCTGTGACCACTGGGCCACTCTGCTGTTTTTTAAAAAAAATTCTGGATTTGAATTTCTGTGTGCTGGGTGACTGGGGGAACAGTTGGGGAGGGGTTTGCAACAGTTGGGGAGGTTGTTGTACCAAATTTGGCTTTGTTTGGACTTTTTTTGACCATAGGAGCACATTAATTGATTTTCAATGCATTCCTATGGGAATTCGTGATTCGCAAGACGAAAAATTCGCTAGACGAAAAAACTCGCGGAACGAATTAATTTCGTCTTGCGAGGCACCACTGTATATTTTTGCAGTGATTGAATACAGAAACAGGTGATGAAAATATACAGTTGCAATCAAAATTATTCAACCCCCGTTGCAAATCAGGTTTATGATCAAAATTTACAGACTTTCAGCTGTTTGCAATGAGCAAATCAAACAAAAGCAATTGAAATAGCTCAACACAAATGGATGCTTCAAGTGGTTTCTCCAAATTCAGCTCACATTGCAGCTTATACTATCTTCTCCAGTCTCACTATTATTCAACCCCTTCATGGCAACCATCTTAGTATAGCAGCCTTTTGCTGCTATGACCTGCTGCAAATGAGATGCATAGCCAGACAGCAGCTTCTGGCAGTGTTCCTGAGGAATCTTAGCCCATTCCTATGAGCAATGGTCTCCACTTCAGTAATCTTCTTGGGGTTGTGTGCTGCAACCGCCTTCTTCAAATCCCACCAGAGATTTTCTATGGGGTTCAAGTCAGGTAACTGTGATGGCCACTGTAGAAGCTTCCAGGACTACTTCTGCAACCAAGCCTTGGTGGAATTTGAGGTATGCTTGGGATCATTATCCTGTGGGAAGGTCCAGTGATGCCCTGGCTTCAGCTTCCTCACGGACAGCATGTTTTCTTCTAAGATTTCCTGATACTTCAATGAATCCATCCTGCCTTCCACATGCTGCAAGTGTCAGAGGATGCAAAGCAGCCCCAGAGCAGAGTGTTCTTTTCATTATTCTTCCTCCAGACATAGTGCTGATCCATGGGGCCAAAAAGTTCCAATTCTGTTTCATCACTCCACAGAACAGTATCCCAAAACTTCTGTGGCTTATTTATATGATTTTGAGTATACTGGAGCTGAGTTTTCTTGTGCTTTTGGTTCATAGTGGTGAACGTCTTGGAGTTCTGGAATGGAAACCTTCTGCACTTAGTAAGGCACCTTACTGTGCTCACTGAAACATCAGTGCCTGCTGTCATCAAGTCTTGCTGCAGCTCTTTTGCAGTCACTTGAAGGTTTTTCCCAGCCTGCCTTCTCTGCATTGTGGTTGCTGCCTCAGATAGCTTCCATTTTCTACCCTGTCCAAGTACTGTAACCACTGTTCCTTTTACCTTTTAACTTGCGAATTATGCTTTCAACAGTGTTTCTGGGAACATGCAGTGCTTTTCCTATCTTCTTGAATCTTGCTCCTTGTTTGTGAAGGGAAATGATATCTTCCCTTATCTTCTTGGACCATTCTCCAAGAAATTCATATTTCTAACATGACCTATTTATCCATATGTGGATTTGTGACTGACCGAACCCAAAGGGTGCTCATCAATGGTTCCTCTTCATCCTGGAGAAGAGTGACTGGTGGGGTGCCACAGGGTTCTGTCTTGGGCCCGGTCTTATTCAACATCTTTATCAACGACTTGGATGATGGACTCAAGGGCATCCTGATCAAATTTGCAGATGACACCAAACTGGGAGGGGTGGCTAACACCCCAGAGGACAGGATCACACTTCAAAATGACCTTGACAGATTAGAGAACTGGGCCAAAACAAACAAGATGAATTTTAACAGGGAGAAATGTAAAGTATTGCACTTGGGCAAAAAAAAATGAGAGGCACAAATACAAGATGGGTGACACCTGGCTTGAGAGCAGTACATGTGAAAAGGATCTAGGAGTCTTGGTTGACCACAAACCTGACATGAGCCAACAGTGTGACGCGGCAGCTAAAAATGCCAATGCAATTCTGGGCTGCGTCAATAGGAGTATAGCATCTAGATCAAGGGAAGTAATAGTGCCACTGTATTCTGCTCTGGTCAGACCTCACCTGGAGTACTGTGTCCAGTTCTGGGCACCACAGTTCAAGAAGGACACTGACAAACTGGAACGTGTCCAGAGGAGGGCAACCAAAATGGTCAAAGGCCTGGAAACGATGCCTTATGGGGAACGGCTAAGGGAGCTGGGCATGTTTAGCCTGGAGAAGAGGAGGTTAAGGGGTGATATGATAGCCATGTTCAAATATATAAAAGGATGTCACATAGAGGAGGGAGAAAGGTTGTTTTCTGCTGCTCCAGAGCAGCGGACACGGAGCAATGGATCCAAACTACAAGAAAGAAGATTCCACCTAAACATTAGGAAGAACTTCCTGACAGTAAGAGCTGTTCGACAGTGGAATTTGCTGCCAAGGAGTGTGGTGGAGTCTCCTTCTTTGGAGGTCTTTAAGCAGAGGCTTGACAACCATATGTCAGGAGTGCTCTGATGGTGTTTCCTGCTTGGCAGGTTGGACTCGATGGCCCTTGTGGTCTCTTCCAACTCTAGGATTCTATGATATTTCTAACATGCAGCCAAATTTGACACTCAGCAAACCCCTTGCCAGCTCAGGTATTTCATGTGTTCTGGCTCAAGCACACCTGTTGCAACTAATGAAGCCCTTGTTCAGCTAAATAAGGAGTGCTTGAGACAACACCTGTTGTATTTGTGCTGTTGTGAGGGATTCTATTCAGGGGGGTTGAATCATAGTGAGATTGGAGAAGCCAGTATAAGTTGCAATTTGAGCTGAATTTGGAGAAACCACTTGAAGCATACATTGTGTTGAGCTATTTCAATTGCTTTTGTTTGATTTGCTTATTGCAAACAGCTGAAAGTCTGTAAATTTTGATAATAAACCTGATTTGCAACAGGGGTTGAAGAATTTTGATTGCAACTGTATACTGTGGTTCTTAAATTATGGAAGAAATATAGCTTAGATCTTCATTACCGTTGCCTTCTTTGAATCACTTCCAAGATGCTATGGCACTTAAAGGCAACCCATGCCCTGTATGTTGCCCTCACCCTTCTCCCATGTGATCAGTTGGTTGCTTCCTGCAGCTGCCAAAATTACCCTGCTGCCTATCAATTTCAGCTTAAAAGTTCAGCCTAAAAAACCCTGGCATTTACAGTGGTGCCTCGCAAGACGAAATTAATTCGTTCCGCGAGTTTTGTCGTCTTGCGATTTTTTTCGTCTTGCGAAGCACGGTGTCGGGAAAGTTTTGGAAAAGCTTCAAAAATCACCAAAGTCTTTAAAAACCTCAAAAAAAGGCTACCACACCACGTTCTATGAGTTGCTCCTCGAAGTCAAGTCGCAACTGTATTAACGGTGTTAGAAAAAGGAAACAAACTTGCAAGACGTTTCCGTCTTGCGAAGCAAGCCCATAGGGAAAATCGTCTGCGAAGCAGCTCAAAAAACAAAAAACCCTTTCGTCTAGCGAGTTTTTTGTCTTGCGAGGCATTCGTCTTGCGAGGTACCACTGTACTTCCTTCCTTCCTGGTGATTAATCATCTGCTTTGCGCTCCTGTGCCACACAGTGAGTACTGAATGACTGCCACCACTGCTCTTCCTTTTAGTGAGAGAGGATGGTTGAGTTTGGTGCAGAAAATGGCAGGTCACCCACAGCTGAGGCCTCTTGCCTGCCTTTGAGCTAGAGCCAGGCCTGGGCCGGTATCCCTTGCCATTGCCCCAACAACCCTTCTAACACCAGCAGGAAATGCAGACAGAGTGCAATTTCAAAATACAGCATGCTCTTCAAACCTGCATAGGACAATTAGGAGAATATTGAAGACAACCCATTGTATGTGTAACCACGCCCTGCAAGCTGGCAATTGCAACAATCCAGGTTACACTGATAGCCAAGATTATTGTGTGTCATGAGAGGCATGCTGGTTTTGCCCCCCACAAACTGTAGGAAACATTTTTGCCCACTAGTGTGTGGTCCTCAGGGGAAAACGTTGCTTATCCCTGCTATGGCTTTCAGAAAAGTAACAATAAGTCAGTCTTCAGATGCCACAGGACTTGTAGTTGTCTATGCTAGACAATTTTTATGGATAACCACTTTTGATCATGAGATTATGTATTATATGTATCCGTTTAAAATCAACCCTATTTTCTAATGCAACTGTTTTCAGCTACAACGCATGCTGCAAATTATCATCTTACTGGAAATTAACCCAGACAAAACTATGTATTGGTTATTAAGCGTATTTTATGGCATTTAAAGCCTCCCCCCCATTAAGTTTAAAATAAAATTATATCCCTAGGTGTAAAATATTCAAGATACTGCACAGAAATATCAAATCTTCATTGCAGAACACAAAAGGTTCAAATGTAAAACCTATTTTAACGAAGACAATAGCATGATAAGAATCCGTAACAAGACATTAGATACTGTTCATAATACAACTGCTGTATAAGAACATGGCATGTGCCTTTATCTACCTTCCTATCGTCCTGCCTGTCCACATTCACAACAACAAATTACATGCAAACTTTATACCAAATACCCAAATAGTTCCTCAGACTAAACAGAACAAAAAGGTACATTACTTTATCACAGAAATGCTTTCAGCTGAATACATCCACAGAGGCACAATAGTGAAGTTTAAATGATATGTCAACATGAAACAGATCAGAGAGGAAAAAGGCAGCACAGCCATGTCAATCTAAGCAACAACTGTAATAATTGTTGAGTGTAAGCTCTGCTGAAGTTGTGTACATTTACTTTACAAGCTGCTTTCAGCCCAGTGCTATGTCTGTTGGACAATTTTCCTAAGTATTTTGAAATGTGGGCCAGGTCTTCAAAAATTCAGTCTAGTCTCAGCTGATTAAGAGAGTTACTAGTATATACATATGATGTATATCAATAAGACAAGAACCCCACCCTCTAAAATCTGTAATCATAGGAGGCATGTTCCTATTTGGAACCTCTCTCACAAAAGCTCTATTTAACTGAGCTATGCAAACACATGTTCTACCACTTTGCAGAACTGAGAAGAATTGGAATCAATCTGTAAATAATGCTACTGAGACTCACTTTGCAGCATGAGATGCACAATATAGTCCAAATGAACACTGTCACCTATGAACACTACCTGGCTGCCTTCACACACGTACCTCACACCGTCACTAAAAAGGTCACACCAGTTACCACTTAATAGAAAATATTAAGCTATCAGCAAATTCTAACACTGCCAGTCTCCTGCACAAAGTGTGCTGCATCAGCCAGCCAATATACATTGCATATTGCTAACCTCAACAATAATTGCTCAAAACAATACAAGCTATTTCACAGAAAGGCATCTGGAACCACCTATCTATACATAGCTCATTTCCCATATACTCTCTATAGGAGGGGGAAATCACAATCATCCTAATAAGTCCTATCTGATATTCTGATGTGTATCCTAGGATTTGGGTGGCAAGAGTCAGCCAATTGCTGTTAGTTACAAAGTGGGGTCAAAGAAATGTAATGAACCCCCTTAGAAACTATTGTTCTAGTGGTCTAAAAAGCAAAAACTGACTTTTTGGTCTCTCCACTGAAGTTTGCCAGCAAGATCTTGATGAAGTCTTTCCCCTGCATGCAAGAAAATGACCCTTAGAGGGATGTGGTACATACCTTGAGGGTGAGGTCCACGGTAGCGGGAGAAACTGGAGTTAGGCTGGAGCTCTGTTGTAGAGCCTCCCTCCTAGGGAGGGGAAGGGTGTGGGGCAGGGGCACCTGAAAGGCAGGCAACACACATCACATTCTAGCTAGGTCTATAACAAAAGCCCCAACAAAAGCAAGAGCTCAAGCAATGCCGCTGAACTAAATTGTCTTTCAGGTGCAAGCATTTAGCAGGGAAGCTTTAACATAAAAAGGACAAAAAAAGATCTGACAGGAGGGGGGAAAAGACTTTCTGGTTCACAGTCATGGCTTGTTGACCATTTCCTTTTGGATTTAATTCCAAAAATTAAATTCAGGTTATTGTAATTCCCCTACACTGATTCTCACAGGACTCATTAAAGAAGTAGAATGATGGTCCTCAAACGTTGAGAAATATCCTCCTTTCATAGTGTCACAGGTGCACAAAAACTAAACTACTGCAGGAATAGTACAATTTTACTTGAACTTAACTAAGTGCAATCAATAGATTTTCCTGAAGACTCCAATATAGACAAAACAAAGACATTGATGCTCTCTTACTCTTGGCCATTATCAGTGCTCTTACAATCATTCTTACAAGATACTGCCACAGAATGGAATTAAGCTAGTTTAAAGAATGAAGGTAGATGAAATTTTCAAACCACACATCTAGGAGTAAATCGAACTCCAAAAATACTGTACACAAAAGTCATCAGCACCCAAGAATTACACAGTACTCCATCATGGACATAATAATCAACCTCAAACATTTCAAAACTTTATGAACAAAAGGGATGACAAAGAAAGCCACAAACACCGCCATAAAGTATACTTAATAGGAAACAATTCACTAACTGGAAACTCTCTTGGAGAGTCGTTCAAATCCTGCTCTCCTTCAAACACAAGCAACATGGTTACACCAGAGATGGAGTCGCAAAGCAACAAAATAATAAGCACCAGGATTCCATAAGGGGACACTTTCTGTTGCCAGACAGCATTTGTCAAGGTGTACCATCAATCAAAGAACGCAAAACCAAAGCCTTTGCAGACTTACCAAATAAAAATAAAGGTACATTGGATAAAAGCATTTAAATTCAATAACCACTGCCATTATTCTGCTCTTAAAGTTCTAGGTTGCTTCGCTCTTATTTGGCATCCACAATTGGTTTCCAGAGTTATTCACAGAATATTTAGGTGTCCACATATTGCCGTAGGAAATAAGATACTAGTCAGAAGAACCATTTGTAGAGGACCCGTACCACTTTGCCGAGAAACACGAGACTAACACACAAACAGAATGGTTACAGTTCACATTGTATGCCACGTTATTTAGAGGTCATCACCCACACACTTCTCAGTTTTGTGTGTGTGTGTGTTGCTTTTGCTTTTTCAAACCCTTATAAGATGAACAGAGACTTGCCTTCTCTCTTGTAGCTAAAGAGAGATATCTCACAGAGCCATGATTTGGCAGTGAGAAGCAACTTCGTGGTCTCATGCTTTCACCCCTCCAAGTTGTGCATGCCTTCTCCATCCTTTTCAGAGTTTGAGAGAAAAATAATTTCCCACAATGTTTTAATTGGGCAGGCCATCAATCCAAACCAGGGACTTAGACCCACTTCAAAGCATGGCTCCAATCTCCACTTTGCAGACAAACTATGGTTACTGCTAACCTGAATTATCCAATTTAGCTGTCAGCTGTTACAGTAATCTCAAACAGTGAAAGAGAAGGTGAAGGAGCAGACTAATCATGGGGGTGGGGGAGTAGAGAAGAGGAAGAAGTGTGTGATCATAAATGGATGCTCCAACTGGTTCCATGGCATATGAATTTACTCTGCAAGTGATATTCTTGCACAAAAAGTCTGTTTGGTCACTTACATGCTTTTATGCCTACTAGCAAAAAGCCAATGTCAAGGCTACGGTGGGAACGGGTGTGTGTGAAAGACAACAAAGTAATTACTTGAGTAAACCCTATTACTATATTACGATTGCAAATATGATCTTCAGGATTGCGCAATATTGATGTAGTTACCTTAACAAAATTCTTCCTGCATGTGTAATGAGTCATATTTTTCAACATGTTCACTTTATGTTATATAGCAGATTGGCAATTTTGATATAGAAATAAATTCTAGTAAAACTGAAGTATGTGCAGGTGCTGCTGTTGGAATGCTCATTATACAAAATCTCAGTTATCTGAACACAAAGAATTATGCCCAAACCTTGGTACATGGATGGCTAATTCAGATACCCAAACAGTCAAAGTTTGCCCATTTCCTTACTTGGTTGTGTTTTGCTGGACAGCAGCAGTCATTTCAGGCACAAAGCATGGAGGGAGATCAGACAAATCAGGGAGCAGGAGAGATCAAAGAAATAATTTTCCTTTGTTTGGCTTTTGCTGATTGGCTGCAGCAGTTTCAGGCAGAAACCATTAAGTGATGGAGGGAGGGAGATCAGACAAATCAGGGAGCAGGAGAGATCAAAGAAATAATTTTTCCTTTGTTTGGCTTTTGCTGACTGGCTGCAACAGTTTCAGGCAGAAAGCATGGAGGAAGAATGGATAAATCATGGATTAGAAATGTTTCCATAGGAAATAATGGAAATCATCAGCTCATTATGCGAACGCTCAGATCACAAACTGTTTCCTGGGAATGCATTGTGTTTGGAGAACGGAACCTGCATGTAGATGATGCACTGGAAAGGATTATGTAAGTAAATCCCTCCTGGCGTATTGGAGATGTCATGACTGAATGCTCTCCCACCTACAGCTGGGAAGGTAGCACTTTGGAAAAAAGAGTTGGCTAGATTTCTTCTCAACACACAGCTTTCTACAGGAAGGGAGGTGTGTGTTTATTTTTAGTGTGGAGGGTGATTTTATGCAAACCTCACCTGTTTTGTATATTCTGAAATCAGACAAGCCCAAGAGAGATGACACCAAGTAATCCTTCTGAATGTGTAGTGAGAGCCTTAATGAACCTAGAATTAACTATTCTGTGAAAATCTCAATTGCCATAACAGTATGCATTTCCTTACCACATGGTACTGCACACACAATATGCTAATACAGTGGTACCTCAGGTTAAGTACTTAATTCGTTCCGGAAGTCCGTTCTTAACCTGAAACTGTTCTTAACCTGAAGCATCACTTTAGCTAATGGGGCCTCCCACTGCTGCCGCGCCACCGGAGGACGATTTCTGTTCTCATCCTGAAGCAAAGTTCTTAACCCGAGGTACTATTTCTGGGTTGGTGGAGTCTGCAACCTGAAGCGTATGTAACCCAGGGTACCACTGTAACCCTATAGCCTAGCTAGCACTGATTGCTCAAACCACTATTTTTTCCACAATTCCTGAAAGCTTCTCAAAATTCCATTAAGATGAAACACCCATGTTCCACTAGCCTTTATCTACAAGGTCTCTAACATTATTTTTGCATTGTTACCGCACAATAAAAAATACAGAAGATCTGTATAGCAGAGTTTTAGTTTTAAATGCCATGAAAAATAAAAGTTACGTTTAAAGCTATGCTTAAAGTAACCAATAAGCTTACATTTGTCACTAAAGCCTCTTCCATCTTTGCACTGCTTGTAGCCACAGTACTGGAGTGAGAAGAAGGTGCTGTATAGTCTGTTACAGACTCCTGTAAAGAAAAGAAGTTGAAGAAGCTGACCTATACAATAACAATACCCTGTAAAAAAGAGAGCTTTAAAGAGATGAAAAAGCTAAAATAAGTTCTCCATTCACAACTTCATTAACTAAACTGTCATATCACAATAAAGCATCATAAATAACTTTACATAACTTCACGATCCACAAAAAAGGTACATGAATACACTTATATTTACTTAAGATAAGTTATAGGCCACCTTAAACAGCAAACTCTCTTAAGGTAATTTCCACAATAATAGAACAATGCAATACTTTCAGAATACCAAACATTAATGAAACCAGCAGTAAAAAGCACATATCCAGCCCCCCTAACATAGCTATAACCTAAAGCATCAGCAGCAAGACAGCACAGCAAACGGATTAAAACAACATTCAAGTGAAGACCGTCAAAACCAGGCAAGCTCTTAATGCCTTCCTAAGGACCTAAGGAGATCTGGCTGGACAAAGCCCTACTGGTACTGAAATCCAGAACCATGAAGGTACTACAGAAAACGCCTGCCAATTTAATTGTTCTTGAAGGTTGGCAGGTAAGATGGCCTCCATTGCCAACACTGGAAGTATCGGCAGACTGGTATGGGGGCAGGCCTTTAAAAAACACACAAAAAACCTCAAATCCAACCATTGGCCCTCCAGCTGTTGCTGAACTATAACTCTCATCAGCCCGAACTTTCGGGGTGGCGCCATCGGCAATGGCGGACTCCCTCTGAACTGGAGGGACTAGCTCCGCGCGAAATGGGTCTTTTCCGCTACGGCGAAGCGGGGACCCTTTTAAAAATCACAGGCGGATGAAGCCTGTGACCATGGGACTCGGCGGGCACCCTTAGCGCCCCCCCAACCCGCAAAGGAACCCACTAACGGGCTCCGAAGCGAGGAGGAAAGTGGCGTGGTGCTGTGAGTCAACTGCTACTTCCATGGAGCAGCCGCATAGCTGTTGCCGGAGAGCGCTGCCTTTTCCTGGGACAATTTGGCTTCTAAAATAAGCACCCGTGAGTACTTAAACTTTGAACAATTGGACTTTAAATAAGGACTTGCGAGCAGAAAGGAATTGGATTTAAAAATTCACTTCAATTTGGTACTGAAACAGGAAGGTCTAAACAGGAAGTCAGCCTTCCGTTTCTTTGTAGACAGAACAAAGCAAAGACAACGTAAACTAGAGCTCAGAAAATCGCTTCTAAAGGATCGGCTTTCATCATTTAAAATCCTCGAACCCCCTTCGGCAGCAGGAGAAGAAGGGGATCTTTTCGGACTGTTTAAATTTGCAGAAGTGAGTTTAAAGTGAAGTAACTTTCCACCGTCCTGATCCTGGAGCGGGGTGTCAGGACTGACGTTTGAAGCTCATTGACCAGAGACAAACGTTTTTTGACAGATAGCTAAAAGAAGAGAAACATAGTGATTCCACTGTTTCCTTTCGCATTTTAAAGGAACAAATATTGACAAAATATCTCAAAAAAGAAACTTTGTTGCAAGAACAATTAGAAGTTTTCCCCCTAGAGGGAGACTGGGAAACTGTAACTAATTCCAGGGAGCTTGCAGCTGTCACAGATTACAATCGTGGGAAAAAGCTTGTGACCTTGTAGAACAATGTACAGTGGTGCCCCGCAAGACGAATGCCTCGCAAGACGGAAAACCCGCTAGACGAAAGGGTTTTCCGTTTTTGAGTTGCTTCGCAGGACGAATTTCCCTATGGGCTTGCTTCGCAAGACGAAAATGTCTTGCAAGTCTTGAGATTTTTTTCCGCTTTTCGCCCCCTTTATCTAATCTGCTAAGCCTTTAATAGCCTTTAATAGCCTTTTAGCAGCTAATCCGCTAAGCCTTTAAGCCTTTAATAGCCACTAAACCGCTAATAGCGCTAATCCGTTAAGCCGCTAATAGGGTTGCTTCGCAAGAAGAAGAAGAAGAAGAGTTTGGATTTGATATCCCGCCTTTCACTCCCTTTAAGGAGTCTCAAAGCAGCTAACATTCTCCTTTCCCTTCCTCCCCCACAACAAACACTCTGTGAGGTGAGTGGGGCTGAGAGACTTCAAAGAAGTGTGACTGGCCCAAGGTCACCCAGCAGCTGCATGTGGAGGAGCGGAGACGTGAACCCGGTTCCCCAGATTAGGAGACTACCGCTCTTAACCACTACACCACACTGGCTCGCAAGACGAAAAAACCGCTAGACGAAGACTCTCGCGGAACGGATTAATTTCGTCTTGCGAGGCACCACTGTATTCAGAAGCTCTGTTGTGTGCTCTCTGTAAAATAAATACTCTACTGGAACAGTTAACTGAGAAGACGGATTTGATGACTAATGCGGCCAGAATTTTTGAACAGGTAGTGGGAAACTATATGGAGCCCACCCAGGAATTAAATCAGGAGTGTGCCCTGACAGAACAGATGAGAGAAGAGGATGTTGTGGAATCTTGGGCCCCAGAGATGAAGGGAGCTGCGGCCCAGCAGGAACATGAGCTTTTGGATTTGACAAATGAACTTGGAAAAAGCCAGATTAGGAAAGATAAAGTTTGGACTGATTTGGAAATGGGGGGTTGGATAGACCCCCCTATGCAGGGATGTTTGGACTTTCCGAGTCTGGCAATGGGCCGTGAGATGTTTGGAGCTGTGGGGGCTCTCAATTTTGGAGGGATTCTGAAACATGTTTTTAAATACTACATGGAGTTTAGTCTGGACTATGGAAAAGGGGCTGATTTGTTGAAAAGGGTCAAAAACATTACCAAGTTGGAGTTCCCACGAGTGAAAGGTGAATATGAAGAAGAGCTGCGGAAGGGACATGGAAGGGACTTAAGGGCCTCGGATATAAGGTTACCAGGTTAATGCGCTAGATCGATGGGATAAAAGGACTGACAAAACCCGGGACCAGGAGGAAGGGACGCTGGATGAAGATTGGATTGTTTCTATTTCTTTTTTTATCACTAGGATTGTTTTCTAAAATTGATGACTGTTAGAAAAATGTTGGAACAGAAACTACTTGGCTCTAGCAAAAATTTTTACAGAATTAGTCAAGAATATTATGGTTATGAGAAGTGGGTAAAAATAAGTTTTAAGTTTTAAGGGTTTTTATAAGATAAGATGAAAATAGATTAAGGTAATGTAATGACAGAATATTATGAAATATGGAAAGGATTTGCTGTGATAATTATTAACTGGGATACAAAAAAAGGGAGGAGGAGGAGGTCAAAGAAAGAAGGTAATGAAAGTTGAAGATTTGAGAATGTTGGTTTTATTTTTATCTGTTTGTGGTGTATTTTTGTTTTTTGAATTTGTATTGTTGGATGTGGTTTGTTTGTTTTTTCCTTCCTCTTTTCCGTTTTTTCTTTTTCTGCTTTGTCTTTTTTTGTAATTTTAAAAATTTTCAATAAATATCATTTAAAAAAATATATATATAACTCTCATCAGCCCCTGCATGGATGGCAAATGGCCAGCAATGATGCAAATTGTGGACCAGCAACAGCTGGAGGGCCAATGGTTCTTTTAAATGTCACCACCAGCACTTTAAATTAGGCTCAGAAACACACTAGCAACCAAGTGCAGTTTCAAAGCTTCACATGGTCTGACCACCTAGCTCCCATCAAGACACTGACAGTTGCATGCTAAACCAGTTGAAAATTTAAAACTGTCTTTAAAGGCAACCCCACAAGGAGTCCAGCCTGGATGTGACTAGAGCATTAATAACTGTGGCCACATTTGACTTCTCTAATAGGTACACCAGCTGAAGCTGATAAAATTAGCTCCTGGCCACCATCACCCGTGCTCTGCCTGTTAGTGTATAGTACACAAGAACTCAGAAAGTGTGTACCTGGTTCTTTAGTGGGAGGGCAACTCCATCTAAGATCAGTTGTAAGGAGCATGTGATCTCCCTACCTACAGATTTCAATCTTATCTGAATTTAATTTCAGCTTGTTTACCCCCCATCAGTCCAAAGAAAGCATCTAGATACCAGTTTAGGAACTCTACAGCCCCCCTGAAATCAGAGGACAAAAAGGAGGGGTAGATTTGAGTGTCATCTGCAAGCTAGACATTGCTGCCAAAACATCCAGCTGATGTCCCCCAGCAGTTTTATGCAGATGGTAAAAAGCATGGGGGACAAGACAGACCCTTGAGGCACCCCACAAAGCACCATGGGGAGAACTGGAAGTCCTCCTCAACCACCTTCTGAAAATGCTCCTCAAGGAGGAACTGGAAATGTTTAATTACGAATTACTGAGTGTCCCCTATTTTTCAAAAGCCAAGTCACGAACCCCCTACTTTTGAAAATTTTGATAACTCTATGGTAGTTACCTCTGCAAAGCAAGGTTCTGAACAAAATGTGGGGTAGTCCCTAATAAGCAAAGGATTTTAGGGATACTAAAAAACAGACTAGGGCTGAGTGATACCTGGTTTTTAACATCGTGATATATCAGCAGCTAAACATCACGATATTCTGATATATCACAATGTCTGAAATTGGAGATCAGGCGTGGGGATGAGGGAAGGAGCAGCCATGGAGATTGCGCAGGTAGGGTGAGATCATCATGTGATATTGGCGGTCCCTTGAAATCGGCTGTCCTGTTCTCCCTCGTATGAGGAGCAATATATTGCTGTGTATTGCCAGGTCAAAATTGTGATTGCGGTGCGATTTCAAAAGAGATTTTGGCCAATATATTGAAAAATCGCTGAGCACTAAAACAGACCATAAAATTTGAGAGATCCAGAACATTGTTTGGCATAAGCTATTCACTAGGCCAATCAAGGTTGTTTCTGTCCCAAATCCAGGCTGAAGCTGAACTTGGATCTTCACATGAATGGTGGTATACAAATTTAATAAACAAACAAATAATAGTAACTGGGATGGATCCAAATAATCAGTATCTTCCTTAGCTACCTGGAGTTGATATACCACATCCCACTCCAACACCATGACCCAAAATAGCCAATGTGAAAGTGGACAATAATTGTCTGAAGCCATAGGATCTAAAATGGCCTCCTTTAATACTTTAGTTTAAACATACAAATGTGTATTGACTTTCCAAGGGTGGATAGAGGTGACTGTTAAAAGCCAATTTTTCTTCTTCTTCTTCTGAAGTCTGAACAAGACTATTTGGGAAAATACTAAAATATTTAAAACAACATGACATGGAACATGCTTTGACGTTCCAGGCTGTTTTCCTTGATCAGTTGAATAGGTTTAGGAAACGTTAACTACATGACTAACTGATGCTCAAATACTTGATTATTGTAAGGCAAGACATTGCCTGAAAGAATATTTCCACATGCATCAACTGAGAAGAAAGTAAGAGGACTTCTCCCATATGGAGCAGAGATGGGGAAACTTTGGCCCTGTCATTAGGTTTGGATGCAATGCTAGGTGAAACAGTGGCTTAGCTTTGGGGAGCATGGCAGCAACATGACTATGGGAGGGGCAACGCAGCCACATTTTTCTCTCCAAGTACCCACATGTTCAATCATTCATGCTTAGCCATGGTTTGGCTTCATTTTTGTGTGTACCAGAATCCATGAGCCTATGAAACCATACATTTTGGACAGTTCTTGAAAAGTCTTCAAATAAAAAACAAAGGAAACTGAGCGAAAGCAATGCTGAGAACACAACCCTGTTCTTTGTCTTATGCTGATGTTTCCACCCTATGACTTCATTCTGGAACTAGGAGAAGTATGAGGAAACAAAGCTTTAAGCTGTTTCAGCTTATTTCAGAGACTTGTAGCTGTTGTTACTTTTCTACTAAAGCAAATCTCCATAAAACCTGCATGACGCAATATCTGAGCAAGAACTTAATGCTTGGATGCCTTCACTTACTCATTGCCATTTTTAAAAAATGGGTACTGCAAACTTCTAGGATGAAGGCCACAGAAAGAGTTCTACTGAAGCCAGCTTCTCCATATTTATGAATATCCACTATATATGAATATTTATCGTATTTATAAATATTCCACTCAGGTATATCTAAATTCAACCAATCAGCACTGATTAGTTAACTTAAGTGGACATTCCATTTGATTCTTACCTTTTGGGTTGCTCCAAACTCTGAAGCAGTCACGGATATCATTGTTCCTATTTCAGTACCAAGTTCAGCAGCTGCTTTGCCTTCTTTAGAAGTAACAGGGTCTGGACTTCTGACTGCAGTAGGGCTTGACTTTTCTTGCCCCTCAGGGTCCCCTTGCTGAGCCTCTTTTACTTTCTTGTTCTTTAATGACCGTTCTTTCCCAATGGGACCAGGCTTGTACTCTTTGTTTTCTACTGGACTCAAATCTGAAAGCTATGCAATGTATTAAAAAGATTACCGCCTCTTCGTTTATTATGTTTGTTATTATATAACCTATATTCCATCTTTCCTCCCTCGGCTTTTTTTCAGCCAGAACTTGCCAGAACACAGTTCTAGCACATCTCAGGTGGGCACCATTACCATTAAAAGAGAACGGGGGAAGTGTTCATGGTGAGCTCCGGCACCTCTTTTTCTAGATAAATAGCATTGCTTCCTCCAAGGCAGCAATGGGCGGCAAACACAAACATGAGAAAATACAGTTAAAACTAAAGTATAAACTTTAGTTACAACTACAGCTGGGCCTGAAACCAGACACAATTAGATCTATATAACTGCTTCCTCTAGTCAAACTGCAGCTGGCTGGTCAGCATGGCAAGGTGACTCTCTTAAGTCACCTTGCCATGAATGGAATATTAAGAGACTGGGTGGTAGTTTCTAAAACCTCTGGATCCAGGAAGTTTAAAAAGGGATGCACCACTGCCTCTTTCAAGATGCTTCACATAATTCCCTTTGTAGGAAGGCTTTGACCACTCCCCCAGTCTAGTCAATCCCTGCTACTAGATTTTACCAGTCATGGGCAGAGATCAAGAGGGCACACAGTCAACCTCACTACTGTGTCCTGTCCATGTCCTCAGGCTACAACAACAGAAACTTATCCCACAGGCTGTAACATGATGGTGCTCTGGCATAAAGTCTGACATAGATCCGAGTGATTTCGCCAAAAAAGGGATTCACAAATCTCTTACAGTAAGCTATTGAATGGTTAATGAAACAATACCGGTCTGGACCAGTCAATTTACTATTCTATAAAGCTCCGCTGGGCATTCAGTGATGATATGCCACCACCACTGCCACATGGTAGGTGGAGCTATGTATCTGTACCTCTGTTAGGTCAGATTTGCACTGGGATCTACAGGAATCCACATATCCTACGTTTTTGCTAGTTTTGGGAATTGTTATAATTCATTTTTTCCAGGAGTGAAGTACTGGATTGCAATTCATTATCCCAATAAACAATGTAAGAAAGTATGTTTCAATTTTTATTATCCTGGAAATGCCGCAATTTCTGGTGCCTTATAAATTTTTAATTATTGTCTGTTTTTCTTCTTCTATTATTTCCTTATTTAGGTATTCTTGATGCTCCAGTGTCTTAAGTTGTATTTTTGATTTTCCTAGATAAATGTATAGACTTTGGAGTGAGTTAATTTGTTTCAGTTATATCAACAAGCAATCACAGCAGTTTTTAACATGTGGCAGTTGATTTTGTGAGCACCCCACATAAATATTCAATTCTCCCCCCACTCCAAATAATCAGAAATATGTTAACCAGGATACATAAGCATAGAAGTTTGATTAGATTTCCTCTTGCTGGAACACATGGGCACAAAAATGCAAATGCTTCTGTAGTTCATGAAAGTTGGAGAGTTTCACTTACCTTCTGTGCTTTTATAGGTCCTGCCCGGGGCTGCTTTTGCCTTTGCTCCTTTGGTTCAAGAAGCTTCTCTGAGGTCTTCTCTGAAACTGGGCCAACTTCACTGTCACTCCCACTAGATGCTGGAGCACCAAACTGAATAGTTTCTATTCCCAAATCAATTCCACTTTCTTGCCCAACTGTTGTTCCCTAGTAAGGATCCCAGAAAGTTTAGTTTAACACAGGCACACTTTTGTTCTACAACATTCAATTAAGTAATTCACCATAGCTCTAATGTTATCAGCAAATTTATATTATAACCATTAAAGATTATATTTCATATCAATCAGGTTTTATTTAAGCTATCAGATATTGGTTTGAAGATGTAACACCTGTAAGCTACCTACCTACTAACGAGTAATTTTTACCTGTGAAAACTAGTTACCTATTTGACAAAATGGATAATACGTTTTGCTCCTTTTCACTTCTAGCCACTGACAAATTAGAACACAGCTAACAATAGATGAGAACATGTCTGTTCATTACCTCTGGAGATGGAGCTGATCCAAATGATGTCAAAGGCTTGTTCCATGCACTGACTGAAGGAGGCTGGGGAGGACTAATGGGTCCCACTAAAAGTCCAGAGAACAAGGTGGAATTAGAACAAAATTTGATAGTATAAGTGCTGATTGCAAACTAACTATGATTCCGCCCCCTACATAAAATGAGTGCAAGGCAGCATGCTGCTTGCTAAGAATTCAAAATATTTTAGCATGTTGCATGAAACGGTAAGAGAACATTCAGGACAAAGTATCCCAGTTATCTGCTCACAAAGAACACATTAGTAAAGTGTATGCTAGGAGTTCAGCAATTCTATTGCTTCCAGATTGATTTCTATATTATCTACATCCTCCACTCAAGTAGTAGAGGCCAATGAAAATAAATCAAAAGTTCAGGGGGATGGCATTTTTGGGGAGATCAAATAAGTTTTTCATTTTTGGTTAAAGCTGAAATGCCTAAAAATATCTACTGGCATTAGCCTAGGTAAAAAAAAAGCTCATAGAATTGTGGAGTTGCAAAGGACTCTGAGGGTAATCTAGTCCAACCCCCTGCAATGCAAATGAACAAAGATATGTCAAAGCAGTAAATAATTCTCAACAATTCCCTTTTAAAAAGTGTTCACATAAAAGGCAAATGGCAGGCAGTAAATGTTTTCGCAAACATTGGGTAGTCCTACCCATACATAAGAACAGTGAGGTCAGAGAAAGGAGGAACTGAGAACGGGTATATGTGGACAAGCCTTGGAGCTCTCCATCATTATTAATCACTTCACAGGACAGCTTATCTACGTGGAGGATCCAAAGCATCAATCCAAGAGTAACTGAGGTGCCCAGGAAAGGTTGTCTGTTACCCAAGATTTCAAGCACACATTTTTTTTCTTGCATGTCTTACCAGGAGGAAAAAATGGCTTGCTTACATTTTTTTGAGATGTCATTGAGGACTGTTGTAGGTGGCACTTTATTATCCCATAATTCGGTTCCCACAGCATTATGAGATGGTGTGTTCTGAAGAGTTTTGCTTGTTGCTGTATACTCAGTGCTGCTGCTTGCTGCACAGGTTGCCTGTGGTTGCAGCTGGACTGAAGTCTGTGGACTTGGAATCTGAGACACACACTGAAGGGGGAGTTGCGGTTGAGCCTGAACCTGAACCTGTTGAGTGGCAGCTGCGGCTGCTGCTGTCGCCTGCTGTTGCTTTTTGGCAAACCTGGGTGGTAGTTTGGAATTTGGACACCTTCCTTTTTCATTTGAATTCTTTTTGGTCCAGACCTAAAAATATGTAAGATTGTTAAGAGAGCCTGCTGTTTACCTGCCCAGAACAACTGAAATGGAAACTCTGCTCCAAAGAACTGTTAAGATATTTTGTTTTCCCATATACATCAGTTGGGCTTTTTTAAGCTACAACAGGGAAAATGAAGGTTTTATGAAAGGTTTATTAAATCACAAGACATATGGAGAAAGTAAGCAGGAACACTGATTTACACTCAATATAAAATGGCCATCCACTAAAATTGACAAGAAGCACATTCAAGGTGAAGTACTTTTTGCAAACAATATACAATTTAACCTATGGAACTTATTGCCACTGATATGATATCCACTAGCGTTAAGGCACTCTAAATTAAAGATTGGATGAACTCATGGATGACATTACATCAATTAGCTACTACTAGTTGCAAAACTGATTCCTTATTTTCAGTGCCAATATAGCAATGGGCTCAATTCTCATAATATCCTGATTGTGAACTCCTGAAGCACTCTGGTGGTCAGTCAGGGTTCGTCCACACTTCCACTCATCCCTTGCTTAGAAAGCACAGGTCTGAGTGGTTTTCCCCTTGTCCTGTTCCTTTCCTCTCTCTCTCTCTCTCTCTCTCTCTCTCTCTCTCTATATAATTTCTGATTTTCAATTTTGTACATTTCAATAATTTTACAGCCATTTTAACATATCAAAACTTGACTTCCTTCTTCCTCCTTCTGCAGTTCTTTAAATTTATTTTTTATATTTTCTGCATATCTAAATTAACTTAATTTGTTCATTTATTCATCTCCCTTAAATATATACTCTTATAAAACTGCAGGTTATTACAATAATTCTGCCAATGTTCTTATCTGTTTACAGTTTGTTTGTAAATATTCAACAAACTATTTCCATTTTCATGTTTTTCCGGTAAGTTTTTGTATCCGTACTTCTTTTGCTGGGACTTCTTTCCATTTTTGGGCAAGTAACATTCTTGCCGCTGTAGTTGCATACATGAATAAATTTCAATATAGTTTGGGTAGTTCTGTCCCTATAATTCCCAAAAAGAAAGCTTCTGGTTTTTTTACAAACATTATTTAAAACAGGGGTCAGCAAGGCTTATCGGCGCAATGCGACGCCGGAAATCCCTTCTGTGCATGCCCAGATGCCAAAAATCGCACCTGCGCAGAAGCGATTTCCAGCGCTGCAGACATGCGCAGAAGCAATTTCCAGCGTCTCGGCATGCGCAGAAGCGAATTTCGGAGCCACGGAAGAGAGTCCCCATGCTGTGCTGTGCCGGTTTAGTGCAATGCGTGGGGACTCGCTGAGCGGGCGGCTCGGTTCGGTTTGGGAGGCAGCTCATGAGCCAGTTAAACAGCCTCCGTGGGCCACTTCCAGCCCATGGTTGCCGACCCCCAATTTAAAACATCTTTTTCAATTCATTATATATCATTTCCCAGTAAGCTTTAACCTTACTACAAAACCACCACATATGATAAAAAGAACCTTCTTTCGCTTTACATTTTCAGCACTTACTTGATTGAGATTTATACATTTTTGCCAGTTTACTCGGTGTTAGGTACCATCAATATATCATTTTCATACAATTTTCTCTTAGACATAACATGCTGTAAATTTTATATCCATATTCCACAATTGTTCCCTTGCTCCATATATATGTTGTGACCAATATCTATTCCCCAATTTATCATTAAGGATTTTACTTGCTCACCCCATTCCAATAATATCTTATACATTTTAGCCAGGACTTTTACATTACATTCCATCAGGTCACTCTCCAGTTGTAATATTTGTCCCCCAAACCCTCGTATCCTATCTTTCTTAAATACATCATTCAAATAATGATATTGTATCCATGCTGTTATGATAATTTCTTAAATTCTTTTAATTGATAATCTCCTCCCTCATTTTAATAAATTTCTATAAGTTGTCCACCCTTCTATCATATTTTTTCTTTACCGCTATAGCTTCCAACGGTGAGAGGCAAAGTGGTGTTTTAACCTCTAATAGATTTTTGCATTTATCCCATACTCTACACATATTTTTGCTACTTATATGATTTGTAAATCCTTTATGTACTTTCACTTTTCATATCATAAATAAGCGTGCCAACAAAAATACTACCATGACCTTCTAAGTCTAGAATACATGAATTCTCTAATGTCATCCATTCCTTCAACCAACAAAGGTAAGATGCTTCACAGTATAGTCTCATATCCGGCAGGGAACAACCTCCTCTCTCTTTTGAATCTATCAATATTTTATATTTTATGTTCAGTTTTTCCCCTTGCCAAATATATTTAGAAATATCTTTTTGCCCTGTTCCTTTCCCAGGGAAAACCCAGTTTTTAGTGCTAAATCAGAGAAAGGCCAAATTGTTGTGTGCTCCAATTTAGTGCCAAAGGACTGTTTGAGGTTTTCTACATGGGAAAGCAGCAGGATAAGAGGAAGTGTGGAGAAGCCCTCAGTCCAGAGAACACTCAGCTGCTCAAGCAAAGGATTTGATCTTAGAGAAATCTGCCATGTATTGAGAAATCTGCCATGAACTGCAAGCAGCATGTGTTGCTCAGAGCTGAAACGCCAGACCTTCAATGACTATCAGAAAGCACTGTTAGAGCTAACTGGAATTTAAGCGACTTCCCAAATAAGACCAATGAATATGGGTAAGTAAGAATAGAGACTGAAATGTGTTGCCATGAAAGGTTAGGTTTACAAATTCCACCACAGGTTTTGACATTTTTGAAGAAAGTTTATTTATTCTGTTTCAGTCTCCACCAAAGGGCCAGCAAGCCAGCAAATAAATAAATAAATCAGGGTTCCTGTCAAATAAGTAAGAAATTCACTACATTTTTAAAAAAATAACTGCATCATACAAAACTGAGCAACTCAGCATCCTTCTGTGAGAACTGGAGCTTGTGGGTAACCTGACAGGCTGACACCATGGAGTAAGACTATTTCAGAAAGTAACCAGCTCAAGTGAACAATGCTTTTAGAGAAATCTTGCTACTGAGTTATTCATGCAAGTGTGAGCTCACAATGGAGGGCAGGAATGCACTGCATATGCACGTATTAAATAACGTGTACAAAAAAGATGCCTGGGACAGAGAGAGATGATACTAAACCTGCACTGTTTGCTCTTCCTTCTTCCTGCGTTCCTCATCTTGCAGGCGTTTTTGTTGCTTTTTTGATACCACTTCAGTAAAACCATCATTGTTCAAATTGGACTGGGAATCTTCAACTACTGTCACTTCAGGATGGTCATCAATAATCACAACACCTGTAATGAAGGTCCGAAATTTAGTTATAATTAACCCCAATTCAAATAAATGAAGCCATCATCTGTGGGGTTGGTTCAAATGGCAGAAAAAACCCAAAATAAAATACTATTATACTGCAGACCCATTTATGCACGTTCAGTATGTGTGCACATGCCGAACCTGGAAGTCATCCAAAAAGTCACACAAGAGGCAGAGTAGGGCATGGTGGAATGGGGGGTTTGCAGGCTTTTTCCAATGGTGTTTCAAATATACACAATTTCACTGATGTGTGCAGTGCCTCGGAACATAACCCCCACGTAAATGTGTGTGTGTGTGTGCCTGTAATACATTTAAGATTCTGAAGAGGAGCTTCCAGGACATACTTGCATAGTTGTTAAGGTCAAATTGAGAAATTGCATCCACTTTCTCTTTCGGTTTCTTTGGACCAGCTTTAGGCTCTTCTCGCTTCTTGATGTTGGGATCTTTGGAACCTTTCAGCGCAGCAGCGCTGTTCCCACTTTCTTCTGGATGTAAACTGCTCCCAACTGTTTCAGCACTAATCACAACTGCAGCTTGTTCTTCAAATGGTCTGTATCATAAACACAAAATGAGATAGCATTGTACAGCAAAAGGTGGAGGAGAAGGGAGAGACAGAGCTACATAGAACTTTAATAAGACTTTAGTTGAAGCTAACACGCTCCATTCTGTGCATCACAATGAATTCAGAAAAGATACTGAGAAATGACAAAGGAAATAGAAAGATGGCAAAGAGCCTATAACCAAGTTGTAGAAGAAAAACTAATGGGAGTTGCATTTGGTTTAGTTCAAAACTTAAGTGGGTGAAATTGTTCAACAATAATTTAGAGGTAGAACTTAACTACAGGAGTGCTATTGATATTTCCCTGAAAATACCAAAAGTGGGGATTTTACCGGAGGGGGGGCACAAACCTGGTGGTAGAATACATGACTTGCATGCCCTGACATGTCCTAGTAGATACAGCTGTGAAAGAGTCCTGCCTAAAAGCCTTGGAGCAGCTGTCTGTCTGTTTAGGTTAGATGGGCCAACAGTCTGACTCTACATAAGACAGGTATCTTTGTCCCTACAGACTTATACATTTGTTTTGAGTATAGCCTATTTTAATGGCAGGAAAGGGATCTCTAGATGTTTTGATTCAGATACGGTATAGGAAAATGTATCTGATGAAACACTTCTCCCAACAACTTCTAAAGGCAAATTTGTAGATGCTTGAAACTCCTACTGGAGGAGTTGCTGTTTCAGAGTTGTAGGCAATGCTAGTCCTACTCTGAATAATTTGACTATGAATGGTTTAGAACTATTAATTTCAGTGGGTCTAATCCGAGTATAATTTAATTGGATATGACCCACAAATTTGTTTTTCCTCTGCGTACACTGAGCTACAAGGACTGATCAAGGTTCAATTTGGTTAGCTAAAGAGATTCTGTTTTAGTAAGGTGTTTGGGAAAACTCCTGGAACTGGTGCAGAAAATTATACTTCACCACCAGACTTTAACACAAAAGAGTAAGTGACTCAATTCCACAACTTGTATATGAGGAAATAAACTTTAAAAAGGTAAAAAGCAGTTGGGGTTACAGGTGCCGGAGACAAGAATAATTTGGGGCAAGCATCATTGTGGGTGGTGGTTTGTTCTTCACAGCTTTCTGTCTCTATCCATAATTATCACCTCAATTTTCCATTTATTTTGCAACCATTAGATACCACTTATCAAAGCTAGTTAACTCAAACCCATTGAATGGTCATAGCTCTTTAAACCAATTTGGTTAAGTGAATCTATTTTTAAGTTTCCAGTGAACTCAGTAATTGAATGAAATTTCTGCATCAATCTTCCAGTGGCAAACATACTTACCCCCTTTTCCCAGTTCTTGTTGGAGGGCCACTTCTCCTTTCATTTCTTGGCCCTGAGAAGTTCCGTCCAGATTTGGGTGGTCCACAATTTCCACGACGATTTTGCCGATCAATCCCAGGCCGCTGACTGGAAAAACTTCTCTTGGCTATTTCCCTTTTTGGGGCTAGCATGCTTTCCCCAGTCTTAACAGCTACCTGTGCTGTAACATCTGCTATTTTTTTTTCATCCCTCTCACGCCTCTCATTGAAATCACTACTTTCTGAAGCAGTTTCCCACTCTTCATTTGCTTGGTCTGAGGAGTTCTGATTGGACAAGTCTGGTGTCTTACTTCCTGACACCTCCAAAGTAGTGCTTGGCTGTTCATTAACTGCGCTACTCATTGCAGCACTTGATGATGAGCTGGTTGTGGCTTCACTTATTTTTGATGCTGCCTCTCTCTCTTTTAGACGCCTAAAGCGTGGTGGCTTATCTTGCCTGGGAGGTCGTGCAGGTCTTTGCCTACGAGGCCTTTCCCGAGTAGGATCAAATTTTCTCTCAAACTTCGCAGGTGGCCTTTTATCCAGTGATATAGAACCATAATGGTCATGCCTTTGTGGGGGCTCCCCATCTTCAAGTTTGGGGGGTTCCATCTGCCTCGGGTTCCACTGATTCTCTCTGTATCCTGGTTTCCTAAGAGTAGACGGCCGAGGTGGACGGCCAACTGGATCTCTACCCCCACGTCTGAACATGCCCCCCCTGCCACGTCTAGAAGGTTCTCCTTTAGGAAGAAATCCTGGTTTGGGTTTATTCTCATCTTCCCTCCCGTAAGTTTTGTCTAAAACCCTATTGTCCCCTCGGATATTATGTTCAGGTTTATAAGACAATATGGCTTTTGCAGGCTTTTTGACATCTGTCTTTTCTTCTCTCTTTGGGTGTCTGCCTTTGCTTAAGCTGTCCTTGTCTGAAAGAAGGGTGTCACTTGCACTTTCATGCACTTCACTGTCAGAGTCAGTTTCTGAGCCTCTCTGTCTTCGCCGTTTTGGAACTACTTCAAAATCAGAGCTCTCACTACGGGTTTCACTCTCTTCTCTCTGCCTAAGAGGACCAGAAGGCACGTGCTCCACACGAGGCTTAGTGTCTCTGTAATGTGGATAGTCTCTATTGTGGCCTCTCCCACCTCGACCCCTGCCTCCATAAGAACCTCTGTAGCTTCGTCCTCTAGAATAATATTCTCCACGTCCTCTGCCTCTGTATCCTTGGTCTGGAAACCAGTCCCTATCCCTAGCTTCTTTCCAGTATGTTCTGGGAGGCAAACCAGGTTCTCTTTTCACAGGTCTAGTTTCCATACGAGGTCTCTCTACAGTTCGTTCTTTGTTGATTACTTTCTCTGGCTGCTTTTCTTCCTTTGTTGTGCTGACAGGCTGCTGAACTGGTAGCTGCTGGATAGTAAGGGATGGAAGCTCAACAGTAATTTGTGGACTAGGCAGCTGTGGAGCTATGGGTGGAGATGTCTGTACTGCAGGTGGCTGCTGAGACACTGGTGGTACAATTGCAGGCTGCTGGACAATGAGAGGCTGCTGCACAGCAGGTGTAACTGGGGACTGCACAGGAGCATCTGCACAGTCTGAAGCTTGTGGTGTGCTTTGCAATGCCTTTTTACCACCAGTGGTTGTCTTCTCTGGTTCTAGCCTGGGAGGTGGAACCTGAGACGGTTCCTTTTTCTCAATCTTGCTAGCTCTCTCATTTGTCAGTTTTTCTCCTTCTCTTTCCTTCTTTTGTTCACGCTCTTCTCTTTGCTCACGCTCTTCTTTCATATCTCGAAGGATAGGCTTTTTAATAGGACCAGACCTTCTCACTGGCCTATCACTACCTTCCTCTCTTCTCCCATAACCTGGTCGTGGACCCCACCTAGTTTCAGATTTAGGCTTAAAGGGTTTTTCAGGCTTTGGTCCTTCAGACAGCCTATTAGTTACAAACACTTCTTTTTTCAGTTTACTATCTATTCTTTCAAGAATTGGTTCTTTTGGCTCAATGTGTCTGCTGCTGACTTTGGAAACATTTGATTGTGTATCATTTGCTTGGTCTTCAGATTTCAGAGAATGGCTTGACCCATGAGAAGTGCTCTTCAGGGAAGTATTGCTCTCCTCTACAAGCATTTCTTCTTCCTTGGAGATTTGGGAGACATTTTCTGCATTTACATCAAAACTCTGTGCAGGAGCAGGTGTGTCAGTTGGGTGAGGCTGAGCATCTTCTAAGGACCTGACTGAAGTCTTCTGTACACTCATTTCACTGGGTTCTTTGAAGAAGTCCACCTTTGTCTGAGAGTCCAAATGAATCTGTTCTGCTGTGTAAACCTCTTGAACAGCTATGTGTTCTTGATCCAGAAGTGCCTCAGGCCTAAAAGAAGGAAGCCACAATTTAAGTTGAATTCCTATCAAAGTCTCTATATATTAAACATGATAAAAAGAATGCAGGACAACTGCTGTAGGATTAGCCCATACAATGTTCACAAAAGACAGAAAATCATTTCTGGAGAGCATTTTAGCCAATGAGCTTGTGGTAGGGGACGAGGCTAAAACAGGGGTAGCTAGCCTTTGGCCTCCAGATGTTGCTGGATTACAACTCTCATCACTCCTGCCCTGACAATTGGCCATGCCAATAGTGTCCGTGCCCACCCCCACCCCCAAATTGCACTAACAAACCCCTGAAGCAGCCAATTAGGAAGAATCATTCTGCTGGTCCCTAGAGAGAGAATACAAACTACCGATTTGAGAAATATCTTTTGTGCCCCAAAATGTGTCCCTAATATAGTCTTACAACTTGAAGCAAGGCATTTGTTATTTGCAAACAACAGTGTTGCCCCTTGCAATTGGTTATTGGATTTTACGCTCAACGCGCTTGGACTATCACAAGCTTTGTCTGCAGGCCAGATCCCAACCTCCCCCAAAGGCCACTTTGACAGCAGACATCAGGTAACAACTTCAAAAGGCCCCACTGAAAGTGAGTCCCTTTGCACTGTGAACACCAAACAGCTGAAAGCACACATTCAAAGGTCTTGCTTTCAGCTTCAGACCCCTCAGGTGCACCCATCAAGAACTCCCTAGTGCAACACATCCCAGTGAGATTCCTTAACAGTGAGCTATCCTTGTAAAAGAACAAGTGGGAGCCCATTTTAAGCTCATAATTGTTCCTTTGTAGCTGCATCCTTACCTATATATCAACTGGCATCACATATGTCTGGTATTAGGCAACAGGAAGTGGTTAGGGAAACAATCTTGTGGGCCAAATTAGAACCCTAGATGGATCTAACTTGGCCCATGAGCCAGATATTCCCTAGGCCTGTTTTATGGTATGTGAAATGCACAAGATGCAATAGGATAATGCAGAAAAAGATAAACAGAATACAGTAAGAGAATCCCAAAGCTTACCTTAGATCTTCAGTGTCTTCTAGGATTTTGGGGGGATTGCTAGTCTGCTGAGGCTCTGCATGAGGATATGGTTCTGACCCCCACACCATGCGCGGTTCTGACAGAGGAATAGCATGCTCCCTTGCTGATCGAGTAACATGATCAAAAGAGTCCGCAGCAGTTCCTGCCCCTTCCATCTGGTCCCTTCTTAGAAGTGGCTTAGGAGGTATTATTCCTATAATGGAGATATTGAAATTAAGACGTTAAACCATACAGCTCAAAAAAGTAACTGAAAGGTCAGCGGTTCAAATCTATGTGACGAGGTGAGCTCCCATTGCTCTGTCCCAGCTTCTGCCAACCTAGCAGTTTGAAAGCATACCGCTGCTATGGGAAGGTAAATGGCGTTTCCGTGCACTCTGGCACTCGTCACAGTGTTCCGTTGTGTCAGAACCCTACACATCAAGATGATCTTACAAATGGAATTTTTAAATTTAGAAGCTGTTAATAAAAATTTTCTTCTCACAAAGAAATGTTGTTGTGGAGTGACTTTTCTAAGGCTTGTAAAGTTTTCTTCATGAAGTACTGTGACAGACTCACTAGCATACAACATCACAGTACTTAGAATCTGTGCCTAGCACAAAACTCTACAAAGGCTAGAACCTTCCTGCTTGCCCATTAAAAAATATAGCAGCACATTTTGAAAGCATCTTAAGATCCCTCCCCTCTTCACAATGGGACATCCTGACTTTTGAATATGTTCTGTGGAAAGAAAAGGCCTAAAGGTAACAGAGTACAACTGGCAGCATTTAATGTAATGTTTAGTGATGTTACTAATTACTGATGCTGGTATTCAGCAATTTCTTATTTGTAACAGAGTTTAAAAGAAAACAAAAACAAAAAAAGCACCTGCAGCTTTCTGCTGTCTGTCAAAGAGATATCTTAGCCAGACTCCTCTGAAATGAGCAACAACTATGCCATCACAACTAAAACTTACATAGTAATTTTCTTGATAGACTGTGCCCAAGGACAATGCAATTTCTAGAGAGCTTTCCTAAGCTGGATAGAACCCCAATAAAGTGCCTTAAGCCCACAGAGAGGGGTTGGGAACAGGAAGAAGCTTCTGGAATTACAGTGGTACCTTGTTTCTTGAATTTAATCTGTTGCAGGAGTCCACTCGACTCCTGGAACAGTTCAAAGACCAAGGTGCGGCTTCCAATTGGCTGCAGGAGCTTCCCGCATTCAATCGGAAGCCGCATCAGATGATGTTCGACTTCCAAAAAACATTTGCAAACCAGAACACTCACTTCTGGGTTTGCAACGTCTGGGAGTCGATTTTTCCCTGACAACTAAGGCGTTCGACTACCAAGGTACCACTGTATCTTAATCATCCCAAGAACAGGTCAGGTGGTAGGATTCCATTGTGCATCACCAAAAAAACATTTCAAAGGAATGTATAACGGGACTTTGCCCACACTTAATCCTATATGCCCCTCAAAGAATGGGTTCAGCTGACTTGGAGGAGAAATAAACATGCAGAAATCCCAAGAGGGAGAAAAGATCAGATGAAAAAAGGTAGCAGGGACTGGGACCCACACCCTGCATTGAAGAGCTCAATGAGCCTGAACAAAGGTTGCAAAGGGAAGCCTAAATGCACTTATCCACCCCTCCTGCCTCTGTTGAATTATTTGCAAAGGGGAATGAAACGCAGCTGTGAGGCTTGCTCACAGTCCTAAGAACTGTGGGCCAGGAATAAGCTCAGCCTGGAAAGAACAGTGTTCACTACTGCTGTCTTTTTTCTCTCCCTTGCCTACAAAAGAGGAGCCTTAAACAAATCAGATAAAAATCAGCAGAACAGTGCAGACTTGGAAGTCATTCACTATAAAGGCAGGAGAAAAGACTTTAGGGAGGTAGGGGGTATCCCTAGAGATCAGCCATCATGTAATCATAGAAGAAAATATGTTTGGACCACTGGGATAACAGCAAACAGACATAAACCACCCCTTTTGAAAACAACAACAATACAGCAACTCTCTAATTTAGCAGTCAGTAAACATCTATGAAATAAACTGGGCAGCCAGATGTAGTGAAACACACCACATACGACAATAAATTAAATTGCCAAAATTAGAGTACCATAATTCCACAGAAACAGAACACGTTTTGCTAGGATATAACAAAGGTGTAAGATGCATCTCTTTTAAGAAGGAGTTCCACTAGCAGGATGCAAATACAGAAGCAACTTTTTCAGTAGCCATCAGTCTAAAATGAGCCAACCAAAGGAGGATCTCAATTGCCATACCGATTCACATTAGAGTAGGCAAACCATTAGGGACCTTTGTCCCAAACCATTTAGGGCTTTAGAACTCTAAAATAAGCACTCTGAATTGTGTCGAGCAACAAATTGAGAGCCAACTAAACACCATTAGTATAGGTGAGATTTGTACCTGGATGCATGGGTGGCATATCCATAGCAGGCCTTCCTGACATCATTCGTGGATCCACGTAAGATTGCATCATGAGCCACCGTGGATCAAAGCCCATAGAAGCCAAATGTGGGGGATGTGGCTGCATGGGCTGATAGAGCGGTCTATGTGGTGGTGGGGGAACAGGGCCAGCAGAAGGCTGAGAAGGTGTAGACTGTGGTAGGACCCCTTGCTGCTGCTGCTGCTGCCACTGTTGCTGTTTCATCTGCTCCTATAAAGCAAGAGAAAATATGAAATTTTTGATAAGCTATAGCAAATTGCTTTTAAACAAGTTTTCCCCCTAAAAATGTTTTAGGCACCTGATTTCAGAGCTTTTTTGGCTATGCTCCAATTCCAATTGAACCCAATAATTCATTGGTACACACATAATGCTCTTAAGCTTCAAGCTCTGATTATGAGGTTAATGTTTGCTAGATATGGCCAAGACAATAGACATAAACCTTAGCCATGGTTAATAATAAGGACAGGAGGAATTAGCATTTGGAAGTGTTATCACTGTATTAGGTCACTGAGGACAAAAAGAAGGAAACAAGGAGGACCATTATTGGAAAAACTTGGATGGGGAAGACAAGACTATCTTAGCACTGAGGAACATAGTGGACAGACAAATGAATCATCTGGCACTGTAATTTGAATGCTTAGTTCCAGCATGGTAACATTTGCAAATCTTAAATATGATAGATGGCAAGCTATGGCTGACAGATCATTGAATAACAGCAAAGGTTACAAAACACTTATGAATACGGGAAGTTATTACTTGCCAACTACTCCATGTTACCCACATCTTACAGTAAAGTTTAGTTACTTGTCTGGTGTCTCCCCTTAACCACAAATCACAATTCCCCCCCCGCAAGTTTTATGATTATTCACCCTGAGAATGCAAATTTATACTATTAATTAATTAATTTTGTATACCATCCTTCATTTGAAGATCTCACAGCAGTTCACAGTGCAGAAATGCAAAATAAATAAATACATAATAAAAGCAAGGGGAAAACACCAATCCAACCCATAACTTCATCTCCCACAATTTAATAACTATATGTATTAATCTCAAAGTGCTATCCTTTTACCTGTTGTCTCTGAAACCTTGGTGGCAATGATTTCTGAAACTGTTTTGAATAGCCAGAAGAAATAGCAGGACGAGGCTGAGCACCAGAATCAGTCTCGCTTTCATGAGAACTTTCTCTTTCACTATGATTGCTTTCTTGAGTGGTGGAAATAGCTTGACACACTGTCCAGCGGTGGGGAATGCAAGAGAAAAATAACATTGGCACCATGTATGATAAATATGGATGATTACAAGTTCAAACTCAAAAACCACTCCAATTATCTTAAATATTAATGTAGGTGGGATTTTTAAAAGACTTATTGGACATCATGACAAAGCAATGCTGAAACTGGGGAATAGGAGAGGCAGAAACTACACAAATGTGGCACAGGTAAGAAAATGTTATCTTGAAAGCACACCCCATGGAAATAGGTACGTAAGCTATGGAAAGTGCACAGACCACAGTTCAGGACACCTTGTAATAAACAGAGGCCATTACCTATTATGTTCCTGATCTACAAACGGTTTAGAAATCTCACCTTAAACAAGAATTCCATCTCCATAAATCTGGAATAGATGTGCAGATTAAAACAATGTGTTTTTAGAGGCTTTTTGGAAGCTGTCACTGAAGCAGTTCCCATTGCAAATTAAGCACTTTGTTAATAAACATAAGTGACAGCTTGCTTTTTTAGCAATGTGTACATTGGCCGCAATCCTGGTGACAGTCATGCAACTAAAACCCCATTAACTTTAATGCATGAAGGACTGAAGCAATGTTTTTAATATACATATTTATCTGGAATGTGGCACATACTATTCAAAATTGATTAGACAAAACTTGCAAATGCATCCTGCTCCTGACCTTTCAGGCATTCATCAGGAAGGTTTGTTTTAAACCCACCTTATAAATTTTCTGTCAGAAGACTTATTATTTCAGATATTACAAATGCTACTTTATAATCTAGGCCAGAGGTTTTCAACCTTTTTGAGTTCACGGCTTCCTTGACCAACCACATTATTTCTGCGGCACCCTGTGGGGTTCAGGAGCCCAGTTATGTCACCCCTTGTCTGCAGAGCTGGCAGCCTCTCACCCTTTTTCGAACACCCTCTCTCGTGGGGTGTCCCCGCAGCCTCCTTTCTTCTCTCCTCTCCTTGAGAGTCATCCAGGCAGTTGCTGCTGCTGGTCCTGGTCTCTGAGCTGCACCACCCTGCCCCAAAGAGAGGTGCCTCCTCACACTGCCCCACAGGGGCCTGGGAAAAGGATGCCCCCAGCCTTAGTGGCCCAAGGTGAACATGAGGCCAGCACCTTAGCTTGGGAAGCAGCAGTGGGTGCTGCAGGGCCTGCATGGTGGAAAGGCTCCCTATCAGCACTAGGCACTCAGCTTCTAGGCAGGCCTTGCATACAGCAAGCACCAGAAAGGCGAGCGCAGTGCCTGCCTGCCCAGACTCCCACTGGTTTGTCCATTCTCAACAGCAAGGGCTGGGGTGGACTGGCTGGCTGGGTTCCATTGCCCACTTGCTTGAATATTCCAAGGCCGCCTCAGCTCCTGGCGACCAGCATCCCCTGGCCAGCACCAGTGGCACCATTCACCTGGAGAGCTTGTTGTCAGCACTGCTGCAACAAACAGCTGTGCAAGCCTTTAGGACGCAGAGACTTGAGAGGGCATCAGAGGAGGGAGGGAGGGAGGGAGGGAGGGAAGGAAAGAGGGACAGAGGCCAGTGTTGCCTGCAGCACCCCGACCCATAATTCAAGGCACCACAGTGTGCCATGACACACTGGTTAAAAACCACTGATCTAGGCACATGTAATCACAACCAAGTAAGCTTTGTCTTCTAGCCTTAGTTTACAAGATGCTGAATGCAGTTGCTATTTATCTCATTTATGATTAACCCATGAGGCATTCTGAAACAATTTACGACATTTCCTTCAATATATCCAAAACTAAAAGTAGTACAGTGGTACCTCTGGTTACGAACCTAATTCGTTCCGGAGGTCCGTTCTTAACCTGAAACCGTTCTTAACCTGAGGTACCACTTTAGCTAATGGGGCCTCCTGCGGCTGCACAATTTCTGTTCTCATCCTGAGGTAAAGTTCTTAACCCGAGGTACTACTTTCAGGTAACCCGAAGTGTTTGTAACCCGAGGTGTTTGCAACCCGAGGTACCACTGTACAGTTCTTAGGCAGTGCTATAGTTAGGATTCTAGTTACAGACAGCAGGTTGCTTACTTTAAACAAACAAAATAACTGGTACAAACCTCTCTCCTCTTTACTGCTGCTTTCACTTTCTTGTGGCTTCTCAACTGTAACAGATGGAGTGATTGGCTCTTGAGGTTCAGACACTTCAGCCTTTGGTTTCTCTTCTGCTTCTTCCCTCTCCACTTTTTCCCTTTCCTTCTCTGCTTCCTTTTCCCTCTCTTGGTTTTCTTTTTCTTCCCTTTCCTTTTCTATCACTGTGTCTTTTTCCTTTTCACTTACTTTTTCCCTCTCCTTATCAGTATCCTTCTCCTTTTCCTTCTCCTTTTCTTTTTCTTTCAGTGGGTCTTCTCGGGGTGGTTTTGTTACACAGCCAAATTTCTCATTTAACCGTTTTAGCTTTTCAGCACATGCTGCTTTTCTTTGCTCTTCCATTCTTCGCTCCTCTTCCTCTCGCCTTTTACGGGCTCGTTCTACAGCTGCAGATACTTCTGCTTGCTGTCTTCGCCTCTGTTTCCAAATCTCATCCTCATCTGGTGTTGGCCTAGGAGGAAAGGGACCTTGCTTTCCTGGCCCTGCCAAGCGATCTGGAAGTGGATGCTATGTTTTTTGAAATAAAAAAGTGCAAAAGTCTCAAACAAAGGCAGTTTTAGACCCACTACAGAAGTGTATATGCAAAGTGATTCAATGGTTCTTTTATCAACTCTGAAACAGGGGTCTTCAATCTATGAACTGTCAGAAGGTCTCACACTAAAGTTAGGCCTAACAAGTGAAGTGCTGATCACAAGCAATGCAAACTAGAAATGTGCAATTCTGCTGGAAATCCCAGAGTTCTATTTATTTCCCCCTAGTTGGGCAGCTGTGCAGAAGAATGGGCCTCAATTAAAAGTTGTAAGGAGGAAGAAAACTTTATCTTAACAGAGAATAATGCTAGGGCTAAGGGCACTGCAAACACCTACTACTCTAAAAGCATCTTTTCAATTCGTTGTAAACTGACAAGCAAAGAATAAAGAAATAGCTGCAATAAATATTTGCCAGCAGTGGTTTCCAAACTTCTCCGACCCATGGACCACTTGGAAAATTGCAAAGGGTCTTGGCAGAACACTTATTTATTTTTCTGCCTGCTGTAGCAATTGCAATGTGCTGTGCAGGGTGCTGCAGGATTTATAAATATATTATTGCTTCTTTTATTTCTTAAATGCAGTGTTAGAAATTCCCAACTGCAACCATGTGGAGATCTCTGTACGCCGGGTTGGCAAATGGCACCCCCATCTGGTTGGGTCCTTAAGAAGCTAAGCAGAAGAACTTATTTATTGCATTTATATCCCACCTTTTTCTCCAAGGAGTACATGGATCACCCTCCTCCTCAGTTAATCCCTACAATGACCCTGTGACATAGGTTAAGAGGCTGTGACTGGCCCAAGATCACCCAGTGAGCTTCATGACTGAGTAGGGATTTGACCCTGTCCTCCAAGGTCCAAGTCCAATACTCTAACCACTATACCACACTACTGGCTCCCTACAGTACTTCTGCTATGGGGCAAGCTATATAAATTAAGTGGGTAAATAAATAAGGGGGAAGCAAAATGTCAATTGGAGAAGAATCTGAAATATTTTCCTTGAAGCTTGAATTTGTTTTATTCTGTATTTAATTTGATGTTTTAATGCTGTAAAAGCTTTGAGATTTTTTCAATAAAATATAAAGCAGTATAGAAATGAAATGACTACTACCACTACTAAATTTCATTGGGAAAAAGGGCTCCTAGACATTCCATTGTGGCATCCATAACCTAAGTTTAAGTTGCGATCTGACAATTAGTTTATATATTTGAGTTTCTAACACTGCTTACAGGTATTTTATTGCACATGTTACTTGCAACTTGTGCACATTTAACTTTTGTGCATTCAGCTTTATGCACCTGGCAAAATTTCTTTTAAGATTTTAAAAGGGATGGAAAGGGGGTGAGCGTTTGGGGGGAAAGACTTTGGCAATCGCACCCGCCCACTGAACCTAATGTGTTTCGACTATACGTCATTTTGGTTTTAGGTGTTATCCCCGGAATGTAACTCAAGTGTAAGCTGAGTCACCTGTATCACAATTTGAATTCCACAGAATTAAAACTGTTACATGCTCTTCAAAGACATGCTGTGGGCCACCTGAATGAAGTTTGCAGACCACAGTCCAATTCCCTGTGCTGTATTTTATGGAATTACTACATTTTAAAAATGTGGATTGTAAGGAGTGGAGAAGATAGCCTGTTTTAATCTCTCAACTGAAAGTAATTTACTGCAAAGTATTGCAGCTGGGATCCAGAAGATTGTGCATAGATATTAAACATAGGAACCAGGGATTTGTTGCCTCCCATTCAGAGCATATACCTCCTCTGCCTTACTATGGCACTGCTAAGGGAGGGCCCTTGGAGCAGCATTTGATGTGATGTGTGGGACTGTAGCCTGAAGGGGGAAATCACTCCCTGGACATGCATTGCTACACATCCAAAGGCCTCTTTGAAGTCTACAAAGTCATTTAAAGGAAAAAACAAATGGAATGAAAAAATCAGCTGGTCTTCCATGTATTACAATGTGCACTGCATGACTACTATGCAAAGCATAATCTTACATTTTACTAAAAAATTAGAGAAAGTTAAGGATTGACAGTTGGGCCCAGAGGTGAATTTTGCTCATACCTGAACAGATTTTGGCTGAAGCCCAGAACTGCCCCTCTCAAGCACTAAAGACTGGGCTGGTGTCAGACTGCGTTCCTATTGGATTAAAAAGCACAACCGTAAATATTCTTGTGAAACAAACCAAATGCTGTTGATGTAATCCTTTACTAGTTCCCTTTCAGTTGGATGTACTCAGTATGATGTACACAACATGTAATTACTCACTTAGGAATCATTCTTAACACACACACCTTCATGCTCCTGAAGGGAAAAAGGGCAGAGGTGTCCTTTTGTCCAGTGCTGCTGGCTACTGAAGGAACTGTGGTCACTGAAGGTGTGGCACTGTTTGGGTGTTACCACCAGCCATATTCCCACTGGCAGTGGCTGCCACAACACCCCCAAAAGGGTTGTTTTGAGTGGGTGGAATAGTGTCAGCCAGGGGGCTGCTGGATCCTAAACGGGCCCAGTGACAGGCCAGGGGCTTGATCCAGGTCTTTCTGTTGCAGCAACATAGTGCAGCATAACAATACGCAAACCAGAACAAAAAATGTGACCTTCCTGTCCTGGCCAACAGAAGCTGGCAAGGATTTGGATCCAGCACTGGCTTCCTTCACTTCCATCATCCCCTAGGCCAGGGGTCCGGGGTTAGGATTCATCGTTCTATGCCAACACTAAAATCCCCAAAATATCCAGCAACAGAATCAAACATTCTTAAATCAGCCAAATCATAAATCTGTTCAGTGTCTCTAATAACTGGAGTTCAAATGTGCTAAAGGCTTCAGACTACAATGGTCTCAAAACCTCTCAGTGCCAACGTAGGGACTGTACTTATGTGGGGCATGCAGTCTCCAGTCAGTTTCCATGTCAGCACAGAGACTAGGTACCTGTCTTTTGCAGGAGCACTTAGCTGCACAGAAAGTTAAATAATGCCAATTCTCTATTTAGAAAGAATCTTTCAATCTGTATGAGCATTCAATTACATGAACACATAAACACAGGCTTGCTATCTCAGAAAGAAAGACTTTTTTCAGTTCATCCAAAAAACCCTTTGTTTTGTCAACAATCACATATATGGCAGATCAGATATATGCAGAATGTTCCAAATGGAAATGGACAGACTAGGTCTTTTGACTACAGTGTTACCTTGGGTTAAGAACTTAATTCCTTCTGGAGGTCCGTTCTTAACCTGAAGCTGTTCTTAACCTGAGGTAGCACTTTAGCTAATGGGGCCTCCCGCTGCTGCTGCGCCGCCGCCGCGCGATTTGTGTTCCCATCCTGAAGCAAAGTTCTTAACCCGAGATACTATTTCTGGGTTAGTGAAGTCTGTAACCTGAAGCGTCTGTAACCCAAGGTACCACTGTACTGTTGGATTCCATCACCTTTAACCCCACTTAATCAATGATAGGTTTAAAAGGTACTAACCAATTCAATACACCAAGTGGTTACCTCAAAAAGAGAGGCTATAACTTGTTGGGATGCAAAATGCAGCTCAGTCAGAAGGGAAGCTATGATAAGAGTAATTGGGGGAAAAAACCTAAAAAACCCAACACAACACCCTTATTTTATGTAAATTCCCCTCCAAAGCATGTTTCATTACTTCATTTACACTTTCATTAACACTGGTTGGAGAGGCATACCAGCACTTAACTAGCTCTATCACAATAGTATCTGGATAATGCACACCTAAATTGTAACTTATACATCAGGAGAGAAAAGTGATTAGATAAAAATACCTGATCAAAGTAGTTGCTTTTATTATATGGCACTTTGGAACCAACTGACTGCAAAGGAGCAGATGATTTATGTTCTTCTGAATCTTTCTTCTCCACATCTTTTGTAGGTTCATTACTGCATGAAGGGGATCATAAAAGGTCATATTTTGCATACCACCCTTTTTACATGAAACATGCTTTTTATGTTAATTATGAAGATTATGTTAATCTTCTCAAGTTGCAATTTATAGCTGTGTTTCCCACATCCAAAACTCTAGCTACTACATAACTCTCAGTCTCTCGAGGGCATTTTACAAATGTAGTACAAATACTAGCTGATTATTTCAAATTTCTAAACATGAATATTTCGTGTGTGTGTGTGTGTGTGTTTTATAAATCACCTGCTATACTGTTCTTTCTGGTTACTTCCTTGGTCATCATCATCACTGAAGTTCAACTGTTCAGTATAATCTACCTCACTCTGGGCTCCTAGAATAATAAAGAATTGTAGGTCAGCACTGCAAAACACTTTTCTACATGCAACCAGTTAAATGTTCACTGATATTAATGTTCTTACCAGCCCAGCCTTCATCAGCTTCAGCATCCAAATTATCAAACTTGTCAAGTTCTTTGAGCTCATTAGCACTTAGGATGGCTGGGCGTTCTACAGTTTCTGAGCTCCATGAAGAGGGCCCTCTACCCCTTGGTCCTCTAGAAAAAGAAAGCAATCTATCATGTAGGGTTTATATATCAGTATTTCATAGTTAAGTTACTGAAGAGACTTAAGATTAGTTTAAGCTCAATACTGAAAAAAGTAGATACTTGTTTACAAACAGCAAGTTTAATTAACAAAGGGAACTATTTTCAATTACTAGATGTCAGAATCAAATGTTAAAGAATCAGAAAGGAAAAAAGTTCTAAGTGCTGACATATTAAGTGCTTGGGTGTCTGAGGTTTCCCCAGTGCTGCTGAAAGAATACAGAGACAATTTAATATAAACCAAAGACACACAACAATATATATCATCAATGGACAACAGTTTTAAAAGCTATACAAAAATATCAACGGTACAGGGTCCAATGTTATGAATAAGGGAAAACTGTGCAAAAACATGCACCTATAGGTTGACTACTGATGTTTTGCTAACACTGGACTATGCACCACTGATGCTTTAGTAATTTTATGCTTTGTATTGTTGCATCCTCTTTAAAGTTTAAAATAATCATGGTTTTAAAATTATGTTAAATAAGACTATATATGCATTATGCAAATATAGTTGCGATATCAAAAAGTTTTACGAGCATGTAATTGGTATTTTTACCTGGTAGCCTCAGATGGAGCAGGGAACTTGCTGGGACCTGGCATTTGAGGATATGCCAATTTAGGGTACTGGTTAAACATCTAAGGAAAAAACAAAACACCAGCTATGTAAACATTGGAATTTAATTAAATACCAAAATCATAAATTGGAAAGTGAGCATTTATATAATATACCAGAAATAAAAACTGAAGTCTACCTAAAATTAACAAACTCTTAAATTGACAACTTTATACAGTTAAGTTATTTAGGTGTGTGCCTTTTTGCAAGTCCCTTGGTGCTCTATGATTTCTCAATCACATCACTTGCTAGCAGAAAATGTCTCTCAGCAATTAACAGCAACAGGAATATAAACATCATAGCTGCAAAGAGCTTAGCAATTCCACTTCAAAGGAAAGTTTCCCTCCTTTCAGATCCCTCAAGAGAAAGAAGTCTACAAGATATTGATGGACATGACTTACATAAGGTGGTATCATTGCTCTGTACTGAGATATGATCCCAGGCTGTTGCTGACCATTAAGCTTGGGAGCAGGTGGCAGTGCTATCCTTATATCCCTCTTCTCTGGTACCTTGGGGCCATCACTCTGTTCTACTGGTCCAGGCACATTACCGTCTTCTTGAGCAACAGGTTTTGCTTCTTGATCAGTTGGAGAATTTGGAGAGTTCAGATTCCTGCCTCCACCTTCTCGCCAGCTAGCAACATCTGCAATGGGATAGGGGAGGTTATATTTTAAACAGATTTCTGAACACCATTTATTTTGTGTTGTGCAAAAAGTGCTTGGTATATTTATCACCAGCTTCATCCACCCCACACACCCCAAAAAGGACCTTCAGTGACAAAACTGTCATCTCAGCCTACTTGAGCTGTGACACCACCAAGAATTAGTCCACTTTAGCCACAGAAATGGTTTAACTTGATCAATTCAAGCTCTCTATAACCGAGAACATTCAGCAGTTGCTGTTTTCAATAGGGCTATCGCTGGCTCAATTAAGGCACTATACTAACAGTGGTTAAAGAAGCTGAATTATAGTTTAATGTAGTGTTTGAATTGGTTAACCACAATATGCAACAGTCTGGCAAAACCCAATCAGAAGCCACATTTTGAAGTGGGTTTGCAAACTGTAGTTTGTGCTAATTATGGTTGGCATTATGTATTAACTGACATTCCAGTTACACCACTTGCTCCATTTCTAAAGGCCAATGAACCTACAGCCTGGATAACAGATCAGGTGGAAAATGACTGTAGACAAGCAGCAGTCGTGATTTGATTGTAGGTTTGAATGAGGAACTAGTGGCCTTGCAGGTGCTGTTGGACTCAAACTCGCATCAGCCCTGGCCAACACGGCCAAGGATGGAAGTTGTTGTCTAACAACATCCAGAGAGACACAAGTTTCCCGTCCCTGATCTCAACTACCATGAATGCAAACCATGTCAGAATTTTTATAAGTTATTTTTAGAAGAAGGGCAAACTACTGGGCTCGGTTTGGATATAAAACTGGCTAAATGCTTTTTTCCCAATTACATCTGATGCAGAGGAGGAAGCTAGAGCATCTGAGTCTGTGCTTGTTGTCAGCTTCATTGACTAATATTTAATTTACGTCAAGAGATCAAGCAAATGTCTATGTGAACAAGTGTTTCTTCAAGAGCTGGTAGAATTCATTTGCATGTTACTTTAAGAATGGTAACATGGACTAAAAACTAATTAAAACTGTATTCAAAACTATTATTACATTTTATGTATACTTACTTTGTGGTCGTAAACTGGGCCCAGGACCATAAGGCTCTTCAGCTGCATCCTTCTCTTTAGTCTTCTCTTGATCACCAGCTGCCTGCAGACTAGGAAACTCTTGCTGGAAATAGCTATTTATTTGAACTCCAGGACCTGAGATAGTTGTAAAAAATGCAAGTCAGTAATTAACAGTTCAGAAAATCCAAATCTGCAATGTGGAATGAAATAAGCTTTTATTTTAGTCTCCAATTTCAAATAAGAAATACTTCTTCCATAAGAGATTCTGGTACTTCAAGCACCACTATTGGATCAATTGCCTTCCTTATGGTAAGAAGCTATACCAAGGAGCAGAGTAGCCTGCTCTGTTTAAATATATAGTATATGAATATCTTACTTACAGAAAGGATTTCCAGAACTATAATGGCAGCGACTTGTGATCACTAGCTTTAACATAACCAGAGGCTCATTTGAACATAGCTTAGAAACCTGCTTTAAGAACACACTACATAAATGAGGCCAGAAGATAGTTTTTGGTTCTTCTGTGTTAATATTAACAATTGTACAATAGAGCAATCTAAACCCTCAACCTGCCGTGCTGGAGAGGCTTTGAATGAAGCAGAAGTGTCCTGCCCAGTCCAGCTCTGCTGGTCAGGAACAACCCAATGTGCCTGCCTAGATGGTGAGTGGGCAGAAGATACCACTGGTGATGGTACCACTTAATGCTACCACTTGCATGGAGCATTAAGGGATTGGGTGGCCACAGAATCCACTGGATCTTGTGCTGGCCCTGCTGCTGTTCTCCATGCCCCCAATTTCTGTCCTGGTCAGCACAGGCAACAGTGCTGTGGATGTGGTGGCGGCGGTCACACTACTCCATCAAGCTCCACTGCTGATGGCCAGGGATTTAGACTGTGCTCTTAGTGATACTAAATGAAAAATCTCTGCTTTCCATAGATATGAAGCAACTAGTCATCTGCCAAATGCAAAGAAATAATTTGCCTTCTTTCTTCTAATGTATTTTCAGTACTGGAACCATAGAAGCTATATTACACAGCTGGATTGCCAATACATTTAGCGTAGTATCATTTTCCCGGCTGGAAGTAGTTCCTCAGAGTTTCAGAGTCTTCTCCAGCCCTACCGAAAGATGACAGGAATTGAACCAAGGATCTTTTGCACTTCCTCAGGAGTTTTTTTTCACTGGCACCTCTCAGGTGGTCACAATTGCTACTCTAATGAGAATGAAGGAGGTGTTCATGGTGAATTCCGGCAACTCTTTTTCTAGAAAAATAGCACTAGACAAAACTAACAAGGTTCCTTTACTAACAAATAAATGTTACTTTATTGGTTAAAGTAACATTTCAAGATAAAGAAACTGCAAAAGCCTCTTTGCTTTATTAAAATGTCCAATACAAAATAGCTACACAGACTTTCAATCTAAATTAGAGCAGTACTTGTTTTTAACTACTTTTGCAAATTTAGGGAAACTGTCTTAAAATAATATACAGCGGTACTTTGGTTGTCGAACTTAATCCATTCCAGGAGTCTGTTCAACTCCCGGAACCATTTGAAAACCAAGGTGCGGCTTCCAATTGGCTGCAGGAGCTTCCTGCAGTCAAGCGGAAGCCACGTCGGAAGTTTGGCTTCCAAAAAAAGTCCACAAACTGGAATACTTACTTCCGAGTTTGCAGCGTTCAGGAGCCAAGCCATTCAAGAACCAAGCTACCACTGTATTCATAGAATTATGATACTTACTTTATCAAAATATCAATGTAAAAAGTTCTAGAAATGTGAGGAAGCAGGATTGTGTGCATTCCTGATACACAAGAGCACACTCTAAAAAAATTAAGAGTAGACAATCCACTTGTCATTCTGTAGATTATACTGAATGTGCATTAAAAATCTCCAACTTTACATATAAATACAAAGTGAAATTAGTCCTTAATGTTTTCCCTGTGTACCACTTTTTAACTAGCCTATTTACAAGCATACTTTAGCAATCTTTAGCCATGCTGGAAGCTAGAAAGATTGAATGCTGCCTTATACCAAGTCCACACCACTGATCCATCTAGCTCAGTACTGTCAGCTATCCAGGGTTTCAGACAGGGGTCTTTCCCAGCCCTACCTGGAGACACCAGGGGTTGAGCTATGATTGTCAATGAGAAACATGCCCAACTGAGTTCAGTGGGGCTCAATTCCACGTAAGGGGGTAGAGACTGCATTCTTACCTAGCAGTAAATCCCATCAAAAACAACAGGACCTATATTTCTGAGTACATATTAATAGTACTGGAGCCTTAGTAAGCTCCTTGGAGTGGGGGTGGCCTGGTACTCCTTATGCTTTTCTAAACAGCAATATGACCATGTACTCCAACCCCTTTCAGCTCAAAGCAGCATGGCCAGTGGTCAGGGATAATGGGAGCTGTAGTCCAGAAGCATCAGGTGGGTCAGATATTAGGGAGAGAAATTTTCTAGATCAATTTTCTTATACATGCACCTTTGGATACCCTTTTGATCATAAACGTTTCACACAATAAAAACTGCTGTCTAGCATTTGTACATTAAAAGCCAGGATGGGTTTCATAATGTAATTTGGAAGCATCCAAAACACATAATACATAAAATCCCCTTATGTTAAACTTTCTTTTTATGATTTTTGGATTTGTATCCAAAATGATATCTAAGAGAATGTTGTGTAAAAAGGGCAAAATAAATAAGGGATGGGTTAAGATGCCTTGTCAGAGAAATGCCATCAGGAGTGTTGAAAGGATGTACAAAATAAGCCATGCAAAAAGATCTACTTCATTTTCCCCAGTAAGTGGGAAAGCGTCGCAGGCACACTTTAAACAGGAAACCCCCAGAATAAGCAGCTGGGTAATCCAAGCAACAGATCAAGGATGGGCTGAGTATAGAAACACTATACACAAGCAGGTCACCAGCTAACGTTCATGTAGGACCATGTATTGCCTATTGATTACTGATGGGCCTTGTTCTTATTCTGCAAGATCCTTCTTATGTTCCTAAACAAAAGGGCAAACTGAACATCACATAAGCTACATTTGCTATACCTTAACTCAGGGTGGCCCAACTTTTCACATTAAGTGGGCCACAAGAGTACTTCACCACGGAACGTATGGGCCACACACTGCATTGTCACACAGGGATGGGGAGCAAAGCCAAAATTTGGTGCCCTCGTTCCAGCCCTGTCTTCCCAAAGCCAGGTAAGCAAGGGGCCAGGCTTTGAGAAAGAGGCGGCAGGCTCAGGCAGGATCCTAGGGCCCTTCCTACACCTTCCCAAAGCTGAAAAAATGCTAACTAAGCTTTGAGAAGGAGGTGGAAGAACTATAGGACCCTCTCAGAGCCCTTATGCCTCCTTCCCAAAGCCTAGCACCTTGCTTACCCAACTTTGGGAAGGCAGTGCAAAGACTGGGGTGGGGAGTCAAATGTTGCTGAGGGCTGCCAAAAAAGGCCATGAGGGGCACACATGGTGCTTGGGCCACGCGTTGGACCACCCTGCCTTAGCTGCAAAAAAAAGAAAAAGGGTTTGAGGGTGAAGCATTGATGTTCTGGTAAAGTAACAGACCATGCAAGGCTTAAGTCAGCTCACTACTGCAACAGAAGCTTTCCCAAACAACATAATGTTTAAATAACTGTGTGTTCCACTATGCCAGTTCCCATCTAGTCCAAGTTTATTATATCCATCTATGGACCAGGTTCCATGAAAGTCATGGAAGCTGACAGCTGTCATCAGGTATACTTTAAATGCATCTTGAAATAATTAGTTGGAGATTTTATTTATATATATATTCCTTCAACTCTCAGTAGACCAAGCGGTAAACAAATTCAATTAATTATAATAAACTTGTCAGAAGAAAATATTTTTTAGTTCTAACGCTGGAACTGAAATTCTTCTCTTTAAGAACTGAGGGAGAAATCAGAGTAACCACAAAATCAGCCATTGCCACCCCAACACTATTTGTCCCACGAAAACATTAAGACCTAGCTTCTATGAAGCTTGTCTTGCACCCTACCACCAGCAGCAGAAGAGGAGCAGTAGCCAGATCAAGTGCAAAGCAGGTAAAACTTATGCTATCATCTTCCTGCTTTGCATGCTACAACTCCCCCGAAAGGAGGAGTGACGCCAGACCATCCCTGGAGGACAATGGACCCACACACCATGGACTTGTGACAGCTGACTTGAAAGCAGACTTTTGGGTAGGGTGGTTAAAAAAGAGAGTGGGAGAGTAGTTATCTAATTAGTGGTGGGAATCTTCTTTGTTTATTATTAGTGTATAGTTATAGTTAATGCCTTTCATGTATTGTTTTTGTTTTTACATGTTATGTTAGGTGATATATTGATGAATTTGTATGACAGCCCCCCCCCCCCCGTCTTTCCTTATGGTATTAAGCATGTGTGCATAATGTATTGCTGTAGGTTGCTTGGAGACCTCTGGATGACAAGCAACTATTAAGTCTAATTAATATGAACCAGATGACATTATGATATAAGTTATTAAATCCAAATTCTATTCAGAGTTACTGAAATTAATTGGAGATGTCTAAGAAAAACACTGCAACGAAGAACGCTGAAATCAACTGATCTGCAGTGCCATTTTAGAACCTCTCAGCCCTGTAATACTGTAATTCACAAAGTATGTGTTGCGAGGCAGGCTGAAATGAATCTCAAAATATGCTGCTGCTAAGTGGTATGCAAATGGCCAGAGCAAGATGCCCTGTGCAACGCCTATTCTCTCCCCACTCCAATTATTAAGAACAGCACTATCATTTTGAAGTTGCACCATGAGCAGCTCAAAGTAAAGCTCAAAGTTATGAGGGAATACTGCTGTGACTTGAGTTTGGGCACTGACCAGTATGGAATTTATGTAAGAGGCCCAACAAAATGTCTAGCCAATCTGACCAGAAATAGTTGGCAGATGTGTAGTTAAAAGTAGCTGTACAGTTAGTCCCTTACATGTAGGATAGCTGTGACACATAATGGATAAGAAATCTCCCACATATAAAACACCCACTACTGACCCAACCTTATGTAAAGCTATCATTTTCAACTGCATTTACTTGGGTGTTGGTGTCTCTTCTTGTGGCGGGGGAAGGAACCCTGGGCAACAGGGATAGAGCAGGCCAGGCGGGTTGTGCCGCGGTGACTGCTACTACTGTGGGCCACAGTGCCGGTGTTGTTAGTGGCTCTGGGCCTTGTTGCTGCTGATGAAGAAGGAATTCAAGAGGAGCCTTTTGAATCAAAGACAGCCTTGCCTTCTGAGGAACAGGTGAAAGAGCATTCAATTGGAACCCATGTGGTAGGTCAGATCTTCATTGACTCTGATGAACCAGTCTCACATTGAAGATGGAGAGTGTTTCAGAAGCCAAGAGGAGGAAAAGGAAAGAACTTTGGAGGAGTTAAATTCTCTAGAACTGTCATCCCTATTAAATAAGGATTTGGAAGAGGTAAAAGCACAAAAAGCAGTTTTGACAGCCATTGGAGGAACTGCAGATGGTGAGCAATGCTACTTCCCCTTTATTTTTCTGGAGAAGGAATACTCAGAATGTACTGCAGATGGGAGGGAAGATGGTAGACTCTGATGTGCAACAACCTACAATGACAAGGCTTATCAAAAGTGGGACTTCTGTGAAACTGAAGAAGAGTCTAATAGGAGAAGACAAATGCAAGACGCAGAGGATGTTTACCAGACTGGAATGAAAATCCTTAATGAAAGCAGTAAAAAGGCCCCAAAGAAGTGTATCAGTATCTTATGAGAGAGCTGACATGAATCATACCACTCAACCTTCAAAGCTATTAATTTAAACTACAAACACACACACACACACACAGAGAGAGAGAGAGAGAGAGAAAGAAATGGATGACAGAAGATTTAAACTTTTGGGGAAAACTAGATGTCATGGGCTTTTGTTTTCTCTAAAATGTTTTACGATATAAAATCATTACTCACTTTTCTATCAAGTGATCTATGCTAAATTTCTCATCAGAATAAAACTGCAAAAGACATGAGGTTTCCTTGAATGAAAGTACAGTACAGCCAAGAACAATGCTTCTACAATGCTATCAGTTTTGTCTGCCTCAAAAAATTAAGACCAACTGTCCTAAGATGGCAATGCAAAGTGGAACTGCTAGTCCAACTAGGCCGGCCCACCTCCACTTACCATCACCCTGCCCACCTTGCTTGGTATTGGCCCATGATTTGGCAACAGGAGGCGCTTCTTGAGGAGCAGGAACTACAGGCTTTGGCTGGGTCTGTGGCACTTCTGGCGGTCTGAAACCATAAGAAATGTGAAGAAGCAATCCTGTTAGCACAAATGTTTTAGAAGGGGTTGAAAGAGGATGTTGACTCTTGAATCATTAAATAAAGTGTTTGCCATGGATCTTCCAAAGTGCTCTTGTGGCATATACCAAAACTTTATACCACTATTCTTAATGAGAATTTACAGTATGACCTTTAACTTACTTTTCTTCCTCATGTTGCTCTTGTTTAGAAGCCCATCCTGTGCCATCCTTAGGCACAATGTTTATATTAGGATCATTGCCTTTGTTTTCTGCTTTAAGACTGGGGAGATTAGCAGGAGGGGGCATCCTTCGTGAAATGGCAACTTTTCCAAGACTCTGTAATCCATGGCGTGTTGTGACTGCATCAAGAAAAGACATTTTAAACTGCTGACTCTGTCACAGAAATGTACAGATTTATCAAAGAAATATGATTCTAAGTAGAACTTGGAAGATCTGCGAATCCATTGCTCCTAGGTCCCAAGTTAGGATTGCTTTGGTATTTATTCTACGTATACCCTGTCCTTCTACTGAGACATAAATGACTTCCATTGTTTCCATAAAATGGGTGCCTCTCATATCTCAACCAGGATGCTGTTCCACAGGAGAGGATGCATCAATAGAAAAAACAAGGGTTCAGGCCAAAATATAAAAACACAATATGTAGCAAACAAAGTATAATGAATGTATTCGTCACAATGTACCTGTTATTACAAGGCATACAATGCATACAAGCGGTACTCCAACACAAGCGGTACTCCAAAAACATTGAAGTGAATACAGAGTTACAATTAATGATGTATTTTCTTATCTCCAATGCAAAGAAATTATTGAAAGTGATGGAGCAGCTGTAGTAATCAGGACTGCAGCCTGGTGATCCCAGTTTCAAAGCGAACTGGCTCTAGCCAGTATACAGCAGAAGCCTCAACTTGTACCTGGTGTGGGACTTTGTTAACTTACAGGCTGAAGGAGTTTTTCTCCACTCGTATTGGAGTACCACTTTGTATGTATCGTATGCCTTATAATAGCGAGTGCATTGTGACGAATATATTCGTTGTACTTTGTTACATATTGTGTTTTTATATTTTGGCCTGAATCCGTTTTTTCTATTGGTGCATGCTTTCACACAGTGGGTTCCTTCATTTTGTTCCACAGGAGAGGGGCAGCCACACTGAAGACCCTGCTCTGAATGACTGTGGAGTGGGGCTTCTGATATTTTAGATGTGATTCCTGCCTTTTAGCTGTAATTCCTGAATTGCAGGTGGTTGAACCAGATAACCCTTCGGGTTGCTCCCATCTCTACAATTCTATGGTTCTATTTAAAAAGGTTCAAGCACACTAACAGCCTAATAAAAAAATAAAATTCAAAATGCACAAAACAATCATAGATGGCAGACAACAAGTTAAGGATAAAATGCTAGGGAAGTTTGAAACAAGTACATTACTTAGTAGGCAAAATGCCTGCCAAAAGAGAAATATGTCAGCTCACAGAGGGCCTAAAGAAAGAATGCAAGATAGGCCTCCCTCAATAGTGTGTTCAACAGTAGTAAACTAAACACATTATTTAGATTTATTTATTTGTTAAATTCATATCCTGCCTTCCTCCTCAAAGGGCACCCAGGACCCTCCAGAGCAGATCTGGAGAGCATGGGAGGGACTGGAGGGGGAGAGAATCAGCAGTCCTCTTGCGCAAGTGGGTGGACATCATTGATATAACTCAAAATGGTAGCCAACTATAAACAGCTCATTAAATTTAGATGAGATACTTTAATAATGCAAACAAAGCTATCAGCAATGAGTATTTCTCAAACAGTAGCAGCTCATATTACTTTACATACCTGTAGCTTTCTGTGTTTCCAGAGTCTTTCCTTTATAAGTATTAAACAGACTAAGTGTTGCATACTTGGTTTTTCCATCCTTTGCTTTTGTGTTCTGTCCTGACTTTTCAGACATTTCAGTTCATTGAGCTAGAGCCTCCTTGCTCACCCCCTCAAAATGAAAGGAAAACTCATTAGACAATAAATAAATAGACATGTTAACAAGTGAAAGTGACATAGCTTATTTGAGAAAAGAGGCATTCAGAAAGAAAGGTGCTGCTGCAAATGTCCCATGATGACATAGTTGTAGCTCTGCCTATTGTGTATTACAATGGATAATGTAACAGGATGGGCTCTCCTACCAGGGTATAGGAATACTTGGCTCAAGATACTGCCACAGCACAGGCAGTGGTCAGATGAACTGCAACACTGCATTGAAACAATGCTGCTGAAAGACTGTTGTTGAGATGCTGACATGCATTCATCATTAAAACAATTTCACAATCCATGATATTGATTTTCCAGAAAATTTAGAACTAACTTTTTTTGTTCTGATTTCCCCCGAAAATTAGTTAGGATGTTAACATATTTAGTAAATTAAACTAAATCCAAAAAGTATGTCAGGTTAATTTTCCGTGTTGTGTTTCCCCAACAGCTAAAGGTATTTGACCTGGAGTATCTGAAAAGAAAAACAATTCAGTAAAACACTTTATGTGATTTAAATGTTATATTTAAATCAGGGTGGGAAGCTGGATCTGGCTCTCCACTGCCATGGACCAAATGTGAGAGATGAATTGGGACAGCACAACGACATCAGGTGACCCTATTTTGCCTGCATGTACAGGCAAATGAATGCACAGCCTGCAAAACTTTCAGCTGACTGTTGGGTCTCATGCAGCCCAAAGCAAAGTACTCCACATGACCAGAATATCAGAAGATAAGTTAGATCCTGTGGAACCCCTTTGCACAGAGTTTTGCAGGTGCTGCCAATAAGCTTGAAAAACTCCTTACAGTTGAGCCATGTCTTTATCTGCCCCACATCTGACTTGTGGGCCAAATGGGAAGGCCTGGTAGGCATGTTAAAGAAACTGATCTTCAGTGGGCAAATTAAGGGAACTGATCATTCCTCAGGTATATTATACATGCCCTGTAGTCAAAGAAATATACAAGTTCCATGGACACAACTGAAACACCAATGTGTTGCTGAGGAAATATGGCATGTTTCCTGTTGCAGTTTATCTTCCACCAAAAACTACCACTACACAAATCTAATCTGCACAAGATCATATGGCTTGCTGCTCAGATGTACTAATGCTAACAAGAGAGTCATCCCAAACTGCATTCTTAGCTAAGATCATGTTATGTCGTAACATGATTCCACTGAATCGCTCTAGTTCTATAATTTTTTGAAGAGTAATATTAAATAAAGGAAATACCAAACCTTATGGCTAGAATGGCAAATATAAAATCAAAGCTATAATTGCTAATCCCTGGGAAGTCAATATATTTATGCAAACAACTCTACAGGTATGCAAAACTTGTTATGTTAACAGTTTTCAGTGTCTTCACCACATCACATTAAAATCTAAATAATGAAAGAGAAATGTATTCTATGAATTATGACACCTTAAAATATTTACAGGCATTTTAAAAGAATTTAACTCTTTGAGTAACATCACATACTTTGGTGATGTAGTAAAAAAATTGTGTTCTGTTATTTTTGACTAATGAGAAAATCTTCTATTCTGTATAAATATTTGAAAAGTTAACACCTCATAACAATACTTTTAGAAGTTTTGTTTACTAAATATAAATTAAACATACTAAATCAGAACTCTGTTATCTTAAGGGAGTCAAAAATTTACTGGAAAAAATCCAATTCAAAGTTTCTAAAAAACCCCACTTAACATCACTTGCTGAAATATTGCTTCCATATTCTTTTGTTTTCTACAACATTTTTCTCAGTAAACCATCACATACATCTATAGACTGTGCTGCCTATATGTAGTCAATCAAACAGGATTTTCACTTTTTGTAATACAATTATGCTCCAAGTACAGTATAATCACATCTTACATTGGGGTTTGCTGGCAGTAGTATTCGCTCACAAGCAAGCTAGCCACCACATTCTATACTAGCTGCATATGACATCTGTGATGTTGTGAAGGTCCAAAAAAAAGCCCCCCCTTTCTGATTCCAATAATGCAAAAAGGCCACAGCTGTATATGGTATGCAGAGTCAACTGTTACATGGTTTCAAGTGGTATGTAATCACAAACTAAAGAGGAGATGTAATAGTTCTGATTACAAATGGCATATGTCAGCATCTGCTGAATCATTCATACTCTCATCAAAGCATAGGAAAATGAAAGAAATAGGTTTCCACATCTGCCAGTATGCCTGGCTTGAGGTCAAGAAGTTTACCGGGATGGTTGTTACTAGGTAAAAATGAATTTTTTAAACCAGCCAGGGGAATCCAGTTACTGACAGCTCAACACATTAACATTTCCAGCTTTAAAAAATGTTGTATCAATACACAGTCGTACCTTGGTTCTTGAACACAATGTGTTCCGGGAGTCCGTTAGACTCTCGGAACCATTCGAAAACCAAGGTGTGGCTTCCGACTGGCTGCAGGAGTGTCCTGCAGCCAACTGGAAGCCGCGCTGGATGTTCAGCTTCTGAAAATCATTCAAAAACCAGAACACTCACTTCTGGGTTTTGATTGCTCTGGACCGATTTGTTTGGGAGCTAAGATGATTGAGATCCAAGGCATGACTGTATACCACATTGCAATGAATTACAGTTAGTTCTCTTGTCTTTCGGGCAGTTCAGAAAACAAAGTAGAAAGACAACACAGCCAGTAAACCTTGGTGCATTTGCCAGACCGATGACGGATGTGGAATTCTGTTCTCTATCCTAAAGGAAGGGAAGAGCTAGCAACCTCATGGCATTCCCTGGCTAAGGAATAGTGAGGCTAGCAGTGCCTACTTGTTCATCTCTTCCACTAGCGGAAGGTGGGGGACTGAGATTGGAAGTTTCCTTTTTAGATAAACTACGGTTTGTTGGGTTCGGACAACATGACACGGTAAATAGAAATTTCTCTTAAATAATAACTAGATAAATATTAAATCATTTGGATATAAATTATGTAGCTGATTGACTCCAGCTATAAAAGCTGAGGCTGCTGAACAGGCTCTTGGACTGGGGTATTGTTTGGAGGGGTGTTTGGCTGTTATTGATATTATTTTCTATCTTTATACAGTCAAACCTTGGCTTTCGAACGTCACAGCTGCTGAACGTTTCAGAAGCCGAATGCCGAAAACCCTGAAGTGAATGCTTCCATTTTCGAACACGCCTCAGAAGTCAAACAGCTTCCACAGCGCATTTTTCCATTTTCACCATTCACTTTGCTGTCAGCCCTTTGATTTTCTGTTTTCAAATGTTTTGCAAGTCGAACAGATTTCCAGAACTGATTACATTCGAAAACCAAGGTTCCACTATATTTAGAAATATGTGGAAAGTGTTCAATTTTGTTGTGTACTTTTTGTTGTGTTTTATTTGTGTACAGCTTTATTGTAATTATGCAAACCTTTTCATGTAAATAAAATACTGATAAAATAAAACGCTGATAAAATACAGCAATCAGATCTTTTTCCTATTGGTCATTGGAATTTCATTTTTGTTTGCCACTTTCTTTTGTGATGGTGGCTACACCATGGCAGAGTGAAGCAACATCGGAAATTTGTCAAAAGTGTGCTGTGTGCAGGTTCCTATAATCCCATGCTTGGCCTCAGAAACTGTGAGAGCTGCAGGCCAGACTAACCCTATATGAGGATATTTTAAAGACATTCTCTCCAGAGTTTGAAAATAGCCAGGCACATTTTGCAGGCCACTTGCGACCAAGTGAAGATGTCTGGGAGCCAAGGTGGTGCCTGACATCTCCATCTGGAGGTGCATGCATGGGGATCACTGTATCCCTGGATAAAGTGACTTTTCTTCTTTAAGTTCTCAGAAGTCTTAACATAGCTCAATGTTATCATCTGAACTACCCAAATGTTTAACTGATAATCTATCACAATCAGTCCATCATTTGAAAAATAAGACTTGCCCAAAAAAGGGAACTAGACATTCCGTTTGGGAGACTGTAACTTTGGTTTAAGCAGCCATTTGACCCCTAGCTTGTATATCTGAGTTTCTAACACTGATTCCCTCTATAGGTAAAAAAAGAAAATATGCAAAATGTGACATCATAATAATATGTGACAAAGATGTAGGCTTTTGATGTAAGAATGAAATAACCGTATTAATAATAATACTCTTATGTAGTTATGAATTAACATGGTTTCTGGTCAAATGCGCAACATTGTTTTGTAAAAATATGAATAATATAAATGGATAAGTCCATTTAAAGCTATCATTTGAGTATCATTGAGTAAAGCTATCATTAAGTCCATTTAAAGCTATCATTTGAGTTGGTTTCTTTTCCTAATGATTTAAATCAGGCACGTCCAACTCCCAAGAGACTGAGATCTATAAAAAAACTGGCAGTGATCAACCCATTGTCATTGGAGGGAGGTGGAGTGTGTGGGGGGTGGGTGGAAGGGAAGGATTGCCCAAAGTTGGGGGACTGCCATGGGGAAGATTGCCCAGAGGACTTGGGAGCTGGGGGCACTGTTATGCAGTGGTTCCACTCCTTCCTCCTGGGCCGTGTCCAGAGAGTGGTGTTGGAGGAGTGTTCAGACCTCTGGGCTCTCACTTGTGGGGTGCTTCAGGGCTCTATCCTCTCCCTCAGGCTTTTCAACATCTTTATGAAGCCATTGTGATAGATCATCAAGAGGTCTGGGCTGGGTGTTCACCAGTATGCGGATGATACCCAGCACTACCTCTCCTTTAAATTGGAACCAGTGAAGGTCCTGTGTGAGTGTCTGGTGGTGGTTGGAGGATGGATGGCTGCTAATAGATTGAAGATGAATCCTAACAAGACAAAAGTACAGTGGTACCTCTGGTTAAGAACTTAATTCGTTCTGGAGTTCTGTTCTTAACCCGAAGCATTTCTTGACCTGAGGTACCACTTTAGCTAATGGGGCATCCCGCTGCCGCCACATGATTTCTGTTCTCATCCTGAAGCAAAGTTCTTAACCTGAGGTACTATTTCTGGGTTAGCGGAGTCTGTAACCTGAAGCGTCTGTAACCAAGGTACCACTGTACTGTTATAGGGGGAAAGGGGGCGGACAGGTGTGGACTCCCTGGTCTTGAATGGGTAACTGTGCCCCTGAAGGACCAGGTATGCAGCTTGCGAGTCATTTTGGACTCGTCCATGGAGGCACATGTCAATTCTGTGTCCAGGGCAGCTACCAGCTTCATCTGGTACACCACCTGAGACCCTACCTGCCCCGTGCACTGTCATGCCAGAGTGGTGCATGCTCTGGTTATCTCCCGCTTGGACTACTAAAATGCGCTCTATGTGGGGCTACCTTTGAAGGTGACTTGGAAACTACAATTAATCCAGAATGTGGCAGGAAGACTGGTGACTGGGAGCAGCCGCTGGACCATATAACACTGCTCTTAAGGGATCTACATTGGTTCCCAGTTGGTGCTGACTTTTAAAGCCCTAAACCATGGGTAGGCAAACTAAGGGCCAAGGCCCGGATCCAGCCCAATCACCTTCTAAATCCGGCCCATGGACGGTCTGGGAACCAGCGTGTTTTTACATGAGTAGAATATGTGATTTAAAATGCGGGTTATTTGTGAGGCATAGGAATTCGTTCATTTCCCCCCCCCCCAAAAATATAGTCCGGCCCCCCACAAGGTCTGAGGGACAGTGGACCGGCCCCCTGCTGAAAAAGTTTGCTGACCCCTGCCCTAAACAGCTTTGGCCCTGTATATCAAAAGGAGCATCTCCACCACCATTGTTCAGGCCTTCTGGTCGTTCCCTCACTGCGAGAAGTGAGGTTACAGGGAACCAGGCAGAGGGACTTCTCAATAGTCGCACCCACCCTGTGGAACCACCTCCCATCATATGTCAAGGAAATAAACAACTATTTGACTTTTAGAAGACACCTGAAGGCAGTCCTGTTTAGGGAAGTTTTAAATGTTTGATGTTTTATCATGTTTTTACTACTCTGCTGGGCAGCTGCCCAGAGTGGCTTGGGCAACCCAGTCAGATGAGATGGGTGGCATACAAATAATAAAATTGATGTTGTTGTTGTTGCTGCTGCTGTTGTTAATGCTAAGACAGAAGTGTTCTTGCGATTGTCTGAAACCTGTACTGCTGATAGAAGCTGGGTGAGATGAAAGCATTTGGCAAAGACACCAAGGAAATAAGAAGAATCCTCACACAGTAATGACTCCACTCTAGGGTAAACTTCTTCTACCAAGCTGACAGTAATCAGCAGAACTCATAATGATAGATTCAGAATGGAAATTCAGCAGTAAGAGGTAAATAAAAATTCTCATCAAGCACTAAGCATTAAGCAGTTGAAGCCAGAAAAGTTAAAAATACCAAAGTATGTTCAGACATCCTACAGTAGAAATTTACAGTTAAAAACTTGGGTTAAAAACTTAATTTGTTTCGGAGGTCCATTCTTAACCTGAAACTGTTCTTAACCTGAAGTACCACTTTAGCTAATGGGGCCTCCCGCTACCGCCGGAGTACGATTTCTGTTCTCATCCTGAAGCAAAGTTCTTAACCCGAGGTACAATTTCTGAGTTAGCAGAGTCTGTAACCTGAAGCGTCTGTAACCTGAAGCTTATGTAACCCGAGGTCCCACTGTATAGGTAAAGAAATAAGAAATGGCTGTGATCTTACTTTAAAAATTTCAGAATTTGACTTAAAAGTAGGAAGGAGGCCCTGTAGTCCTCCAACTTCTACCAGTCCCAGGCAGCATGGTAGAAGTTAGAGATGGTAGGAGCTGAACTCCAGACCATACTTTCCCCAACCTCAAGTACAGCTACCTTTATTATTATGACTAGAATCCCACATTTTGCTCTTCATACATGCCATGACACTGCCCTCTGGTATGCATGGTAACCCGCAGCAGGCAACTTTGGAACTGCACATCCTGTAGAATTCTATCAGTTATATTTTATCTGCACAATCAGGATGAATTCCAGGAACCAAAAAGTTGTATTGAAAAATATGTCTAGCCCATCTTGCAGTGTTAAAAACTCAGATATATAAGCTAGGCACCAAATGGCTCCTTAAGTCAGGTTAGTCACCAAAGCAGAATGCCTAGTTGCCATTTTTGGGCCAGACAGCTCAAAAGTCGTATTTTTCAATATGACTTTTTGGTTCGTGAAATTCATCCTGAGTGTGCAGATAAAATACAATGGACAGTGTGTGAAAACAGGCAAGGATCCTCAGGCATGCACCTTTAGATGTTGGAAACGTCAGACGCCATCTTCACATGGTCACAAGTGGCCAATAGTCAGGTGCAAAATGCACTTGGCAGAATGCTGGTGTTCCCTCCTATAGCAGCTTGCTTGCTTTCTATGGTGAGTGTAAATGAGGAATGGGGCACTTGGTTGCTTCTCCACCAGTCCACTCACCTTCTCCTGAGCAGGAAAGGTGGCAGAGGCCTTATTGGAAACTGCATTGATGAGACCCCCTAGACTGATGAAGGGAATCATTTCTAGCTCCAAACTTGATAGTGGAGAGAGGATCCAAGGATTGTCCTGAACACAGAGGTGCAGCTTGAGGTCAGTGACAAGGGGAGTGACAGGGTCCCAATGACCACAATATCCAGCTTGGCCACCAAAGCAAGTAAAAATTTGTTGCAGGAACACCATTAGGACATATTTTAAGCTAATACAAGATGGTTTAAAGAGGCTAGGATGGTGGCTGTTTATATCAAGCAATGGCCTGTATGGGACTTGTTCACTTTATCTCCCCCGCCCAAGTTTTTCCTCTTCCTCACCAATTTCATACTGATGTCACACAGACTAGGCTTAAACAGCCTTCCTCTCCTTAAACAACACCAAATGTGTGGTAGCCAAACAATGGCAATACAACCATAGTCTCTCCTAGGGAAGATGCCCCAACTTTAATATATGACAATGATTACCAACCTGCAAATGTCAATAACTAATTTGTACCTGTTCTTGTGTCTTCAAGATGCTACAAATACTGCAAACATGTGAACCAATGAGTAAGTTTATATTTTCTCAGCACAATGACTCCAGTGAAGAACTCCATGTTTAGGAAGGGTGGTAGGAGAGTAGGTAACTGTGAATTGGAGCCCACTGAGCTGCTATCCTCAGATGGCAAATAAATCACTTTTTCTTCCCCAATCAACCCCCCTTCTCACATACACTGGCATCCACCATCTCATGGTCCTGGGACCAAAGAACTTGAAGGTGCACCTTTCTCCATGCAGCCCAACCAACACTTTACAGTGCAGTTGAGGGCGAAAGTGTGAGAGAGGCCTTTCGCCACCTCTGATGGAACTCCCTTGAGTGGGAGGTCAGGCAGGCCCTTCCTTAGCCACGTTCCGGCAAATTCTGAAGGCATTCGTATTTGTCTAGGCCTCTGGAAGCGGAAGGTACTTTTAGGCATTACCGGTTTTATTGCTGACATTTTAATTACCAGATAGGGTTTTCATCAGGTTTTATAGACTGCTAGCCGCCCCGAAGAACCCTTCAGGGGGTAGGCTGGGATGGACATTTTTTTACAACCACCAGCCAGCTAAATGTATCCCCGCGGGGGCTGCCGCAAAACCTCACCCTGCCTGACGAAACGAATTAAATCGGGCGGCGGTGGTGCATCCCCAAGTAATAAAGGATCCGCAGCAGCCTAGGCCTGGATTAGTCAGGAGAAAGTTACTCATTTTCCCTCTCCCAGGGAAGGAATCTGGGGAAGAGGAGGAGGGCGAGGGGAAAGGGACGCGCCGGAAGCTTGCGCGTGAAAAGGGAAAAGGGAAGCGGGGACGAAAGAATGGCGCCGGAAAGCCCTCAAAGAGGGAAAGGGCAGGATGCGCAAGAGACGGGGAAATAAAAGAAGGCCGCGTCCCCAATTCCTCCGCCCCCCCCCGCGCCCCCTCTCCTCGTTCCTCCGCCGCCAAGCGCAGCCGCATCCCTGCCCCATTCAGAAGCGGGAGGAGGAGGAGGAGGCCGGAGCCGCTCCTCTTGCTCTCACTCCGGCCCGCCGCCCTCGCCTCAGGCCCCGCAACTGCCCCCTCATGCGGCGGCCTCCCCGCGCCGGGTGCGGGAGGGCGAAGCCTCCCACGGCCGCCGGCTTGACGCGCCCGCTCCTCCCCGGCGCCGCCGCGCTCCCTCCCCGCCTCCCGTTAGCCCCGCGCGGAGCCGCCTCAGGCGCGCACTCACCGAGGCCGAAGCAAGCGCCTGCCGTCGCCTCCACACACAGCGGGGCCAAGATGGCGGGCGGGTAGCCAAGCCGGCGGCGCCTCGCGAACGTCTGACCTCACCGCGCACGCACGCACGCACGCACGCGGCGGCCAGCCCCACGTGACCCTGGGGCTTCGGCGCTCTGGCCGCCGCCTGCCTTCCCTCGCCGACGCCAGAGCTGGGAGTGCGGTGGCGCCACCTACGGGGCGCCTCGGGAACGGCAGCGGGGCCGTGGGCGCGCCTCTAACCAGGAGGGCTGCGTTCAGTTCTCAGGGTTGGTGCAAGAGGTTTCCATCATTTTGTGGACCTCTCAGCTGCACCTGAGTCAGCTTGAAAAGTAAGGGCAAGGAGGTGGTGCTGGAGATGGCTCATGAGGAATGAGGGAGAAAGAAGACAGAAAACAGTAGAAATTAGTTACTTCCTGCCTTCCCCTGTGCCCTGCTCCCGGGCTGTCGAGGAGAAGAGTGTCAGAGCACTATGTGTGGTGTTCACACATGGCAAAGGGAATACGATCAGGACACAAGAGAGCTGGTTGTGTTATAAGAATGCCAAGGTGTCATAAATGAAATGAATGTTCATAAGTGCACATACATAAGTACATCCTGAAGCCGTCATGACTCTCCATAGACCTCAAATGAATAGGGGAGATCTGGGACAATGGATTCAAGAACTAAGGTATTTACTATTTCAAAAGAATGACCCAGACAGACCAGGATAAGGTGATCAGCAAGCATTATCAGGTATCTTGACAGGCAGGAGGGAACCCACTCTTTCACATTTCTGTTGTAGACCTCCTCTTTCTGTGATTCTGGTATGATGCTTGTAAGGTGGCCTTTGGTGGGGGGGGGTTGGGCAACTTCTTACATACTTTTTCTGGGTCCTCACCTCCATGCAAGACGGGAAGGGGGAAGGACTCTGTTGCAACAGAAAAATAAAGACTTTGACTGGTTCCTGCCTCCATGAATTCTTCTCTGACCAGTAATGGACCTAAGGGACACGGAGTCCCTTGATGGGGAGTTGGGCTGTAAAAGCCAAAGCCAAATTTTCCTTATCAGTTTCTGCAGTTATGTATAACAAGATGTGTACCCTCACTCTTGCTTACTTGTGTGGTGTGGAGTGATCTGGGATGTGGTTTGGTGTTGAGTGTTTGATATGGTGAGGGTTCTACATGGAGAAGTGTTAGCAACATGCTCAAGCTCCTAGGAGTGCTATGATGCTGTGTCCTAGTGCCTCCGTTGTGTCCTGTGCCCTTTCTTCATAACTTCCCATCACAAGTTTCCACTTGTGATCTCTAGATGTGCATGAGAGATATGAACCCAGACAACACACCCTATTTTCGGTGTTAAGTTCTTCCTGTTCCTTATAGACTCTGGGTGCAAGTGTGCTTTGTTAAGGTTTTGAGTTACAACATATCCTATGCTCTGTCACAGTGGCATGAGAGGGATGAATGTCAGGGTAGGGACACCTGTTATATATTTATATATTTATTGCAGTCTGCAGAAAGCATAAAATGGTCCAGAGGAATTCTCCAAGTTATGGACCCCAAATACAAAATTCAAGACACTTTTATAACATTCTCTTTACATGATTAGCTCATGAACAATCTTTTCCAAGGACAGCGGCATAGCAACCCCTGCTGGCGTCTGGGGAGGACCAGCATTTTGGGGAACACCCAGTGGCTTTGCCCATGTGCAGCACCCAAGAAGCCCAACAACCACTTTGCAGCCTGCCCCCGCCTAGCTGCATGGACAGGTGGTGAACACCTTGTGCTTACTTTTTTTTTTTATAAATTAATATTTATTAATAATTTCAGAATTACAAAAAAATAAAAAATGAAAAACAACACTACAATACAAAAAAAGAGAAAAACGCAAAACATAAAAACCAATACAACAATACAGCAAAAGAAAGTAAAAAAGAAGGGGGAGGAAAAAGACACAAATCCCAAATTACATATCTATAATTTCCATTTGCTTGTTTCATTGACCTCCTCACACCTCCCTTTTTGTATTCTAGTTTAATTAATTGTTTCAGCAAATTCTTTCCATCTTTCTCAATTTTTGTTAAAAATTTTATCTTAACAATTTAACCTAATAATTAACTCAACAAATCCTTTCCATCTTTCCCCATATTCTGTTATTCAAATTACCTTAATTTATTTAACCTTATCTTACCCCAAAATACCTTAAAGCTTAAATCTTAGTTTTCAAATATACATAGCTCCTAATATCATTTCTGCTAGAGTCATATAGTTTCATTCCAACATTTCCCCTAATATTCATTAAGCTAATTCTAAATAAAAGGTTTCCTTTATAAATTTTCTTCCAATCATCATCCAGCGTCTCTTCTTCCTGGTCTCGGATCGTGTCAGTCCTTACTGTCCATTCCATCTAGTCCATCAACCTGGAAGCCTTATGTCCGAGGCCCTTAAGTCTCTTCCATGTCCCTTCTGCAATTCTTCTTCCTCTTGTTTATACTTGCCCTTTTCCTTGTCTTTTGTTGGTCTCTTTCTTAATTTCTTTCCTTTCTCATTGAGGAGTAGGTCTCTGGGGGATTCCAACCCAAAATTGTCTCCATCTCCCTTCATCCAGCCCGCCCATTCCCCACAGTCCCACTCCCCACAGTCCTCGATATAATCCAAAAAGTATTTAAAATCATATTTCAAGGTCTCTCCAAGGTTAGGAACCTCCTCATCTCCAAACTCCCCCTTACTTACTTTTCATTGGCCTACAAAAATGCTTACTTTTCATTGGTCTACAAAAATGTGCTTCTACCTATTATACACTATTATAACAACACATAATTTTAAAATGAAGTTATAAATCCATCCATTCTTCTGTCTCCTGCAAAGTGTTGCATTTTGGGTAGTCTGTTACATGAAATGGTCAGTCTGAGTGATTGTTCTTTGGAACATTAGTCTCTTCAAGGCCACTTTGTCTTTCTGCTATGCAAAGCTGATAAGAGAGGCTCTGCTTGCTAGCAAAATACAAAAAAGCATCTTCTATTCATAGGTGGGGGTGCATGGAGAAGAGAAAAATAGTTTAAACTTCCAAGTCTATGTTTCTGACTCTATAGTGTAAGAACACAAACGGGAACACAATCTTTCCCTTACTCAATTGACAGAGATTATCTGATTAATACTGGACATTTCTGGCTTTGGGACTTAATGAGCATTACGTTAAGTGTGTAAAAGAATTGCATTAAAAAGCTCTGGTTAGCGGGACTTCCGGGGTGGCGCCATCGGTAATGGCGGATTCCCTCTGACTTGGAGGGACCCGGCTCTGCGGAAATCGGGTCTGCACCGCTACGGCGAAGCGGGGACCCCTCAGAAATCACAGGCGGGTGAAGCCTGTGACCGTGGGACTCGGCGGGCACCCTTTGCGCCCCCCCAATTGGCAAAGGAGCCCGACTACGGGCTCCGGAGCGGAGCGGGGAAGTGGCGCGGTGCTGTGAGTCAACTGCTTCTTCCGTGGAGCGAAGCCGCATAGCCGTTACCGGAGAGCGCTGCCTTTTTCCTGGGACAATTTGGCTGCAAAACAACGATCTGTGAGTAGGCTAATTTAGGAAACAAAGGAATTTTACAAATAATTTGGCACCGAAGTGGAGAGGCATAAACAGGAAGTCTGCCTTCCGTTCTTGTAAATGGAGTAAAGCAATGAACTTGTAAGCGGAAACCTTAAAAGACGTTGGAAAAGGATTATAATTCGAACATCAAACAAGCGATTTTCCCCCCTTGATTGCAGGGGAGGAGGGGGGAAAGGTTTGAACTGTATTTCCCTGCAAAAAGAGAGGAAAAGAAGCTAAAATCCACCGCTCAAAACCCTGGAACGGGTTGCCAGTGAACAGTAAGAATGCTGTACTGTGAAATGCGCTGTTGCTGAAAGTACTCTTTGACAGTTAACTCTGCATCTGAGATACAAGTAAGATACAATATTTCTGACTGGCTTCTCCTGGTTTTAAAGTAACAGAAAATAACTGAGATTGAAACTGTTGTCCTTTCTGTGAATTGGGGGGCTAAAGGAAAAAAGTTAATTACTTTAAGACACTTTTGATTGCTACTGTGTCCCCCTAGAGGAAGTTTGAAATTGTTACAATAGCAGCTGGGCCAGGGGAATTTTCCACTTCAAAACAAATTCTGATCGTGAGACTGACCTTGGGTTTTATCTTGAGGGTTATGGCAGATGGCAAGGAGAAGATAGATTTGTTACAGGAAAAAACAACGAGGTCTGGCAGACTATTTCGCACAGACGGTGGGCTGCAACGAAGAGCATCGACATCTGGCCCTTCTGGTTTACCAACAGTAACCTCATCGGCACAACCTAAACCTAAAGGAATGGCAGCTGAAGATGCTTTGGCTCAGGCACTAGGTAAAATCAACGAATCTTTGGAAAGAATAAGTAAACAAGTAGCCGAGGCATCGGGCAAAATTGACCAAAACACTACAAGTATTAATAATTTGGGACAGAAGGTAAATACCAACACAGAAACTATTCAGAAATTACTACAGGAATCTACCTTGACACGAAAGACAGCCGAAGAGGCAAAGGAAATAGCAACTGCTACAGCCACTGTTGTAGAAGAGAAGATACCACCGATACACAAACAACTTGAAGACCACAGGTCAATATTGTCTATGATTGAGTTGAAGGAGAAACAAACGAATTTAAGGATCAGGGCCGTACCCGAACTTGAGAAAGACAACTTGATTGACTTTCTTACGCAGGAATTTGCAGACTTTTGGAACCCAGATTTGGAGAAGGATAGTTTCAAGATAGTGAGTGCCTTCAGGCTTGGAAGAGGAGGGAGGAAGAACAGGGTGAGAGACTGTTTGATCACCCTCCGAACAAAAGAGGAGAGAGACAAAATCTTGAGTCTGCACTTCCAGAAGACTTTGGAAATACACCAGTCAAAAGTGGAGATATTTAAGGACATTCCGAAGCATCTTTTGGACCTTAGGTCCAATTATAGAGATTTGGTTGCCCTGTTGAGAAGCAACGGAATCATCTTTAGGTGGGAATTCCCCAAGGCCTATCCTTTAGTTACAAAGGGAAGAAGATAAA